ATTTACTTACTATAAAAAAATATTTTAATAATATAATTAAATAATAAATTAAACTATAAAAAATTAGAATTATTTAAAATAAAAAATAAAATATTAAATATTAATTATAAACTAATATTACTAGATATAATATATATCTATCTAAGTTTTTATATTTTATTATTTAAAAAAGTATTAAAAAATATATTAGATTAAAACTATCTAATTAAGATCTATAAAAAAAAGTTTAAACTAGAAAAACTCTTTAATAAAGAAATATAAAATAATTAAATATATTATCTAGTAAAATAGAAAAACTACTCTAAAGAAAATAATATATAGAAACTAATTAAATATCTAATAAACTATTAATATTTAATTTAATAGTTTTACTAGAAGATAAAATAGAAAAAAAATCTTAGAATAAAATTAAATTAATTTATATAGTATTCTAATTAATAATCCCTATAGTATTCTATAACTAAGCTTTAGCTATAGTTTTAAACTCTAAGTATTCTAACTCCTTTAGCTTATCTATTAACCCTTTATCTTTATATAATATTTCTAAACCTTATTTATAAATTTATTACTTCTACTAATAAAGATATATTAGTTTATTAAGAGCTTCTATTATTTTAATTTAAGCTTTTAGAAAATACTTTTTAGTAATATTCTCCTTATACTTAAAGTAGTAGTATTTATTTATAATATAGTAAGCTTAAAAGTAAGTTAGTATAGTATAACTTAAAATAGAAATATATAATTTTCTTATTAGATAATATTATAATATTAGAATAATTATATAAATAACTATAATAAGTATACTTAAAGTAATACTTATTATTATTAGATATTATATAATACTAATATCTATTCTTTAAATAATAAGAATAAGATATAATATCTATATTAAATTTTTCTATTAGTAAAGCTTTAGCTTTATAATAGTTAGAAGATTTTCTTTTAGCTATAATAGTTAATAGGTAGGATCTATATATAAGAAGGAAAAGAACCTATTTAAGCTATAGAATATAGTTTTAAGAATAAAACTAATAAAGAGAGAGTATTATATTATACTCTAGTTATAAACTAACTCTAAACTAAATCAGGTATAGATTATATAATATACTTAAATACTAAGATAAAGTAATTAGTACTAAGTATAAAGTATTTAGCTCTAAATATATAGAAAATATACTAAGTACTCTATTATATATATATAATTATTTCTAGATAAATTACTAGTTTAATAGCTATTAATAAATAAATATTAGTTTATATATACTACTATAAATTAATTTATTATCTAATTTATTAATTAATTTCTAAATAATAAAACTATTATCCCTTTCTCTCTAGAATAACTATTACTAAATAAAGATATTAATCTCTTTTAAGCTACTCTATAGCTCTTAAGTATACTATTTATTATACTGAACTAGAAGATAAGTTAGATAATAAGTTTATTAATCTTCTAGATAGTAATACTATTTAAGTTAAAATTACTATTAAAGAATAAAATTAGAATATTATAACTATTTAGATTTTAATACTAAAAATATAGAGAGTTTTCTTTTATTTAAAAGTTTAATTAATTCTATTTTTTTATTATAAAGTATTTAAATTTTAATAATTTTATATTTATTTAGATATATTTTTTAATATCTTATTTTAGCTTATAAGATTTTATAAGATTAATATTAATCTTATAAAATCTTATAAGCTAAAATAATATTATTACTTACTCTATATAAATATTATAAGCTTTTATAAAAACTTATAATAGCTTATTAGTAATCCCTACCTGCTTATATAATTCATATTTATTACGCTTTGTGAGGGCCTTCCTATTTTACCGAATGAGTGCATGATCTAACCTGCGGCCCGGTCAACTCACTACTCTCGTAATGACGGTAGAGTTCCTCCGCTTTGTCCTCAATCCTTTTCTGCGGTGGTTGCCTAGCTCTAATCGCGTGTCTCATTGCTGATAGAAGCTCTCCACCCCCGCAGGCCTTCGGTTGTCAAGTTCAAGGCCCTCCTTCATCCTTAGCCGTCTTTCTTCCACCCAATTTCCCCATACCCGATACCCTCCGGGCCTCTCATTAGCCTCTAGGTCTTCTGAACCTGGGGGGAAGAACCTTTGTTTGAGTTTCTGGAAGCCATCTTCCATACTTACTCTTTTAAATTCCTCCCCATTGACTGTAAAGATAAATTCCTCAGCTACCTGCTCATAAATGATCATCAAGTGAATGAATTCATAACACCAAAACTGAACAAATAACAGGTTCTCCAGTTGTTTCGACAAGTGTGACGCGAGGCGTTCTTCAGGCGGCGTGTCTACATCATCATGGTCTCCGTATGTGTATCTCAAGTGTGTAGCGCTCCTACCCTTCGGGTAGCGACTCTCATCCATGAGAATACTGCTATGCTGAGTTCCATCGGTAGGTGCAACAATGTCGATGAAGATCTTCCTGACAATGTATCTGGGGGAGATGCTTTCGTCATCCTCGGGATGAGTACGGTCTAACAGGCCGGGCCCACGTTTAAGAAAGCTAGTGAGCAGTCCGTAAAAGACCCTATGAAAGGTAGGCGAGTGATACATCATTCGTGTCCACATTCCCTTGTACCAAAATGCCTCACCCAGGTCTTCGGGATGATTGAAGATTCGGAAGGTTGCACGGACGGAGTCGATGTACTGTGTCTCAGGGAGCTTGGGAACTGACCAAGTTGGCCACAGACCGGACTCTTTGACGTACATGATGTCGACATCGCAGTCTGTTGGGACGTGTCGAAGAAAACGGCTGACTTCGTCATGTATCTGTTTGTTCACCTGAAGCAGAGAGAGCGCAGGGTTTGTCGGTGCTCGATGCCAAATGGCGCGACTGAGAAAGTCCCCCTCATTCCAGATGCCTTGGCGGAGATATTCACCATACGGCAGGGGCTGGCGGTGCTCTTGTTCCACAACAGGAGATTCAGGTGGCTCTACCAGCGAGCAGATGACCCAGTGAAAGATTTCTTGCCTAAGCTCGAGCGGTATCTTGAGTAGATGGGGCATGTTGTCACTTGCGGGGGATCTATGAGTGTAGGAAGGCAGTGCTGAGCGGGGCTGAAGGTGAGTCTGACATCTGGAGATCTAGTCTGGAGGCGTAAGCTTAGTAAGTTGCGACATCGTTGGAACAATGAGCCAATAGCCTTCTCGATAGAAATTCAACATGATATTCATCTTCGATAATCGAGTGTCGGGTGGAATGAAAGCAGGTGTATACTTGAACAAGCTGTACTTGCACTTCTATAGTGTAAAGACTTTTACGGCCAAACTTCATACAATACGTGGCTTATCTCCTGGAGGATTCGGTACGTAGCATTTCAAGGACCATGACTCCAATGTTAGACCTTGTGACTATGTCTAGATCATAGTTCTCAGCTCGTTAGAAGATACGTCCCTATACATCGTATCCTTTACCATCCAGCAACATTGAATGGATATCGGATCCGGCGCTACGAACATTGCCGGTCTCGCTTTGAGCTAAACCAACAATAGGAATGTTCAAGCGATACCCCTGTCCATGAGTGGTTTCCCCCGCTTTCCACTGATACGGACAATCTCTTGAACTTTCCGATATTGGTTAGATTCGTTGGCCTCAGATAAAATCAATTTTACGACACATGTCATTGGATGGTTATTAACTAGGCTATCATTCTCTTGGCTAATATATGCCAGACGACCCTCCAACGAGTGATGCTCTGTACACCTATTGGAGCATTTGGAGGGAAGATGGGGCCGTCTCCTAGACTTCTTATTCCTATCGTCTTGTTTCCCCTTAATCCAATGTATATTAAGCTGACTTTCTCCAGCTTCATCAACGTGTCGGCTTCTTGACATATTATCCCGTCAAAGCCAAAGCAAAGTCTCTTATCATTATTTACCCCTACCGGCTCCTGAAGCTTCATCTTTAGCCTTGACTCAATCGAACCATGGCTTTGCTAACCTTCCCTGTCCTCCTGGCTGCTGCTGCCCTACTGTGCGCAGTTGCCCTCGCAAAGAAGTTTTACTCTCCTCTTGCCAGAATACCGGGTTCCAAACTATCTTTATTTAGCTCCGTCCAACTACGATACCATGAGCTACAAGGAAGACGGACTGCGTTCGTTCATAGCATGCATCAGCGCTATGGGACAGCCGTCCGGTTGGGCCCTAATGAGGTCTCCTTCGCGTCTGCATCCGCAATGAAGGAGATATACATGTCAAAGGGAAGCGGCTACGACAAGACTGATTTCTACGATTTGTTCCGCCAATTTGGTCTCAGGTAAGTAGTTCTCATATTGCAATGAATCGAAGAAAGACCATGCATGCTAACTGAAAAAAGTACTATGTTCTCCGATAAGAAAAAGGAACCGGTATGGTACTCTCTCCTCTCAATGTTAGCTACAAGGTTACTAATGGATTATGTGTCTTTTCAGCACAGCAAGAGAAGACGAATCCTAGCAGATCGCTATGCCAACTCCAACATCATGCGTGAAGACTCGCTGCACGGAATCCAACAACGATCCCAGAACTTCGTTACCAGGATTAAAGAGAGTCAACAACAAGGATTCGATATATATGTAAGAGACAAGGCCTCGTTCACAATAAATTTAGCAGTGAGACTTACTTTGACTAGCTCCATCTTCATAACTACGCGTTTGATTGTGTCACACACCACCTGTTCCACCCCTATGGAAGCAATTCACTGTTAGATAAAGGCGACGAGGAGATAATGTGCGAAGTGTCGTTTGATAATAGTCTTGTCCGTAAGTCAAGTCTTATTCTTGCTCCAACGGGAAATGAAGTTTAACAACGAGCTAATGAGCGACACTCTTTCAAGGCCGGCTAATGATATTTTATAATCCAACATTCGGTCACTTCCTCGGAAAAATGGGACTGTTTGGTGCGCAGCGTGCCATCCCTCGTGCCCAAGCCTTGGTAAAGAACGCGGTCAACCAAGAGAACTCTGCCAGCTTTACCCTCGTTGGTGCTCTTCAAGACGGAAAAGGAAGCCTGGATTCCACTCAAATCGCCTCGGAGTGTATGGACCACATGGTTGCGGGAATTGAGACAACCGGTGATGCACTATGTTTTCTCATGTGGCAACTGTCCCAGCCTGCATATGTTGGCCTCCAAGACCGACTTCGCGCTGAGCTCAGAGAGAATGCCAACATGTCTATCCATGAATTGCCGTTTCTGGACGCGGTCGTCAAAGAAGGCCTCCGAGTCTTTCCCTCTATTCCTATGAGTCTACCTCGATGCGTACCTGCAGGGGGCGCAACGGTTGATGGGTACAGGCTACCTGAGGGCACAACTGTCAGCTGCCAACCGTTTTCGATGCACAGAATGGACGAAGATGTTTTCCCAGCTCCGGATAGCTTCGATCCAGATCGGTGGCTGGAAGAGAAGGGAAATGCGGACCGCAACCGTTTGTTTTTCAGCTTCTCTGGTGGAGGAAGAGCATGTATTGGTCGACAGTAGGTCCATCCCATCATCATTGAAAATCCTAACCGCATTCAAATATCGGTGCTAACACCTCAGGGAAACAGTCTAGCAACGGCTGAGATGAAAACGCTTCTGCGTGATATCTACGGTCAATTCAGAAGCACGCCAGCTGATGAAATGACGGCTGACATGACAATGGATGATCAAATTTTCACAACGAGGCCAAAGGGGCAGAAGTGTTTACTCAATTTCACAGTTGTAGAGTAACAAAATTTCAATGTAGTCACAAGAACATCGGAGAATAAATCAGATCTGAGATGAAGATTAATACACATTGTAATATTCATTTCTCGTACTTTAATCATATGAGTAAGGCGTGTCATTGCCCGTACCTTACAAAGATCCGATTAGTTCCATAGGGCCTTTGAGTATTCTTTTCAAAATAGGGTTTGTACATATATCAAGCTATACTTTTAGCCAACTGAGGAGAAGATGAAACTAGCGAGTCTGAACGTCCACGTGAGGCAGTTATAGATGCAACCCCCCTCATGTTGGGATCAGTGGGCCACGAGTCAAATAATGCGCTAGCGACTGTCTCCCGAGTCCGGAGACTGGAGAGATAACCGAGAAATCCACCGTTTCTCCCCCGCTGGAAAATCATTCATCGCATTCATCTCCAGAGACCACTCACCACCTCAGGAGATGGCTCGAGAAACCAGGGATGCATCGTCTGTTCATACAGCAGATTCTCCAACACGGGCTAGAAAAAGATCCCATGCAGGATGCTCACGCTGCAAGCGTCGCCGTCAGGGTTGTGACCAGCAAAAGCCGTCCTGCGGCAGATGCCTCTCTGCGGGCAGCCAATGCATCTATGAAGTTCGATTGAGATGGGGAGGCAAACCATTCAGCAAATCCGCCTTTGGCAATTGTTTTAAGAATGTCGAGAGATTGGGAAGTGCATCCGTTGGCGGGTTCGTGTATGGACTGCGAGCCCGGAGATCTCCAACCGAACAGGAAGATGGGACTCTACCATCAGCGCCGGCCTCTGATATCGACAGTACGAGCTCGTACCACACAGTTTCCACGTCACGAAACCATCTGGGGGATTCCCATGTGCCAGATATGCCTACAGCTCCGCCTTCCCTCATGTCCGAGGCTGGAGAGGTCCCTATACCGCAATCTTCGAGAAAATCCAACATGGACGAATGTTCAATCCCCAAGGAGAGAAATCAAATTGAAATAATATCAAGACCTCTCGGCCCTATGACTCTTCTTCCACCCACTGCAAAATACCTCCTGCAGTATTACCTCTTACAAACAACACGGCTAACCGTACCAAGTGACTACGCTCGTGATGAGATATGCCGTTTCGTCGTACCGATGGCACTTGAAAACCGACCACTCCTGTTCGCAATTATGACATTTGCCGCGGTTCACTTGCATTCTAATGGTATGCTATCTGGAGAACCAGAAAGACTCATCGACAAGCTTCACCAGAGCAGCATTCAAAGCCTTCAGCCAACACTTCACGATCGCGATCCGGCTGCGCAAGCCTTGGCACTGGCGACAACCAGAACGCTCTGCCAGGCGATGATATATCGTGGCACTTCTTCCTGGCGCATGCATCTTGATAACGCGAGATCCATCCTGCAACATGCACACTTTAGGAACGGCGCCAATCAAAGTTGTTCATGCTCAGCAATTCATGGCTTTCTTTCTAGTTGGTACGACAACACTGAGGCTCTGGCAGCTCTCACGCCGCTTGGATTACGCCATGGCCAGCTGGAGGTAAGTTGCCTAAGGAGTGTTGACGTCCAATTTGACGTCTTTGGAGGCACTGCATCCGATCTCCCCGGCCTTCTGAGGGAGGTGGGCGCCATGGTGAAGGAGAAAAGAAGCCGGCGCAAGTCCCAGTCCATATCCACGGGCAAGGCAAATTCGGTTTTGTCAGATAGAGACATTGACCTGGAGGCTGAGGCTCTCGTTCGGGAAGTTTACCGCCGATTAGAACGCGACACAGTATCAAATGTCATATGCGATCGACACCTCCCCGCCGCTCTCTCGGGCGACGATGTCCAGGACTACGTATTGAGTAACGCCGGGTACCTTTATACGGCGCTGTTATACATATATTGCGGCATTCAAGCGCTCCCGATCTCGTCTCCTGAAGTCCAAGATGTGGTCAATGGCTTGGTTTGGTGCAGCCAAAACATGAAAAGATCTGCAGGCTTTTCTCCGCGCGTGCTCCTGGTGACTCCGTTGTTTACGGCAGGATTATGTGCAATGGGAACTGCACGAGCTGATGTGAAGGCCGCGTTAGAAGACATTGGAAAATTGGTGGGCATGCCTCATATCCCCACCACGTTGTCTATTCTGGAGGGAGTATGGGCCACATTCAATGGAGACGCGGTGAATGAAGATGTCTGGTCGTATTTTGGTGAGTTTTACTTCAAGTCTGGTCATTCTTTGGTCTTATTCTAACTGTGGATAGAAACAACGACCTCTGACTTTATCACATATTGAGATGAAACTTAATAAAGCTGGCTTCTTTTGGAAGTAAAATTGAGACATCTACGGCTGGAATTAATACAGTTGCCACACGATGCGCTTAGCTCGTCGAAAGTACTGTACTTCGTGAGTTGCATGGTTATGGTATTCCATGATGACTCACTGGTGGCCTGTAAGCGGCACAGCTATCCTTTAGACAGGTTTCAGGATTAAGAGCCACGTGTGCACTGGATATCAATTTATATAAGCAAGCCATCTCCTCTTAGAGAAAGGAAGCCTCCAAGATAAATCAACACTATCACCACCAATCTAAAATGAAACTGGGATTTATTTTCTTCGTTCTCACGACCGTCTCCTCAGTACTCGCATCCCTAGATCGGCCTTTCTTTGTTGGCCTTGGGCTGCTGAAGAGTCGAATCCCGCGGTTCATCACCAGCTTAGACCATCCGTACGTCAAAGAAAATCAACATGCCATTGAAAGCCTAAGCGACCCCGTCCAATTTTTCTGCTATCCCGAATCGCAGCTGCGAGCCCTTCTCCCACCAGTACCGGACGACATATTCAAGAAGCTGAGCCTTGACGACCACAAATGGGATCACACAGTCGAGATCCTATCCGGCTTTCTGGATTGCCCTTTGGCCGTAGAGGAGCTTGAAGAACTACAAGTGAAGGTCAGCTCTGCATCACCTAGTAAATATTCTCAAACTGCAATAAAAACCTTCACCCTCTTTACCCGACTATTCAAGGAAGCTATACAGCTTAAGACTCTGGCTTGGATGGATCCGTCTCCGGAATTCGATTCGCATGATGCGACATCGGCGTTGCATAAATACTTGACGGACCAAAATCTCAATCTTCCAAGCGTCACTACCTTGATTCTTGGTCCTAACGCGGAGTTCTTTGTGGCCGCGGCACCCAAACTACAGAAGATATCCTCAGCGCCGGGTTTTGCATGGTCGTGGAGCGGGTTCAATCATTTTTACCGCTATGAAAATGGGCCACAGCGGCGACTTGTGCGATCTCTGGACTCAGCAAAGCAACTAGAGAACGTTGATCTGGGCTTCAGCTTTAGTAAGGACTCAACTGCTGAACTTGTTAAAGCAGCCCCAGGAGTGAAGACGCTGTCGTTAGAGGATTTCTGTGATGAGGGTCGGCAGTATGGTGAAGCTGGCCGTGAAAATTTCAAGGTAATGATGCCCCTGGCTTCCCCTCCTAGAAGGAAAAGGAGAACAGAGCCGAAATGCAAGACTGCAACTGATATCAATGATCAATGCTGACTGAAATATAGGCCATTCTTTCCGAGCTGGCCAAGTTGGAGAGCTTGACTGTACTTAGCCTGCCCCACGTAAACTACTTGGGTATTGGCTCGTTTCCAGAACCTGGCTTCCGTTGTGGAAATGCATATTTTGGGATTGAAGGATCCAAGTATGGACGGAGCGAACTTCTTCAAGAAATCCAAGCAACAGAAGAAGCTGCTGATATAATTCTCCAAGCACTCCCGCAACTCACAAAGCTCTGCATCAGGGAGTGTGCCGACGTCAAAGCAGGCAAGATCGTTCGATGGCCTTGGACTGGACGGCTGAGAGATTATGTACTTCAATCCTGGCCCAGACTTGATGGGACGGATCCGGAAGATGATGGGAAGGAAGATCTAGATGGTCCGGTGCTCTACACGTGGGAGGAGGACGAAGAATGGTTCTCGACATCCAAAAAGCACAGTATTGATGAACTATGAAACATGTCTCGCTTTCTGTAGGCGGAATTAAAGGCTAGATGTTAGGAACTGAGTTGTTTGTAACACGTTGCGTTGTTTGATCATACACTCATCAGTAAGCCTCGATCTGACCAATTTATTCACTCTATAATACGATTATTGTTACAAGGTACAATATCGCGAGAGCATGAGCAAAATAGGCGAAGCCGTTACCAGAAAGGCCGATAGCTCTTTGCCAAGTACTAACGAGGTTTTACCAGCCACGGTTCTGTTTGAGCTCATACCAAAAGTTGCGGAACATCCACCCATCAAAGTCAACAATCTCCAAGCCCTCATCCATGATGAAGGCGCCTGCACCAGTTGGCTTCCAGTCTGCGAATCGTTAGTCTCCGTAACAGTTCTTACAATGAGGAGGAGTAAATGTAATTTACCATAGACTAGAATTGTGATTTGTTAGCAGCTACTCCCAAAAGGGGAAAGGGAAAGGGGGGTGATCAACTTACAATCATCCATGCCGAAAGTATGTCCCATCTCATGCTGCATATAAGTCATAGGACGAGCCTGGATCTCCCGGTCAAAGATACTCTTCTGAATGCGCTGGCCCCAGTCGCCACCGGCACCGCCTCCAAAATCTTCCGAAATCCACAGAGACTGGTCGTAGTGGTTGGCAGCACCGCCGGAGCATCCCGAGTAGTCGCCATCCTGGTGGAAGAATCGACCGCAAGCAGGTGCGCATTGAGGAATCCCCTCAGAGTCCTTGTCCGTGTAGACCTGGATTCCTGCCGTTGAGCCTTGAAGAAGACTCTTGTCACTGACCGCCCAGCCGACTACCTTGACCTTGATGTTGCTGAATGGGAACCCATTGTATCCATAGACCCAGGTGAACCAGTCGTCATATGCCTCTTGGGCCTTGGCCTCAATCTGGGTGCGGAGTGCCTCGGAGACTGTCTGAGATGATTCCCAACGAACGCAGTAATTGATTTGTCTATCCAAAACTTAGCCCCGGTGGACGTAGTTCCAGTGAGAATTACTCACCCGTTGTTGGCCATTATCTGATCCCAGCCATAATTTTTGAAGCCAAAGATATTTCCTCCATTATAAGTGCTCGAGACGTGGTCCCACACTTCTTTCAACGGGGCAGCAATATTACTGGGAGGGTTCCAACCGTCGTTTTGTCTCTTGACAAAGCGGTTGGGGGCTTCAATGCTTCCATCGGGAGTAGACTTCAGGTACAATGCGGTCGAGGAACCAGCCAGGGCCGCAATCAGAGGAATGGAGGAGACACGCATGGTCAAAGAAAAGAAGATAACCTCTAGGGCAATCGGAAGATGATGAAATGAGACGAGTGAGGGTGGTTCAGTTTCTCCACGTTTGAAGCCTAAACACTGCTATATAAGAGCCTTTGGTCCGGAGTAGGCGGTTCCGGGTTTTCCTGTCTTGGGACGAGACCCCCTTGTCGTCCCGTTTTACCTTACCAAGGGGCAGCGCTTCGATGTTTCGGGAAGGGATTTAAGCTTGTCGAGACCCATTTTATACGAGAACCTCGTGTAATTTAACTCATTCTAGTTGTATCCTGGCCCGTGACGTTTCAGGATCTTCTGTTGCGGCATGCAATGGTACAGCGGAGGCACGCAAGACCCAACGGTTGGAATTTTCCGTCAGCTTATTGTCGGTTAATCAAGGTTATTACTCTCCCCTGAAGGCCATTGATGGAGAAAATGGAGCCGATATAGTATTCAATTGGTAATAATCCATATGTATTTAGTAAACCAATTATTGAGATAGGTAATGTAAACCCATCTGTTGAACCCTAACCCTGCCATCGATGACCTCATAATTGTCCACTCCTTGATATTTACACATCTTTCAAAACGAATCTGGTGTATGGATTCTTTGGCGGCGTACTGAGTCAGAAAATCTAACCTAGCTCCTTTCAAGAAGGATTTGCTTACCTGAAAATCTTGGGTTCCGCGAGATTGGTAGGCAACACCTGACAAAGTCACTACCGGGGAACTTTAGTTCCCATTCATCCAGCACCTCCCGATCAGTCCGAAACACAACGTCTAATACGTTGCTCTGGTAGTTGAGAAAAATGGTCGGAAAATTCCCTTCTTTTCTAACCGGGCAAGTCGTGCTTGACCCAGGGGATCAACAGGTATGTGCGCCAGGGTTACCGGACACGCCTGCTGATCCCCGCTCAATGTTCCATGATTCCCAACCAACAGCTCCAGGTGTATCCGCGGTTCTGTGATCTGGCTGTGCGAATCCGAACTCCACCCTTGGCTCCTTGCCCTGGGGCATGATGGAGAACACGAGTAGTGGTTCGAAGACGGACTCATCCGGCTTGTCGCTTGGGTCTACGTTGTCCTGAATGTGTACTCGGAAGATCTTCTTGTCATCAGACCATATCAAGGTCAGAGGCTGCGGTAGAGCTGCTTGTTCCGGGGCAACAAAGTTAGCTTTACTAACTATGATAGATAATGAAACGTTTCATTCGTATCGTATGTACATTGAATTTAAAAAATCTATGGATGAACTAGAAAACCAGCTGGCCTTCAGTATACAGGCACACATCGCCAACGTTTGATTACAGAATACGTACTCTTCTATCAACCCACGAGTATCATTTTATTCTAAAAGTGAGGAGTATTAAGGGCAAGACCCATCAGAATACCTCCAATAAGTCCAGCACAGGGAACAGTGAAGAACCAGGATAGCACCACAAGGCCGACACGATTCCAATTGACGGCCTTGAGAGTACCATTGCAGAGACCGACACCAACAGTAGCACCAGTGATGCACATAGTAGTAGACACGGCTGCATTGGTTGTTAGAAGCATTCCAGCCAGTGGATCAAGGGCAAATACTTACGTAGCTTATATTGAGAGAAAACCATGACAGTAATAGCAGCGCCCATCTCCATAGAGGAACCGCGGGAAGGAGAGTGATATGTGATCTTGTTACCCATAACTACAAGAACAATTAGCATCGCATGTCCGAGCTATGTCAGTGGATGGTGTATACCTTTCATAATATTATAACCATAAGTAATGAACCCGAAGCAGAGAGTCAATGCAATGACAGCAATCTGCCACAGAGGGACTGACTCCTTCGCAGCTGCAGGCTTACCAGTTGACCAAGCCGCATACATGCCAGCCCAAACACCAACAGCGTTACCAACGTCATTAGCACCGTGTGCAAATGAGGCTGTACAAGCAGTAATAATTTGAATGAAAGAATAGAGGTATTCAACCTGGTTAGGGTACTTAGTAGCCTGAGAGTACACCCGAGACATACGAAGTCCGTCGGGTGTACCTTCAATCCCGATCTGAGCCGTGTGAATGTCATACTCGGCTCCGTAGAATAAGCCAACAACAATCATCGCAGGAATTCGTTTAAAGAATGTTTTGAGATTCTCGAGCTCGTGGATCGATCCCGCGCCCATGGGGTTATCATGGAGAACACGCATGGCCCATCCTAATGGGCTGTTCTTTCGTCGGAGGTTGGCGTGATGACGATCTTCAGCCTTCTTGATCAGCTGGCGGTACCGCTGCTGGGTGACGGGAACAATCTCAGAGCGAATTGACATCTTGTCGTAGTCGGCCGCCTCGGGGTTATAAGCGGAAGGGGTGATGCGATCGGGGTTGCGGAGATCCGGGCTGAGAACTTTCAATTCACGGACGGACTCGGTCTCGGAACTGGGATGCTGAACGACGGCATAGTTTGGGATACGGGCAGCATACGCATCGGGAGGAGGCACCCGTCTGAAAAGTAGTGGTCCCTGGAATACATGCCACCACCTGAGGGTGTAATCTTTTTTGATAACCCTAGCGTGAACAAACGGGAGGAAGAAGAGTGCCGAAAGCAGGCACAAGCCAAAGCCAACGCCGACTGACATAGGAGTTAGCTTCATGCTTCGTGTTGATGGGGTTAGGGAAACTGACGGGTTACCGCGGCAATGAACCATGCAGGCTTCTGGTCCAGTCCGAGCTTAGGAGATCCCTTATACACGACACTGAGAGTACAGATTGTGCCTGCAATAAGGAAAAAGAAAGGCGAGGTCCACACAGCCCAGGTGACACAGTTCGTACGCATATGTACAGTGACCTTGATAAGCATGAAGATGATTGCTCCAAAGGCTGCTGAACAGACTGGTGCCATAAGCAAGCCCGCAAAGATAGCACCAATACCATTACCATCATACCAGCCCCAACGAACACCTTTGACACCGACAGTAGCAATGCCGACACCAACCAAAGAGGATACAAGGGAGTACGTGGATGAAACCGTGATGGAGTTGCGGGAGCAGTACATGACCCAGATACCAGCGCCGGCGGCGGCACAGGCAAAAGCCAAGAGCTGAACACCTGCATTGTCTCTGAACGAATCGGCGTCGATAATGCCGTTCTTAATTGTCGAAGCGGTTCGGGCACCAACGGTCAAGGCGCCCAGCATCTCAAAGACGAGGCAGGCCATCATTGCCATTCGGTACGAAATGGATCGTGAGGAAACACTCGTGGCCCATGCATTTGCGACATCATCTAGCACATGCGACTACGATCAGCTTGAGCGAAGGGGATATTCCCGGGGGAGAAGGGGAAACCTACTGGCTCCGTTGTTGAATGCCTCAAGGAGGGCAAAGATTGTTCCCAGTGCAAAGACATAGGTGTAATCCGTTAAGACGGCCATTTTGGCCGGATGTCGTCGTCGGGATTGGACTTGACCCCAGCTGAAACAGCAAGAAACCGAGACATGGAGGTCTCGCGTGCCACCAGGATGTGGTTATTTAATACACTGCACTACGCTTCGAAGCATGGGATTCTAGCAATTGGGAGTTCAAGAACAACTTCTATCATTTTGCCCATTTAGAAGCAGCACAGCTAGCACGTGGGCTTCAATCGAGGGGACAAAATGGCGATGTTCCTTCGACAGGGAGCACGTGTGCAAGGATTGCCACAAAGAACCAAATGGAGCGCCGAGGCCGTTGCTTTAGCAGCCGTTGGCTAGAAGAAATCTTACGGCTTGCGGCTAGAACGGAACCCAGCCCGGCACGATCAGAACCGTGCTATCGTCGATGTCACTCGTTGCAAGTGCAACTGGTCTGTCTACGAGGCAGTTTTCATCCCGCAAAGGTCCAGTATTCAACAACACGACAATAACACGGGGTACCAAGCCATGATCATAACAGCTGTAAACAAGTTGTCCAGTCTCCCAGTTGCTCGTCAGGGGTAGTGGGCTTACATGGAGAACCATCAGGGGATCCGCTTTTGAGCATCCAATTAACACTCTACGTGCCTCTACGATGCAGGAACACATTGAGATCTGCTTCCCAATGGAAACCAATTACCAGCATCACAGAGAACGCCTAATGCGCCCCGAACGAGGCAACTTGCCCCCTTTCGCTCACGCTATCTTTAGCCGACCACCCGGACTCACCGGTGAAAGGCAACTGGCCCTCCCAAAGTGTTCTTTGCCAGAGACGATGGCCAGGGGCCGGATGTCTGTGCCGCAGCCATCAACCAAGTGGCACACTAAGCCAGGGGTTACGTTCTCTGATCTCCACACATCACCAAGTGTCACTGATGAAAACCTTACCATCCTCACTGTCAGATCCGACTACCCGATTCTTCCATACCTTAGTTCCACAATCCCGTCTGCTACAGGTACATTCCCAGCTCACCATGACCCAGCAGAGCGGCGCCTTCCATGTAGAGCGCTTCCAATACTATTTCCCCATCATTCACGTAGATCTATGGCAATTCAGAGGAGCCTGGATAGAGACAGTAATATGTATGCTCAGCAGGATCTTTGCATGCTTTTGCGTACACAAGGAAGCAACATCGGGTGGCGCAACTCTCCTATGCAGCCCCTGGTGTTGTTCCACTCACACTCACGTCGTTCCGCGCAATGATGTCCACTGACGGCCGAAGCTATCGTTTCTCTTGGACCAGACCCCAGTCTAGCCTGCGCTATTGGCCATCATCCCAAGTCCCAGGCACCAAGGAAGCCTGACAGAAACCGAAAAGAACGAGTGGATCTGTAACCACACCAGACAAGGAAGGTGGCAAGATGCAGGCCTGTATGGGGATCAGACAATCCGAAATTCATGGCTATTCTCATCCTACTACGCGTCTACACGCATATAGAAGATACTCACAGGGAGTATGAACGTATGTTATTATCACGTGGGACCTAAGTGGCTACCTTATGATGTGTAGAAGATGTAACATGTGCGTGACCAGGGTCATTCGAGAAGAACGGCCCTTTTTACGACACTCCAGTCAATACCAGCATTGATGGTCCTGAACCACTTTAGTCTACTCAATCTTTGGGCTGTTGGCATTGGATGGGCGGAAGAAATTTGAGAAATCTTTTTACCTTGTTTGTTTATTACCATTTCTTGTTTCTCTTGTTTGTGCCGACAGTTGATGCTGGGAGATGCCGTGAACGCCAAGCAGTCTCTTGTCATGTTGGTAAATGATCAATGCAGCCACCAGGCTTCTACACCTGATTGAAACTTTGAAAATAATAATTCACACACTAAATAACGGTCTATAACTGCTAAATATTAATAGAAGACTCAAGAGTGTGGTACTCCAAGAGGTGATTGAAGTCAAGTTCCAAGGCCAATTCTATAGGGTAGGCTGGACCAAAGGCAAAGGCAGAACAAGCAGCTTGAAACAGGTACCATGTAAGATGCTAGAGGATATATTCTTCTCTGATGGCCTAAAATTATATATGAACTGTTATGCGTGCCCATGGTGTGAGCGAATATGGCTTGGCTTAGGTTCGTTGGCTCGTAGTTGGAATTCTGGGGAACTACGAGCGAGAGGGGATTACCAATGCGTCTGTTACTGTACGTTTCAGATTCCATATCTCTCCGCAATTATATAACAAGTCAATGCCTGTGAAGCTGTCCTAAGGGCAAGTGAAGCTGCATAGGGGAGTCAGTACGAATAGGATTTGACTCACCTGCTTAAGGCAGCTCCAGGCAGCAGCTGTTGATCGTATTCACATGGGTGAAGGCAAATTAAGATCAAGGGAGAAGAAATAAAAACATACGCGCGTACATAACCAGCGATGGCAGTCACGAAATCACAATATCACTCAAACCATAAGGCAGCCGGTATTTCAACATTAGCCAATCGCCAGTCAGTATCGCGAATCATGTGATGCTTTAAACTTCCATTATAGAAATGAATCTAGAAGCTGCGCTCCGGCTACTGCCTTTACACGTCATCAAGCAAAGCTTAATGATTGGTTCTGGATGAACCTTGATCATTATGTTTATCCAGAGTGTTATTGTTTAGACCTGTCCGTCGCTGGTGAAAGGCCTACGAAAGACACATCACAGTGCCGAGAGCCAATGTTTTATTCATCACAACTTAAAGACACTCCGTTCTCTGGCAATCCGCCAGCCCACCAAACAAGCTCCTCGGTCTCCCGAATTGATCAAAATTTGGATCTTCCAACGGCTGATATCAACCCTTAAGCATCTCTAATTACGGTAGTTTCTTCACCTTCTCTAGATTCATCATTACTGTGTCTAAAAGCAAAATGACCCTCACCAGCCTTCTGAGACGAAAATTGCGAAATCCGGAGTCACTAAGATTCATCCTTCGAGCTTCAACCGATCCTTGAGGTCACCAAAGGTCCCGACTCGCAATAAGACGCCTTCGGACTCGGAACCTCTTCGGACTCGGAATCCCTTCGGACTCGGCAACATGGCGTCCAAGAGCGGCACCACTGACAGTCCTACCGACCCTGTTTCTAAAGATGGATTCTATCGAGCCTTCCGCGCCGCTTGCAACAAAGGGCTCAAAGACAAAAACAGGGGACCGACTGTGGCCCAATATCTGGGTGCTCTCATGACACGGCCTAGGTACAGTGAGAAAAAACTGCCAAAGTCGTGGCAGGCGTTTGCTACAGCGGAGCCCGAAATTGCCTCGATGCTTCGCCGTAGCGCAGCTGAATTCCGTGTCTCTGTTCACGGAAAGCTCGTCAAGTTGGGCGATAAGAAAAAATCTACCGCGAAGTTTCTGATCGTCTCCAACCCCGACTATGTAATGGGCACGGCCACATTTCCAGACCTGTCTGGCGATCCCGCTATCTCCGAGAAGGCTGAAAAAGACAAGGCAAAGAAGTCAAAAGGGAAGGAGAAGGTAGTGAGAATAAATGGTATGCATTCTGGATAACTGAACTTATGCCAGGAGACGCTCATCACATGGAGTAGATGAAGATGACAACGGCAATTATGACTCTGACGATTCCGATCAACCATTGGCTATCAAGCGGAAAATTTCTGCGGCCTAGAAGGGCACATCGAAAGCAATGAAGGGTTGAACTTTTGGTCATGGAAGAGTCCCAGGGGGAAATGAATTTCAATGAGAGAGCGAAGGGAGAGTAATGGATGAGAGCACGATAACGTAACTAGCACCCCGACGAGGTCCCGGGAATATGCTTAAGACCAACCGAAATTGGGGCAAAGGAATGCTGCCGTGTTGAGAGACTTCATAAAAACTAGACCAGTTATACACTACTTTGTGGGAAGAATATTATGCTTTACAGTCTTTGTGACCAACCATGCATCGAGCGCCTCCTCGCCCATATCTCGGCCGAAACCCGACTGCTTCCACCCACCAAACGGCGTGTTGGCGTTCAGAGCGCCCCAACAGTTTACAGTGACCATTCCGCTTTCAAGAGCCGCCGTCACTCGGTCTGCACGATGGATATCATTTGTGAAAATGGCGGCAGCAAGGCCGTACACCGAGTCGTTTGCCCTTTGAACGACCTCATCCTCCGTGTCGAATTTGGCAATAGCCTAGTTCATACGTTAGCTGGTTGGTATCACTTAAATTATCATCGATCATTTTCGTCTCACCGCGACTGGGCCGAAAATCTCCTCTTTCATGATACGAGAATCATCCGGCACATCTCGGAAGGCCACATTAGGGATGAAATACCCATTGCCTTCCGGCAGGCTTTGGTCTTTTCCGTCGCCGACGGCTTTGAGGTCGTTCTCCTTGGCGTAGTCGAGGAATGATCGGATCTGGTCTAGTTGCCTCTTGCTGACGACAGGACCCTTTGTGGTCTCAGCCTGGAGAGGGTCTCCGGTGGCCGTGCTAATGATCCGCTCCGCAAACGCTTTCAAGAAAGAATCGTAAATGGACGAGTGGACATAGATGCGCGTACCGGCGGCACAGATCTGGCCGTTGTTGGCGGTGAAACCAACCGTGGTCCAGAACAGGGCGTTCTCAATATCTGCGTCGGGGAATACGATCGAAGGTCCCTTGCCGCCGAGCTCCAGGGTGACCTTTTTGAAGTTGGAGTCGGCGGAGGCCTTGAGGATCTTTCGACCGGCAACGCCGCTACCTGTGAAAGCAATCTTCTTCACTCCGTGGTGCTCGGCTAGAGCTTGGCCGGCGACATGGCCCTCTCCGCAGAGAATGTTGATGACACCAGGAGGGAAGCCGGCTTCCTTGACCAACGATGCGAGTTTCTGGGCGTATAGAGGAGCGATCTCTGGGGTCTTGATGATGAGTGTATTGCCGGCAGCAATAGCTGGGGCGAGCTTCCAGATGGTAATCATTCTATGAGTTGTGTTAGCAGCTGGGATTCTTAATTACCAATTATAAATCGTCAGAGATCGAAAGCAAATGTAAACTCACAATGGCGCATTCCATGGGACAACGGCTGCGCACACTCCCAAAGGTTCACGCCGGGTGTAGGCATATCCTTGAGGAATATTCAGTAACTGGCCGGTAATCTTGTCGGCCCAACCAGCAAAGTATCGTAGTGTCTCGGTAGCCTGGGGAACTTGCATATGCTTGGATGCACCGAACGGCGTCCCAACATCGAGGGCATCGATACTGGCGAAGTCGTCTCCTTCGCGCTCGATCAGCGCGGCTAGCTTATTGAGGAGCTCGCCACGCTTCGCAGGGAGGATGTCCTTCCATCCATTCGTGAAGGCCGCCTGGGCTGCAGAGACAGCGAGATCAACGTCATCAGGCTGGGCTGCCGATACTGTGGCCAGTTTTTCACCGGTTGTAGGATTAACAACGTCTAGGACCTTGCCACTAAGGGCTGGTCGGAATTCATTGTTGATGAATAGACCGGTTTCAACTAGAGAAATCTGTTAGCTCAGCATTATGAACAAGCGAGCTTGATGTCAATGTACGTTGCACCAACTTCCCCCCAAAGCCTTTCAGCTCAATAGTACTCATGATGGATTTGATGGACGTGTTAGGGCGTATTCCAAGATGTTCCCAGCAATCTAAAAGAAGCGGAAGACAGGAAGTGAGGAGTCAGCGGACATAAAGTCGAGAATGAGGGGAACAATATATGGTAGCTTGTACGTTACAGATCGGGCAGGGAGCCCGCGGCTATCCGGTCGGTCAAGCTACGTGTATGTACATGGGTCGCGATATATACTACATCCATACCTTACGTATGCGCAGGAACAGTTGTAAGCCCATGGCGCTTACCTTGTACTTTATAAGCTATTTCATCATTCATTCTAGGAAATGATTTTCTCCTCGAATTCAAAGCCCCAAAACTTGATTACATCTGGCGCTGAATTGAACAATCAAGATATCTCAACAACAAAGGACCTCATACGGGGGATCTACAGTTAACACCAAGACTAACCAATATCAGCAAATTTACCCACGGACCAAGTCCAGCGTCGGGTTGGTAAGCAGCACCCTTTTGCCTTACTAATGCCTCAGTTGTACGTGCATGAGGCCCTGCGGGGGTATTAATGAGTCATTGGAGCATCATATGAGTTGTATCTCGTCAGCAAACGAATGGGCGTGCGAGTCAGCAATCTTACGGGTGCGGAAGCTTGAACTCACTTCCGAGCGGAATCTCAACGATGGCCAATTGTGTCCCCTGCCCCAGGATGGAGGCTAACATGGATCGCCATCGCCATCCACGCACCTAAATTCAAAACTTGTTCATCTTCGGGATGAGATGTCACCCCAGTATATTTAAAGAGCGACCGCGACTTGATTGATATCGTGTGAGAGTTCGAGTACAAAGTAGAAAATGGCAATGGAAGAATGCCAGACCCAACATCTTAACACAATGAATACGATTATTTGATATCAAACTTCCAGTGCTTATACCAGTTCATCAAATCTGCGCGTGTGCGCGTTGTGGCCTTTGTGTCAAGGCCTATGGCTTTCTTCTTGCTTCATCTCTCAGAACCTGGTCGTCTCCGTGAGAGGTATAGGATACTCAGCTGGAGAGGGAATGCAGCATTTGGATAGAGCAGCGTTCACTAAGCAATGTTCTCTTATCTTGCGCCTTTTAGCGGATTTAGTTGTTCTGGCAAAGACACTTCTATTGCGTCTATGCCCTTGTAGTTGGGGAAAGGGCTGTCATACCAAAAGTCCTCCACAAGGTCATTAACATATCAACAAATATTTCTTTACTTGACATTCCCGCTGTGCGTTCTTTATTTCCATATCCTAGGCGCATAGTATCAAGGAGTGGATACCTAGTGTCTTTGTTATGCAATTTGCACAGAATTATATACAACCAAGCTGCCTATAGAAATAGAAACATGCAACAGATTCCCCTTTCAATAGTTCTCCTACAACGGCCAGGGCGCGACTATAGAACTAAGAGATGGACTTCTTTACAGGGAAATCGCAGAATAGCGCCGCATTGGTTTCTAGGTGGGCGTTATTCCCTTTGTACCATCCCTGTTCGTGTTACGCTGATCCCTCTAGTCAAAACTCTTCGCAGAAATAACCCATCCCCAGGGTGTAAGGTTCTATCTGGCGGAAACCAGGTACTTTGTTTATTCATTAACTTCTCACACATAGACTCGTAGTCCAGGAATCTCCTCAAATGCACACGTCTTCCATGGTTTGTCGCTGGTCATCTCCCGACTCGGTGTATAAGAACGTTCGCCCCTACCCTTCCAGGACTGACTCTACTTCCATTTCGCAATGAATCTGTATCCCAAATGGAATCACATTTCCTACCAAGTCAACAAAATTCTCCAATTTACGAAAAAAACCACGACACTATGGATGCCAATCAACCCGCACCAAGCTCTCTGGACCACCAGGCAAGGCAGCCAGTGGCTCCAGACAGCAGTCTTGCTCCTGCTGTTACATCAACCTCTACAAGTTCCAGGGAGACATCACTTCGACAGAAGGGTGAATATCTGCTTAAAAAGATCGAGGAGACACCCGCCGCATTTGTCTGTGTAGAAGCGTCTCGTTCCGCCAGAGCCAAGTGCCGTGCTGGACAAGACTGTCTCTACATCGGAGATGGCCGGGAAGAGACGGTCAAAATCAAGGATCAGTACCGGATTTGTGTTCATGGAACTGAAGTTCCACGATACAGTGGCGGGATACGGTCGACGTATTATTATCACCTCTCGTGCTTTGGCGCCATGATAAGCGAAGAGGATCTTTTCGCTTCCGGCAAGCTCCGTTTCCTCATGTAAAATGGGGGTTAATGATCCGCAGATGGTACGAGCATCAAGGCTGCGTTGATTTGCTTAAAATATCCGCCTTTGTTCAAGTCTATAAGGCTTACATGGGAGAACTCGAGAAGTGCGAGACGCAAAGAGATTTCCAACCAGGTATGCACTGGAAGTCTCCTGCAGCCTTGAATACACCTGTAATGGGAATCAGAATGCCCATCTGGAGGCATTTGTGGCGAGCGGGACGGGTATACGGTATTGGAAGAAGACCAGATTTGATGGTATTAAAGATGTGACAGAACGGGTTGCAGTCAAGATGGAAATTGTTGGTGGTATTGATATCTGGGACAGTGCGATGTACAATTACTCAGCTTCTCAAAGCTTTTGATTTTAACTCATTGGAAGTGATGGCTAATGAACAGGTACTCAATGAACACGATATCATTGCCAACCTCTGACTTCTTAGTTGTTTTGATATGCCACTAAATGCGGCTATCATTATTGCCCACGATTGGTTTCTCTGTTCATGGAGAATACACGATGTAGCTTATGTGAAGGTGTCAAAGCTCCCTAGTGTAGTCCCTTCGTCCAAACGGAGTCTAGCAGGCGAACGTGAGACTGCAGCCAGGTTATTCTTTGTTCACTCAAAACATTGACTTCACTAGGTCTACGGCGGTGTACCAATGAGCCATAAACGGATAAACACTGGATTTGGGCTCTGTAGACCTTTTTGGTCTGAATGATTATATGGTCGAAACCTGGAGCGCGCGTTATCCTTTAGGTAGATTTATGTCCGGAGTTCAAACTGGGAGAAGTTTTGGCCTACGCCGGCGACCCGACCCAACCTCTGATGTCAAGTGCCCTCGCAAAACTACGTACAAAATTTCCGGTGGGGTAGCCTCGATTCGCCTAAGAGGCCATCGAGGAACGTACGATCTCCTCAGTACGATCTCCTCAAGCCAAGTGGAGCAGAAACACCCAACGTGTTTTGTGGCGAACGGGGACTGAAGGGTTTCTATTCTCATAAAGGAATGGTTGAAAACCCCCAGTGAGCTGCAGTGACATACACTACCAGCATTCCGGTTGCTTCACCTTCAGCTCTACATGGTCCTTTCTCCCCTGATGGGGCATTGTTCAAGCTATATCGAGCATGTGGCAAGTACGGCAGTGATAATTATGGAAGTTGTAATCCGTATTGAATGCTGTCGGTTCTACTAGAAGAACGGCTACATAATAAAACCAAAGAATCGAAGTCAATGCCGAAAAGGGAGAGCAAAGAGCTGTGATTAAGATGCATCTCGATCAAATGCCTCACTGAATGGGCTTTCTCAGCTGAAGCTGAAGACGTGTACTAGCCTGCTTGCGTACCCGATTAAGTTTCAATAGTGTAGATTTGTTTCACTTGCTCCACTCCTACCAAGAAAATGGCATACGGTCTCCGGCCGGCGAGGAAAACAGGGCCTCAGCGTGGCCAATTTGTTTGAGGTTATGATTATACGGTAGCCGAGGTCTTCAGATAGCAACTGATATCCATTGCCTAGGGTTTCTTGAGTCCTATTCTCATTGTAGTGAGCATGTGGGAAGAGAGTGTCAAGTGTGCACGGGATGCTTGATCCATGTAGGCACGTGCATATCCTCGATGACATGCGCTATATCTAACCGGATTGACCAAACCTCCGCCCAGCTTCTCAGCTGAGAGCTTGCCTGACCCATGTTGTTCTCGGGGTAGCTGCTCCACTTGGTTTGATAGGTAGGCCAGGGTCTTGAAAGATGGCATCAGTTCCATCTGCATGATGCTAAGATCGGGTAATCTTTTGGGCCCATTTCTCCCCCGATGCCTAGTGAAACTGTTGCTGTGATACTTTACAAGAGTGTGATACTATTTGTTTATCTTGCCACTTTGATGAAAAGAATTAGTTTGGTCAGCTCATCCATGCTGTCTACATGACTCTACCCTACTCATCGCTTGAGCCAGTAGCATCATTTATTTGACTCTTGATCACTAATGAGTGCTAAGTCAACAACCGTAGAACGCGAGAAAGTAGAATATTACTACTAGAATGTATACTAGTTACTCTTGGCTAACTAGCATGACCTATGTAAGTGATACGGCGATTCCGATGTCTCCCAGATTTGTCCAGTCGTAGTTGACTTGCGCCAGGGGCCGTCTTTTGGGGTCCACGTGTACCCTGTTCTTGGCCTTGGATCTCGTCAATAGTCTCTCATTAGCTTCTGCACTCCTTGCGTTGACAGTGCTGGCCTACAACAGCTTAGATGAATTGGGTCTTCTCCTCAAGTTTCTCAATGAGAGAGGAGAGCCCATCCGCCTTTCCACAATATATCAATCGATTTATCACAGACTTACCACCCTCAAGTCTGGCTTATTCATTATAGCCCTCGCCATCACTGCCACCGCCTGCGCCATCGTTGTTAATTTCGAAGTAATAATGTCTCTAGATGCCCTTTTGGACAACTACGAGGGGCGCGTAGTTCCTCGACGGTTTGTCGCCGGCTTCGTCGTGCTTAGCTATGCTATTAGTCTCATTGGCGCGGGTTCGACTCTTGAACTGATTAACCGCCGAACAGGGTTCAAGGGTATCTTCAACAAGTCAGTACCAACCCCTTCTGCCTCAACGGACCACCACCCTCTATAAATCGTTGCTGACGGTGGTGTCGTTCATATAGCGCTCTGCTCGTCGGTGCTGCTATCACAATGGGAGGCGTGTCTATTTGGTCTATGCACTTTGTCGGCAATAAAGCAATTTACCTCGGAAACGGCGAACCAGAGTTACAGATCACCTTCTCTACCCTGTTCACCGTTATCTCCTTCTTCGTCCCGATCGTTGTACTGCTGATTGCCTTTATCACTATTGGTACCAGTAATATTGTCTCATGGATCCGAGTCTCGCTTGGTGGTTTCCTTTGTGGCTCCGCTATATGCGGTATGCATTATCTCGGTAATGCTTCAATCGAGAACTATCACTGCAGCTATAAGATAGGATATATTGCTGGGTCGGCGATTATTGCCATCGCGGCGAGCATCATTGCCCTCTCGGCTTTCTTTGTCTTCCGGTCTGCCTGGGCTAATTCATGGTGGAAGAGGCTCCTCTCAGCGCTGCTGCTTGCAGGTGCTGTCTCTGGCATGCATTGGTGTGCGGCATTTGGCACAGAATATACTCTGATCTCCATTAAGTCTGGCGGTGGTGGTGAGATGTCACAGGATGCGACCGCGATTGTTGTTATTTGCCTGGTCCGTTTCTTTCTTCTTAACGGAGCTCGTGGTTTGTCAGGCTAACTCGCTATTCACCTTTACGTATAGGCTGTCGGGGCGTGTCTTATCATTGCTGGTCTAGCAATCTTCACAACAAGGAAAATGAACCAGTCCGCCCGTCGAGCGCAAAAGATTACCCTTGGTGCTGCCGTCTTTAACAAACAGGGTATGATCCTGGTTGATGCAGACGGCCTTATCCCTAGTACTATTATCACGGACTCATTTATGCCGACGGTAAGTGGCCTATAGATGCATATGATTATGCGCCTATTGCTAATATGAACATAGAGTGACAAGCAGCCTTTAACCGTCGCACACCCTTACTTCTTGTGGATGTTCCAGGTCACGAGAAACTGGACCAGCCTGTCTCGTCTTATGAAGCAATTTGCCGCCCAGAAAGAACTCAGAATGATTAACAATGAATCACCGACAGAAGAAGATGGCATCCTATTTCGAAGCAAATTCTGTCTTGCTGCTATGAGACTCGCCGAACGTCTGCGCGGTGACCTTTCGTCCGCTGGTATCCTCTGGGACGATATCCTACCAACCGGGCGTCCAATGCCTTCTACCCTGCCATTAGAGTCATTTAACGAACCGGCGAGCCTCATATCAACCAGGCTTAGACGAACCGTACATGAAAAAGAGGCGGCATTTGAACAGCAGGTGGGACAAGGCTCACTTATGTTTCTTGTCAGCTGCACCCAGAGTGAGCGTGACGAGGAAAGGTTTGCTATGGCTGGCTATCGTTTTGCAGAGGTAGAACATGTCAGCGGAATCATTGCCTCTCGAATGCAAATCAAGTCGTTTGGGGTTAGTGACAAACTGCATCAAATGGCTGAGTATATTAGCCAGGACAAAGAAACGAGTGCTCATGTCCGTATGGGCTTGTTCGCCATCAGAGCTAGCGTTAATACGTCCGGTTTTGATGTCCTTGTCAAGACCTCTGCACGCAACATCCTCCCTTCAGTTAATCTGTCTATGTCCAAACTCGAGCCATGGCAGATAGCTATGGTCAGCCGATTCAAGGGAATGTCTACCGTTGCTATACTGCAGGCTTTGGAAGAGATCACGATATCAACCGAAGGAGAGATGACGTTTATCAGCCAGCTCCGGGTCGGGATCAATACACTACGGGCATCAATCCAGGACCCTCTTATGGATGACGCGATTCTCTCCGAGGAAGTAATTAATCTCTCTGGCGGGCCACACGACCGATCAACCCTCGACACAATGCTCATATTCAGAGTTGTTACCCCTATTCATTCCGTTATCAACAACCCAGATTATGAGTACATCCCTCTCAGCCTTTTCAAAACTCATCAATTGGTTCAGATGCAGGAATCTCAACTGGCATTTGTTCAGAGCGTACACCATGAATTTGGATCCTTTCTCGGTGAGGCTTCACTAAGCGAGGAAAGACACCGAGAACCACATGGCCACAATGTTCTGGCCAAATTCAGAACCAAAAGCACACAGATACACAGCAGAGTGGTAGAAGGCGACGAGGAGCAGGTGTTGAGAAGGAAATCATCGACTGGATCAGTCTCGGCCTCGACGATAAACATATACCAATCACCAGCAGACAGTACAGGATCTCAGATTGGCGACATCCAGCGGAAAGACACTTCACACGACATGGTTCGAGACCCAAACTTAGCCGCTCCGTCATTTGGAGGAATAGTGGTCTTGCAAGAGATCAGAATTAATGTCGAAAAAAGCACCAATCAAAGGCGGGAGCTGCAGGATCCTGTGCATAGCATGGCAATCACAAGTCACATCTCAGCCTCGTCAGATATTGAGCTACAGTCACAGACTGATGACAAGGCAATAGGCATTCAAGTGTCACCGACGTCGCCAGGGGTTAGAAGCCAGAATACATTTGTCGATGTGTTATTCCAGGATACTATAGAAAGTCAAGGGTGGAAAAAGTGAGGGAAAGATATATGTAAAGGATTTGAAAGGGCGGCACACGGACTGCTAATTTTCACGATAGACTATATAATCACCATAATCGCGCCTAAGTCTCTCTAAGGCATACAACGGCATCTGTAGCTAAACAATGGAATTTAAGTGAAAACTCCCAGAATTGAAACACAACGTTTTGGCTACAAAAGAGTAGTCACTATTTCTTGATATTATACCACCTGCGAAGCCATTCTTCATCGAGTTCAGTGAGGCATCGGTTTACTTTCATCACTATTAACGTGCACGTATTTGCCAATCAGCTCTCAAATATGTAAATGCTAGACATTCGCTTTCATATGCAACACCAAAATCCTAACATCTACCTGCAGGTATATCCCCCATCAACCATCAAGACACTGCCAGTGACAAACGAACTGCGTCCACCAGCAAGATACAAAACACCATCAGCCAGTTCTTGAGGTTGACCCATGCGCTTCATCGGCACTGCTGTCGATACCCGCTCCTGCATTGCCTTGAGCACGTCGGGGTTCTTGGTAGTCAGCGGGGTCTCGGTGTACCCAGGGCAAATAGCATTGATCCGAAGACCTTGGTCCGCATAGTCCTCTGATGCAGTCCGTGTAAGCCCGACAATGGCGTGCTTAGACGTGCAGTATGCAGCGGAGAGTGTAATGCCCACAACACCCTGGATAGAGCTGAAGTTGACGATGGAGCCGCGTTGTAGCGGACGGCCATCGACAGAGGAGAGGATGTAGTCTTGTTTCAGCATGATCTGGGAAACGGCTTTGAGCACAAAGAACGAACCATCTAGGTTGACGTCCAGGATGCGTTTCCAGTCCTCAGTCTTGGCAAAGGCGGCGCCGCCCTGATGCTTCATGGCCAAACCGGCGGCATTGACGGCATAGTCAATGCGACCAAATTTGGTTGCGATGTCATTCACGGAGGCGACGACCTGCTCTTCGTTTGCCACGCTGATGGCGTATGTGAGAACGCGGCATTTCGGTGAAGCCGCCTCAATCTCAGACTTGACAATCTGCAGCGCCTCGTCGTTGAGATCGAGAAGAGCAACTCCGGCTGATCCTTCCTTTGCGAAGCCGTTGGCACAGGCGCGGCCGATGCCAGAGGCAGCTCCGGTGATGATGGCGAATCCCGGTACATCCATCGTATTTTGTGGAAGGTTTAGAGCTGGTGAGAAGGGGGATTAAAGCCTAAAAGAGTGATAAATGGGAGGGAATAGGATAGACTTGGGTTGTTTGACCGTCCTACTCTCCAAAAGACACTCATATTCTTTATATGTCCAAGTTTGCATGCGTGCCATTATCGGATACCACTCTATCACCGGCTGGGAAAACCTTCCTCATAGAATGAAATGCCTAGAAACGACTCACATGAACCGGGTCCACGTGAATAGCGCCCATCCAGGCTTATCGAGATCATGTGGGCTGCTGCGGGGATGCGAAGAGCCGTGGCGAGGATAAATCTGGGGAAGATAACATGGGAAGACTTCCCTTGTTTGTCGAAGGCCGGGTGCCTATCAATTGACTGATGGAGCATGACTCGTCTGCTATCTGCATCTCGGGAGTTTAATCGATTTATTCGGAAGTTGGGGGCCAATCAAGTCGATCCCACGGATCGACGATATCGGAGTAAACGGGGCTTCCAGTCCGTTCTCCAACAGCCGATAAGACCATATGTCATGGCGTCGGGTTCTCCTCCGATTCGGATTTGACCAGCTTGTGTTCACAAAGGAGATCAGTGAGAGAAGACACTCTTTTGAGGCGAATATAGTGTATGCCAACGTCAACAAGCAATAAATGACAAGATGGATACTTTTTCCCTAGGTCACAACTGTAAATCGTAATATATGGTGTAGAGATCATTGCCTCCGAATTTCCTTTTCATGAAGACAACAAACTGTATTGGTGAGGGTAGTGCCATCGCAACGAGACATAAGAATTGTTATATACCTAAATATATTACTAGGAAACATTTAGAGGTTGAGATCTCGGTGCTAGGAAGCATAATGTAGAAATTTATATTATCTATGTCAATCTAAGCAAATATCAATGACTTATAGCCGTTATCTTTGGCCTCCTGGCATCGTCGACGGTACTCCTGAACAGTACCCGAATATCTAGCTACAATACGAACAGTCTTTCCCTTCACGTTCTTGTTCACACCAGTCATCCAGCTGTCAACCTCGTTGATGAGCGACCCCTTGGCGCAGTCGGCAACGTGCTGGGTCCAGGCGTCTGCGGCCTCCGGCGTCGCCTCAATATATGTGTAGTCGTTCTTCTTGGCGTGCTCCAAGATGCCCATGGCGACTTGGACTGAGTGTTCAATGTTGCGCGAAGCATTTCCTACCGGCTGATGGGGACCCATGACCGTTAAAAGGTTGGGCATATTTGGGATGGTCATGCCGAGGAATGTATAGGGACGATGGTCGAGCCAGACAGCTCGCTCGCCTTTAGGGTCAGTGGAAACGCCTACGAGCGGGCGGCCATCCTTTCCTTTCCATTCAATAGCGCGAAAGGCACCTGTGATGGCATCGAACCCGGTCGCGTAGATGAGAACATCGAGCTGACGCAGAGCGCCATCGCTGGTCTCGATGCCTGCGGGCTTGACTGTGGTAATGGGGGTCTTCTTGAGATCCACCAGATGGATGTTGGGCTTGTTGTACACTTCAAAGTAGCCGCTCTCCAATGGGACACGGCGCATGCCGAATCCGTGGTCTTTGGGAATCAGGCTGTCTGCGACACCGACATCATTAACTCGCTGGCGAATCTTGTCGGCAATGAAGTTGGAGTAGAGGGTGTTGGCCTCCTTGTTTGTGTAGCAATCGCTGAAGACGCCGAGCCACTTTGAGAAGCCCGGCTGGCTGTAAATCTTCTCCCAATGCGCGAGACGGTCGGCTTCAGAAACTTCCAGTGTCTTGCGTGGGTCAGCCCTGTGGAGGAAACCGGTTGGGGAGGCGGTGCATTCAGCAAAGAGATTATCGTAGTTCTTGACATGTTCAGCCATCTGCTCCTCGGAGATGGACTCGTTGCGCAGAGGCGCAGACCAGTTAGCTGTTCTCTGAAAGACAGAGAGAGACTTGATGCTGTCTATCTTGGAGAGCGCGGTGATGGTCTGGATGCCGGTAGCGCCAGTGCCGATGACACCGATGCGCTTGCCCGCGAACTCCTTCTCCATGTCGAGGTTCTTGGGCCACCGCGAGGTGTGGAATGCTTGGCCTGCGAAGGTTTCAATGCCCGGAATAGCTGGCAGCGTGGGTGCTGAGAGGAAGCCAATGCTACTGATGAGGAATCGGGTCGTATACTTGCTTCCCTCGGCAGTCTGCACTGTCCACTGTCTGGCGGCATCGTCCCATGTTGCTGATTTGACAGTGCGGTCAAAGTCAATATCTTTTTGCAAATTGTTTCGGTCTGCGAAGCGCTTGATGTATCGGTGCACCTCGCCTTGGGTGGAGAATGTGTCCTTCCAGTGCCACTCCTTCAGCAGCTCCTTGTCAAAGGAGAAGCAGTACGAGAGTGATTCGGTGTCTACCCGACAGCCAGGGTACGAGTTATAATACCAAGTACCGCCGACATCTGAGCCGCGTTCAACGACTTTGATGCGCCAGTCAGGGAAACGCTCGCGCGCGTTGTAAAGGGTGGCTAGGCCAGACAGGCCAGCACCTAAGATGACAAGGTCGTAAGAGCGCTCGGTCGACTGGCCGGAACCCATTATGAGACGCCAGAGAGCAATTAATTTAGTTGAGACAAGGGAGTTTGCGGTACAAAGGTGTATTCACGCAGTGATAAATCAAAGATAGATGGAATGAATCTGATACTTCTCTTATGTCTAGCTCTACGGCATCCGTCTCTAAATACTTTACAATCGGCTTGGACCGACTTACTACGGCTCTGCCACGGCCGATGGTGGTATGGTGTGACCCCTGGAAGCGGAGAAGGTTTCTGCTCGACTTTCCCCAACTCCTTCAGGCCTGCCACTAGCCATATTCTGGAGACACTTTCCGTTTGCTGACTTAGGAAAGTCTCCCCCTGGCCCACTCTGTTATCTCCATCGCGCGGACGAGGCGTTGCCCCCATCCTTATCCGCTGAGCATGGATCTCTCCTTTTCAAGTGGCTAACGTAACGATAAGAAACATCACTGACCTAACTGATTATCAAACAATCCGCGATTGGGTAATACCTCACTGGGGGTGGTCGAAGCGTGGCGACTTCGGCGCGCGAGTCACGTTCAAGCTGGGCTATTCTCTCCTTCACCCTTCCTGATAGAAGCCACTTAGCTCTAGGCATTCTCACAGCAGCCTCTGATCAAACAGGAAAGCTTCTGCAATCTCTGTCAGCGGGTCTCGACCCCAGATTAGAGGGATCAAACGGCTTAGCTCTTCCCCGCATGCACTAGTCTTATCTCTTCAGCCGGCAGAATCATCCCTGTTCATTCAGGTTTCATTCATGCGTCACTTTCCACGGGTGATTCTTCATCTTCTCATTTACATCCCAGACAATACAGAAGCCAGAAGCCATGGAAAAAGATGCTCGACGCAGCCGATCGTTCGGGGGGTGTGTAACGGTGAGTACTCCCAAGTGTTCTGAGCCGGGTCATCCGTGAGCCTTTTCTCACAATTTTCACAGTGCAGGATCCGCCGGATGAAATGCGATGAGACGAAACCGAGTTGTTCAGTATGCATCGCGCACCATCTCTCCTGTGGCGGCTACGAGAAGAGGATATTCTTCGACTTCGAGAACGACGATTCAGCGTCCGGTGCGGCCCGTTTCCGGCGCCCGTTACTGACCGAGGAAGAGCGAGAAAGCATGAGCAAGGAGATCGTCTCAAGCGTCAGGCCATCGTTGGCTCTTCTCAACATCTACCAAATCGACGAGGAATGCGAAAATGCATCAAACAGCCGGGACATCCAGATCTCCCGTGGGCCTTTTGGAGTGTTTGGCATAACAAAACAAACCGAGACTTCTCCTGTCAGTGAAGAACTAGAAACGCCCAGCCCGACGACCTTGCAGCAAAGCATAAACATCCCATTTGAAGACACCGGCCCCGAAGCTGACTGCCATGACGATATTATGGCATCCCCGCCGGAAAGATCACTATCAACAAAGCCATCACAACCGACAGTACCATACATGACCGGACGTGATAGCCCTAGTCAACGTCCCAGGACCCCCAGCTACCTAAACAGCATGGAAGACTGGTGGCTCATGAATAGCTTCGATGACATGAACGGTTGGTCTGATAGCATGTTGCAGCCAGATTCATATCGTATCCAGGAACTTCCGGAAGATATCTCACTTGCCGAACTCGACACCTCGCCGCTACCTGATGCAACTCAACATTCACCGAGTTCAAATGCGTTATCAGTATCACATGTGCTCAACCCACCTCTCAGTCCCCCACAATCTTTATCAATTCCAGCATCCATCGATATCACAGTTCCCTACGATGCCGTGTTTCTTCTCAAACACTACTCAACAACGGTTCTTCAGTCTCTCACGCCGTTCCGGCACAGCAAAACACCATGGCATGTCCTCTTCCTTCCGCACGCCAAAAGTTGCTTGGCCGCCCTCACACTTGGAGAGTCCCTAGATGATGCCAGTCTCTGCGCATTCTACAGCACTCTAGCGTTGAGCGCCAATAGTCTCGCTGTCATTTCAAATTCTCAAGAGTGGTACGAACAATTTAGGCAATACAAGCAAAGGGCGCTGTATTATGTTCGTCTGATGCTCAAGACCGCCTACGACATCCCCAAGAAAGCGAAATACAAATCCATCTTGCTCGCCCTCCTCACAATGGTGCAAATTTCGAGCGTCTCCCGGGCCTCGGATCAAAAGGAGTACTATTTCCTAGAAGCCGAGAAGTTGATACGTGTCAAGGGCCTGAACCGGAGAAAGTCACGCAAGGTCCGCCTGCTGCATCACTGCTACACCTTTGAGAGGCTACAGCACGAGACCACCTACCCGGGGACAACCCAGTCTCCGTATAGATCATTGGTCCGCAACGCCATAGAGACGAGCGGGGCTTCAGTATACAGCCGAGACAGCTTGTCATTCCGACCAAGCGAATGGGCGAACCTTGATGAGGCCATGACCAAGGTGAAAGACGCAGATGTGGGAGAAAACGATCTTCATCTCCAGACACCCGGGATATGGGTTGCTACTCTGTACCCAGAGATTTTTGGCGTCCAAGAGGTCTATGTACTACTCTTGTCTCTCATCATCTGTCTCGGGCGAGCCAAGAATGATGTCAACAGCACCGACAACCTTGGCCTGAGGGAGTTTATGCGCCGCGCCAAGTCCATTGAGAAGCGCATCCACCAGCTCAAGAAACTCCCGGATGTCCTGATGGCAGAGTACGATCAGCGCGCGTCCCAACCGCTCCTTGAAATTCTGTGCAATGCGACACAGCAGGCTATCGTGATTTATCTATATCGGACGCTTTATGACGTAGACTCTAGCATGCTGCAGAGTGAGGTTGCCAGTATCCGTGACTGCCTAGCCCGGTATGAGGATATCGACGACGGGCAAGGCTATGGTTCGGTGAGGTTGGCGTGGCCGGCGTTCATCGCGGCGAGAGAAGCAGAGGATGAGGGAGTGAGGCTGGCGTTTCTCCGATGGTTCAATAGTAATGCAAGACGTAGCGGACTCAGGGTATTTTCAGATTCGCAGGCCGAGTTAAATATGATATGGGAAGAGAAGAGGAGGAACGAAACCAGTCAGAATATAGGGATCCTCGTATAGCAAAATCAGACGATTTCTTCATTTACAAAATTAGACGGCGTGTCTTTCTCAATCTGCAAAAATAGTTCATTTCCCCATTAAGACTAAACTACGGCTTTAAAGATACGGCCTGTCCTTATCTGGGTAGTCTGGAAATACTTTCCGCTTGCTGTCCCCAGGAAAGTGTTTCCCAACGCAGGAGGGAGAAGGCGGGGAACCCTCGGCTTCGGGTCCGATGCCAATGATCACCAGATCTATATCAGGCGGATCGTATGTGCCAGGTCTATATCTAGATCTGTCTCATAGCCGGAATAACTTGAACAAGTCTTTGTCATTCACTGAATCAATACACCATGTCTTCGTTTGAAGGAAAAGTTGTAAGTCTCGTCTCCAGATCGACCTCCTCTACAGCAGCTTCTAATAATGTCAGATCGCCATCACTGGCGCAGCCTCTGGCATGGGCCTTGCCACTGCCCAGCTGTTAGCATCCCGGGGAGCCCTAATTTCACTTGCCGATCTAAATGAGGGTGGTCTCAAAGAGGCACAGGCAACTCTCGCATCTAGTGACAAGCATCTTTCAGTGTCAGTCGACGTGCGGGACAGCCAATCCGTAAACTCATGGATTGAGCAGACCGTCAAGAAGTTTGGCAAGCTGGACGGCGCCGTCAACATGGCGGGTGTTATCGTTCCCACTACCCCAGTCAAGGATATGAAGGACAGTGACTGGGACTTCATGTTTTCTGTCAACACCCGTGGCGTTTTCAATTGCATCAGGGCTCAATTAAACGCTATGACGGACGGTGCAAGCATTGTAAGTGTCCATAGCAGTGGCGCTTTTCATCCACGGAGATCACAAACTCACACCTTTATCCCAATATCAGGTATCTGCAGCCAGCGTATTTGGCCAGTTCGGAGCACCAGGAAACTCAGCGTAAGTGCAACAAATTCCAACCCCCAACTAGTGATATGTGTCTTTAAATTTTCTGAATTATTCTAACCTCAAGTGTGCTCAGGTACTGTGCTAGCAAAGCTGCCGTCATCGGCCTTACCCGCACTGCGGCAAAAGAAAACCAGAAGATCAGAGTCAACTGCGTCTCCCCAGGTAAGCAGTCTATGCCTTGGCGTAATGCAGCAAAAAATAAATTAACAAAACAATGTCCAGGGTCTGTCAACACTCCCATGTCTCGCGGCGAAGACCCGGAACATGTGAAAAAGGGCCTGCAAGTCACTGCACAGAAGCGAAGAGCAGAGCCTTCCGAGATTGCGACGGTTATTGCATTCCTGCTCAGTGATGAAGCGTCTTTTGTGACAGGAGCCGTTTATAATGTTGACGGAGGTTGGGTATGCTAATAGTTTAACAAATATGAATTCTTTACGACTGGATTTCTTCTTTCTTACCCGCTTTTAATGCTCGCGTTGAGTTTTGCCATTATAAACAGTGAAGCCTATCATAATGTTGAAAATGCTACAACTGATCATGCCGATCCCCGGCTTGTGTATTACTGAGCTGGAATCAATTGAAGCATCTTGGTGAATCTCATATCTCTCCATTTAGGTTATGTCTGTACATCACAGGGCGTGTTCCCCGACCAACGCTAAGCTGTCTAATTTAAAAAAAAAAGAAAGAAAGAAAAGGGAAAAAAGAAAATTACAAGAGCGTAGTATATTTATTTTAGATCAGGGAGATATCTAATAACAACTAACATTCAAAAGTCCTACCAATGATTCATGTAGGGGGCTAGATGTAGGGTAGGTAGGTTCTGATGTTACCAGAAGTCCGGGCCAACGCATGACATCGGTCTCACGGATTACAGCTGGTTCTACATTACTAATGATCTTCTGATTATTAATGTTCTTCCTCTCCAAGAATGTGGATTGATCTTGTTCTTTGGTTGCTTCCTGTGCTGTCTTGTAAATAGAGCTCGTCTGATTCTATCAATTGAGCTCTGATTGACCTCGATTCCTCACATCGCGCTACACCTCAACCACGAATAATATATAGCCTGATGCCATATGATGATAACTGGCTATGACTAGAATACGGCTTCATAAAACTGCGCTCTAGTGAATGGGACACTTGTGAGGTTATAGCACACTACAGCACATCCCGTCATGAGACTAACCGCTTGACATCAGCGGCTTGCGGCTAGCCAATCTCATCCAAGCTCAAGTGAGACACATTCCACTTGCCCGCGGGGTGATCTCCCTCATTAAAATCGCGTCACCATTCTCGCACTGTCGCCGGTGTCGCGCGCTGTTCTCTTTACACTGCGCCGGACTAAGAGATCATGGCTGAAGAAAACGCCATCCCGCTCGTCGCTTCTCCCTGGAAACTCAAAGGGAGTGTCTACGCCTTCGGGTATTGGGCAAAGGTCGACGCCGCTGGCAATCTGCCCGATGTCGCCTACTCCCCTCTCGAGCATGCTTCATCCTTCGCGTCGCCCGAAGGCGGTCGTCCCATTGGCGGCCTCAGTATGATCCAGATCATTCGCTACACCGAGTCGCCGGCTGGGCCGTACGACGAGCTTCTGATAAGCCCTGGATATTTCGAGTACACGGTCGAGGATAAGAATGGAAAGCGCGTCAAGAAGAAGCACCTCCGTATCACGCGAGCCTATGTGTCACAGAAGATAACAAATTGGAACGGAAGGACGAGTGAGTGCTGCGCGCATACGCTTCTTCGCGATATTATTTTGCTGACGCGCGCTATAGACTGGAATATTCCCAAACATCTCGCGAAATTTGACTGGGTTACGAGTGATGATGGACAAATGTCCGTAAAAGTGTTCCCTCACGATACCACCGACGATCCAAAAGAGTCAAACCCATCGACTACCCCGTTCTTTCAGGCATCATTCAAGCCCACATCTTACCTACCATCATTCCCGCTGTCTTTCAAGGTCTTGAACTCCATTGGTCTTATCAACACTACTCTCGTGCACCCTCCTCTTCCCGCCGGTACTGGCAGCCAAGGAGAGCTGCCGGGAACGAACAGGTGGTGTGCGGTATCGCCAAATCTGTGGTCCCGCAAGACGAGCCTGGGTTGGTTCGATATACAGCAGGGCGATGTGCAGGACAGTATCGGTCCAAAGAACGACAACTTCTGGCCGGGACTTGGAAGGTGGCAATTAGGATATGTGATGAACGATTGTGAAGTAGACTTTCCGGATGGTAAATACTGGGACCCTCCAAAGTCTACAAATTGACACTTGCGGAATTGGCACCGAGAAGATTGCATTAAATCGATTCCATTATTCTAGCAATTGAACTTGGCTTTCGTATTTGATAGATCCTGCACTGGATCCACGGTTTGACACGCAGATTTTCTACCACGGAGCTATCTAAACTCCTCATCCTCAACAATATAGTATGCCTCAAGCTCAGCAATGCAAGTCCTCGCCGGAATCGTCACGGCAATTGGGAAGCCTCCGTAATCAGGGTCGTCGTTGGGCATTATTAGGAACTCTCCACTCCTAGTCTCATCGCCGTTCAGCACTCGCAGCGTCCTCAGTTCGCCCTGCTCGTCAACTTCCTTCTCCTCTGCCCTCAGGATGCCGGTGAATGTGGCCTTGTTGTTCGTACTCTTGAAGCTAACATTAAAGCCCCGACCAACGGCCAGGAATCGGGAGTTTCCAAGATGAATCACCAACCCGCCTCCCGGTCCTGCTTTGCCGAAGACGAAGGCTCTTTCCACAATCACTTCGATCTCGCCGAAGACCTTGGTCCATTTCTCCTTGCATTTTCCCTTCTCTTCGTCAAAGAAGAACCCAAATCGATCATCTGGGCCCGCCGCCAACAAGTATGGCTTGATCTGATTCAGCAAACGAAACTCGCGGCCGGCGAGTTCAGCGCCTGTGTCAATGCCAAAGGGGCTAGCACCTAAAGCACCGTATGTGCCATAGGAAAGCCAGAGACGCCGGGCGCCGTTATCATCACGGCGCTGCTCTGGGATAAATAAAGGGTTCTTTTGCTCGCTGTATCTTTTGCACACCAACTCGTAATCATGGAAGTAGAGATCTGGAGCGAGGAAGTCCAGCGAAGGGGTATTGAACCGCCAAATATCAAGCATATGGGGGCATGGTCCACCTGAAGGGTAGACTCCGGCTTCCGCACCACCACCCACCACAATGGGCGTGCCAGACATGTCTAGCTCTGATGGGTTGTCGAAGTTCAGCCATGTGTTGGTATAAAAAGGAATGTCGTATTCCTTTTTGCCGGCAGCAGCCACCCGGCCAACGTAAGAAGAGATGTTGTATGCCATGAATGCTTCATTGGCTGGAACGCCTTTGCCAAACACAGACTCCCAGCTGTGGTCGCCAGATGATAGAACATTCGAGAATCGAGCTTTGAATTGTGAATGCAGCTCAATCGAGGAAATGTGCTTGAGGAGGCTCTCCGGGACAGGATCGGAGAACGCCTTCTCGGCGCACCGGGATCGATCGCGAGAATCGCCAAGCAATCCCGTCTCATTCTCAACCTGAACCATGACCACGGTCTGGTGCTCGCTATCGACGGCCTTTAGATGGCTCATCAAAGTCGCGAATGCTCGAGCGTCCGCCTCGCAGCTTTCGTTGCTTAGTGGTGACAGCATTTCGATCGTCCGTTTGACTCCGCCTGCCTCCAAAACCTGCACTCGTGGGAAGCGCTTTGCGTCGCGCTTGACCCAGTTTGGTACATATGTAGATATGCCATTCTTGTATGACCCAAACCACAGAATGACGAGCTTCATGTCATGTTGTCGGGCGCCTTCGAGTACCTTGTCTAACTCTGAGAAGTCGAATTTGCCTTCTTCTGGCTCAATCATCTCCCAAGTGACCGACCCAAGGAGTGTGTTGATGGACTGCTGCTTCATGGGGCCCCATACTTCACTCATATATCTGGCCGAGCTCAGTGATGAGTTGTGAAGTTCGCCGGGTAACATGAGGAAGGGTTCGCCCTTAACAACCAGCTGTGTGTTGCCATTTTCCAAGCGATGGAGGTGGGGAGGAGCAGTGACAGGCATCGTAGTAACAGGTTTCAATTAAATCGGCAAGACGACTGTAATGGCAGATTGATTCATGGGGATGAATAGAGAGCGATTAAATATCGAGCTCTTTCGCTATACACAACGATCCCTTGAGATGGCCGGTTGTACCTCCGAGTGCAAGCATTACGCCGTACTTCCGATGCAGCTGATGTCATATCATGCTACTTGGAAGCTAGATGGACCTGTACGCGGACTTATTAGCCTCAAGTGGATTGCTTCGAGTTTATCCTCGGATTTATTACCCCTGATGGGGAGGCCGGTGAGCGCGCAGCTCCACTGTCCCATCGACCACTCAGAGTCAAGGCCGACCAACAGTCTAGATCATTTAGTTTCCGAAGGATCATCTCCATCTTTTCCTTTGCCTGGTCTCTGTTGGGGTTATCCGCGATCATGTGATGTTCCAGGTACACAGCTCCAATATCACGGACCTTGGGCACGACGCTACTCCCGTTCGCGTTGAAAACACACTGGGGTAAGTGGTAGAGAATTTCCAGTAGGTCATCCACTATGCGTTGGTGCTCGGTGATGATCTTGTCTCTGGTCCCGTACTTTTGGACCAGGTTTGATCGCAAGTGGAAGCTGGTGATGAAGATGTTGGCGATTTGAGCATTATGGCCTTCGTTGACTGTTCCATGTCGTGAGAGGCCACCTCGCCACCTCAGCTCCGGTGGGAGGTTGTCGATGATTCTTTGTATGCTGTCCATTGAATTTCGCAGCCTAGTAGCCTGATTCGATCCAGGCGGGCTTACACGGGCTTGGTGCCAGACCATAAATAAGTCGCTAAGCGAATTTAACCCCGGCACATAGGATATATCATCGCCGTGCCATGATGTGGAGTTGTCTGCCGTCTCAGCAGGGTCCAGCTCGTTATCCGACAGGCAGGCTGGCCGAAGAAGGTCCCAATTGCTATGTATAGCTTCAAATCCTACGGTGAGTCTTCCGAACATATCTCCACTCCTATGGGTTATTTGATTAGCCCTGGTTTGAGTACAACAAGAATCAAGGTAGTTCCCGTGTTGAGTTGTTGAACTCACTTAGCTGCTGCAAAAAGTAGCCAAAACAATCGTTTTAGAAGCTGTTGGTCAATATGGCTCAGACTGCGTAGAGAATAATAAAGGAGATACGTGGTTGCCGCAGACGACTGGGAGACTGCGTGGAAACCGTGGACGTCGGACAACCCTTGCGAGCTGGTAGCGCTGATAGCCACCCCAATATTGTACATAGCAATACACCACTCCGGCGTATAACTTACCGCGCCGAGATTAAAGGCAAGGAGTTTGTTTTTCTCAATAAACTCCAAGCAAGACGGCACTGACAATGAAGTCTGGTTGTCCAGGGGCAGCGTGGCCAATGTGGCACAACAAACGCTTACCACCAATGCACAGAACACTGGATCAGTATCTGCCTCTCCATTCTTTAATCGGCGGAAGAACCGCCTGCGGAGCAGAATTGGTGCGATAGGATGGATCTTATCGAACCACTCGTTAAGAAGCTGATGTATGGTGTCGGCTGATGCAAAACCTGACAGCAACTGATACGGTTGCGCGTTCTCTAGCCTCGGTACTCCAGGTGAACCTAGATGCGTTGAATATGGAGACAGGCCCGTAGAGACACTGGTACTCCGGCAATAATATGATGTGCCCATGGGTTGTGGCGACCTTATTGCATCGTCTCCACTGACTCCTGGTTCACTCCTCGGAACCGGGTTGTCGGGCCCCCTCACTCTATCAGCTGATGAGCACAATATTCTGGGAATCTCCTGAGGATGGGATTTTCAATCTGAGACTCACTTCCGCTGTGGGCCTCGCTTTCTACGAGGCTTTTTATGGACACAGTCTGTCCCAAGGGCGAGGCAAGCAACGCATTGTTCTTCTCCTGGCACTGAAAAGCACTTGTAAAAACGTTAGCATAGCTATCATAACCAGTATCTATAGTGTTGAATGGGAATGGTTTTCAGTTTCAGTAACTGGTAAGTATCACACACCTTGACCTTTCTGTCGCGGCAAGCATCGCACGCATTCTGATTCCGAATCCCTTTGGTCTTGTCAGATGGTCTTGAACGTGTAGTTGATGCTCCACTAGAGACAGCATCGTCTACACCATGGGCAGGCGTAGATGGCGACACAGGCATGCTTCGAGAGTGCTGGCTAATCGAATTCCACTGCCTGTTTCAAGAGTGGGATTGGAGAGTTGGTTCCATGGGAAAACATCCGAGGATAAATAGACAGGAAAATGGCACCCGGTTAGTGCCTCTCGCTTCGCATAAACCCGGATAAACTGTGCTGGCCCACAAGTCACGATCGTCTAATGCTGGGATTCTGATGAGTTGAAATACCCCAACATGGAAAAGCGGATCAGGGCATGATTCAAGAAACGAGGAACTATCTGGGGACTATCTTCAATTGAGGCTAGTCTCTTGCATCTCAATTGGTGCGCATGAGCTGACATGTGGCAGAAACCCCATGGGGCTGATGACACTAGGCATGGAGGGTTGATGTCTCTCAAGTTACTCTTGCATGAAATAAATCACTTGATACTGTTTGACGCCTTGCTGCTCACTATAAAGGCAACTGTAGATCATTACAACATGTTTAGCCAAGCAACACTGAATACTCAACCAACTATCCCATCATTTGAACTACAATGGGTGAGAAAACTGACAACAACGTCAACCCGACAGCATTGCCGGATGAAAACGAGCATCATGGACCGCGAGGTTCTGATCTACCATTCTGGAAGCAGCCTGAACTGAGAAAGCTCTATGCGATGACTCTCATTCTCTTCTTGGGTTCAACCACCCTAGGATACGATGGAAGTCTTCTTAACGGGCTCCAGACGATGAAATCCTGGAATGAATGTAGGTGAACCATTGTGACTGTGTTGTCAATATAGAGACTTGAAGTACTCAACGTTCTTCTAGATTTCGATAGCCCTACCGGAAGCCGTCTCGGTATTTTCGGAGCAGTGCCTGGATTTGGCGGTCTCTTCGTTCTCCTATTCACCCCATACATTGCCGATGGGATTGGACGCAAGAGAGGTACTGCCATAGGTTGCTTCTTCGTCGTGCTCGGTTCCCTCCTGCAAACTTTCACGCCAGCTTCTAGTGCAGCTCGTCGTGATGCCATGTATCTTATAGGTCGCTTCTTGATGGGCTTTGGATCCAACATCTCAAACGGCACCTGCCCTCTCCTCATCACAGAGATCGCACACCCTCGTCACCGCGGGCGGATCACCACCCTCTATAATACCATCTGGTATCTCGGAGCTATTTTGGCTGCCTGGACGTGCTTCGGCACGCTCTACGGGCAGACTGGGAAGAAACAGTGGACGATACCTACCGGCCTCCAATGCTTGATGCCTGGCATCCAAATGTTTGGGGTCTGGCTACTTCCTGAGAGCCCGCGTTGGCTGGTAAGCAAAGGTAAAGAGGACGAGGCGTTGAAGATGCTTGTGAAGTACCACGGAAATAACAACGCCCACGACGAGTTCGTCCAGTGGGAGTTCTCCGAGATTGTGACCACTCTACGACTAGAGCGTGAGGCAGCTTCGAGCACTGGCTGGGCTGATCTCTGGCGTACGCCTGGCAATCGCAAGAGATGTGCTCTCATCATCGCCACGGCCATCTTCTCTCAGTGCAGTGGAAACGGCCTTGTGTCTTACTATGTATGTCCATACTCGAGGCTTCTTATCATCAGAGTTTTATCTAACAAGTTCGCCTTCCCTTAGCTGGCTCAAGTTCTCAACACGATTGGTATCAAAGAGTTAGTATTTACTTACGATGAAGCTGCTTCGGACCCAAGCTAACACCCTCTTCTTAGCTCGATTACTCAAGCCTACATCAATGGAGGCCTCACAATTTGGTGCTTGGCGGTGTGTCTGGTCTCCGCCTTATTCGTCGATCGCATCGGCCGTCGCGTTTTGTTTCTTACCGCCGGAATCGGCATGCTCATCGCATTTTCCATCTGGACGGCTTGCAGCGCTGTCTACGCCAAGTCCGAGTCTCAGTCCGCCGGTGTTGCAGTTGTTGCCATGATATTCATCTTCTACGGTGCTGCAGGAGTCGCATGGCCTGGCCTCACGGTATCATACACTGTCGAGATCCTACCATATCATATCCGTGCTAAGGGGCTTACGCTCTGTTTCGTCTTCACCTCTCTCAGTGGCGTCTTCAACCAATGGGTGAATCCTTTAGGTTTGGAGGCATTACAGTGGAAGTTTTATTTTGTCTATATTGCGGTGTAAGTATTCCGTCAAAGGTCCCGTCGTTGGAAATTGCTAACATTGTTATCTATAGACTTGTGATAGAATGCCTAGTGATCTATTTCTTCTTCGTAGAGACCAGAGGTCCGACTTTGGAGGAAATCGCCGTACTTTTTGATGGAAAGGATTCTGCGGCAGCCATAGGCAAAATCCAGGCCAACTCCAAGATAGAGGAAAGTGTCGAGATGAAGGAGCATGCATAGGCATCACAGAAGACGGACCGGTATACAGCTCATATCACGGCGGTATATCAAGCAGCAAGCCGCAGATTAGTAAATGCTAATGAGCAGAACCCAAACTCCTTTCTCAAAACTCGTGACCCTACGTCGTGACTGTTCAGATTCAGGTTGGCAAAGCTCTACAATGTCACACTGCCAGACGAGCAAACTAGGATGCTTTCCATTGCACTCCATGATAATCTTTGCTTGACGTGCGTGAAAAGTCAGCGGATCAATCACCACGAATATGCGTCAACCTCAAGATCAAACACAACATTCGTTTTCTTCCCCGCCGCAGCAACAGCAGCCCGGACATCATCACAAAGCGATCCAGGTCCAGAGACTACAACTCCAATCCTTGCCCATCCCATCTCCGCCTCCTCGGCAATCAACTCAGTCACGGCTAGCCTACTGCCCACCCTAATATCCCTATCACCAATGTGCTCGAGTGCCACCGCATCGACGAGGAACTTGGCAGATTCCTTGACACTCCAGGCCAGCTTGACATTATAGTGGTTAAATGACCAAGGCAGCAAGCCTGTGATGCCTATTCCCCCGCCGATTAATAGCAGACGATCACACCGTAGTACCGCGCTCGTATGGTTGTTTGAGTATGGGCCATCCAGCAGCACGAGCAGATTGTCATCAGGTTTTAGAAACGTCGTGAAGCCCGCCTCCTTCTTTATGAGTAGAGTTATTCCGGCCCCCGAGGCGCCATTGGGAAAGACTCTGCCAGTAGTAGTGGAGACTTGATTTTGCTTTTCAGCATCCTCAGACTCCACCAAGCAGCCTCTGTCGCTCACACGCTCCGGCTGCAGCATGTGCGTAGGAATGATGGAAAACGGATGGTTCTCCCACGGCCGCCACGGAGCGAGCGTGGGGAAGTAAACGTAAGAGTGCTTTCCCGGCGCGGAACCGTAACGCAGACCGTCCACGTCGACTCGGACGTAACCATCGCCCAGTTCCGTCACTCTGGCTCGCCTCAAGCCCGCCTTGACCATGCGAGCAATACGCGCGGCGCGATCGAAGAACCAGACGGAAAAGGCAAAGTATAGCCAGACCTCGTAACCCGACGAGTCCGGGATGTACATGCCCATGCTGGCGTACCATTGCACAAGATGGTACCATGAACCGACCATGATAAACACCGCCAGGACGATGTGCGAAATGAGGAAGAGTTCGTATTGGGCCTTTCTCACGTAGAGTCCGCTGGCAAAGGTGATGACGACGGTGAAGATTGTGGCAACGACACCCCAGATCCACCAGGATGTTGACGCGTATCGTGAGTAGATTTGCAGGCCGATAATGGAGTGGATGACGACGTAGAGCATAAGCACGCGGGCAACCCAGCGGTGCAGAAGGAGGAAGGTAGAGTGTGACCAGTTGGTCAGCCAGAGCAGGATGTTGTTCCTTGATGAAAAGAACAGCAGCACTGGAAATAGCATGAAGGCGAACGCGCCAGTTCGATACATCACGTAGGCCCTGATTTCCTGCCACAAACTTGCATACCACGCATTGGGCTGGCGTCCCTCATACTCAATAGCAGACAGCACAACGTTGAGAATGAAGAAGACCACGATATAAATAGTCTGACCAATGGTGGGGGCATTTCCGAGTAAATATGGGAGAGATCGAACTTGGTACGATCCAATCAGGCTTGGATACACGAAATATGGACGAATCTTCAAGTTGGATTTCGTTTAGCGGTAACCTATCAACAGCAGAATCAGACACAATCAAGTGGCACTCACCTTGTCATATAAAGTCCCCATATATGGCAGATAGCTAAGCCATGTCAAAGCCACGGGGATGCCGAGGCTGGCAACCAAAATGGCGATTCTGACGACGTCCAAGTCAGTATATAATACGACACTACTCAAACGGTCCGTGACTTACCCGTATGCAGACTCAATGACAGCTGATCGGTACACGGCACTCAGAACATTGTATTGCGCCAGGTATACCGTAGGGGCAACAATAGAAGTAGTATTCAAACTCGTATCATTAGCAGTAAGCTGATACTGCGGTGGCCTGGGATTGACGTTGGCCAGTGCCTCGCCGTAGGACCACTTGGCCGCCACCCTCTTGTTCCCTGTGATCTCACGCTCCCATAATGATTCGATGCCTGATGCGCGTTCACCATCCTTGGAACACTTGGTGTTTAAGCACCATGCGACCGATGTCAGGTATGCCGTGTTGTTGGCCAGGCAATCTGGAGAGGTAGTCGTCATCATCATGTCATCGTGGGTCATGCTTGTACAGTCCAGCATGTACGAGGAGAATGATCGCAGGCAACTCTCTGCACATAGTGGTTGGTACGGGTAGGAACCGAATCCCGTCAGCATTTGTGCCACGGCCGGTGAGGCGATGGTCGCGACCGCCAGCAAGAAACCACCCTTCATGTTGGCAAAGGTTCAACTAATATAAGAAATTCAAGATCAATACCTGGAGAAGTCGGCTAAAAATAAACTGTAATCGCGCAAGGTGAGTCGGTGACTCGAGAGCGGGCAACCATCTCTACATATCTTTCTATCGGCATGAGCGGCACATCACCGTCTCTATGAACCGCCGAATTCCGCCTACACTAAGCGCTCACCATGCCCAGTCCTCGTGCGTGACCATAACGCCACTATCGGGGGCTTTCAAGAATATTTCACTCAGCACCCATCCGCCAGATAGGTTCTAGCCATCACTACCACCCATAGTCTGAAACTCAACGAGTAACAGATAATGGATGGCACGCAGAAAGAAACCGATTGCCAGAACGTAAGTGAGCATGTATGAGCACGTTTGTGCCAAGGATTGCCTCTTAATCGCGACCCCAGTCTAAGTGACCATAAAGTACGCCCAGCACATAAATTTTCACTAACGTTGTTCTCGCAACACCCATCTACCGGCCAATGAGAGTTCATACATTTCCAACATCCACTCCAAGCAGCAACGTCACATTGGTAAGGAAAACTTTGCTTTTTGCCATAAAGTGATGCTCGAGCAGCGGACCGTCGTTCCGCCTCACCTACCCTACAACACCTCGTGCCTCTAGGTTGTATCCCGTTGAACCGACAGTATGGTCCGTCACCGCCGAACCAAGATTGAATCCTCCCGATCTAAGCATAAATCCATCGGTCCAACCGATTGCGGCTTGTCGTCGTCGAATCTCATGCCAAAAGGAGTTACAGAGACCAAATGAACCTGCATACTTTTTCCATAAGCAGACAGTCAAAATGTGAAGATACATCATAAGATCTTCATATCACGTAGTTGGTAACAATTGCATTATGATAGGTTCTTTACAGGACAAGACACACTTGAATAATTATTGATCAGGTTCAAAACTAAGTTAATATGGTTGTAGAGCTACTAGAAGCAATCACTGATCACCTCGAAACCTCTGCTCTTAGCAACCGGATGTACTTAGCCAAACTATTCATTGTGTTGAGATGTCGAGTCTGGCATCTCCCATTGCTGTTTTTAACTTTATACTCGATTCCTCTTACGTATTATAAATGCCACTGTCCTCGCGGAAAATTTCGGATACTCGAGCCGTCTTTAGTGGTTGTAGCATTCCGGCCAAGTTGAACAGAATGTCACCCAAGAGCCTAGTCAAGCCAAGGTGCCAAGGAAAAGAGAAGATAGCATTGACGGCTCTGCGGGTATGTACCACAACTTTGACCAACTGAAATGTCTCTATTGGACCACAGCAACTTCGAGACGGGGCAATCCGCCCCATAGTGCGTGGGTTTTGAACATCTTGCAGGATCACGAGTCTTATTAATGACTGACACGGAGCGGGACGCAGGGTTGTTCAGACAGGATCGGCGGGGAAGCACCGTGCCCAATCCGGCTTCGGAAACATGCTCAATCCTGCTCACGTCCACTTCAGACCCATTGCACCCCATCAAGGAGCTTGGCTGGCCGGGGTAGGAGTGTTAATGGTCACTTCAGTTTTCCGCTTCCAGGGACCGGAGAACATGGCCGTCAGTTTCTTCGTCTGTTCCGTCAGTTGACTTCTTGGCCGAGAGAGACGAACACCTTAATTGGCGAGCGTCGGTATTCTGAAAGTAAGGTCCAGCTAAAAGTCTTAGTCCTGGCCATATTCAACATTCTACATTGTTGTACGAGGCTTCACAGGCCAATTTATTTCTCCAGGCATGGACGCCGCAGATCAACTCTCCGTTGCCGCCCGGCATATTCAGAACCACAGTGAAGCTTCTTCGTTAGAGCCTCACTGGGGATATGCTGACCGTGTCCTTCCGTGCACCAACGATGCCGGCTCCTGCGAGTACCTCGACAACGTGTACTGGTCCCACGATGTCGGCATGATCTACATGGGGATCTTATGGGCCACCATCGCCGGCATCCTGCTTGTGTGGGCTATCGGCCGGCACCTGTTTCCCGAGAAGAGGGCCGACCAACAACTCGGCACCGTTGTCGATGGCCAGGAAAGCTCCTTTGAGGCTCCCCGTCACGGCTTAGCCCGTCTACGGCAGTCCTTTCATGCATATCGCCGTGCCTGCTTACTCCCAGAATCCGTCAGATCGATCTTCGGACCAACCACCCGTCTCCAGGTGCTGATCCTAGTTGTTCTCTCGGGCTATCTCATCATCTGGACTTTTGTTGGAATTGCCTACAAGAAATGGATAACTCCCGTGAAAAACTCGCCCGGGCTTTTCAACATTCGCTCCGGCCTGGGGCCATTCTCCGACCGCATCGGTGTGATCGCCTACGCTCTGACCCCCCTATCCGTCATGCTTTCCAGTAGGGAATCTATTCTATCTCTCATCACAGGAGTTCCCTACCAGACCTTCAACTTCCTACACCGCTGGCTAGGGTACATCATTGTCATTCAGGGCTCGGTCCACACCATCGGCTGGTGCGTTGTCGAGATCCGCCTGTACCAGCCCCAGCCTTCCACTGCCATCGCTTGGATCCAGCAATTGTACATGATCTGGGGCGTCGTCGCCATGATCCTCCTGCTCCTGCTTTTCCTCCTGAGCACTAAGTGGGGGATTCGGCTCACAGGATACGAGACTTTCCGCAAGTTGCACTACATTTTAGCCATGGTCTATATCGGCGCCTGTTGGGGCCACTGGAAGCAGCTGGAATGCTTCATGATTCCCTCACTGGTCATCTGGCTGTTGGACCGTGCCGTCAGACTTGTTCGATCGGCTCTAATCCACTACCAGTTCCTCCCAGATGGCTCCATGGGTTTTAGAGCCGCACCGGCAGCCATTGTCCATTTTCCCGATCACGAGTCTGGTGACGTGGTCAGACTAGATTTCCGGCATTCTCAGCAGGCCTGGAATGTCGGACAGCACTTTTACCTGTGCTTTACAGAGGGTAGCATTTGGCAGGCTCACCCTTTCACCCCCTTAAGTTACCCGATCGTCGAGAACGGAACTGTGCTGCACTCTTACATCTTCCGAGCCAAGAGTGGCGAGACCAAGAAGGTTGCGGCTCTCGCTGCTACCAAAATTAGCGAGAACGAGCTTGCCACAACCCCCGTCATCCTTCAAGGCCCGTATGGAGAGTCTCTCATGGAGAACCTGACTCGTGAGGTCAACGTTCTCTGCGTCGCTGGTGGGACTGGTATCACCTACGTCCTTCCTGTACTACTAGGCCTGATACAGACCGCTCCGGTCGCCAACCGCTGTGTCGAGCTGATATGGGCCGTACGGAAGGAAAAGGACATGAAGTGGATCGAGCAGGAACTACAGATCCTCCGAGCAGCAGCAACAAGTCACCACCTTAAGCTCCACGTTTTCGTCACCCGAGAGGAAGGGCCTGCATCACCGGTACGGACTGAGAAGGTCAATAAAGTGACTGAAAAGGTTGATGAAATGACAGAGAAGGTTGATGAAGTGACAGAGGAGTCCAAAGAGGTTGGTTCGTCGGCATCCTCCTCCGTGTCAAGAGAACGAAGTGCACCTGCGGCGCTGGGGATTAACGTGCAATACCTTCGTCATGATAGCCAGAACTCGCACCCAGACTTGAAGCAACTAGTCACCCGGTTTGTTGAAGGCACAGTTCGTGGCCCTACTACGGTCTATGCCAGTGGACCAGCCGCCATGATCAGTGATCTGCGTAGCATTGTCGCTGCTTGCAACTCTGGAGCTCGGGTGTGGAAAGGGGAGAGCCGATACGATGTCAGCTTGATGGCTGATGATCGCTTGGAATGGTAGTCTTTAGCGAGTGCAGTTCTGGTAACGCTTAGGGAAGAATCAAGTATATATTTTGAAATTTGTCCATATCGTTGCGTATTGACTGTGACACCTTTATCATGATAAAATCTATAGACATTTGTTTACTATTTTTTTCTACACAAGTCTGTTTTGAACAGTGCAACAGCCTTCTGATTCATTAGTTCGGATATAGCATAAGATGGTGGGTAGTTTGGTTTTCGCTTTCTAGTAGAACTTCTGGAAAAGCAACACTAACCTTCGTGTCCTTCCCTTCAACCCCCAAAAACCCAGTCTGGTTGAGCCGTTTGTTGTCGTTAACTTTCAACTTCAGGCATATAAAGCAGATCTGAAATGTCCCAATTCAACAAGTCCTACGCGAGACAGTTAGCCAACACAACATCACCTTGGGCCAATGGCTTAAAGCTCGGAACTTACGAATGATTCAAGGTCGAAACTCGCGGTTTCCAACTCTGTAGCCGTGTCGTAGCTCTCGCAAGTCATGTCTTGAGAAGTATGTAGCTCTTGGAAGATATCAAGTGTCTCCCTCAGACTTCCACGGAGGGCGTTGAAAACAGCCGTCTTTGTGCACTGACTCTGCTCCATTGCTTCCGTCTCGGCGAGGACGGCTGTGATGAAGTTGAAATTCTTCGAGCTCACGCTTCCAGCTCTCATTAGCTCTTTTGAACCATCTGCCAAACTGCGCAATAACTTTCGGTTGGAATCGCGGGCATCTCCCCGTATCTTGTCCAGCTGGTCCACACGCGAAGAAGTGGCATCTCCACCGTTGTCATCCCGGAAAAGCATGAAAAGGTCGAGACATAGGACGAGTATTACGTGGAGGGAGAATGGTCCTTTGAACGTGCAACGTCCAGCAGCAGCAAGTTGGAGAAGTTCTACTGTGTGATTGGCAGGCTTGAGATCTGCAACGATTGCCTGCGCTGCATCCACACAGATCTTGCGGGCAATATAGAAAGCCGGGTTCTCAAGTGATTCTATCATGTAGTTCTGGTGTAGTAGTATGATATATCTCCGCAACAGGGTGTTCAAAAACTTTTGGTGAAAATGGGCGGTGCTTTTCTCGGATGCACCAGGCATGATTCTTGAGTCCGGGCTGAAAAAGTCAGATAGCTGGCGACAGCTACTCCTCAATTTTGCACCTAACTCCAAAATCTGATCAAATGAATAGCGTTGTTCCACTCCATTTAAGATACGCGCGACCTTCAATCGAAGGGCCAAAGAACTGGCGAGCTGTATCTGAATCGAAGCATCTGTAAACGAGACTTTTGGTGTTGGCTCGTACTCAGAAACAAAATGAATTGATTCCTCGTCCACATTCAAAATCTCTGGAATCACAGTGTCTGATTCACAGAGTGTGATTGGTATTGATGAGTCGACGTGATGCTGAACACAGAGTTCTAAGGTGGCGATCCAAAGGCGCTTTCTCATCTCTCGCTGGAAAGGAGTAAGAGAGGCGAAGCGCGCAGGTTCGTGATGAAGGCCCATGCTTAATGCCATGGTAAGCAAAGATCCAGTAGAGACCCAAGTCAAGCCACCCGAATTGCAGGTGGTTTGCCTTGAAAGCAACAGGAGGATGTAGATCTGCAAACCAGGAAGTGTATTGGTAGACTTGGACCCCGGACCCATGATCCAAGACTGGGCGGAGAGTATCCATACTTGGGCTCGCTCCCGGATGTGGAATTTGTCGTCTCGTGAATAAAACGTTGACCCAATAGCGAGGACGAGAGCCAGTTGCATTATGAATGCCGTAGACGCGGATTCCGGCTCGTTTTTAAATAGTCGGTAGTCTTGAGAAAACGATGGCATATGCAGGACACGATACATTGGCTGAATATAATCAGCGTAATGAGATATGAGCTCTTTACCAATATCGCTCTCTGGGAATCGGTCCGCGAGGGTCCGATGATGAACGATTTCTGCGTGAATTGCCCTGGACTTGATTTTGCGTCTAGTGTTTCTTATCTCCATAAACATGTCAACCACGTCATTGATATTTCCATTCAGGTTGTACGCATCCAAGTTGACATCGGCCTCTTTGGCATCCCAGTTACTCGGGATTGAGGGCTATTAGTGGTCAGACAATCGCAACGATCTGAAGTTGCCAAGTTGCTGTACGTACCAGAACCTCAGCCATATGTATCCAATGGCTTGGGCCAAATATCCGGGTTTTGTCTCGCCCATTTCTTAAGCGAAGTCTGGTTGGATTGGTGTGTTTCTGAGATGATACTATTGCCTCATTTCTCTGTTTATTGGTGGCGTCAACACCAAGGGTTGGCGCGGGAGACTGGCTGCTAACATGAAATTTTGATCCGCTATCGGCCGCTTTTGACGCCGAGTCTTCTGCTGCGGGCTTTCCAGATTCATCTTCGAGCCGAGGTCTCTTAGCCGCTGCGTTTTCTCTGGCGTGGTTGGCTCTACTGTCGGATGTATACACGCAGCTAAGGGATGCTCGGGCACGCGTGCAGGAGCCGCAAACCGGGAAGCCAAGATCACACTTCAATTTACGAAGGCGACATGGGTTGCATGATTTAGCAGGTCGGCGGCGGCGCTTCACCGCAGAGACAGGCGACTTCTCCATTTTTGAAAGTCCGGATACTAGGAGTTGGCCGAGTTGAGGGTGAGCAACAAAGCAAATTGGATGGATGATGACGAACCCCGGCATTTTTCTCATCTGTAATTCTCCGAGGCCGAGGCCGAGCTTTTCACCCCACCTTCTCAGCCTTATAAAGGCTAGCCCGGGTTTTACCACGACATATCCCGAGGTTCCTCCCAGTTACCATCAAGTTCGATTGAACGTGATTTAATACCTATGCTCATTAAACAGTCTTATCGTCATATCGTCCTATATAAAGCTCGGCCTCGGGAAATTGTTCCCGTATATATAGACCGCGCTCATCACATCTAACATCATGTTTTCATCAAACAACACACGCTTCTTACAATTCATCTTCAAACTTCGAGCATCTACGGCCCTTCCAACTACAAGATGACGGTAGCAGACAGAATCAACTCGCTCGCTCAACAGCTTGCCGAGCTATCCGCCGAACTACATGGCAATCCCGAGCATTTCATAGCCTGCAATGATGAGCTCACTGACCTGGCGCAAGCCTCTGCTAAGCTTCTTGGTTCTATCCAGAGCCCATCAATGTATATCAATAGCATGATTACACAAATGGCGCACTTTACCGCTCTGCGATTGTTTATCGAGTGGGGAGTGTTCGACGCGATTCCCAATCAAGACTTTATCTCGCTTGAAAAGCTGGCCAAGAAGGTCAACGTCGATGTGCAGGTTATTAGTATGCTCTCCTCGTCAACCTTCATTAGTTCCTTTCCGACATACGTCACGTAAAGAGTGCTTACGACTTGCCACTTAGCCCGTTTCTCCCGCATTCTAGTTGCCCAGGGAGCGCTCAAACAAGACGGAACAAAGAGCCTTGCGCACACCACGACTTCCATGATGTTCATTCGTGAAAGCCCTATGAACTCTTTGATTAGAATGGGGTGAGTGAAAATCAATTTATAGGACTCAAGCAACTATACCACTAACAAGGGGAATGTAGATACGATATGCATCTGAAGTCTTGCTCTCATATTGTCTCCTTCTTTGAGAAGTATGGTACTAAAGAGCCCCAGGGTCGCCTTGGAACAATGTTTGCCTTCGCTTGTGGTGATACTAACCTGACTGTCTGGGAACACTTGGACCGGAATCCCGAGACGATGAAGAACTTCATGATCAGTATGGTAGCCATGAGCCAAAGGCTGTCAATTACTGGATCATACGACTTCAGCTGGGTCCTAAGTCCGAAGTACAAAGAAAGGACTCTCATTGTCGATGTGGGAGGAGGAAAAGGTCATGCCCTACAGGCCATATACGATGTTACCCCAGGACTTCCAATGGATCGATGTGTTGTGCAGGATTTGGACGTGGTAGTCACAGAGTCCAAAAAGGTTGCGGAGAACCCTTTGAGTCAGGCACAATTCGTTTCATCTGACTTTCATCAGTCTCAACCTACGAAGGGTAGGGATTGCCGCCCCCAAAAATAAAAGCCTCTGGCTGACTTCTATTTAGGGGCTCTCATTTACTACATTCGACGTTGTCTCCATGACTACGGCGACTCAGATTGCGTGGAGATACTCCAGCATATACAAAAATCCATGGCTGACGACAGTAAACTTATCATTGCCGAGCAGATTCTAAGCGATCAACCATCCTTAGTGGCATCCGCCACAGATATATACATGCTGACACTAGGTGGCAAAGAGCGAACTTTGGATGGCTTCCGGGCTATCACAGCTGACGCAGGGCTGGAGATTGTTGAAGTTTATGGTACTGGGGACAATGACTTGGCTTTGATCGAATGCAGGAAGCTTTAAAACCATGAAAACTCCAGCTCAAGCGAGTCAAGACTAGTATTTTTCACGGAATAATCTCGTAGCTACATCTGAGGATAATCATATGGGCATCAGTTTACGGAAGAGAGCTCCGGTATTAAGTTAAAAACAACAATAAAAGATACCAGACCCGATATCTCACCACAATAAATGACTCATTGGTTCACAAGAAGGTGTACTACATTATAGATCAAGATGGCCTTGAACCTTACCCACTATTTATATTTTTTGCCCCGTGGATATGATCTCCTTTTAGTTTGACAGTTATCAAAAGACCAGACCACTTCGATTATTTCCCTGCTGGAGATGTCTCAACATGAATCACATCTCCCTCAACATCCTTTCCCTCTGGTCGGTCAAAAATGATAGCAATCTCCTCCAACGATGGCCCCTTGGTTTCTAAGAATAGAAGATAAACTCCAACGGATTCCACAATGACCCAGATGACAAAAAGGGGCAAAGCCGCCATTGAATGTTCTCTAGGCCAACAGGAACAGTGAACGTAGAAAGGATCATGAACCCGAACTGCGTGAAATAGAATATTTCCAAGCCACGGATCCGCAGCCTAAAAGGTAGGATTTTGGCATTTAAAGACCGAAGTTGCCGTTGCATCCAAGATTGTAGGCTGGGGGGGCGCCATTTCACATACAGCTTGTATCTCGTATCGGCAGTGATGTACAAAGTCGTATGCTTCGGCGTGTCTCTATCGATGTAGATACCCCTGCGGTAATGGACGAAAAGTCCGACGGAGTTCTTTCTATCTTCTTCAAACTCCGGATGCCACATCCATGTGTCGTCTACCTTGAGATTTACAGTCATTTTGTAATGTACAGAAGCGTTGCGAGATATGCGGCGCCAGAGCAAAGACAAGGGGTTATAAATCTAGTGAAATGATATCATTGGCGACGGGTTTCCACAAAACTGACAGGATTCTTCGGAATATGAAAGTCGAGTGGTAGGGGGCAGATCTGTCTGTGTTAGGCTGGGGGTCTGCATCCGAGTATGTTTGCTCGCTGTGGAGTTTCAAGCCTCGCGATGACCCGATATCGAGAGCAATAAATTTAAAGGCTTTTTGCAATTACCTAACAGATTTACCTTGTTGATTTGATTGTAAAGTTCATCGAAACGCCAAGACTACAGGTGGCAGTCGTGGAACAAAGCATCATGCCGGAGAGCAGGGTTCGGATAATGTCTTCACATCCCTGTCTTCCAGAAGTTGCTGCTAATCTTCCAGGATGAAAAAGCTGTCCCTCGGAATGTTATTAATATTATGATATTTGTAATAACAAATATTAATATGTGCCTCTGAAATAATACCTCTGTTAACAGTATGACTAAGTGGGCGATGAGCGGTCTGTTCGAGACACTTTGCTTGAAGCCAAAAGACGATCAACGACCTTGGCTCCTTCAATACTACGCCCAAGTACCAGTCTCTGGTCATCGGTGAGCTGCTTCACCTCTTTTCCATACATGCAGCTCATATCCTGTTTTGATCCTCCCTTCTCCCATGTGCCGTCTATCATCCATACTTCAGGCACGTCGTACTCGTCAGGTTTTGTCAGTTTGTTCTTCAATAAGCCGCCGTTATACCAGATCAAATTGTCGTCACCATCCACATGTGCAATAACAAAACTGCACACCCGCCCGGGAGCAGGTTTTCCTATACTCTCTCCTGACCAACCCAGTATAGCCCCATAATGCGCTTCAAACTCGTATCCCGAGCCGGCCAGCTCCAGCCCTAGCCACCAGGACTCCTTGTCCCCGTAGGTGATCTTGTATGTGATTTCTTCCCGGACCGCGTGTGTGTTCTGCCACGCGATGTGAAGAAGCCCCATCAGTACGTCCGGGCGCGACTTGTCGAGGACAACTACGCCCGAGTCACACTCTTCAGCATAGTCTTGCGTCCAGACCAATGACTTTGCCATGGCGGGTGACGGCTCCTTAATCTGATCCTTGAACCACGCATGTCGATCGGCAAAGGCGTGCTGCCATAGCAGTCTATCGTGGAAGAGGTAGGCTCCGTCTTGTATGTACGGGTGCTGTTCGAAGAGCACATCGGGTTTCTGCAAAAAGACGGCATCGGAGTCTAATAGAATGACCTGTTCCAGGTCAGAGCCCAAGGCGGCGAAAGCTTTGATGGCCCAGCCCCCATCGGCGAGCTTCAGTGTAGAATCGTCGAATACGGAGAGAACGTCGAGGAATGTTACATCTGTCGCGCCATCAACTTGTAGTATTCTCTGCTTGTCGTTCTCGCTCAGGCCGCCGTCGCCCGCGTAGGCAATCTGGATGGGAAGCGTGCAGCCTAGTACAACTCTCAGCGAGGTGATCAGATGCCCTGCGTACCGGATCGCATTCTCGCTTCCTCCTACGGGGATGACGATCCCGCGCGACCCTGGCCGGAAAGATTTCCGTAGTGCTGCTAATGGGCTGCTCTGTGAATAGGTACGCAAGAAAGGGAAAAGGCCGGCGATGACACTTTCTACCGCACCATGCAGCTTGTCTTTGTTTCGAGGTTTCTGTTCGATTTCCGACAGCCACTGGTTCACCTGTTTCAATCGCAGGCCAACCTCCCAGAACTGGTTCTTGTAGGGCTCCTGAATTGGTTTCGAATATTCTATAGCTTGTATTGTCGCATTGTCCAGTGTGTTGTCGAGGAACCAGGACTGGTATTCTTCGGTCAGGTTGAACGGCAGGTCTTCGGACCGTTTGATGAAGATGATAACGCTTATTAGCCCGAGGGCGAGGACGAGTATTCGGACTGCCCCGCGCCGAGTAAGGGCCAGGAAATTCCTAGTGAGGCTCGCACAACGCTGCGGTATGGTTGACTCGCTAGCGAGGCGTGTTAGTTTGTCCATGATGCTACGCAGAGCTACCACAGTCTGCCTGGGCACCCAAGGATCGATATTTTTGACTCGGGGGCCCGTAGCTGGAGCATACCAAAGGGAGTAGGAAGATTAACGGACGAGTGGCGCATCGGGGGATAAGATACTAGACGACCCCCAAGCTCACTCGCCTCACCAGCCGGAAGAAACCCCACATCTTCCGTTGGTATTGGCACGTACGTACTGCTGTAATGACGCGGTATCAATGATCTACGAGCTGAAGAAACCGCCTTCCTAGCCGAGTGTGGGATCTGTAAATTTCAATAGGCTCTTGCTTGCGTGGTCAGTATGACAGTGGATCAGCGGTTAGTCCCCATCAGCCTTAGCCCAGGCTCGAGGCCGGGAGCGTAACCTTTACCGGTAACACGCATTGACATGGGGCGAGCGTATACATGGGCGGCGAGCGTATAAACCAGGGTCTGTTGCATTGGAAAGAGGCAGTGTGTTGGACGGCGATCAATTGAGGGGGTCAACTCGTTTCTAGAACACGACCTCCATGGGTCGGAGATCTGAAATCACAGCGTCGGCAAGTCAGTTGCGATCGGATTTTGGTGGGCTCGCAAGGATGTGATCATGAAACAGGCGATAATGGCCCTAGGAAGCACATCGCCTAGTGTCTACGCGGCTTGCTGCGAGTGGATTATTGAATGTGCCCATCTTACATGTCATGACGCGTCCGAGCTACAACACCAACTAGCGATTTATCATCCCCGATATCCCCGGGCTAGTCGATGAAGATCCCGTGTAAAGCACGTGGTCGCTTTCCCAAGATGGCTTGTCATGACTCGAGGGAATTTGGTGAGGGCTAAACGGCTGGATCATTGTCAGAAGCTTAACTGTCAAGCTTCCGTCCGTTTCAACGGCCAAGACAACTGCTCTACTAGTAGACGGCAAACTAGGCTTCTTTGGTTTGTGTATAGAGATTAATCATCGCTTGCCTATGCAATTAAGTTCATGCTTCTACCTACAAGGTTCGGTGATCATCCCGGGTACCCTCTCGGGTATACTCTCCGGACATACTTGTTGACCACCCTAGAGCTTGGCTAGAAAACAAGTCACTTTATACCAAAGGCATGGCTTAGCCGGCTGTTTTTGAAGATAAATTTCTAGAGGGAAATATAGAAGTATGATTTGGTTGGTATTATCACTCACGGCCTTTAGCAATCCCCATCAAAGGGCGGAGCAATTAGGTGCCAGGTCTTGAAGTGTCTCTCCAATTCCAACCTCCACATGTGACTCACGTTAATGAGCCTCTAGTTGAGTTGATGCTTCACCAAGACCAAAGAATTTCCCTGCCTTCCTTCACCAGGGCTTCCCGCCTCCAACTCCAGATGCACCCAAGCGCAACCCTCTAGTCCTCAGCCGTGACGAGATTGAAGCCCTCATCGCCGAAGGACGCCATGTGTTCATCCTCCATAACCAAGTCAGCTCTAAACAGTAATGACTCGGGACTTCGGATAAGGGCTGTGCATAGAGGCAGTTGGTCTTTGACAGCCCCTCCGGAGTGATTAAAATTGCTGTGCTCTTAAGGATTTTGCCTCTTTTCGCAAAATCCTCGGGCATTTGACCTGCCCTCGTTAGGGAGCTCACTTCGAGCCACAGGATTATTTCCAGCCCCATGTCGCTCTCCATCACCGTTCAGTATAAGCAACCAGGCCATAGAAGGGATAACAATGTTCATCAAAGACAACGCACAGCAGCTATATTCCGCTCTTTTCGCGCAAGGCAGGGACCTTGGTTCTAATTAAATACAATAATAAGATTGCAGGAATGAAAGGAGCCTACGAATGCAACATGTGCGTTGGCTGGTATGAGGCAACGGGATGAACCAAAACTCAATTGGTACCGAGACTGTGTCGAACAGTCGTTGGATACACGGCACCTCCGTTACGAAGATGGCAATCACTAGACTGACGAGTGATCGATCAGATCCCTCTCAGACCTTTGTCACGGTTTTCCAGCTCCTCGGTGAATGTTCTTATTTTCCCTCGACGAACGAGATTTTCAATTCCGAAATCAAGGGCTGGCACATAGTTGTGTCCCCTAGATGAAACATCATCCTGTAACAGGCCTTGACATTTGGAGCATTAGGCGCTGTTAAAGCTCAGGAACGAAGCCGGTACGATGACAATGCAATTGGTTGAGCTGAGGGTGACGCTGGGTGAAATGAGAGCAGGTATTGCACAGTGACACGCGGCAGATTCTAGCCAGTGTTTGGCATTTTTACCTTGCTAGATTGCCTTCTATTGAGACTTTTCGAGAAGCTTGGTAACAGAGCTTCTCGGATCTTCCCCCCATCTCTTTGGTGGTGGAAGTTTCGGGCCAAGTCTGTATCCTTGGCCGCCCCCCAAAGGAGGCATGGCCGGTGGGAGGATGAAACATGACGACATCGGCATGGTGGTAGTTTGTCCACACCCACAGGAAGGGGCAGAGCCAAGACGTCGTAGCGTCTGGTTTTCAGCTCGTACAACCCCAAATGGGGGTAATTAATAAATATTACACGGTGACATGCCCGAGGGCTCGGTGTGCCTTTGCCCCAAGCTTCGATGTCTGCCCCTCACGACGATGACGGCCTCGGCCACCCAGATAATGCAATGTAGTCCACCAGCTCGTCCGGGTACGATTGTGAAAAGATGTCGCCTGCGTATGTCCGCCAATCCTCTTCGGCTTCTCCAATCCCGCCCTGCGAGAATTTGACGTACTCCCAGTACTCCGGGTACCAGCCTGCCATCTCCCAGTCAATCAGACCCTGCACCTTGCCGTCCTTGACGATGATGTTGCTGAGCGACAGGTCGCAGTGGGAGAGCACGATCCTGTGCGTCGTCTTCAACCGGTTCTTGAACGCCTTGACAACGTGCGGAGGCGTCTGCTTGGGCACGACCGAGAGCAGGTACGAGTTGAACTCATCCTCATCCGTGCACGCCGGGGCAAGCCGCGTCGCGAGGTCCCGCGAGTCTCTGATCTCCATGCCGTCGCACCCTCCTATCAGGTTCGGCGGCGACTGGACCGACCGCATCCTGTCGATGATCTGCCGCAGCTGCTGCGCCATGTTCTTCTTCTCCGCCCTCGTCATCTTGAGCCAGAGCTTGTCGAGTGTGTCGCCTTCTATGAAGTCCATGATGATGCAGTTCTTGCCGCTCACGTTCTTTGCTGTGTAGACGTGAGGCACCGGGAGGTGGGATTCCTCGGCCACCTGGAGCGCCGTGGCCTCGGAGAGTAATACCCGCGTGCCAATCTTCTTGACGATGTTCCCCCGGTGGCGCGTTACTTTGCGCCCAAATATCCTCCAGAGGATTGTTGTTCCTGTCGTGGCGTGTGTCAGTAATGGACGAACAGCATTCAGTGACGCAGGTAATTGGCCTACCTTCTGGCTCAAAGTCGAGCCCCGAATCCAGGCCGGCGGATGACTTGGTCTGTCTGTGTCTCCTTCGAGCCTGCTCCAGCTTCTCGCGGTAATGCATTGGGAAATCTCTCGATGGTAGCGGCAGATATGGTAATTGGAGGTCGCCCACATGGTCTACCGTCGCCCTCATCACTTCAGGGTTCTCCATCTCTGCGCAGTCTGGTACGGGGCGAATGTCGAAAAGAAGCCCTGTGGAAGCAATTGAAATACTCCAGGTGCGCAATATGCGTGGGGTCCCAGCTTCACGTCGGCCGACTGTCTACATCGCGAACGGACCCCTTTTGGAGATCCGACCGCCCATGATATATGAATCATGGTCAATCGAAGGATTGGATCGTAGCCAATGGGCCGGGAAATCGCGTCGACCCGCCAGATGCTGGTGCGACACGGCAAAGGTGACGCTACCAATAGCCATCCATCCAGGATGCTGCGGCACGCTCAGTCCCTCGTGCTCACTCCCCGATTGTCGCTCTGACTCTTGGCACCTGGGTCCAATCCCCCAATACCAGCCCAGAGATGATTCCAAATATACATCCCCAGAGTTTCGAGTGCGGGCTTTTGTCTTGTTTCTGCCACGAATCCATGTCGCATCTTGTGATTCTGGCCCGCTCGCCCTTGTCCAGAGAGCCCGTCCACCCAATCGGACGAAATTGGCGCCGGGGTCTCAGCCTCAGTCTCACCTCATATAGCCCCCTAAATGCTACCTCAGGTCACTGAAACTACGACGTTATGGGGCCGGATGGGCTCGTATTCACCACGGCACGTTTCAAAGTTTGCAGAAGGCCAAATAGCCTCAGATGGTTCTACGACCGAACCCCTGAGCACAGTTACATCGTGCCCTTCTTCCCGCTCTAGATTTGGGAATTTTCCTACAAAAGACCATGTTGCACTTGCTCAAATGCTCCCGAAGGCTCACACGTTAGCAAGGATCGGGAGAGGGATTGTGTTGGTGGGTTGCGTAACATGCGGCTAGCAGTCTCCTGCATCCGCCCTTCTGGACGCGTTTGAAAGTCGTGATGGCTGGCATGACAAGCAACCATTTTGGACTTCACAAAGCGAGAACCATTAGCGGCTCGGGTGAGATCCATGTAGATAGATGCACGTCAATTGCGACCATGATTTTTGATGTGGTTCAGGACGCCGGCGGATTCATCGCGCGCCCTTGGGATTAAGGGCGGCCTCAGAAGAACCCATCCTACAGCAGCTCATCTTGTAGATCCAATAGCAAAGGCAATGCGTTCAGAAGGCGTAGAGCTGACGTATCTGCTTTGCGGTTGGGTAGATGTTGAAAACGCGCTCCTTGGCCGGGGTCCCTTTTCTAGTCGGCAATAAAATGACAGAGAAATCACAGCGTTCATCGCACTTTTCTGCTGTGTGTTGATAAAACTTCCCGTCTCCTTGGATTGCCATTGCTGGGGTAGGCTTCACCAAGGATGTTATGGCGTGTTAGGCATACATCACGTTGATGATAGCGAGCAGGCCTTGGGTAATACCTCCGAGAGATTTTCCATGATACCACTACCCCGGACTGTCGGCATTCGCTCGTCCAACGTGCGCGCGGCATTCTTCCATGATGGGGAGGATAGCAAGTCTAAAAATAGGCATCAATCGATGGATCTCTTGCATGGGCCTTTGCAATCTGAACTGAGCGGAAGTTTTATCAAAAAGACATGATCACTGTCAGCTTTCGTGTTCTTGTTACATCCGACCTGGATTGATTTGTTGGCGATCGGAGATGAATGTGCAGCGATATCTTGCTGGCCTTCGCATATCTAGCCATGCGTCTGCACTGCATGAACAAGTCAGTGCATGCAGAAGCCGATGCCAAGGCGGTATTCAATTATGGCGCTCTTTATAGGATTTATTATCACAATACATAATCATGGTGGTGAATTCCATCTTCCCAACCGCTGAAAAAAACAGGGATTCCAAAGGGGAAGTTCAGGACTGAGCAAACTCAGTGGGATGGCATGTGAGCGATCTGCACTGGGAAATACCTCGCCAAGCCAGTCATCGAATGCATCCTGCAGGGAAATGGATGCAGAGAAACAATATTGTGCGTGAACCTTGGCTCGATGCAACGATATGTCCATTCTCCGGACCACAATTCGATTCGGCATTTGCTCAATATGCCCCGAACGGGTATGTAGTATTAGCAGAATGTGGACGATTGTCCAGTTGTCTATCCCTCTCGCCGCTGTCATGACCGGTTGGGCTCCCATGGTATCATCGGGGGAGTACTGGCCAAAGGGCTATTTAGCCTACATGTATCCAAATGATTTTACTGTCGGTGGCTTCCAATTGACTGTCCAGCTCTCGTTCTTAGTGTATAGCTTGCTGTCCACGCATTGACAATCATGAGCATTGTGCCGAGGTCTCGTGAGGGCTTCACCCTCGACTTCGTTGCTCGTTCCCTCTCGACGACAGTCCTCCACCCTGTTCTGACTTCTATGCTGGCCATCCTCGCCGGAAGCGAGCTCCCAGCTCTTGGCCCCATCACCGAGAAGATCGCCTCCATCTTCCCTCACTACCGTCTGGGGCTCTACCTAACGGCAGGCACAGGACTGGCCATATGGGGGAACAATGTTCTGAATAAATGGTCGGCCAACAATTGGACTCGCGACCCAACCTGGGACTTCAATAAAGAGATTGTCCTCGTCACCGGTGGCAGCGGCGGCATCGGGACCAGCATCATTCGCCATCTACTGGCCAAAAACATCAACACTACCATCGTTGTGATCGACTACGTCCCTCTCACCTGGACCCCTCCCGAGGGATCTCGCGTGCACTACTACCAATGCGACCTCAGCAACCCGGACCAATTGCGCGATGTCTCAGCCCTCGTCAAGAGCCAGGTCGGCCACCCAACCGTGCTCATCAACAACGCCGGCGTCATGCGCGGGCACACCCTCCTCGAAGGCACCTACGAGGACACCTCCCTCACGATCCGCACGAACCTCGTGGCCCCTTTCCTCCTGCTGCAGGAGTTCCTCCCCGACATGGTCGCCAACAACCACGGCCACGTCGTCAGCGTCGGCTCGATAAGCTCGGCGGTGGCCCTGCCGCGCCTGGCCGACTACGCGGCGACAAAGGCCGGGCTGGCGACTCTCTCCGAGGCCCTGCGGTACGAGCTGGGCATATGCTACGGTGCGCCGCGGGTGCGCGTGTCGATTGCGCAGCCCTGCTTCGTGCGGACGGCGATGGTGCAGGGCGAGGTGGGTTGGAACCACTTCCTGCTCCCGTTCCTGCACGTCGACAGTGTTGGGGAGAGGCTGGCGGAGGTGGTGGCGAGCGGGTATGCGGAGAACGTGTATATGCCTGGGATGATGAGATACGTGGCCTCGCTCCTTGTGAGTCTTCTTTTTTCTTGCTTTGTTTTTACTACGGCTCGTTTAGGTCTAATTGATTACAGTCTGGGGGGCCGACATGGCTACAGCAATCCCTCATCGGTAATTCAGCGCGGACGACGACCATTGTCCTCAAGTCGACGAACGAGAAGCAGATTGATCCGAAGACGGGGTTTTTGGCTAAATGAAGCAGATCTACAGACAGGGGATAATGAGTGGTCTAACTTGAATGATAATAGTGTTATCTAGTCTACGAGGGGTTGGCTGGCGTGAGGTGAACCTTGGAGGCAACTCGTCCATACCGTAAGATCATAAAGACAGCTGAATGGCCGTACTTGGATGGCATCAATGGCGAAATGCAAGCGGTGTTCAACGAAATGGTTGCTGCATGGGATGAGCCCCATGACTTGGTGATAAGCAGACATCCAGCTAATCATGTAGAATCAATATATTGGATCTTGCCCCGCAGCCGAGGGACCACGGGAAGGGTCTTTCAGACTATCCGTCTTCGGGTCTTTTTCGCAGAATGTAACCAAGTTGTCGGTCTCCGTCCAGCTCGAACCCCGTCGCGGTCCTTGAGAGCGTATGCCGCACAGGCATGTCACTCTGCTTTTCAGCGGCAGTTCTTGCTGACAGACGGGTCCCCCCATGTTTCTCAAGCCCAGAATTTCGGACTCTGACCAATCATACATGAGCTTCGTCCAGGGAGGGTGGTACGATAATTTCTAGCGAGCCAGCGAGCCACACAAAGCTCACCAAAGTCCAGTTCTCCAACTTTCACGGAGCCGAGGCAACCTGGCAAGCGCCCGACTAACTATCGCGACCGTGTGCTGTAACTATCGCGTATATAGTAGGTGAGAGTCAGACTCGGCGGGATGATAGGCCCAGCTCCCAGGGATGGTCCTACCGCGAATCCTTGAATCGCGACCGCCGCTGCCCGGCATTGGATTCCAGAAGCCGGCGAACATCAACTGCGCTCCCTGTCCCTTCCTCCAGATCTTTATTTAGATCCAGTTAGACTTTTGCTGTCGGTTTAAATTAAATAGTCCTCCTTGCTCACTCGAGCTGGTCAGGACACACCGTTGTTCGACAAAAGCAAGCAAGCAAGGGATCAATTGCACAGGGAGAGGGAGAAGAAGGAAAGAAAGACATCACATCGTAATGGCCGAGTCCGCGAAACCCATGGCAGAGCCCACCTACAGCCAATTCGCCAGCATCGGCGGCGGCTTCTCAGGCATCGGCCTGGGCGCGACGCTCCAGCGCTGGTACGGCATCACCGACGTCCGCATCTTCGAGCGCGACGAGTTCTACGGCGGGACCTGGTGGGCGAACAACTATCCCGGCGCGGCCTGCGACATCCCCTCGGCCCTCTACAGCCTCTCGTACGAGCCCAACGCCGACTGGAGCAAGCTGTGCCCGCCCCGCGACGAGCTGATGCAGTACATCATCCGCGTCGTCAAGAAGTACCGGCTCGAGGACCGCATCAGCCTCAACTCGCGCGTGGACCGCTGCGAGTGGCGGGAGGAGTCGCGCAGGTGGCGCCTCACCGTGGTCAACGTCAAGAGCGGCGAGACGTCGCTCCACGAGTGCCAATTCCTCTTCACCTGCGCCGGCGGGCTCGTGACGCCCCAGGAGCTGGACATCCCCGGCGCCGAGTCCTTCAAGGGCCCCGTCTTCCACACGGCGCGCTGGCGCAAGGACGTGGACCTCACGGGCAAGAAGGTCATCGTCATCGGTAACGGCGCCACGGGCAACCAGCTGGTCCCGGCCATCCTCCCCAAGACGAAGCATCTGACCCATCTCGTCCGCTCGCAGCACTGGATCCTGCGACCCAATGATACCCCGTTGGACCCGATTCTGAAATTCACTCTCAAGTACATCCCGGGTGCCATGATCGCCCAGCGCTTGCTGGTCTTTCTCATCGCTGAGGAGGGTTTCCGCGGATTTCGCATGAGCCGGGATGGGCAGCGGGCCCGCAACCACCAGCGCAAGGGGGCCATTGAGTATCTGAAGCAGACGGCGCCGAAAAAGTATCACGATCTATTGGTGCCAGACTACGAGCCCAACTGCAAGAGACGAGTGTTTGACGCTGGATACCTGAAGTGCTTAAATGAGGACAACATCACATTGACGACCGAGAAGCCCATTGAGGTCGTTCCCGAGGGTATTCGCACGGAGAAGGGTCTGTTAGAGGCAGATGTCATCGTGCTTGCGAATGGTTTCAAGACGGGTGACCCATTCAGCAACATCGAGATTGTCGGCAGTCATGGGAAGACGATCCAGGAGCACTGGGCCGACAATGGGGGACCGGGCGCGTACAACTGCACGTCCATTAATGGATTCCCCAACTTTTTCATGATTCTAGGTGAGCTGCTCTTCTTTTCTCACGTACTGACCTTTCCGGAGATTGTTTTGCTGACCATCCGTTTCATCTAGGACCAAACACACTTACCGGCCATAGCTCGGCACTGCTGGCGTCCGAGAATGCCATCAACTACTCCCTGCGCCTCATCAAGCCTATCTTGGATGGAGACGCTGCGACGGTAGATGTGCGTAAGGAGGCCGAGGCGCGATACAAACGCAAGATCCAGGCCGCATTGCAGGATACCGTATGGCTGTCCGGCGGATGCTCCAACTGGTACACCGGCACACTCAACGGGAAGAAGTACAACGCCGTCAGCTATCCGTGGTGGCAACCGCATTACTGGTACAGCTGCCTGTTCCCTAAATGGAGCGACTTTGAGTACACTGTAAGTCAGGCCCTTGTGCAAAGTCATGCGAGCAGGACTAACATGGATGTTCTTGGCAGGCAATTGGGAAACCGAGACGCCGGCACTCGGCATCGAAGGGTGCTAAGATCATCGTGGCGGCTTTGGTTATCGCCGGTTTGGCATATCAGGTGAAGCAAGGAAAGACGCCGACGAGTCTGCGAGAGCTGGTTGCGTTGTGCTGGGCAAACCTCTTGGTTTCGCGTGACATGATTCTGGCTCACATCCCCGCGCTCAAGGCGTGATTTATAGACGAGAGACGTGTTCAACTGAGTTTGTAACCTTCCTGTTTTCTCTAATATATGTAGAACATGAGCAATACTGCGACCTAGCTAGTCCAACCATGAGCCAGAAGTCGGCTTGATTTCTAATACCCCTCTGTGCCATGCTACCCTGACCATCAAAAGCAATATCACAGTGCCGTTCTTCCATTGCATAGAGATGTCACACGACGAGTCAGATGCACGTTGGGTAGCTTCGCGATGATCTAGACCCTGCCGGCAACCGCCAGCTTGTAAGAGGTCGCATGAAGAGGGCCCGCAGACTCTCAAGGTCACCCAAATACGGTGCTCCCACCGTTCGAATTGACGTGTTCGATTGGCTGCCGGTGGTCAGTGCTGTCGAACCATCATGCGCGTGGCGTCATGAGAGCATGAGACTTATCACCATACATGAAATATTTGTGGACTGAACAGGCCAAACAAGGCACCGAGGGAGATCAGCATTCGCCCCCCTCACGCTCCCTTGTCGCTAGCCCTGGACGGGACCGTCGGCTGAATCGCCATGAGATCATTTGATGCTCTCCTTGGGGGTTAGCCTCCATCGACGTTCTCAAATGTCCGGGGTCGTCCAATGATGCAAACTCTAATGTCACCCCCCTCTTTGCTTCGCTTCCGGCTGGATTATGACCATCACGGTGACGACAGTAAAGCCTTCATTCCTCATTCTCTATTCTCTAAAGAAATTAAATCCGCGTAGCACACAAACCACCACTCTACCTCAACCGCCAAGCTCTATAATATCCATCTCTCAAGATGCCTCTGATACGCCTGGGGACTGCCTCACCAAGCACCCAGTCCACCACGGCCGACACCCTCCGCCTCCTCTCCTCCATCGCTCGCCGCGCCTCCGCCCAGAAGATCGACATCCTCCTCCTCCCGGAAGCCTTCATCGGCGGCTACCCCCACGACCGCGTCAACAAGACCCGCGAGGCCTTCGCCGAGTACTTTGACCAGGCCGTCGACCTCGGGGACACCGCTGGCGGAGCGGGAGCCGGCGACGCCTGGGCCCACAGGGAGCTGGGCGAGGAGAGGAGAGGGGACGGCACGCGCGAGGAGCTCGAGGAGATTGCGCGCAGCTCGGGCGTCTTCCTCGTCACCGGCGTCATCGAGAAGGTCGGCGGGTGCCTGTACGGGTCCGTCGTGTATGTGTGCCCGAGGCTGGGTATCATTGGAAAGCGCCGCAAGGTCAACCCCGTACGTATCCTAGACGTGACATATTATTCCATGGTACCCTGAACTAACTATTTGGTATTCACAGACCGACATTGAGCGCTTGTTCTGGGCCCAAGGCGCCCCGAGCACCCTCCACGCCGTGTCGACCACCATACGAGGCGTGCGCGTCAACCTGGCCGCGGCCATCTGCTGGGAGTCGTACATGCCCATGGTGCGCCAGGCCCTGTACGCGCAGAACATCAACCTGTACCTTGCGCCTAACTCGGACGACGGGGAGAACTGGCTCAACTGTATGCAGACGATCGGGTTCGAAGGCCGCTGCTTCGTCGTCGGCAGTAACATGTGTCTTAGAGGAGGGAGGTCGGGCGAGGCTGGTGGGCAGGCGAACCGTCTCAACGGCATTGGCAGCGCTATGGAGAGGCACCGGGGTGGTCCTTCGATGCCTTCCGCGCCGCCGGTAAGGAGGAGGAGGAGAAAGTCGGTTTTTGACGATGATGGGAATGAGATTGTACTTTGTTGCCCGGCGGACGAGAGCCCGCCTGAGGCTGTGGATGACGTGGCTGGACCAGAGGAACAAGGCAAGGATGACACGGTTGGGTCGCTGCCCCCAGTTGCTAACAGAGCTCCGCCAAGGCGGAGAAATTCGGTCATTTATGAAGATGGGAATGAGATTGTCCTGAGCTGCCCTGCGGAGGAGGATGAGGCTCCGGGCTTGGTTCCTAATGGCGTGTCTGAGACTAACGAGGATGACAAGGTGGGAGACCTCCCGTCTGCTCCTCCTGCCAGGAGAAGGAGAAGAAAGTCCGTGTTTGATGATGATGGCAATGAAATTGTGCTTTGCTGTCTAGATGATGGCACTTCATCCGTGGAACCAAACAGCACCGCAGCGACAGGAGCAGAAACATCGGAACCATACAAAGGACCGTGGACAAGCCGTGGCGGCTCCTGTATCGTGAGCCCTTTCGGCAAGGTACTCGCTGGCCCGCAATGGGAGGATGACCAAGGCCTTATCTATGCAGACGTCGACTTTCGCGATTGTGTTCGCGGTCGATTGGATCTTGATGTCGCTGGCACCTACGCATGTAACGATTCGTTCAAGTTCTCTGTTGAGGGCTTGAGTCTGAATCCGCTTCCTTATTGAACGATCTTTTCACTTATACTCTTGTCATTTAATGTAGCAGGAAGTTATGGTAAATATTAAAAATGATATTAAAAATGAGATTGTTCATCTTAAATTTACCAAACTCTACTTTGCGATTGTGATTATGACCTACCTCGCTCAGTATCCGTACCGTCACATCTCCTTCACGTTTATACAATTACTACTAGATAGCAGTAGTTAGACGTCCTTTGCCCTCACCAGGGATCCCCTGGCGTTAAATACACACACACACACACACACACAATCACATCTACTTCCTGCACTCACACCAATGGAAGTAAGCCCGTGTTAGACGGGAGCTTTGGCAATGACGATTTACCAGCATAGTAGGTTACGAATAATTGATGGGCTTAGCAAATAGCCATGTAATCGGTGTTATCATTCATATTAGCACTTCGAGGCCAAATACGTTAAACCAGCTCCTTCATCCTATATCCTCAAAATCCCCGTTCCTATTGTCTTCGTTGGGATTGTTTTAGATTGGGCCACGAGGGAACAACATGCAAGCTCCTGGTGTTCCTCTGCAAGACCCCAAACAACAAGGAGTACGGAAACAGCTCTCTACGTAAGGCGTTAGCTCTGTACGCTCGATATTCCAGGCTATACTTACGTCCCAACCAGGCGCAGGTATTTCCCCCCATGGCTTTGCTCTCCTCTGCTGGGGCAGCGGCGGAAGTGGCAAGCATGCTGGCAAGAGCAACTGCGAAAAGATTGAACTTCATGTTGAGCAATCTTTCGATCAAATATCCGAGATCAATTTGCAGGAGGATTTATCCAGGTGTTGGAAGATGAGGGGCTACCGTTTCGATATTAAACCGCAAGTACAGGGCTTTCTTATATACCAGTGAGGGATAGCTCAAATCTGGGTCGGTGAAGAGCACATATTCGATCATGAGAGACTGAGACCGTTGGATCCAATCAGATGCAAGAGATGAGTTCGTTGTTCGCATGACATGCGATGCATGACCCGTGTCTTAGAGCGATCTCGCAAAAAAAGGCGAAGGTTTTACTGCTCTTGAGATCATCTCAGTTTTCGCTCTCATTATTGGCTACGGCCTACTGGACTTTCTGTTTTTACGATCCTCCAACGTATCTGGCATGCTGAGATGGTCTGGCCTTGGTCTCTCCTTCAGCAGTTGTCTCTCCGACACTCCTTGCATATACCGTGAGCCAATGAAAATTTTGCAATCCGAAACAATACTTCGATCTCTTTCTTAATTACCTCTATTTCTCAATGCTTCACCTATAACCCATCACTCTTTGTTTTTGGTATTTTAGTATAGGCCTGGGGAAAGAGAGGAAAGAGAGGAAAGAGACCCGAAATAAGAAAGGACCATTGATGTTCCATATGGTCTGGCTAGATACCTCGAACGCCGTCCTTTCTATACCCTTTCCTTCATCAATGTAAGCCATATTTTAGTTCCAAAATAATATATATACATACATTTATATGTTGTGTGTTTTATAGGCCATTGAGCTCGGCTGGCGAGGGTGGGAAGGCCGGAGATGCTATTTTAGGCCGTACACTTGGAACCCACGACCACGTCCAGGGGTTTGGCAGTGAGAACCTCCTCGATGATGGCGCTCTCAGAGTGACTCCATCGAGCTCAAGTCTAGAGTCTGTCGGCTTCCCTGATAACATGGCCGACGATTGGGTACTCATAGTGGATCTGCCGAGTTCATATCCAGAGGTGTTGTATCCAGAGGTGCTGTATCCCCCTTGGCTATCGGAGATCTCGGTCAGCCTCGAATGTTTATGAGACTTGTTCCCCCGACGGAGGAGAAACCAGATTGCAGCAGCAGCTAGTACTAAAAAGATGAACCCTCCCACAGCCCCTCCAACTATAGCTGGGATGTTGAGGCCGCCTGAGCCAGTTGTCTCTTCCGTGGTATTGTTAGAGTTAGGCTTAGACGAGGGAGTATCTGCATATTGTTAGCCAAGTGCAAGACTGGCAAATCAAATAGGTGAACTAACCAGTGGCGAAGAGTGCCTTCAACTCGTCACTGCTCCATTGCGCCTCTCCTCTATAAACTATGTCAGCATTTCCGAAACTGCTTGGATCATTTCAGATGAGTGGTGGTGGAAGTATTACCCTTGCTGATACCACGTTTTGAAAGCCTGTGGAGTATCATAATCTCCTGCAGAGGCATTGTAGCCGCTCTTCCAACTCAATTCAACCATGTCGTAGACTCCAAGTGTCCTTGTCCACGGATCGTCCTTCCACGTGTTTGCCTTCCAGCCTGATATACCACCCATAGATATCATCTGGCTTTTTCTGGCCACCGCGCACTGGTGACTCCACCGGGGTGCGCCTTTGTCTGCGTTGGTGACCGACGTCCATACAAAGCCCGGGAGAGAAAGGACCCAGACATCGCCGTAAGGATCATAAGGAGCGGTTCCCTGACGACCTCCGTATAAAAAACTTGATTTCATTCTGTCAGCCATATCCTATATTAAATCTGGAAGATGAGGATTCATAATGCAAAAACTCACATATCGTATGTGTTGTTCTTCCCCCGTGCACCTACACTGCAAAAATGATACCTTGGTTGGGGGACGCTCCCCAACATCGCCGTCGTATTTTGCCTATGCCACTTGTCTGTACTAGGGTCAAACAGAACAACACTGTTGAAGTCCACCTCGGTCCAGGTTTTATCGTTAGTCGTCGTGGCTCCGCCGAGGAACATGACAAGCGGCTTCTTCGCGAAGTCCTCCAAACACACTGCCTGGCCCCATTTTGCCTTTCCCAGCTCCGGAAATCCTGCTGTGCTTGAGATGTTTCCCTCCCATTTGTGGTCCGACAAGTCGTATTTTAGTAGGCCTGACGGGATGGAACCGGACTTTGACTTCCCCGCGATATTCGGATCGTAGTTGCTCTTCGAGGTGACCGAACCGCCGAGATAGTATCCTTTGCCCCCGCAAACAGCTCCTGCGCCGTTGAAGTTTCGGTCCAGCCCGTCCTGGAATCTATCTCCATCCGTGGGTTTCTGTATCGACCATTCTCCTCCGCCGTCGTTGTCGGCTTTGAACATCCACATGGGCGTTTGGTCGCTCGCTTTAACGGACGTGTTCCCTTTTAAATTTACACGCTCGCCACCCCACCTGTGCATCGTACCAGACTTTTCGTCAGGCCATAGTGAGAACCAGCTACTTCTATGCATGCCATTTGGATACTTCGACTCCTTGAAGCTCACTGTCGAATTGGTCCAGTCTGTGTTCAGTGGAATCGACAGTGTTCCATTCACTGGAGAGAGTCAATGCCTGGTTGGGACCAACAAATAAAACCAAAACATGCTGGGAAGGGCCACAACATACCAGCTGCTGAGTGGTCTCCGGTGGAGGGGCACTTGTTGTTTTTACATCTGCTCACCTTTCCGCCATCCCAGTAGAGGTAATCGCCAAGTATGGCCACTGTTGTATTAAGAACGTTAGCTGGATGGGCAGACTATTATAATGCTGTAGATTGGGCAGGTTATAGTTGGAAATAATATACGCACTGCGACCACCCTCTCGCCGTTTATACATCACGGCAGAGGCTCGAAAGTCATACCAGTACCACCCCTCACGCACGTGGAAAAGTCCACTGCGACCATCAATCAGATTTGTTAAATACGGGCGAAGGACCCCAGTCTGGGCGTTGAGGAAAAAACACAATAGATTAAGAATGGAAAGAGAATGGGTGGGTGAGGACTGAGGATTCAAACCTGCCCGTGTAAAAATGACGGAGAATTTGCTAGCAACCACCCACTGGCTGCGCCTTGGGTATGGGGAAATAAATTAATTCATCGGGAAACCCCCTGCATGCAATTTATCGGACGGCATATGCCAACCAGGCTGATGCTTACATTCTAAAAGAAGCACACGAAGCCCTATCGAGTGGCCAAGCCGATCCTTCCCCATTCCCCATACCACCTTACATATGGTGTCCCTGGCAAATAGCAGCCTAAGCCTGGCTGTCCATTCTTCTTGGGAAGCTAGTAATGGATGTGATTGGGGGCTGCGTAGAGAATAGAACCTTGGACACGGTCTCTGATTGCACAGTAAGCGAATATGCCTTGCTTTGCGCTCTTGTTCTGTGCCCTGTCGGAACGTTCCTCCAAGTCGTACCTTGTAGTAGCATTCGGTCAATAGCCTGACCTAGTGGATTTAACTCTATCACGAAAATGTGACCTCCCTCAGAGAGCTTAATTCCTTGCACGCGCTTGAAGAAGGGACGCTTCAGATGGAAGACAGTGGCTTCAACGAGCATCTCCGCCGTGAGCACGCTGCAAAGTCCCTGGAGCTGCTAAGCCGCTGAGTAAACCGCTGGAGCACAGCGCAGTTCCTTCAAAATGCACCGCCCCTCACCACAGGCTTCAATCGCCCACTCTCCTAGGACATTTAAGACAAGCACATCCAAGTTCCAAGACAGCAGCCAAGCCAATTAACTGTTATTACTACAGAATATACCTAATCCATGTCCTCAGCCGTGAGTATCAGCCAGGAATTACGAGCTGATTATTGATATCGCCCCCTCTGCTCTCCTCAGCTGCTGCCTGCGAGCCACTCATCATCTACGACGCGCCCTGGACGTAAGCTGAGGTTTGGCACTTTGGGACATGGTCTGACCGGCGCGTTCAAAGACACCGCACGTGCACCCAGACCACAAACTACGGCCCGAATCTCTGCCACTACCGTGACGTGAGACTGCGGGCTGTTGGTTGCCGTGGATCGCGGTGGCCCGTGGGCGCTTGGCACGGTGCTTCGCCTGCCGTGAAGGTGGTATCAATTCCCCTCCTGTGGCGAGTAATTCCTTGGCGAGAAAACACTCGGTACCGATGAACATCACCTAGACGTGATCACCTCTCTGGGACCCCTCGAGACCCCGCACCGTCGCTTGCTAGCCGACCAAGAAGGTGTTGGTATATGTAAACCCAAGCGCCCTCGTTTTGCATGTTCAATATCATACTACGGGCTCGTAGCAAACAAGATGCTTTGTTTCAGGCACCCGGAGGAAGCACTCTGGCACACGGGCACCGGGAAAATCAACCCGGCTTCCATTCCGTGAAACAATCTTTCCCACGGGCTAACGCTGTTCAGACGGAAGTTCTTCACTGTGAGTATATAAATCTCTTTCCCCTTTGTTTCACGACGCTTCGTCCCGGGGCGGCGATCGCTGGCATGGACGCCATCCCTTCTCCGCCTTCTGCTCCGACTCAGCGTCCTTTCTCTGCCTCTCCATGGCTGCTCGAGCAAGAATCTCTCTTCGACTCAGTCCCGCCGTTGCGCCGCCACTCTGCACTCCACCGAGAACAAACTCTCCTCCCTGCCAACCCCCTTCATCCTCGTGGTCCTCCGCTTCTTCGTTTCCGTTGACGTCTCCCCGACCCGAGATGTGATACCGAGAGGTCTCCGCAATGGTGTGGCCGCCGGACTTCCAATCCGCCGCGTCAACCTCGCGCTCAATCTGATGACACAAATCCCAGAACTGGCGGTCGTGGTCGCCGTGCACGTTGTGCGCGAGCTCGTGGCACAGCGTCTTCCTGATCGTCTTGTAGTCGCGATACCCGTCGTGGGCATCCGTCCGCAGGCGCAGCTCAATGACCTCGCCGTGGTTGCGGTTCAGGCCCAAGATTCTCGACGTTCCCTCATGCGTCTCCTGCGTATACGAGAGGGGCTCCATCTCCGTGAGTAGTGACACGGTGAACTTGTGCTTCTTCATCGTGGCGACGATGCCCGGGTCGGCCTTGAGACGCATGAGAAGCGCCTGGCTGCGTCCCGGGTTGGGGAGGCCATCGAGGGGGCGGACTTGGAGGAACGTATACGGCGAAGAGGAGTCTGCACGCTTAGTCTTTGCCCGCGATGCCTTGAGCTTGCGGCTCTGGGTTTGGCGAGCGGCATTTCGTCTGGATACGCGGTCCGCCATGTCCTGCATGGACTGGACTGTGGACGCCCCCGAGCCCATGAGCATCAGAGACTTGCCCTGGAGCGTCTGCACCAGCTGAGTGGGGTCCTTTGCTGGTGATGTGAGGAGCGGCGCCTTGGGGATGATGATCTTTTGGTTGGCGACAGGGATGTCGAGGGTGGCCTCGATCTCCTCGAAGAGGTCTGTGACGGTGGCATCCTCGTGGAAATGGAACTCGTATTTGTTCTTGCGAAAGCTGAGTGTTACTGTGACCATAGGTGAGTTTGATCCAGTGCTAGATATGTCGTCTGCATATTCGTCTGCCATGGTGGGTAGTAGATGCCGTCAATCAAGATGAATATCAATGCCTGACTGAATTAGGTGAATGGGGTGGTATGTTGCGTTGGGTTTGATGGGTTCAGATAAGAATATTACAGGATCCGCTCGCTGAAACTAAAGACTATATATATAGACGAAAAATGGAGATGGATATCTGGTGCAAGTAGAACTGTCTGGTGAGTGATGGTTACGAATGCTTAGATGGCCGATCGCTAAGGTAGCCTCGTGGCAGCGCCCTGGGCGGCATCACGGTATTAATAATGGCTCCTAGGCCCCTGGATCCATGACGACTGCTGGAGTTCGGAGAGCTTCGCTGTTTGCTTGGTAATCGAGCGCCAACATAATATTGCCCACGAGAACACAGAGTGGCGTCCCTGCGCCACAACTCGCTACTTTCTTTCGCATTAAGTCCGCAAAGGGCGGCTTGGCTACCCTACATCCGCCCGACTGCTGACACATCGAGAGCAACGCGACAGAATGCGACAGACGTCATGTCACGTGCACGCCAAGGGGGCTCGTGCTGCTCCCGCCCCCTGGTCGTAATAATGGAATTGCGCGCCGGAAGCATCAGTGAAGCTACGTATCACTAGCGGCCGCCATCCAATGAGCTCCCTGCGTAGCGCGTCGTGTCCTCTTTGCATTGCCAGATCTTGAATTCTTCAATGCTCCCTTGTCCAATTCGCTGTACAGCGCCTACAACATCCTGACGACCCTCAAGCACACCCGTCAAGCTCATCGAAGCAGCTCGACCGTTCATTCATTTATTCCACCACTGCTCCGTCCGCGCCTTGCGCTGCCATCCCCTGGTACAGCAAATCGCCAAGCTCAATCTCAAACTCCATTCAACAGCTTCAAGTCGCCATCATGCCTAACGCATTCCGAATCCTAGGTACGCCCCGGGCACCCAATCGCCGACATGGAAAGCTGGTTCTAACCTCTAGGCAGCGGATTTCTCCCATCTGGGGAGTATCCTGATTCTGCTGCACAAGATGGTGCAGATGAACGTAAGCACCCTATGAATCGACCGGCGCCGCGACCATTGCTAATAGGAGAACAGAGTTGCTCAGGCATTTCGTTCAAGTCGCAGGCTCTTTACTTCTTCGTCTACGTCACTAGATACTTGGGTATGTCCCAGAAATCCAAGTCCCATCGCCCAAGCAATCGCTGATCTCCCGACAGACATTTTCTCCACCACCAGTATCTACAACCTCATCTTCAAAATCCTCTTCCTCGGCTCCCAAGGATACATCCTCTACCTGATGACGAACGCCTACAAGCCCACCAACGACCCTAACTCCGATACCTTCCGTGTCCAGTACCTCCTCGCCGGCGCCGCTGTTCTTGCCATCATCTTCCCCTACAAATACAGCTTCTCCGAGATCTCCTGGGCCTTCTCCATCTGGCTCGAGTCCGTCGCCATTCTCCCCCAGCTGTTCATGCTCCAGCGCACCGGCGAGGCCGAGACAATTACCACCCACTACCTGTTCGCCTTGGGAAGCTACCGAGCTCTGTACATCCCCAACTGGATCTACCGCTACTTCACCGAGCCTGACCACATCCCCGACTACATCGCCATCATCGCCGGCATCGTCCAGACCGTCCTCTACAGCGACTTCTTCTACATCTACTACACCAAGGTCATGAAGGGCAAGAAGTTCAAGCTGCCAGTCTGAGCGCGCGGCACCAGTTGGTTTGGTTCTGACCACAAAACACACGCTCGTCTTCTTGAGTCGCATAATTAGAGACTCGAAGACGGATGCGATGTATTCGTTGCCCCAGACCTGCCCGACACCAATCGTCTGTGATAGGTGGCAGGGACATGGCAGCAATTATCAACCCACTATGGTCAGCCATTGACGGGTTATGTTGTGCATACTAAGGCGTTGGCGCAGGTTGAGGGTGTGCATCGCAGCACAAAAGGATCATGCGATATTTTGTAACTTCTTATTGGGACTTCGGTTAATCAGATAGGGATTTCCGTGAGACGGATAATGTAGGAAAATAGACAAATTTGTCCACATATTCCAACTGGCGATGCTTCCGCGATCAGTGCTAATATCTTGTACATGATCCATACCTTCCAGCAGTTGCGAGAATGATAATGGACTGACTTAATAACGTGCGCTCACAACGGAAGAGCTTTGCATGCCATTCCCTATTAATTAGACTTAGGTACAAGTGCAAACAATCTAGTAAAAGCTCTTTTTATTCTTCCGCGATCAACATACAATCGTCGCAGGATCAGCGCCGCTTGGAGAGGGAGTGGCGGGCTCACGTGACCTGGAGCGCGCCGCCATGACGCACGCTCAAGCATCCTTCGTTAACCTCCCTTATCAAACCCATCAGGAAAACATCGGATTAGCCATCGCCAAAATGGCCAGCGAAGCACCTGACATCACCGAGAAGACCGCGGAGCCTGTGTCCAGCGGCTCTGTGCCTCCAAACTCTCAGCCTGCGCCTGACACGGAAGAAGTCAACCCCGTCGCCGTCGCACCCGAACGGCTTCCAACACGCAAAGACGTCCCTCTGCGCGAGCTTCTCAACAAGATCGACGACTATGCACCAATTGTGAGCACCAGACGCGTCCTTACATACAGTGCTTGCGGCATAACGAGATACTAACCCTCCTCCCCAGATCCCCGACGCCGTCACGCACTACTACATGACCAAAGCCGGTCTCCCACCGCCGCCCCAGACCGACCCTCGCCTCGCGCGCCTCCTCGCCCTCGCGACCCAGAAGTTCATCGCCGACGTCGCGGCCGACGCGTACCAGTACTCGCGGATCCGTGCTAGCAACACAAACGCCAACAACCCCATGGGCTCGCTCGGCGCGGCCGCCGGCTTCCCCATCCCAGGACAGCAGGGAGGTGTTGGGCAGGTGGCGGCCGGCGGCGCCAAGGACCAAGGGAAGGGCGCGACGGGCCCCGGCGGCGCGCCGCTGGGCATCCAGAGGCCTGGGTATGGTGGCGGTGGTCAGGGCGGGAGCCAGAACCGCACGGTCCTGACTATGGAGGATCTGGGCATGGCGGTTGGGGAGTATGGCGTCAATGTTAAGCGGAGCGAGTTCTACCGCTAGAGTTAGGGAGAGGGGGGAAGTACTGGGGTCATATTTACAAGGCGTTCTTTGTTTCAGCATACATCAATCTGGAGTTTGGGATTGGATTACGCTTTGGAGGGGAATTGTTGCCTTTTCAAAAACCATAGGGTATTACATTGGCATTAGAGATCATCAGACCTGGGATGAAAGAAACGACGAAAAATCAATTTTTGTGCCAACATCTCAAGACTATTCTATCTGCAAGGCAGTCGTGGTCCCTTATTGATACATGTGTGTTCGTACAATGCTTCCGGCCCCATGATGTCGGGCTTCTCTCGATTTAGCCTCTCTTTCGTCTGTCCCAAACGATACCTCTCCGGGTCCTGAAGAGCAATTTTGTCAGCAAAGGATTCACCTCCAAACCTCGCGCGGGCAAGGCGGTGGTTGCAGAGCGTACGGTGCGAATTCCCCTAGCTTGTGTCCGACCATGTCCTCGGTGATGAGCACGCGGTTGTATTCCTTGCCATTGTGCACCTCGAATCGGAGACCGACGAAATTGGGTAGAATCGTCGCGGAGCGGGCCTGGGTGCGCACCGGGGGCACTTTATCGTCTGCGGATTTCGGCCATACGATTGGGAGGCTGTTGCTGGGAGTCAGGAACCGTTTCTTGGAGGGTAAAACTTGGATGGAAATCTTCGCTTACGGCACGAGATGGGGCCCTAGAGGTTCAGAGTTAGCATTGCTGTTTTAGAAAAGACGTAGAGGTGGATTGGAACATGCCCTTCCATACAGAGCGTTTTAATAATGCCCGTGTTGCCTGCATTGTTGTTGTGGCAGACCGCTTATGGATTTCGTCGTGAATTGGAGTTGGCAGTTCGTGATGCTCAAATGCTGCTGGATCTCGGATAATTTATTTGTCCGCGCCGGCAGCATGGAAGTGAACGCGCCAAATTCCGGACGATTCCAGCACGATCTCAACAAAATCAATAAATGTAATAAAGTACGCATCAACTATAGATCTGTGAACGTTGTTATCTGATTACAATTTATGGCTTCTCTGTTAGGTATTTATATGTTACCGCGACAATAGAAGCAGTTTCTTGTAGCGTTCTGGGGGGTCCTCTCCGCCACACTACCCTATATCGAACCTCCTCTAGCACATTGCTTGTCCTTGAACTTCGTAACTTGGTGAGCTGTAAATATATGCTAAAATTTCATCTGTGACTTTATTTTCGTATGAGTTATTTCAGGTCTACTTACAAGATAAAACATTGAATTAGACTCCATGTGTCTCTTATTATTGACTTACTTTAGAAGCTAGCAAAACCCGTAGTTGTAGTTCGTATATAAAGAAAAACAGTTATGTAAAAAAAAGGCAGCGATTCAATTAGTTCTCAATTATGCTTCTTACAACCCTCCCTTTCTTTTGAATATACTATTTATCGGTTTAGATGAAATTGGTTCCGATTTGGCAACCAATTTGCGATTAATTTTAGGTCTCGAAGGTTAGACTAGGTTGGTGTGATTTTGATAAGGTTTTGGACATTGTCTTTGTGGTGAAGGAAGGGTATGCGAGTTTAGGTACGTAGTTGTAGCCAACTATCTGATGGCTTAATAACTACTTAGATTTGAATGTTCGCCTGACTGTTGTCTTCAAAGGGGGTGGGACTTTCAGCGTTGTAACGCAACACCAGGACAACAGAGTTGAGGGGTGAGGGGTGTGCAGATAATTCACATAGGGTTCATCCATTATCGGTTTCCGCAGCCTCCCTGATGTAAATGTTTATGTTTTCTGTAGGCATTATCAAGAACTGCCTTCCTATAATTAGAAAGCTTACATCGCTTTTATCCCATTGATTGACGGACGTATATCTAAGCGGAACATGATGTGACCCAAATGCCAAAGCCAACACTCCGCGAAGGACTTAGGAGCTAATGAAACCCCCAAAGTTCCCTGGACCTGGGTGCGGTCATTGAGATGACTGGGCTATACGGCGAGAAACTAAGCTGAGTCAAGAGCCATGGATTTGATTCTCAGGAGAGATTAAATGAAATTGCAACCAACAGAGACTTTTAGAGATCGAGCTAGGAAGCATTCATGCAAAAATATGGCTGAATTAGGAAGTCAAGTGGCTCTTGTCGATGCATATGACTAGAAGGTGCAACGAGAACATGAATCGTGGTTTCCAATGTGTCCAGCTAGGTTAGCGACAAGTCTGTTTCGTGGGAGTGGAGATGAATTGAGGCTGGCTGCATTTACTTGCCATCACGGGAAGGAGGACAGAGCACGAAGGAGTTGTGTTGGTTCCAGCAGATAAGCAATTCAGAGCCACCTCCGTGATTGTGTGGCACGAGGCTTTGGAGTCAGTCTGAAATCTGGTCCATCAATAAGGAAGCGAACATGAACTTTATTCCGTAGTTTTGGGGGCTGGATGCATTACTGACTAGAACAGACCAGAATTGTTGGTGGCGTCTGAAACTGGTCAAACTCCCAGTACATTCGACGTGAAGACGCACCACGGGCGCCATGTATGAGAAGGTTAGTGAGTGAGTCGCCCCGAAGAATGTGGCGGGTTTTGGGATTGGTAGATTGCAAGGGGAGCACATAGCCACAAGATCATATCCCTCCCAGTTCGCCATGTAATTGGATCAGGCAATGAGGCAGCCCCAAACCGAATCCGCCTTTTGGACCAAAGTACAGCTCTTTCTGGATCTTGTCATTGCGGATCGAGGCTACGGTAAAGACCGTGGCTTTGACAAGCCACACGGACGGATTGTGGGAGGCCAAGTGCCGGCCGGGTTTTCATCCCATTGTCCAATGGGCGGACCAACAGGTTACAGCGCCACCCCCAGCACAGCCCTCTTGTCCTAGTTAATTTACTGGGCTTGAAAGATGTGTGTATGTTTGCCTAGCGCGCGCTTGGTAGATTTAAAATAATTTATTGAAGAAAAACTTCTTCTCTACGGTTCTCGGAAATCCCTGCTTGGGTCTTCTGCGTCAATTGCTCCGACCATCTAGTTAAAGAAGCACGCTTTTCTCTCTCTGTGAATGGTGTAAGTAGCGTATTCGAAGCCGGCATTTCTCAAATCCCTGATCGGCATGTATATTTAGATGCGAGCAAACGGTCCACGAGGCCCCCACATCCCATGTCATGTTCCCTACCTACTCTGGACCAACAGTGGCTGAACTGAACCAGCCTGCGAGAGGCGGCGCTTGTGGCCGGCCTTGATTATTTTTGACCACACTCTCTAGATTGGCGATGAGATCTAACCAGTAACAACTAAGATATTACTGCTTTTGGTAGAAACATCCCAGTGTTAAAGATTGCCATGCAACCAACGTGGGATCTGCGAGGCTGATTGTTTGCAATCGTGTATCCGAACATGTCCTGGCCTCCGTTGTGCCTTGTCAATATCATTTCAGAGATTCAAGAATAGCATCAATATCAGGGAACTCCAAGCTTCATACTGAAAAAGCTGTGAAGATGGGTATAAAGAGATCGACTTCCTGCCCCAGACCGAGAGTTTTCTTTTCATCATCAACCATCTAACAAACATCAAAAACAATCCACACTTAGAGCTGGCCTCTATTCACTTCTCTCTCAAATATTTCTCAACATTTGCTTTTGCTGGACATCAAAGCTATTCTTTCATTATCATCTCTCTTATAGATTTCCTTTTTACTTTTCACTTTTTACCCACTCGACATCTTCAAAATGGTCTGCCTTAAGCAACTTTCTCTTACCGCCGTCGTGGCCTTCAGCCTTTCTGAGACAGGGCTTGCAGCGCCTATTTATGCTCCCATAAACGAGCGCGCCCTTGAGGATCGAGCGATCAAGAACCTCGTCTCTGGTATCCGCAAGCATGGCGGGAGTGCTTTTGATAGCGGCCTTGCGGCAGTGGGTGCATTCGCGGATTTCAAGACTGCCTTTTTCCCCCAGCCACAACAGCCTCAGCGAAGAAGCCTCGAGCGCCTTGAAGACCGCGGTGTTAAGACCCAGAGGTTGAAGAAAATTGCGTCTTCTGTCGGCCGGAATACCCCTAAGACTGTGGATCGCCTCGCTACGGTATTGAGTACGGCCGCAGGTGTCAAGACTGCCTTGTTCCCTCAGCCTCAGCAGCCTCAGCAGCCTCAGCGAAGAAGCAGAAGCCTCGAAGAGCTTCAACAGCGCGCTTTTGAGGATTACATTAGAGAACTTTACTTTTAGACTTGCTTTTGACTAGAATTGTGTTGATTGAAGGTTGAGCGGCCCGTATAGATAGGAGAGTTAGTTGAATGGAAATGATTGTGCCTTTGTTATCTGATTCCCCTCAACGTGCTGATTGCTAAGCGAGAAAAATGCTTCAAGGAGTTTTTCATAGTTAAGGGAAGGATGATGCTATTCCAGGCCTTGTTCAGGCCTGGAATAGTCTTGGTTCACTCTATGAGCCAGGTTTGCCGTCGCTGCATTTCATTTTACTTAGGTACTCGTAGATAACGCTGACACTGAAATTGGTAAGAGCAGCATTGGGGAAAGTGAGACATGAATTGAGAAATTCAATCGCCTACACAATAACCCTGAGATTGCGACTGCATCCCAAAGACAATAGTAGATAGATCATAGAGCACCTGGGTTGTGGCGAAGGCAACTAGAGCAACAGTAGAATTCCGTGATACCATTATTCTTGTTGAATAGTCCTTCAAGAAGATGACGAGGGGCTTTGCTTGGGAACCAGGGAGCCTGATGGAGACACGGCACGCGTGAGTTGCAGGCAATTGATGTGTTACACGCCAAGCCATTTTAACGCTGTTGCGCACACAAGGACAAATCGTCACATGAAGCAGCCAACCTCTTGGGTGAGAAAAAAGCATCCTGCGATGGTGTAGCCCCTCCACCGCTCCAAGGATATTCAGAAACTCGGCGAGTGGCCACTGGTTGCTCTCCTTTTCTCGACTGTTGGCAACGTCTGTCGTCTCAACCTCGTCAACTTCCAGCCAACACACTAATATGATCGCTCAGTGTTCCTGACCCAACAGGGTCAGTTGATGGGGGACTACTTTGGTTTGGGCTGCCCATAAGCCAATGAGAGCAGACTGGTGAGCAATGCGACCCCTTGACCGTCGCTTGGCATAGTTTATGCAGCTCGTTCTACCGCCCAAGCGCCAGGGCGGTGTTTCAACACACATCAGGCTTCTCCACTTTGACCGGTTTGCTGGCAGACCGAAGCGTCTAGATGTGAAGACCCCTTGTATTTTTCTCGCATTCGACGGTGGCTTTTTCTCTGCTCAAGTTTGTTCTCTATGATGACCCTACGGACATACGCCCAAAAGAAGCCGGAATGGATGGGCTTATCGAGGCTAGCAAATGCCGCGGCTCTACTTACAACTCCTTCGTATGCTATGGGGAAGAAGGCAAGCAGTGCTACCCACAAGACACGGCCACTGTACGCTACACTTGCGGGAAGGGAAGTTCCAGACCACACTGCCCCGCGGCGCAGCCCAAAGGGGCGAAGGCGTAAGAGTACCCTCTATCCTATGTCAAGCGGTAGATCTTATTGCTAAAACACTTGAACATGTAGTTGTTGCACAAATGAGGGACAGGTTGCCTGCCATGTTGGTTCAGGTTCACTTTCAGAAGCATCATCATTTAACTGCATCTCGAAAGATCGGATATGCTGCGGCTCAGGCGACTGTTCGAGCGAGGAGTCTTGCTTGGAGGAGTGAGTCACCCTTGCCTCACCTACGGGAAACCCAACTAACAACAGATGAAATGTTAGGAGCACCTGTTGTCGCAAAGAGAACGTATGTGGAAGTAAATGCATGTCAAACGGACAGCAATGCTGTGATGGGAATATTTGTGAAACAACGACAACGACGACGGCAGTAACATCGACAAAGACATCAGGGACGGCGTCGGGGACGACTTCTGCTCCCTCATCTACCATAAACACCTCGCAATCGGCCACAAGTACCCAGTCATCATCGGGCGCTACATCATATAGCACATCTGGACGACCGACTACGACTGGGAACACTTCATTCACCTCTCTTCCGACGGATAGCATCTCGGATAGCATCTCAGACATCATCCGGACTGCCATCCCTACCTCGGCACAGACCGAGCCCACCGCGCCCTGCTTTCTAACTGCCACTGGAGATTCGGTGTACACCACACCTGACTGGTATACGGCACTTCCTACCGAGCTCCAGAGCTATTACTCTTCAGTCAACGCTGGCGCATCCCTTTCAAGCTACTGCACCGCGGCGCCTACTTCCCCTGGTGGCGCCCACGGGTCGCCAGGCTCCTCTCTTTCCAAAGGCGGGAAAGTAGGCGTGGCGGTCGGTGCAGTCGCTGTCGCCGTCGCTCTAGGCGTTCTCATATTCCTCGCCGCGAAGACGGGCCTCGTGGCCAGATGGTGTGCCTTGTGCGGCGTAGGCGCGGCCACTGCCGAAGAGCGAAGCACGCCTGTGATCCCTACTACGAGCAGGCTGGGCTCAGGGATGCTCCGTCTGGGCGGTTCTGGTCGCTACCGGACTGGAGTGTCTGGAATAATATCTGGGGACGGCCGCAATTTGATGAGGGGCGGCGCAGGAGGAAGTGTGCCACCCTCGCCGCCGGTGCGCGATCCCCCGGCCGTGCCCACCGCCGTGACATATGTATCAAGAAGTGATGAGGAGGTGAAAGGTGTAGAATCACATCACGCCAGCATCATGACGGTGTCGTCGTTAAGCGACTCAGGCCATGAGCTTGCGGTCATGCCGTCGCCTCCATCAGACACGAGGTCCGGCAAAGAACAGGCGTAACAAACACTTAAGAAAAGAATACCTTTATAATGATATTGGGGTAAATGGTCGATCCGACGACCTGACGAGGATTAATTCGTAATGAAGAAATTATGGGAATGAGTATTAGGACGAGAAGAGTTATCCTTCTTATATGATGTTCTTGTTGAGTCACAGATCATTTTTAATGTACGAAACGGTAGATGATAAGGCACCCTGAACCTAGAATAGATAATGGTTATAAATGTGTTTCCTGGATTTAGACTACAATCACGGCTGGCCACTTCTGGTACCTGGCAGTCGAAAACTCACAAGGCATGCTTGAAAGTAACAGAAAGCATGATTCAACATTGGTGAACTAGCAGTCTGGGGCCATTGATTGAGTAGTTGCCTATTGTTAGCCCGAACAGTAGCCAACCTTTGAAGGCTCACACCCATTGCTGCATCCGTCATACAAGACGCAGGGATGATCGGCATCGGTGCAGACATTGATCAACGTAGCAGTATCGCCGTAGTTGTAGTTGATGCCAACAACCTCGCCACCGTCGTAGGCAGTTGTGCCTTCCACATAAACGTTCCTCTGGCACTGGCTGCTACAGTTCCCACAAGACCTGTATACCTTACCATAGTCTTCGGCGTAAAAGTTGATGATGTTGACGGTGCCACAGCCATTGTGCTGGACGATCTTGTCTGAAGCATGATACGCGCCGCCGCCGATGATCCAACTTTCCTCGCCTTTCTTGTCACCTTTCTGTACGGTTGTTATTAGCGCCATTTCGGATAGTCAGGGATAGCACTCACAATGGTGATAGCATCCTCGCAGACATCTTCGAACCAGACAAACCGGAGCGTGCAGGGCCCAAGACAGTGGACGCCTTCCATTTGGTTCTTTCCAATGATGACGTTTTGGAGCGTTGCTCCAGACTCTAGAAGAAACACGGCATCGGAATCGCCTGTTTGAGTAGTTAGAGAAGCGAGCCGATTAGCAGGAGCAGAGGTATGATACGAACCTCCTTCGCCATCTTCGCAAGCACCAGACCCACGGTCATACTTCACCCACCCAGCGTCGAAAGTCTCACCAGCACCAATGGTAATGGGGGCTGAGATTGTTTTGCTCGAGGTTGGGGTGGGCAGTCCACCTTCCCATCCAAGACAGGCTAAAGCAGTCGGGACTAACCCGACCAACACAATTGCGAAACGTGCTGGGGAGTACATGTTGAAGAATGAGTTTTCCTTTGATTAAGGGTTGAGTACTTGAAGTTATTTGCTCTTCTAAAACGAGGAAGCTGGAGATATTTATAAAAGTTTGGTCCTAGACTTCCCCATCTCTCGGAATCTTGTTGCCACTCCATTGGAGATTTTCATGATGTGATTGATGGAAATAAGCCTAACTCTGTTAACCATATAACCTTGTGATGCGCTACCTAAGGATAGACTTGGGGATACAGCTCAACAGATGCCACTAACCCTAAACCTGACACGGACCGAGTGAGAACAACGAGATAGGTGGAAATAAGATTTTTTCTATGATATTCCATTGCCATCAGTATGGTGAACCAAGGATTAACAGTGAGTAGGTTTCATTTACTGGAGCGCGTCGCTCTGAGGGGCAAGTAGACGCGAGGCCTGACAACCACCCGCGGCTCTGCCGTACGACATCATATGCACGGTAGCCTTGATCTTCTAGATTGCCGACATGACAAGACTGCCAAGACGGGTAGCTGTATAGAGCACGTTGCGTAAGCCTGGAGGGATCTGCGGCCGCAGGATGGCGTGATGCTCCCTCTATCTAGGACTTTATTCCAAGTTTGTTAAGAGTGAGTTCAGGGATATATCGCGGGGTTGATCCCATGGCTGCACCTGTTGGTATCCTAGAATGGAAAGTTCGCAACTCAACATCCGAATGACGGATCGGGGTTTGATGGTGACCCAAAAGGGATAGATTTCAACGATCACTGAAGCTTGAGAGGATCAATGTTGACAGTATTGGTGGGAATCCATTGCAAGGTCGCAGTTCACAAGGTGACAATCTGAATTTTGATCCATCGTTATTCCCAGTCCTCATCCACACCACTCCCAATGCAACATCGAATTAGCAAAGCCCTGGTTGGCGGCCTCCCCTCGATGGCACCTTGGCGCCAGGCACCACCCACTTAGAAGCTCTTCCTTGATGAAGTGATTAAGTCACAAATGTCAACGAGTTAGAGGGCCGCATTTAGCCTTGGTCAAGGATAGGAGCACATCTTAGACGCGCGTTATAAATCTCGCACATTCAGAGTCTAAGACCATAGGGAATTAAGAAAGCTTCTTTATTAATAATATGCTTGATTCCTCTTCTTATTTAAAGGCGAGAGCCGATATTTGCCAAGGCAATGCACTCTATCTCCACCTCTAGATTCTTTGGTAGCGTTTTCACAGCAACGCAACTTCTAGCTGGTTGATGCGTAAAATAAGTCTGGTAAACCGAGTTGAACTCGGCAAAGTTCTTCATGTCATCTAGGAAGACCGTGACCTTGGCCACACGACTGATGTCACTCCCTGCAGCTGCCAGTGCAGCCTTGACGCTCTTGCAACATGCATGTGTTTTTTCCGCAATGCTTCCTTCGAGAGGCTCGCCGTCCGAGTTGATATGGATCTGACCAGAGAGAAAGACGTACGGCCCGGCAACAACAGCCTGTGACTTTACGCACCACGTTTAGTACATTGGACAAGTGGTTTCAAGCAAAACCGGGGGATCATACGTAAGGTCCGATTGCTGTACCATAATATTAGTTTGATTAGCACTGGGACCAGACAGGGAACTCACCTGGACAAGCTTCCGGGGTGGAAATAGAGACAAGTCCTGAAGACATGTTTGCTGAACACATAATTGTGTTCGTTGTGGATTATCCTTGATTGTTTCTTAAAGAAGTGGATAGTGCGAAGCACCTCTTATATCATTTTTCTTCATGTGTCAGGAACAGCTGCCCAAGTTGTGACAACCATCCGGTGCCGGATACAAGCACCCCCAAAACTCCGGACTCAGAGTTGATCGTCACCGCCGGACCTGTTCTAAGTATGATATCACCTGGTTAGGCACGGCTCAAGTCTCTTACCCGGTTGCACCTGGGTAATTAGATTCGACTTGGAGAAGTAGCCGGTCCTGAGAAGCCGTTCACGTGCACGGCTGGGAGAAAGAGCCGATCTTTACTAGTTCCATGGACAATGTAGCACTAGTGGATGGAAGCTCTTCCGGAACCCTTCTATCGTTTAAAACGTGGCTTGATATCCCTTGCTCACTCGTAGCCTATTCGACGAACCCCGACTTGAGAATCGTAGCGAAAATATTGCGGTTTTGAATATCACCTAGGCTAATAGAAACGATACTTGCCAGACCTTTACGAGATTGTTCTAGTCCGCCGGCTGCTGTACTAGATACATATGTACGGAGAACAGGCAGTGGGACAATGCCAGTAGTCACCAACGTCGCCAAAGGGTCTAACAAAAAAAAGTTTTTCGTTTAGAGATGACTACGTAGGGCTCTCTTCTCGGCCAACAAAGATTTTGCAAGCTCGCAGACTTTCAAAGCCACCCCGTAGCTGTAAGTATATCCAAGAGTGTTGAAACCATAAGCGTGAATAATCCCATCCTCAACTTCGAGTCGATACCCGCCCTTCCTGCTTGGCCGAAAACCAACTAGGTCTGCTATGACATGTTTATTTAAATCCACCGACCGGAACCGATCATTGGAGATCGCATTCATGCGTCGTAAAATGTCTGGTCGCAGATCAGGATCTACATCTTGGTCCGAGTTTCCTGGCTGACTGACTCCGCCGAGTATCACCCCTCCACTGAACATACGCGGAATCTGATACGTGTAGTGAGAGCCCTGGAACATGACCATTTCGTGAGAGTCGCTTTCGACAAGCATTGTTTGGCCACGAACCGCAATCACCTTGTCGTCGCCGGCAAGGTCAAAGGCTCCCAAGCCGGATGCGTTGATGATGACTGGGGTCTTCAGGATAGAGCGAGCCTCCGCGAGTGACTTCACCTCCGCTCGGATGAAATGAACTCCTTTCTTATCGAGCAGCCTTTTAATCCAAGGGAGGAAGACTGCTGGGTTCACCGTCATGGACTGATATTTAAATCCAATTTTGGCATTTGCTGGAAGATTCTTGGAGGGCAGAAGCCGATACTTAGGGACCATGCGTTTGTACCAGATGGTGGAATCATCATTTCGACCATCGTAGTATTCAGTGACATCCACTACCTATAATTGAGTAATTGTTAATTATGGTACTGATGGAAATTGAATGTTTGTAAAAGGTCGAACCTGCACGCCACTGGTTGGATCACGATGAGCCAGTGCCCGGTAGAATTTGAATGTCTCGGTCTGTAAGTCATGCCCTTTGCTCTCCGGGTAAGGGAGAATCCCTGCGCCAGCCCTTGGAACGCCAAATTTCGTCAGTCGTCATTCAGCTGAGATTGAGAGGTCTCTTACCATGGGCTGGCCCACTGTTGGGAACCGTCATCTCCCGGCAAATCGCGTGCAACGATAGTCACATTGAAACCGTCTTTGACGAGAGCAAGAGCTGATGTGAGCCCTATGACTCCAGAGCCAATGATGCCAATTTCCATTTTGAATATATTATTCGCGACGCGGGAAGACTGCTTAATAGGAAAAGAAAGAAAGCCTGTCCTGAAACCCTTCGTCTCAAGGACACGACTTTGGGCGGCGAGATATATGAGGAGGAATCTAAGAAAGAAACCACTTTTTCCTGCAAAGGGTACAATGTCAATGGCTTAGGACCTACTTCCTAGTCTAGAGATAGTATGTTAATGAAGGGCGCACTTCCCCCTCAATCCCCGTAGATTCACACCTCATTTTTTGTAGTGTACACCAGTAACCCTTTCGGAGAGGCCGAGCCGGATGGACGCAGAATTCTGAAGCCAGTCAGAGTCACCCGGATCAGCACACATCCGGATCAAGACACACCCGGATCAGACCGGTAAGAAGCTAGAACTTACCTTACTGCGTCAAATAAATTTTGTACCTTATGGGAAAATGGTACTATCGCAATCGAAATGAGGCCGGGAAAGATGATACCGGTATCCTGTACTGCGAAACTGGAGTGATCGCCCTAACCACCTCGGAGAGGTTCGAGGTACAGCGGGCGGCATCGCCCGGTCAAGTTCGTCATCAAGCAGCCGAGTACGTATATAGCTATGCTTTTAAGACCCCGAATGGATTACATGTGGTTATCTTTCAAAGCTGATTTCTAAGTTGATATATGACGTTGGCATACTCTAGGATGGCTTCTCCGAAGGCGAAAGTCCTTGTGGTTGGCAGCGGCGGCATTGTGACAATAGCTGCCCTCAACCTCGAGCTTGGAGGCCAGGCGGAGGTCTCTTCCGTCCTGCGTTCCAATTACGAGATCGTGAATGAAAACGGATTCACAATTAGATCTTGCGAGCACGGCGAGATACAGAGCTGGCGTCCAACCAAAGGTCTGTACAACCTTTTATCATTTGAACTGCATCGCTCACCAAGCTGAGTGGATTTTAGTCTTGAATACGGTCCCGAACGTCTCGGATTTGACAGTTGACCGACAATTTGATTACATTGTGTGTTGTACTAAGAATATTCCAGACACCACTCCGACTGTCTGCGATATTATTTCCCCTGCCGTAACACCCGGCCATACTTCTATTGCCCTGATCCAAAATGGATTAAACATAGAAAAACCCTTATTCCGCTAGTTTTCGTCAAATATCGTCATATCTGGCGTCAGCCGAATCGATGCGCATGAAATCGCACCAGGCATCATCGAACAAAAACAAAACGACCTTTTGCATATTGGACCTTGACAGAATCCTATTCTCAGTGACGAAGAACAACAGCGTGCTGGTCAACGATTTGTGGACATATACAGTGCTGGAGGCAAGACTACGTGCCTCTATAAACCAGACACGTGCTTTGACCGTTGGAGCAAATTGGTTTATAACACTTCGTGGAATCCCATATGTGCAATAACAGGCTTGAACACCAGCGAACTACAGAAGATGGGCAGATCTATGGATACTCTAGTTATTCCCGCCATGAAGGAAGTGTTGGAAGTGGCGCAAGCCGCCGGGCACCAACTTCCGGAAGAAATCTTGCACAAGACGATCTAGAGCAACCCTGTGGAGGAGAACATCGTTCCAAGTATGCAAGTCGACTTGCAAAAGGTAGGTTATTAGAACATCATCTTTGTATATCGCGATACGGGGTCTTACTTACTCTTATAATAGGGGAATTATATTGAGCATGAGAATATCCTGGGAGAAATTATTCGAGAGGCTCGCAAGGGGCGGGGAGTTGCGACGCCCGTGTTAACGGTGTTGTATGAGATCACTACTGCTCTTCAGTGGAGAACTCGAAAGAATAAGGGGCACATATAGACTACGAAGGCATGATTCAAAAACTAAGGTAGAGATTTGGGCCCAGAGGGATGCCGGCGGTTGTGGTTGATGGAGTGGCCATTTCCATAGCGGCTACCAGGAGGTTTCCAGTGGTTCTAGGAGAACGTTATTTTCTAGATCTCCTTATTGGCTACATACTTTGGTATGAATTTCATTGACTGACCCCATTTTTAGGCGACCAACAACAGTAACCAGGGGGCAATGAGTCTTTGTGGCTAACACGTTTGCTGCATGTTGAGCCAACGTGCAGTAGATCCTTGCAGAACTAACTATATATGTACTGAGGCTGAGGCAACTTCCCCTCCTCTTTTTTCCGGTGTTGAAGCCCACCCCAAATTTTTTCTTTTCTTCTCTCCCCTTGAAGATCATCGAACTCACCGCCATCTGCAGTGTTTTAAATTCGATTTTCAAGCTGCTGCTCTCGCTACAATTCAACTGGCGCATTAGACATCCATCATGCCCACCCCAAAGACAATTGGCATCAAGAACGGCATATTGACCTACACTGAACGTCAAGCTGTGCGAGTTGTCACCTTCAACACCTCCGGTCAAATTGCACTCATCCACGCCGAAAAAGAGGATTACTACAAGCTACCAGGCGGCGGGATTGACCCTGGAGAGGATCACATCGTTGCAGTTAAGCGAGAAATGAAGGAGGAAACTGGAGCATTGATTAAAATTCGTCCCATCGGCTGTGTTGCAACAACCGAAGAGTACCGTAATGATCTCCATCAGATCTCTTACTGCTACTGCGCAGATCTTGTCGACGACTCTGGCGCACCCGAACTGACAGATCTCGAGATTGAAGATCGCCTGGTTCATCGTTGGGTCTCCGTGGATGAGGCGAAGAAGCAGATGGATGAGGCACAGCCCGCGTCTGAGTTCGGTCGGTTTATCAGGGAACGTGATATCTTTCTCCTTGGGGAGGTTCTTAAAAGAACATAGGCACTCACTTGATTGAGGACATCATCATCTGACCACCATACCTCATTCGCCATTTGGCTTCGTAAGTATGGCTTCGAGGGGCTTGGAAGGCATCGCAATGTACTACCTATATTCAGGGAGGTAGATTATATACTTATTAAAACATGCAATTGCTAAACAGTGTATCTCCTAGTGACTGCTCGTCCTAACAGTAGACAGGCTGGTCAGCTCTGTGGTTCAAGGTCGGTCTCAAAGTCGATATTCCCCGCGCTTTTATTTATAACAAAGTATCCGAGATATAAAAATTCCTAAATAACCGAGGGAAAGAAGGAATTTCCTCCTTATAATATTTAATATTATATAATTAAAATAATAGATCAGTAAATAATTCCGGTCACCCCTTTATATACTACCTACTTTAACCTAAATTTGGCCAAGGCCTTCTTTACATCCAGCATCAGCCAATCGAGATGGCTTCGACCCTCAATTTCAGCCAGCAACTCCGCACACGCCTTTGACCAGGCGCCCGTGGCCTCTCGGAAATCTATCGCGCCAGTTGTGTCAACGAGCGGATAGTGCAGCACCACCTTGTTACTCGAAGCCTGCATCTCAACAAGCAGCTGGCGAAAGCGCTGCATCGGGGCCTGGTCCATGTCTAGGTCGGTGACGTTGGCCAGTTCCTGTAGCGCCTGGGGCAAGTAGTTGCTGGAGCTCCTTTCGAGCTCGTCAATACAGACTTTGTACGCCGTACAGCCCTCTTTCAGCGAGATGCGCTGAGCAGCCCCGAGGCGGATAACCTTGTTTGCCAGTCCCGCCATCTCCTCGGTAACCATGTCTCGTTTCTCTCTCATGTCTCTCTCGATGGTTTCTAGCGCTTTCTCGAGGTTGCACAAAGCCGATTCCACCGTGGCCAGCTGGGCCTTCGCCATAGCGCAGCTTTCCTCATTTGTTACCTTGGCCCTGGATATTACTAACGACATTTCTTCCAGAAATGCTCTCGTATTGTTGGAGTCTTCGAGCAGCATCATTCGGCGGACTCTAGTTTCGCTAGCAGCATCATCTTCTCCTCCCTCCTGTAAGCCTTTCAATTTCTCCTTCTCATGCGCGGAATTTACTGCGAGCTGTTTCAAGAAGTCTCTCATGTACTCCATGCTTCTGATCCGCATCCCCAGATCAATCGTGGCCTCGTGCTCTTTGCCGAGCACGTTGGAGGCGGTTTCAACGGCCCCAACCAGAACTTCCTCTGCCTTGCCAACATCTCCAAGCCGGAAAAAGGACCTGGCCTGCCTGTTTATGAGGTCGAATCTCTTAGAGGGGTCAACCCACAAGCAACGTTCCGCAATCTGCGAAGCCGTTGACCACAGTTGAGAAGCATCCGCCCAGCGTTGGCTATTATCCAAGAATTCCCCCAGCTCTTCGAGCATTCCCAGAACCTCCGTCTCGGCTTCTGGCGCATACCCCAATGCATCGATGCTCCGGAGGGCCGCTCGGAGATGTGGGATCGTCCGTATCTCATCCGGGGTTTCTCCTCCAGCTTCACTAAACCACTGGGGGAACAGAAATATTTCCGGCCTCCACTGTTCTGCGGGCGTGTATTTCTTCAAGGCCACTTGTATAAGCTGCACGGCCGCCAGGGCAAATCGATTGGCGATGTCCTTGTTTTCGTTCTGCCGTAGCCTCTCGAGACACCAATCATGCACGAGGCTGTGCATCTTGTAGGACCCGTCGCTGGGATTCCTCTGAATCATCGTGTAAGACTCTAGAATAGCTAGGCACTGCTCAACGTCGTGGATACTGGCTTGGTCTCTGGTTGTGACTGCTGGTTCCCAGAACATACTGGCTGTGGAGGATTCGGCGGCGGTGAATAGATTGATGTGTATTCCCTCGTTGTTGAGGAATGACAAAAGACTCAGTAGTCTGCAGGTATTTGGTGACTGGTGCAAGACCGCTAGGTAAGACGTTTCCCAGACCGTCATGACGCTGTGGTTGGAGTGGTGGTGGATGTCCTTGCGTTTCCACAGCTCCGTTTTCCGGTGCTTGTACTCCTCCAGATACAAGGACAAGTCGGAAAATATCCTCGGTGTTTGGCCGACATAAGAACCGGCGAGGCTTATGGCTAGGGGCAGATACCCTAGGACCTTGACAATCTGTTTGGCATTCGCCCTGTCATCGGCACTGGGCTCTTCCTTGCCGGCAGATTTGAAGAACGCGCTAATTGCATCCTCTTCCTGAAGAATGTCAATCGCAACGCCATCAAACGTCGATAGGTTTCTCGCGGCGTTTGAATTCCGGCTAGTGATGATGACATGCGTTTGGGCATTCTGCGGGATGTATTGCCCAATATTGACATAATTCTTGTCCTCCGGGTGCAGGTGGTCGGCGCCGTCGAATACGATGAGCAGACGCCGAGGCTTCCGATTGAGGAACTGGAGAACCGCGAGCCTTACGGCGTCTGACGTCGGGTTCACGGGTTGTTGCGTGTCAAAAGGGATGGTGTTGTAAATGTTGCGGAAGTGCTGGTCTACGGATGCCGGATCGCCCGCCTGGATCCAAAACCATAGCTGGTATCTTTTGCCGTGCTCGCTCAGGTATTCGAGGGCGAGCTGTGATTTCCCTATTCCTCCCATGCCCCAGATCCCGACGGTGATGGACTGCCCAAGTCCCGTGGGCCTTTGGGAGAATTGGGTCTTGATGTCGTCAAGAAGTGAGGTTCGCGCAATGAGCGTCTTGGCCGGGCTCATTGGCGTCGGTGGATAGTTGGGGATTTCGTCTGCAACGGCAACGTCTACACAGAGGAAAAAATAAATCAGCTCATCTATATGACGAGTAACTTTAAGATGAAATTGAACTGAAAGAATAACTGGTGTCTATGGACGACAATAACCGAGTCGAAGAGCTCCTCCACAGGAGAAATGAATCTAAGGCAGGGAGGACTAACTTTCATCTATAAACTCCTTGATGTCCGAAATCTTATTTCCAACAGTCTGGAAGTCTTGGTCATTCGCATTTTCAAATTTGACCATGTCTTGGTGGTTCCTGAAAATGGGCACCATATCTTCAAGGCCATATCTCAGCTCAGCGGATGTCTGATCCACAACCTACAATGATTGCCACCCCCCAGTTAGCTCCTTGTTTTTAATTCAGAGCATTTTTTCACTGATACTAATACGACTTACCTCTGCCCCAAGCCGGGAGTCTGTAACCTTCTCATAGAAGCTGGTGACGAGCACGCGCCGGTCTAGACACAGTGTTGTCTTTGCGAAATGGCCACTGAGATCGAAGAGCTCGTCCGAGTGGCTCTTAAGAGCTGCCTCAATCTTGGGCGGTATCTGGGTAAAGGCCAGGGAAGCAATCGCTTGCAAGAACTGGACGCGCTTCTGACTACTTGCTTGACTGCCTAGATGCGGGGTGCCGAAGAAGATGAGGCCCTTGGTTGCGTTGTATATCCGGCTTTGGGAGTTTGCCCTGAGTTTTCCCTCAAGCGAGCCAGCCCAGAGAGCCTGGATAGAGGTTGCGGCAGGAAGTCGTTAGCATGTGTCCTTAAGTGGTTCCAAGGACGATGGGACGTTACAAACCTGTTTGATGACGAGACCGCCGAGGCTGTGGCCGATGAATATCAGGGGCCGATCTCGTTCCTATTTTGAATCCAAGACTTGAGATTAGAAGATTTCAGACCTGACTTGAGACAGCGACATACTTCTTTCTTTTGCCTAAAGTTGCCCAGCTTGGTGAGGAACGCGGTGCCAAGGTCTTGAATTCTGGCAAGAGAGGTGCTGAGGCTCGTCTTGATATCGGCGTCGTAGCCAAAAACCATGACGCGCGCGTAGGGAATCTGCTTTGAGAGCTCCCATGGCCAGTAGAAGCCGGATGTTGCATGTTTCCAAGTGTTCTCTGGACTCCCGTTGAGACCGTGAAGAAGAACAACGCTATTTGAATTTGATTGACGGTTGGCGAAAACCAATCTTGTCAACAGTTGTGGGCAAAGGACTTACTCGATTGTGCACTCCCCGCCATCCTGGAGCACGGTTATGCCATCTCGCTGGATTTCTGGGCACTTGGGGGCCGAGGGTTCCGATTCAGCCTCAAATTGAGGTAAGTGCATGCTATGTAAAGTATGAGGGCGAAACAGCACCTACCATTGCCTTGGGGATTCAATCTCAGAGACTCAACTATTTCGCGAGCATCAATAGAATGATGACAGAGTGGTTGATGAGGGGTAAAGTCCCCTGCTGGAGGGATGAATTCCATTATAAGAATATATCATAACCATGTGCAGTCATGGCTCACTGGCAGTAAGCGCGCTGAACACATGGGTGTCTACTAGCTGCATGACCTGAGACTCTTAGGGACCTCAAGCAGCCAATAGACCTGGATGCCGAGATTTGGCGGATATGGCTTACGAAACTGAAAATGCACAAGTCCAGAAAGAGGAAGATGTCCCTCAGTACATGTGGCCATACCTAATAATAGTCCAATAGATTGCCTAGTTGGAGGGGAAGAGGGCTGGATTGAACCTGCGATGGGTGTAATGAACAGGCCAGGGTGAGTCTCAAAATGACTATCTCGATGGCCATCGGAATCCCCCTCCCTTGGAATGAGACATTCGTCATGGATGATCAGGTTACTGATGGGTCTCGTCCAGCAACAGTCAAAGCCACCAGCCATGAATGAATGATTGATGTTCCATGGTGACGAAATCTAAAGATTCTTGGAGTGGCACTTCTCGAGGTCGTGATAGGCACAACCCAAAATCATCTGGAAATAAAACCTCTTTTTACACTGAATATCAATGGAACTGATACACTGACATAGCTGCAGCCCCAACTCCATGTCCGCTCGTTTAATTCAGTGGCCACTAGATCATCTCTCTCTGCCGGCATTGGTATGTCTCTCTGTCACCGAGTGTGTCCTCCGGGAATTTGGTGCTATATCAGATCAAACAGAAACGTAAGTTGATGTCTCTAACTAAGAGCCTTTGCAACAGTTCAAAAGCATGTGCTCCACGGGCAAATTGCCATGAAGCTGCTCCCAGTAGGCTCTGTTGTCGGTGAAGTGGAATTCACGCGCGCCGAATTTGCTCATCAGCTCGAGCTTGATCGTTCGAATGAAAACTATCACCAGTTTCGCTGGCCATCGTCCAAGCTTCATACTTGTAGCCCGGTGGAAGATTAGTGTTCTCGAATGGGGCATCTAAAAGCACACTTTTCTCGGCACCTGCAAACTTCTCGAGAGCATACTCCGCAGGATTATGTCTCCATATCCACTCAGGCATATCGAACCAGCTAGACGCTTCGTTAGGTGTAGCTTGTTCAAGGTTAATCCTAGTGACTGCGTGGCGATTCTGGAACCCCAACTTTTGTATCAGCGAAACTCGTTCGAATCTCAACTTGGTGTGCACACGAGTAGCCACACCCTCATGCCCCTTGCCACCCTGACGCAGGCACCTCGCGAGGGATAGTGCATCTTCGCAAGCCTGTGAGGCTCCATTGCCCGATGTAGGCAAAAAAGCATGAGCGCTGTCTCCCAGTTGAACGACTCTACCCGCTTTGGAGGTCCAAATTGGCTGGGGATCTCTGAAGCGCAGAGTCCAGTCTGTACAAGAGCCGGCCGGTATGTTGCGCAGCAGCTCTACAAGTCCGGAGTCCCATCCGGAAAGCTTGTCTATGACCACATCTGCCGATGCCGATGCATTCCAGCTTTCCCTTGGAACACTCCTGTCTTCCTTAAAATCCACAAAATGTCAGAAATGATCCAAGTATGATTCAGTTTGATCCTTCCTCTGATATTTTCCCTCTTTTTCAGAGTATGGTTAAGGGGGTGGGAGAGCACTTTACCTTGTAGGTGATGGCGTAGCTAATCTCGTGACGGTCGAGAAGGATAGCAGCGTAACATTTCGGCGGACTAATGATTATTAACGTTCTATCGCCTGCAGGACCTGAAGTTATGGGAACGAACTCAAGATAGACCCTAAAATCAGGTTGATCAAGAGACAGAAATCTTGCCTTGGTCGAAGTTTCCACCTGTTGAAGAGCCGTGTCTGGAATCACTCCTCGATAAACACAGTAGCCACTGCTAACTGCACGCACAGAGTCCCCAGATACACAGCCGTGGCTTCGGGTTCCCACTCCATCAGCCGCCACTATGACATCCGCTGCTTCCGTCACCTCCCCCAATTTCGTTTTCAATACCACGAATGCCACGTTGTCTTCTTCATAGTATTGAATCGCTTCTTTGGAGTACTCAATAGTGATCCCAAGTCTTTCGCATTGGCGGGTAAGCATGCTCATCAGCTTTGGCCGAGCTACCAACAGTGGAACAAAGACACCCTGGGCTGCATGCTGTACTCCAGGAATATTCCATGGAGCGGCACCGAGATGCTTGATCTGCGTTCCCTGGGCAGTCCATACGCTGCGAACCGCATCGATTGCCTCGCGCTCAAAAACTGCTCGCATAGTGGGATAACACCCCATTGTCGCGAAACCTGACGGCACCATGCCGATCGTGTCGCCTGGTTCAACTTAGTATAAATATCACTTCAACATGGTATGGTGGGCGTTCAAGCTAAGCAGTAAGACTGACCGAGTGTATCCGTGGAGTCCGTTTTCTCAACAACACGAACCTCATGGCCGAGGCGCCATGACTCCAATGCAGACATCAGACCTCCAATTCCAGCACCCACGATGAGAATTGAAATGCCTGTCGGCGACAGGCGGTGGACGCCATCGACAACAATGTCCTTTGGCTCTCTTGCTTGCATTTTTTGTTTAAAAAGAGAAGATAAAGCAAGAATAATGTAGAAAAAATGTTGGATAATGCAAGATTTGTGACGGAAGGATAAAGTTGATGATGACGGAGAAGAACTACGGTTGAGTCCTTACGCAGAGACTGGTCCTTAAATACATCGTGACGCTGACTGGTTTTCTTGCCGTGCCGGACATAACAAGCTGAACACCAAGTATCAGTGCACGGACCTTTACCTTTGAATGACGCCTTGGGCTCCAATTGGCACAGACTGACACGGGTTGGAGCATGAGCCGGCGTAGGTTCACCAACCTCGAAGGCAGATACAGCCAAAAGTTCACATGAGCTGGAAGCGGATAGTGATGGCTGAGGATGAGGAGGTGGACCAGCTTCGTATACTAATCTTCATTAGGTAGGTCCCAGCTCCCTGCCATTACCCATATACCAGCGTGTAAGCCAAGCGGCGAGATCAGCATATGGGAGCATGCAATTGCGTTGAACCCCTGCTCGGGTTCTTGGGAAAAGAGAAGTGCGAGTGTAACCAAAGGCCAACGAATACAGGCTCATGCGGTTGTGCATTCTAAGTACGCATATGGCATTTACAGGAGGTCCCGAGAAGCAAATATCTCTTAACCCGTCCAGATCAGCTTTAGTGTACGAAGCTGATTGACAAGGATGCCATGTTTTCCTCTGTTTTTTTTTCCACATTGTCGGTTGAGGAAGCATGGCTTACCGATCATCCATCACCTGTGCTGCTTATTGTCATCTGTCAATGGAATATCTCGTACACTAAGCCAGATGCTTTTGTGATAAGGAACCAGGCAATTTGTAATACAGTGAAGTCATGCGTTCCCATGACAAACAGCCGCGCGGGCAAAGTTCTAATTTCTATGGTGACGTCTTCTGGCAGTTAAGGTGTTGGAATGTCTTGATTTTACTAATTGCTGTGCCTGCTAACGTTGGTGGAAGCATCAATCTATAAAAGAACTCAATCATCCAGCTCATAGGGATCAAATATCAAATCTCCGAATTCTCTTTCTACTAAAGCTTTGGAAAAGCCGGCTCTAAACTTTTGTGATTCCTCACCCAATATATACCAAACACCATGTCGAAGATTCTGACCATCTTCGGCGCTACAGGCATTCAAGGCGGCTCTGTCGTTAATGCTGTATTGGCTGACAAGGTGCTCTCCAGAGGTTTTAAAATTCGCGCAATCACCCGCGACGCTTCTAAGCCCCAGGCATTGGCCCTGAAAAACCGTGGGCTTGACGTTGTAGTGGTAGGTACTGCTGAATCGCCCCATGCTACAGTTCGTTTTGGTTGCTGACAATGCTTCTGCAGGCCGATTTGTCCTCTCCTGAGACAGTTACCGCTGCCGTAAGTGGCTCACATACCGTATTTCTCGTCACCAACTTTTGGGAGTTGATGTCGAAGGAACAAGAGATCCACCAAGGGAAAGTTGTCACAGATGCTTGCGTAATTGCTGGGGTGCAGCATCTGATTTTCTCCTCTCTCATCAATGTTACAACAGCTAGTGGAGGGCGATTGACACATGTTCGTCACTTTGACAGCAAAGCAGCAATTGAACAGTATGTCCGACAGAGTCATATTTCGGCAACGTTCGTCCTAGCCGGGGCGTACATGTCAAACTACTTTGATGCGATCCGCCAGAATAATGATGGATCTTATGCTATGGCTATGCCCATTTCTGGACACAAGGCTCAGATACCTCTCCTAGATGCTCTCGGTGATACCGGTAAGAGACTACACCATTGTTCTTCATAAGATCAGCGTTGACATTAGATATTAGGCAAATTTGTCAAGGCAGCGATGAAGAATTTCCCAAGATACGTTGGGAAGCATATCCTTGCCGCCTCTGAGTATTATACTCCAGATCGCTTGATGAGCGAATTCTCGGAGGTTATTGGTAGAGATGCTAGCTTTGTGCAAGTATCGCCCGAAGCTGCCAAGGATTTATTTCCCGCGGCTAGAGCTGAGGAGATGGTGGACAATCTGCTGCTTCTTGAGGACCCTGGCTACTTTGCAGGTGAACCCTTGGAGGAGAGTTTGGCGCTTTTAGACGAGAGGCCAAGTTCTTGGAAAGCGTTTGCCGTGGAGAATGTGGATAAGTGGCTGTGAGTTTCGGCGACTCAAGGCTTGGGTCAATGAATCAAGTACACTGAAAGCTTCCTGGGGAGTTTAAAGAGGAAACAGGCCAGCTTCGGTCCCAAAGTGGTACCTAAAGCCGATGATGCGTTTTGTGGTACTCGGTGAGACGCTTTCCAGTCAGTGTCATTCCTGAACAGCCTTTGTCGCAAGCAACACTGTAGCCAGTTTGCTTAGTTCCGTTGCATCAGCGCAAACGACCAGTCTTTCAGAAACCAGCTATGAGGGGATTGACTCATACTAGTACACCACAATCCATAAACCGACATTGCCAACGGATGCTTCAGGGCCAAAAGATCTATGAACTTTTGATCAATGCTTCCTGGCCAGTAGGCAAAGTGTGTCCAGGTCCGCGGACAGCCACCAGTCAGAACCGCCCACACTTTTAATGATTGGATAGCATGTTGAAGTGACTGCGTTTCCCGATGTTCTGGGAGTAGCATGCTAGCGCTTTCTTCCAGGTTTGCAATAATTTCGAGCATCCGAGAGCCCAGAGTCTCACGCAGACTACTCGAAGTATCGTATCCATCTTTTTCGATGTCGAAAAAGAGCGGAGTGGTAGGGGAGATCAGTTGTGCGCAAGATTTGAATGACTGAAGAGCCACCGCGGCAGATTTGAATCCGAATTGCAAAGAGTCCAACTTTATCTGAAAAATGCCAATTGCCATGGTGAAGGAAAGAACGGCAAATGAATCTGGCGGGGTATGTGCTGCTATGGCTTGGCGAAAGAGGTTGATGCCTTCAAGATGGTTCTCATATAGCTCTATACGGAGCCTTGGTTCCAAGGTTAAGGCACCCTGCTCCTTGTACAGAAGAGCTAGTGCACGAAATTCCAGCCGCAGGAACGCGTGTTTCCTGGTCTTTTCCAATAGCATCTCATGCCAATCTAAGGGCTTGGTTTCCACAGTGGAAATGGAGAGCAATGTGCTTGGATCAGGCTCGATGTTAAGGGTAGACATGTCGCAGCTGAATTGGCACGGATTATGAGGAATCCCTGAGACAAGCGCTCTTGAGTAATGTGTATCATCAGAAGGCCGCGTAGAATCCCGGAAAGAACATGATTCTCTTCTTCTCTCACAGTGCGAGCAAGTCGGACCTGTGAGACTACACTATGATGATATGGCATTAGCCTAAACCACAAAGTATGTAGTGATAGTTAAATGAACCTTTACACGCCGTCTCTTACAATTTGAACAACTGTTTCTAGACTTCTTGTGGACTTTTCGGGATGGCATATCAGCGATCGAGTCCTCGTGTGTAGAGACGGGAAGGCCAGAAGGTCAAAGTAAAACCGGATTTGTCAGCCTGTGAGTTGAAGAGATCATTTAACTGCAGCTACGCCGGCCAGCAGGTAAGAGAATATACTAAATATCTTCTTGTAGCTAATACCTAAATAATGAACCTTGTAATTAATAATCCGCTGCCTAGAATAAGTGGGCTCGGCCGCATGATGATACGTTGCAGTCCGATTTATCTATTCCCGAGCAGCAACTGTGCCAAGAGGATCCTTCCACTGCCACTTCAGCTGTGGAAGGCGGCAAATGCGTCTACACTAACAATTAAGCCGCTTGCCAAGTAACCCGAAACCCCTGGCTTTGAATCCGGTCTTAAAATTCGCAAGCCGTGAACTCCATTTTCTGGCCGACTCTAAGTACTTTACTACAAGACGTTTGATAGACTTTTTATGAACTTAAACCATTAATACTATTACTACTATCGTTTTTTTTTCAACTTTTTCACACAATTCTCGCTCTAATTTCCTCTAGGTACGTAGTAAGAGCCAATACATTCGAGGACCATGCTTCAACAGTTGCTCCATTATACTAGGGAGTAACTCAGTCAGTGTTCCAAGGCCAAGGCGTGGTCAGGAACCTTCCGAGCCCTCCCTTCTATCGGATGATGTTGTCGATTCCATTGAGTGGTAATCCTGAGAATCTTGAAGTTGGTGATTCTACATAATAAAAGTTAAGAATTGAGGCGATATATTCGAACGAAGATGTACGAACAAGGCAGCGATTTATATCCATTCACTACCCTTCTACTGTGATAGCACTCCTATATTACCTAATTCCTAGCTCAAGAAGCCCGAGCTGAGGCTCCACGGGAAATAAGTTAAATACCTAGCAAAATATACGGTGGGTAGCAACCACCATAAATCACACGGTTTAACTACCAAGATAGACGGACCCAACGGAGAACGAGAAGGAGATGTCCTTCAGCACCGTTACCTAAACGCAGAATTTTACAGATGATAGCTCATTGCGATGTTACCACTGCTAAAAACAAAATGGGAGGATAATTGCTGCTACCAAGACACAACAAAGAGGGAAGAATGACGGCATAAACGTGTCGCTGGCAGACAATTTCAAGAGCCCTTCAATCATTTTCCCTCCTCTTTGAAACCCCTTGAGTATAGTCAAGCATGAACTCAAGCAGCCACCGGTCCATTCGGAAAACGTCAAGCTCCCCCGCCTTGCATGCAAGGTGGAAGGTTTCGAATTTGGCAACCGATGCATCGAGATTAGGCCAGTATTTCCGTAGTCTTGACAATCGGCCAAAGTTTTGCTCTAACCGTTGTTTTGCTCGCGATATATCCTCTTCATCAGGGCTGAACAGGAGGGTGAACAATTGAATCGCGGATGTCACGACTAAAAGATGAGCGATTAAAGGATACCTAACCTCACTCCCAGGCGTATCATCCGCACGTTGCAGCAGCTCACAGAGACTGGCTGCATGGGCTTTGCACTTTGCTGCGTACAGTTGCCGCGGATCATTGGCCGGAAGGTCGCTTCGTTGCTGACATATATAGAGAAAACGAAAGAATAAGAGCTGGCCCGCGTAATGATGATTAATGTGAAGAATGGTATACTTACGCCCACTGCCCTTTCGCGCCCACAAAGAGTGGTTCTCGGGCGTGTATTTCAATGAAGGGGGCAGCTGGTCATACCAGTCTTCAAGAGAGGTGCAGAGCTCTTTTGTGCCGTCAGCTATATTAGTGTCTGCCGGGTTTAAGAGTACTTGACTACTAAAATCAAGGATGCGGTACAACAGCTGATTTAGCGGTATCATTTGGGCGAATATGGACGGTTCAGGATCAACGAATGGCGATTTTGGTGAGTCGGCATCCCCTACTGGTTCATCGGGACGGACATTGGCGAAAGCGTGTTCATCCATAGGTAAAGGAACGTCATGCCGCACAGGCAGAGCTCGGGGTATCTGGTGCGAACCTGATGACCAAGTGTCTACAGCAATAAGGGACCACCACACTGCTCAGGGCGTAGCGTCAGTCAAGGCATGCGTGCGCTCTGCTCAAGAGAGCACCCACCTCTTAGGTTCAGGTCTCGTTCCAGACGCGTTTCCACTGCTGAATTTGGAAGATCCAAGACCAAGGCCATGCGGCACGCAACACTTAGGAAGACTGACTCGGAATTGGCGTCGCCCTCAATGCTGAGATAAGCTGCCGCCATGATACAAGCTTGGATTGTTAACAACGAGGTGGAGTAAAAGTCGATAAGTTGTTCCGCCTCCATCCAGTACGGCAATCCTCTTTCCCGTATAGGTATCTCAGCTAGAGACAAATGTGTAGAAAATCTGCCAGACAGACTCGCCATGAATAAGAGAAGGATAGTGGGCAATGTTCTCGTGCGGAGCCCTGCCTCAACCGAGGGTTGGTGAAAAATATTGTGGAATGCCACATGAACGTAGCGAAAGTAAAGGCCGACAAGCTCCTCTGCAAGATCGTCCTCTATGAACAAAGACGGAGATATTCGGAATCCCATCCCTTCGCGACATTGGTGTAGAAGCTGGTAACGTGTAGTTCTGAGTGCCCAAGTGCTGACACCCGGGGGAGGTCCCTCCAAAGTGCACGGAATACCCCGTTTAAGGCACAGTTGGCAACTGCCTGTGGGACCTGGAATGCATTTCTTTCGACGCTCCCTATAAGTTTCTGATCAGCGGAATGGACATACGTCCTCGCCATCCGGGGTGCCGCTGAGGGTCTTACCGACAGGGCGTGCACGCTGACACAGGTCGCATTGCGCCCTAACATGAAGCATGAGATATGAGGGTAGTCCCTCTGAGTGTGAGAGAGCCGAATAAGAGTCGATAGAGCAAGGTGAGGAAGAATTGGGTCGAAGGGTACCCATGCTCCCAGCAGACTGAATTATTCCCGAATCATAGCACCCGAGCAAAATCACATGATCAAGGTACTAACTGACTCGAGTCATCAAGTCACCATCCCTACCCTATACCATGACACGTAAAGACTTGATGGCACCTTCTGGTCACTCGGAAATTGAATTATTTTCCAAGTGAGCCTTATGATAGATATAATGTAGTTAATAAAAAGCTGCACTTGATATGATTGGGCAATTTTTGCCTAGTTGGGAGCGCTGGGCTCGCCTAAGTGTGAGCAGTTTCAGTTTTGGAGTCTTCCATCACACACCTCTCTAAGAAGAGGATTCGATTTCCAGCTTTTTGTTGCAAATGAAAAGGTATTCTACATCTGATCCCTTTGAAGTGCCTATTCTAAGTCTACATCACGTCGCGGCCTGCTCTTAGAGACTTTTCATTTCCGCCACAGAGTGAGTAGGCCTACTCGGTGTACTACTTTTGTGTGTTAGGTGATAGGCACAGCCTATGAATGCATCACCGAAAAGCTCACTCTAGTGCTTTTGTGCCTTGCCGCCGCCGTCTTTGAAAGGTACTCTTCAAATATTGGGCAGAATCTTTTGGTGTCCGTTTCTGTGTGTCGTAGTTAACGTGGACGATTCCAAACCTGGGTCCATATCCAGCAGACCATTCTAAAAGCATCGCATTAGCTAGGATCGCCTGATAAACGTGAAGGGACGCACCGAAATTGTCCATAAGGCTCCAGGCATAGTATCCTGTAACATTGACCCCATCTTCGTAGAATGCCTTGGAAATGGCATCTTGATATGTCCCAAAGTAGAGCTGTCGAAAATTGTCATTCTTCGCTATATTGACGTCTGCTTCCCCATGGCACGGGCATCCGTTTTCTGTAACAACAATAGGAAGCTGATATCGCCGCTAAACCCAGTTGAGTAGCTTCCTGAAGCCTGAGGGAGCCAGCCGGAGCCAAGCAAGGCCCGACGGAGGGCCTATTTCGTTCCCGTCGCTATTGACAGAAGTCTCCTGTATATTACCCGTCCAGTCGTCTGGAGCTGGGACTCCCTCCAGCTGCCGGGCATATTTGGTTGAGTAGTGATTCATGCCGTAGAAGGTATTCATACTTGCAGTCTCGTGCAGCAAGGCCATCTCGTCTTGGGTGAAGAAAGGCAACCGCGAGCCAAGGTACTCTCGCATCTCTTGTGGATAGTCTGCACCCTGAAAGATGGGGTCCCCGAACCACCCAATATAAAAGATCATCCTTTTCTCAGCCGCATCTCGATCAAATTGACTGGACGCATCCCACAGCTCATAGAAGTGACCGTTGAGAACAATGGAGATTTCGCCGTGCTGTACGCTTTGAAACTCTGATGTATACATTTTCACCACGGCGGCATGTGAAATGATGAGGGTATGGCCCACGAGCCAGGGCTCAGTGGTAGTATCAGTTCCAACTTCCTTGCAGTGGCCTGGCGCGAGAGTGCCGTTGAGATAGCCAAAGATAGAAGTTATATAGGGCTCATTAAAGGTAATCCATCTTTTTACCCGGTCGCCAAAATGTGTAAAGCATACGCGGGCGTAATGCTCGAAATCAGCGCGAAACTCGACAGTATCTAACATAGCACCGTAGCGGTCGTAGAGGCATTGTGGAGGGTCCCAATGAAACAACGTCGCGACAGGTTGGATCCCACGGGCGATGAGCCGATCGATTAGGTCACCATAGAAAGCGAGTCCCTGATCATTGAGAGGGTCTTCACGCCCCCCTAATGGGATGATGCGCGACCATGAGATCGAGAAGCGATAAACCTCGATGCCTATGGCCGACATGAGCTCGACATCTTGCGGCATCCGATTGTAGTGATCGCAGGCAACATCCCCATTTTCATTATTTGTACGGCTTGGTTCTTTGTGGGCGTAAGTGTCCCATATGGATTCTCCCTTGCCGTCTTGAAAGGCGGCTCCTTCAATCTGGTACGCAGCTGTAGCAGCGCCCCAGGTAAAATCAGAAGGAAGCGGAAGCTCCTTGACAGTGAGATCTGAGTCCTGTTGCACGTCATGACTGACAATGTCGCCAGCCGAGAACATCGATGCTTCTACATCCATTGGGGGTGAAGCCATGGCAAGCATCAGAAGAGCTAGACTCTTTCATGAAAGGGCACTGGCTGGTGACGCGTTCAGTGTGATTAATGCGACAAGGTGAGTCAAACTTATCTATTGCTGTTTGGAGATCTCTACTACGAGAATGATCTAGCTAGGATAGCATCGACTGAAGATAGGCACCAAGCCGAATTCGTATCGGCTCATTATAGTGGTCGGAGAACATGTCGGAGAACGTTATATGAGCCCCTTGCAAGCTACGGTTGTATGCACAAGGACCCATCAAGGCTCCGCCCTCGGGGTAATTAAGAGGCTGTCTCGGAAATGTCGCCTGCTGAGAACCGAGCCGTCCATTCTGTTCACTAGAGCTGGCCTGCTCCGGTAGAGTAATCTCTGTCTTAGTTTCCGTGTTGTATTCTGCTTGCCCCTCACCCTACGGTACCGAAGACTACGATTGTACCTAGAAGTAGAATAGAATTAAAAAATACATTCGATTTTAGTATCTCGATCTGCACAAACGTGGGTAGGCCCTTTCGTATAATGCAGTACTGAATCAGCCCTCCTACGTGTTCTCATCATAATGTCTCTTGAAACTATCTGCCCTTACAACGAAGACATTCTCCTGATTTCTGACACGAAGTGTGTGATATTGCCCTGGCAGTGAAGCGTGTAAAACGAACTCCTGCGCCGTGTTATGCTCAATGTTGAAGCGGATCTCAACATCCCCGGAGGCCTGTGTGGTCCATGAAACGCAAGCCAAACCCTGTAGACCATCTTTCGTCAAGCACAAAGGAACCTTGGCCCGAACGCAAGGATACAAGCCAATTCTCGGGCGAAAGTCGATCTCGGCCCACATCGGTGTCTTTGGCTTCAACCCGACGACCTCGGAGAAGAACTCGTATATTGGCACACTTCCCCAGGCATGGCAATCAGACCTTTGGCACACATCATCTTCAGCCCAGGTCGTGAGGTTCTGTTCTAGCTGCCATTCCCATGGTGCCCAAAACTGATGAAAGTGCTCGTTGTAAAGGTCGCCGCCCAGGGCACTTAGTGCTCGCATAGTGTAAAAGGACATCGAGACTGAGGGTCGAATCATGCCGGAATCCTCAGCAAGACACCTCCTCAGCAGCTGATTAGCCTTCTCTCCCGAAACAGCCTTGCTCAAAACACCCCATATCTGGCAGTGGATGCTACGATCAGAGGAGCTAGACTTGCTTGCAATTGTGTCGCAGAACGTGCCATCACTCATACACAGCGCCCGTGTAGCAGCGTTGATTTGCTGTGCACGAGACTGATACTCGTGTGCAACACTTTGACGCCCCAGCGTGCCTACCAGTCGGCTCGCGTTGGCTAACGTGTACGAGTAGAGGTGGTTTCCAAAGGTGGATATTCCAGCCTTCTCGGTGCAGGGTGGGATTCCATGAGGCTTCCACTCCGTCTCCCAATCAACAAAGTTCCAGATACCAGGGCGGACCTCCAGAGTGACGAGCCCCCTTTCATCTACTCGAGACTCAAAGTACGCCAGAACGGCGTCAACAACCGGTAGAAATCGAGTAGTGAATTTAACGTCTCCAAAATTCGTGAAGTGATCGCACACCATGAGAACCCAATACAGGGAGAAATTGGGTATATATTGGGGTCGGTGAGATGGAGCACGACTGGTAGTTAGGCCAATCTGCGGATTGAATGAATTGTGCAGTTGTACAATAGCCTGGCGAGCCATACGGTCGTCCCCAGAGAGGTTGTATGTGAACAACGCGGAGCTTCGAGTGTCCATTGCGTACTGCAGCTGCTCGTAGAACGGGCAGTCCTCATAGCAGTCGTGCATGCAATTTATGAGCGTGCGGGCGCTGACCTCAAGTAACCTTTCTGGGAGATGGGAAATAGGTCCATCCGGGACTTGCGACGCTTTGAAAGCTGCTCGCACGTCCAAAGGGTATGTAACTTCCTGTAGGTCGAGTCCCTCTATTGTCAGATCGTCGGGCCCAACCTCAAAATCGAGGTTCAGAAAGCGAAAGGTGCGAAAGTGGAAAGGCGCGAAGACCTCACAACTCATGTCTGTTCCCTCTCCCTCGGCCAAAGCGATAGAGTCTTTTCCCTGGAAGGAGTATATGTCCTTGGGGCCGATCAGTGAGCGAGAATAATCACATCGATCCTTCTTAGCTCTCGTCCATGGCAAATCAGGCGACGGATCCTCGTAGCTCTCCGAATAGGTCACCATTAGCACACTACCTGCTCTGAGTGGCCTTTCGAAACGTAGCCGGAGAAATGCAGTCGCATGATTGGTGAGCTCAAGATCGATTCGGTGTCGTGTGCCAGCCCTGAGAGTGATCGGTGCTGGGGACGGAGTTTGGTAATCAAGAAATAGGGACTCCCATGCCTCCTTGGGTGAAGTGCTTTGAACGTTATTAACGCCGGCACAGACCAGCTTTGTGAGCCTCAGCGGCGGTATTTGGCGAGGGGAGAGGTTCCATGGAGGGGAGTTGCCGGTGGAATTCTTAAACGTGTGCAAAATTGCTGCCTCCCAAGTCAGTTTGTTGCCTGATCTCTTCGTCTTCTCGTAAAGATGCAAGAAAAAGTCCTCCGGGTCGTCCACACGGAGTACTGTGTCGTGATCAATTGCTGTTTCCCATGTAGAGCTGCTTTGTAACTGTTCTCGCCACCAATCATTTCCGGTGTTGTCGGGCAGCCAGATCCGTAGGCCCCCGAAAGGCAACCTTGGGAATGATGGGGAATATGTTGTCGCGAAATAGAGCCGTAGTACTCGAACGTTGACGTGATTCTCCCCGAGGTGTAGGAATGGGGCGATGTTGACCTGGTCGAAAAACCATAGATGCGCGTCACCCTTGACTGGGCCAAAAGAGACTTGCTGATTGTTGATACATAGCTTATATCGTGTATCAGCAGTGATATTTACCATCAACGTTTGTGGGAGCCCATCTGTCACGGTGATCTTCTTTCGGAAATGGACAAATTGACCTGCAGAATTTGCGGAATCATCTGAGGCATCTGGATGCCACATCCAACTGCGATCATACTCAAGAGCCATGGGTGCTGCTTCTCCAGGTCGTAATCGCCGTGAACTTGTGATACCGTAAGAAATCAGGTCTCTCGTTCTCTGTGATCATGCTATCGAAATCCAGACTGAATATCGGCTTAATTCACCCGAATTTTGACACGTATAGCGTTATGCATCGCTTCAAAGATGGCCGAGTTTGCATCTCATCTACCTCCGACGGCTAGCAAATGCGAAAGCGAAGTGCGTCTCGAACATAACCGGGATATGTCGAAAGCGGGGTATTTCGATAGTTCCCCGGCAGGTCATTATACCTAAACGAATAATGTGAGAGATGCCCCGACAAGTTTCCCGACACCATACAGTCCCACAGATCGGCGGGGCGACAGAAGTATCCTTGACACGACTCTTTGCCCCTGCTTCTTTTGGGTGTCAAGGTTTGTTCCTCTTTTGTGGGAAGAAGATCCGTGAAACTGCGGGTATATCTTGGTCAATGGGAGGTAACTTTCCGTGCTAAAATAGTTCATATGGTCATTTCATTTGTCAGGTATCGTGTGCTAATTACACTCTTTTACTGGGAAATAAGCTGGAAATGTTGTTAACCTCTGTGCCTTAAGAGATGCTCATCCTTTGGAAAGCCCTTGAAATGTTGTAGTCATCTGCTCATCATCGGTTTATCAATATATATGGCTGTAATTATTGGCTCTTCTCTGTGGATCGCTATGTAGTCGAGTCGATATCAGCTCTTCCCCGCAGACCTGATGTTCAGCAGATGTTCAGAGAGTAGGGGAATTGGGATCTGCTATTTCTCTGTAGAGGTAGGTAGCCGTTGAGATTTGGCCGAGCTTTCCAGGATCATAAATATGAAGCTACCTGGAGGCTCGGGTCAAGATCGCACCGGTACTTCGGAATTACTCGCATGGTTCGTATCTTTCGTATATTACATCGTTTGCGGAGCCCCAGGGTACCCTCCGCACCCCAGAAACTGTTGTAACCTCATGACCACATTGTACTTGGGGTCAGAGATGGGATTCCATTGTAAAATCGCTTGCTCATGTCTCTAATAAGAGGTAGATGAGATGAGCGGTGCACTATCAATCAAATCTATAAATGGAGTCCTCAAGCTGCGCTGTTGGAAGGATTTTGCTTCTGGACAGCCGCCTTCATCACTCCACATGCTTTAGCTCTTTGCGTTGGTTCTCGTAACCATGAAGCACATCAGAATCCTGACAGGCCTAGTCAGCGCCTCTGCAGTTCTTTCTATTGCGCATGCTCATACCCCTCGTGACGATCTTGACAACAATGTTCCATCTCCTCCCAAAGCCGAGGCCATCTCTCTAGTAAGAGTACCTCTGCCGCCAGTTGCTCCAAGCGATGAGAAAGGCTCTTGTTCTCTTGACGTGAACCCTCGCGGAACAGGATGTGTGGCAAAGCACAACAATCTTCATTCTGGCCATTTCTTGCCCGACAATCAACATTTTGTTGCCATTGCCAATTTCACTGGCGCGCCAGCAGCACCTGATCCAGCAAGCATTTATCAAGGCCAGCACGTTCTTGTATTCAAGGCTGATGACTCAACGTTCGCCAACGGAGACAACTGGAAATGTATTACCTGCGGCTTGCCTGCAGAGAACTCCAAGGGGCGCACTCTTTTTGTCGATTATCCACAGGCCTTCCAAGATGGAAAGCGACTATTTGTGGGTGACAACATCATTGAATGCGAGGAGGACCTAGTCAGCGAAGCTTGTACCCCTAAGAACACGTACATGCGGCCGATACGCTGGAATACTAGCGTTGACGGCAAAGGGCCCGGAGGCGCGATGCGAGAGCTTCGCCTTCATCCTGATAATGTCCACTTGGGATGGAGTGCTTTCACCATGGCCAATGGAGAGTTTGGGCAATTCTCCTACTACGGCAGGCTTGCCTGGAATCCTGACCCCGTGGAAGGTGAGCCGTTGGTGCCTCGGTATGACGTCGAGAAGGTCTACAGGCTCTTTTCGGCCGACCCCTATCAGAATGAACGTGTCATAGTCCACCCTGATGATCCCACCCAGCTTCTGATTCAGAGTGAGGTGCCTACCGTCGGTGAGCTTCGCGGCTTCGGGGGAACCGGCAAGGAGGTTACCTATGTCGGCGCAGCTGTTGAATCGTCTAACATTGACGTTTTCGCAACTGATCTGACCACGGGCGTGACTCGGCGTCTTACAAGCCACCCCGAGTATTGTGATCCTGTCGATATCTCGCCGAACGACGAGTGGCATGTGGTCATGGACACGCGCGGAACAGATCGCCAAATGTTCTTGAGTGGTCTGCGAGGCATCCCGCCATTGACCGATATCATCACCTCAAGCGTCACATCGGCCACTCGAAACAACGGACAGCGTCGCTTCTTCCAGCCATGGATCATTGATAAACACGGCGACCGCGGAACCTACTTTGGCCAACAGGTCAATGCACAAGGCGATGGTGTCCCAGGTGGAGGCGACTTCAATGACCCTGTTTGGAATGGTAGAGCTGATCCAAGATGGTCTTGGGACGGCACGAAGATTGTTTACACTCAAATCATGCCTTACGCTCCTGCGTGCGGCGATCCAAACCCACTCCCGTGCTACCCATCCACCGAGGATGGTGGCCGCATTGAGCGCATCATCATTGCCCACCTTACAGGCCGCGAGCCTTTACCAACGTATCAGGTTGAAGAAGCTGCGGACGAAGTACCTTGGGGAGAACTCTACGTCCCAGGTGAGACTCAGCCGCAACGAATGTCTCCACCACCTGGTCAGTATGTGCTTCAGGGAAAACATTCCGGATACGCCCACGTAACTCTAGGTGGCGAAGGCGATAAAATTAATTTTGTTGAGGTCATCTATTATTCTTTCTCCGATGACGGCGAAAACGTCTTGAAAGGTACCGAGAGCGTCACGGTCGAGTCACCTGAACTGACCCTAAGCCACGTTGATTGGTATTCCAATCTCACCCAGACCGGACCTTGGAACGGTACGAAGCTTACCAGTGCGGATGGATTTCAGCTGCGCATCGATGTTATGGTCAATTTATTTGACGCAAACGGCACAATGACGACCACCGTCGACGGCAAGGAGTATTATCAACCGGCGAACGGACAGTGAGATATTGCATGTGCGTGTCTTCTTGATTGAGAACTATGCCCGGATAACTTAAGTCATCTGCTTGTCCCTGCCAGTCAGGATACCACTATCTGAGCATTAATACAATCCTTTAATATTACTGGCCATGAGCCTTGTTGCCATGTTTTCGCTTGTTGACTGGGTAGATGTTCGTTTCCCTGACCTCTCCAAAAGTTTAGAACCTACACTTGACGTTACATTCAATACGTTTATCATCTTCAATGATGTGTCTCATGAATAGCAAGGGCTAATTTATACATATACCACAAGACTTCCAGGTCAACGTGAATTTGATGTCTAAATACTCTTGATTAATACCGATCATACTTGTAATGAACAGGCTCGTATGTAAAGTAGTCAAAAATAGCCGACTTCTCTGTCCCGTTGAGGTCCGAACAAGCCATGCCCACAAACGCACCCGTGAAGCTTCCGGGTCCACCGCACTCGTCTGATAGTATGGAGGCGTCCAGCACGGGACCAATCTTCTCCAAACTCTCTTCACTGCCAAGTGCATAGGAGAATTGTAGCTTATCCAAACGGATCTCGAGTGCTAGGCGGACCTTGCCTTCCTTTGGGACTGGTACCGGCAAAGCAACCGGTGGGTCATCAAGGTTGCCGTTTGGGAAGCTGGCCTGACTACTCATGATGCGTAGCTCTCGTTGCCCATGATCGGTGCCAGTGACTGCGAGATAGAAGAAATTGAAGCGAGAGTAGTACGCCGTCAGCCCGGCAAACTCACGCTCGTCAGTGGGACTGAAGCTGAGGACCGTCTCGGCGTTATAGGAGAAGTGCGTTTGCCTGCGGGCAACCAGCGCTTGCTCGTACCAAGAGCCAATTGCCTCACGACCAATGAGTTTGAGGCCGTCATTGACATTGATGGAGAAGATTCTTTCCGGCTCAGGGGTCCTGAGCCATTGGAAGTCGGAATGAAGCTCTAAGCCGGTCCCGAACTTGTAGACTCTCTTAGCCCAGTATGCACTGTCGTCCCTTTGTCCGGGCAACTCAACAGAGAGTGCGGGCACCGGAGCCCCCTTGATATATAGCCAGTCATCCTCGCCCCAGTACGCTCCCTGGAGTGATGTTTCTCGGCCCAGGACGCAGCGCCGTCGTTGTATTATTGGGCGGCTCATAAGATGGGCTACGTATGTCTTACCATCGGGCGTATCGACGATATCTCCATGACCGGCACGTTGTAGAGCGGCGAGGGGGTCATCTTTGGATGTCAAGATGTAAGTATCTGGGTGAACCTCATAAGGTCCCCAAAGTCTTCTGGAGCGTGCCAGGGTGCATGTATGGTAATATTGCGTGCCCCCTTCTGCCGTTAGCAGGTAGTACCACCCGTTGCGCTTATATAGATGGGGGCCCTCCGTATACCCGATCTCCGTGCCGTGGAAAACGTTCTTCTTAGGACCAATTAGTTTGCATGTCGCCGGGTCGAGCTCCTGGACAACGATACCGGCGAAAGGGTTCTTGCGGCGGCGATGGTCCCATAGCATATTGATGAACCACTTGCGCCCATCATCGTCGTGGAAGAGAGAGGGATCGAATCCAGAGGCGTTAATGTAGGATGACTCTGACCAAGGGCCAGTGATGCATGGGGCTGTTATGATATAGTTGAGTGTATCTTTGAAGCTGCCCTCCTTGCGGCGAACGTCTGTATACACTAGCCAGAAGCGCTCGCCATCGTGAGAGAGACAAGGTGCCCATATCCCAGCACCATCTGGGTGCCCTCGCATGTCCAGCAGACTTTTGCGGTCGAGTGGACGGGCAGCCAATTCCCAGTTTGCCAAGTCCTTGGACTGATAGATGAGAACCCCTGGGAACCATTGGAAGGTTGAGGTGGCGAGATAATAGACATCCCCGACGCGGATAATGGAAGGGTCTGGATGGAAGCCCGGCAGGACCGGATTGCGAACTAGAGGCATGGTCGCGTGAGGAGTACAACGAGTTTGCCAATAGTCGGAATCCGTGCAAGACAAACATGCGCCAGGAGTTTGGACTACTATGTAGGCAGGGGAATAACCACCCGTTGTTGACTTCTTTTGTACACATCCTGTAATTGAGGATCTGCAGTACCTGTAGAACTTAACAAGGTTTCTTGGCTTCATATACCCACCCAGGGTCGCCAAGTCGGAATAGAACAGACTAGCCGGCATGATAAGTTGGGTGGAGTGGGAGTTGTCGGCTTTGCTGTCGGAGGTCAAGACGTCTCATTGGCTCTTTAGGACGCCAAGGCTAAAGTCAGAGGGGTCTGGAAAGTCCAATATAGATTCTCGCGTGGTCTTTTGCGAGTCATTTGGTCAAGGTGTCAGCGCTAGTGGACATCCTGGGCTGTAAAGAGACCCGGTCGATGAGCGATATTCCAGTCGGTATGCCATGACTGAGAAGCCGAGGGTTGGAGCTGAATAACGAGGCCCATTGCAATGGAATGATCCCCGCCTTTCCCCACATCCACTCAACCGGGCTCATATTCCCCGTCCCGGTGACCCCGTGTTTTGACTCTTGACCTCTCTTTGGGGTTGGTCTGGGCTTGACCCCTTGATTTGTGAATTAGTGGCCTGTTATTTCTCCTTTCACCGTTCTCGGCTTATCTGGAGCCGAAATACATTCACATAACTTGGTCAAATCTTTCACCTAGGTGACAACCTGGGAGACTGTTGCCTATATATATACCAACATACTTGGCGGACTCTTCGCACAGTTTCCCCTTCAGCAGCCCAACCGCCTATCTCTACTATTCATTCATATTACACTTGAGCATCACAGGCTCTGCATAACACATCATTCTCGAGTGGTTTAGCAACACGATGGCTTTGCCTGATGCGGATAACCAGACGAAGCCCAAGGGAGTGCACCTTGAGGTGACCCCGAACGAGACGAGCGAGTCCAAACATGGTGATAACGGCATCGTGGATGTCGCTAAATCCAAGTTTGACGATCTCTCAGTTGGGCAGACACTTTGGACCTTCCGCCGTGTTGTACTCGTCTCACTTGCCGTGTATACTGGATTCGTCTGTGAAGGTTTTGAAGTATGATAAGCAAAACCCATTTTCGTCATAAGGAACTTATGGGAAATAATGTCACTAACAACGGTACAGCTCAAAATCGGAAACAACATTCTGGCTAACAAGGGGTTCATCAAACAATTTGGAAGCCGGGGTGGCCAGGGCGTGGAAGCACTCGACCCTACCTGGGGTATGTCAAGCCATGGCTACCACTCATGATATTTCTAGAGCTAACCCGATCTCACAGTCTCTACGTGGACTTCACTTCTTGTTTGTCTAGATCTCCCTGTCGTGACCAACTCACAGCACTGACTTCTTTAGAACGTCGGTCAAATCATTACATTCCTCTACATTCCATGGTGAGCACCCATCTACAAACTACCCAGCGGCCGAGAAAAGGCAGGGCTTTTACTTCGCGATACTTACGCTCGTGCAGGTACTCTGATAGATTCGGGCGGAAGGCTTGCTTCTATCTCTCCTGGTTATGGCTTGCCGTGGTACGTAAATCTTGGGGCAAAAAACCGTTGCAGAATGAACACATTGCTAACAGCGACAGGGCTGCGTCTTCCTCAATGTGGCCAAGACTCCTGCTGTTTGGGTTAGTAGCAATCACAGTCGGGCTTTTCATTATGAGAAGTCCATTTGATGTTCATAGTTCATTCTAACACTCCGATGCAGGCCCTCGGAAAGCTTTGCAACGGTGCAGGTGTTGGAATTCTTCAGTAAGCGCCATTTTGATACTGCCAAGCACCATATTTAATCAGACGTATTCGAGTACTGACCAAGTCGGTAGAGTGACCTGTCAGATCTACGTGATGGAGATTTGTCCGAATAAAATTCGAGGTGGAATGATCACCTTCCAAGCTGTTTGGTACGTCTTACCCCTTATCGAGGCTCTTGTTATGCCCTTATTTAGGCTAACCTGGCCAAGGAGTAACATCGGTAACATCACCTGTAACGTGATGATGCAGGAGCTTAACAGGAGGTGGCCTCTCAACTACACGCTGCCCCTACGCATTCTGATTGCTCCTGTGGTCTTGATGATGTTCTTCTGGGCATTCGTCCCCGAATCTCCTTGGCATCATACTCGCCGTGGCAACAAGGAGAAGGCCATGAAGTCTCTGCGACAGCTATACGGCGGCGTAGAGGGCTACGACTTCGAGCAGGAGTATGACATCATTGCTAAGACAATCCAGCACGAGAGGGAATTCATGGCAGAAGAACCCGGCTTTCTACATGTCTTTAAGGGTGTGAACTTGGTATGCAAGATTTAAGATATTTTCTCATACGATGAAGTGCTAACCTCTTTGCAGAAGCGAACTCTGACGGTTATGCTGCTCTCTGTCTGCTCACAATTTGGCGGTCTCTCCGTCGTCCTGAGCTACTCGACTTGTTTGTATATTCATTCTTTCACTCTTCTGCGTACCTGCTGATAGTGTGACAAGACTTCTTTGACCTCGCTGGCGTTTCCGACCCGTTCCTTGGTACTCTGATCCTCTCGTAAGTTCCACCACGATCTTGGCAACCGTAATCACGTATATCCAAGAAGGACAGGGTGGCTGACGTTAGAATGCTCACATCGCCTAGCTGTTGCAACCTCCTCGCTGTCTTCCTATGGTCCATGACCACGGACACTTTCGGCCGCCGTAACTTCATCAACGTTTGCGAAACTGCGACTTGTTGCTTCCTTTTCATCACAGGTTCTCTGTGGTGGGCAGGAGCTACGTCAGGAAATGTGCCTGCCAGCAATGCTCTTGTAAGTTTAAACGCTCCGTCCATCTGCAGTTCGCCATAGGCCATATCTGCTAACCCCCTTCTTAGCTAGTACTCTGCTGTCTTTGGAGCTTCATGTTCCAAGTGGTCAACCTATCGTATTCAGTCATGTCCGCTGAATTGCCATCCGCCCTTCTTCGAGGTAATCAATCAATGTTCGATCCCTCATTTTGCAACTGCTAATCATCTTCTCAGTTAAAACTGCGCCCGTGACTTTCTTTGCTCAGTCAATTCTAGGCATCTCCTTTGGGTACGTTGGGTTAAACCCCTCTGAGTGAATAAACCCTCTAATGTTGACAATGAGCATAGTTATGCCACACCGCGTATGCTTCTAGCGTTAAACATCAAGGCGTGCTTCATCTTCGGAGCGCTATCTGTGCCATGCTGTATCCTCATGTGGCTCTACGTTCCAGAGACTAAGGGGTCAGTCATCTTCTTGCTAATACTATCAAGACACAACAGACACCGTTACTAACAAGCATGCAAAATAGACGTTCGACTGCTGAGATTGATGAGCTTTACGAGCGTAGGATTCCAGCCTGGAAGTGGTCCAAGACGAGGACGTCGGTGGAGGATCATTCCCTTACTCTCTTGACAGAGAAAGAGTAACCTTCCTCTTTAAGTCAAAAGTTAATCGGCCCAAATCTTCTCATCGACTTACACATGAGAACACCTGTAGTTGGGGAACTTATTATCAATGTGTAGTAGGAATTATATGAGTATTGAATCATGCTGTAGTCAAGACAGATTTCGCGCCGAAATCCGCATCGTTATGAGCGATGCCCTAGACGGCTTGCTTGTTCCTAGCCAGACAGAGACGACCAATGTCTATCATTCTTCGACGTTTGCATAATGCATTCCCCGTCTTCTCTTAGCGCGACAGCTATTCATTCTACCCTTCTACAAACATATTGATAACCAAGCCTTATTTGGACCATTTAGTAAAGACAATAAAGATGGGCCGAACGCCAGAGAAAACACGGAATAATGAATAATACATGCGGATGGGAGACCCGACGAGATCTTGTTAGTCATTGTGGATCGGTTGTTGCGGATTAATGCTCCAGTGGTCCGTATCGCTTCCAAATCTAACGCCTGTGGAGTAGACATCTCGCGTGTGATAGCAGGATATATAACATCTGGACATCGAGATTGCCTCTTGGTAGGGTTGAATTGACTATGGTTGACGGCCAGACTTCTGCAAGCCTGCTAGCATATTCCTTGTACCAAACCAACCAAACAAACAATGTCTACTGTTACGCCCCACAACTCTTTGAATGGCACCAACGGATGTCATACTCTCGGTCAGAGAGTCAAGGTCATTGTCGTGGGAGCAGGGTTCGCCGGTATGACCGCTGTCATTGAATGCCAGAGGCGAGGCATGGACGCTATTCTCGTCGAAAAGTACACCAACTCGGCCGAATATGGCGACATCATCGACTTTTTCGCCAATGCAGGGCGCATCGTCGATGCATGGGACAACGGCAAAGTGGCTGATAGATTGCTCGACATTTGCATCACCAAAGCAAAGTGGATGCAGATGCTGAAGCACACTGGTGAAGCTGTCCATCGTGACCCCTGGTATCTCAAGCCAGAGCACTTTAGATACCAGTATGCTGGTCAGAGAGGCGCCATGTGGAAGATTTTCCGCGACTACGCCGAGGAGCTTGGTGTCGAGATGCACTTTGGCGTTGGAGTGGTCGACTATTTCGAAACTGAGGATGAGACCGGGGTGATTCTCGCCGATGGGACCAGGATTACTGGCGATTGTGTTCTGGCTGGGGATGGCCCAAAGTCCTTGGCTAGGCAGAAAGTCCTCAAACTCGAAGACAAGAAAACCAATAGCGGCTATGCTATCTTCAGATCTTATTTCGAAGCAACCGAGGAATTCAGAGAGCATCCCCTCTTGCAAGAATATCTCAACCCGGACGAGGACACCATTAAGTTTTGGATTGGTCCGGACTCTCATATGCTAGCCTACTCCTGGCAGGGAGGCTCAAAAGTCGTATGGGTATTCTTTCATCCAGTAAGACTTTACTTTCACCCAATGTTCTTATATTACCCCGTTGCTAGTATTCGAATAATGGCTAACTACGACCCATTGATAGGATAAAGAAGATATTGGCGAATCGTGGTCTGAATCAGCCGACAAGTCGTCCGTTTTGAACTATATTGATAGCATCGGGTTCAATAATGAATGCAGGGCCATAGTGGAGCTTACGCCTCCTGGAAGAGTCATTGATTTCAAGCTTGTTTGGCGTGATCCGCTTGAGACGTGGCTCAGTCAAGGCTCAAGGGTTGCTCTGATCGGTGATGCAGCGCATTGTCACTTGCCTACCTCGGGTCAGGGGGGCTCCCAAGCTATGGAAGATGCAGTCACGGCTGCCATCTGCCTAGAAAAGGCAAAGGGTGATGTTCCACTGGCGTTGAAGGTTATGGAAAGAATCCGTTTCAATCGCTCACATATCACGCACCAGGCAGGGATGCAAATACGCGACATCTGGCATCAGAACCCTTGGGAGCATGTTGAAGATGACCCAGAAAAGATCGCATTAGCCAGAGGAGACTGGATTTTGGACTTCGATGCCGTAAAGACCGCAGAAGAGCACTTTGAGCGATTAGCAGAAGATGTACGTAGCGGCAAAAAGGGTACGCTGCAAGAGCTTTCACTGCCAGCCGGTGGCGTGTATGATGATATCCGCAACAAGTAGTGTTTCCAGCTGAAACAATAGATATGAGTCGAGAAAGCATGACAATTTCTTTTACCTAGAGCAAGTATTAAACTCATTGCATTGAGGTATTCATAGCTGATACAAAAGCTGTTGTTACGAATAAGGGACTTGAAACCGACATTAACACTAGCCTAGCCAAAACAAACAGAGATTGTAAACCATATTGTAATCCGCACAAGTTACAGATACCCTTAGACACTATATTGTACTTGCATAACACACGATGCCCACTGAAAGCTGGACTTATTGCGCAGTATTCGCACAGATATTTGGCCAACCGTATTGCTCAAAAAGAAGATTCGGTCTGGTGAATTTGAATGGGAATGCTACTCATACAAACTAAACAAAGCCACATATGGTTATCTACTTCTAACGTGTTCTATCTCAATGATAACGATGAATAAGCTTAGGCGTGCGACATACGGGCAAATATGAGAAGATTTATCTGTTGAAATCAGACACAAAGTGCAATTGGGCCTGTAGCTAGAGACTTCCTAGATATGGCAAAATGACTTCTTTGACGAATTCCTCCAATGTATGAAACCGAACGCCAAGTGAGGTTGTCCACTTGTCAGGGAGAGATACATCCGTCAATACTCCGTATTCATTCTCGTATCCATAAAGTTCGTCCAGATCCTTGATTCCCGTGGTTTTCGGAGTTTTTAACCGAACCCTCATGCCAGTCTGTTTTTCAATCTCTGCAATAACGTTACCTAGAGTATCGTGCCTAGCGACTGAATAGACCGGGTGCTCGAAAACTTCTGGTCTCTGACGATATTGGGACAATATCGCTTCCACAGTAGGTCCAAGGTCCTTTTCAACCCAGCTGAATCCTTGCGGGGCATCTTGATTCAACAGGGCTTGCTCCAACTCAAGTGTTCCGTCGTTTGCTTTTGTGATAGACTTCCAGTTGACAAAGTTATCATAGTACCAGCCGACATAAAGCACGACGTGAGGAACCTTCTTGTAAGCCAAATAGCGGGTCACGACTGACTTGTTCTCGACAAGCGGATTACTGGCATATTTGGCGCCAGTCCGGACGAGCGCGCTTGGGATGGAAGACCAGATGAACAGCTCAACGCCAACTTCTTGAGCGAGGTCAGCCATGGCGCAGCCCTGACGCGCTTCTTCGAGGCTGTTATCCACCAAATCATAAAAGTTCGTGATAACAAAGACAGCCTCCGCGTCAGTAAATGCTTCTTTAAGAGTTGAAGGGTTAGACATGTCTCCCTGAAAGAGGGTGACGTGCGGCAACTTGGCAATCTTCTTAGCGGAAGATCCATCGGGATTCCGTGTCACGGCGCGCAGGGAGTAACCGCCTTGTCGTGACAAATGACGAACCACCTAGGATCACAATAAATTAGGGCTGATGTATTTCGAAACAAGAGTTAAGCTTACAGCACCTCCCTGAACCCCGGTTGCACCTAGCACAGTCACGATACGATCGTTGCCCATGATAGTTTTCTGCGGGATGACGGAGGGGTCGGAGAAAGGAGTTGATCTCCTCGAATAGGAGAGGAGTGGAAGGTTTCTTGTTTGACGACAATACTAAAGATGAGGATCAAGGGGATGATTAAAACCTAAATTGCTGAGTTGTGCTTGTCGAATTGTTCTTTTAGCTCATTTCAACCTTCTTCACAACACGAACTTCCTTGATACCATTGGTAATTTAGATTGGAGTAGCTACGAAGTACAACGGCTATGATAATCTCCATGGATTGAGTCCCTAACATTTATCCGAGCTATTGGTATAATTTGTCCGTTGGTAGATGGTAATCTATCCCCTCATTAAGAACTCGGATTATCGTTCTATTGCACCATTTTAGTTGGGGCCGGCCCATTTTCGTCCGCGTTGGATTTGGAGTCTCTCACACGCATTCATCGGGTCGGATTAATTGTAATTATGTACTTCCACAGCCTAATGTAGATATCGGTAGAGAATATTGAGAACAGCAAATGTGTCCAAAAAAAAAGGCTTATGCCAACGAAGTCCAGACTAATACTTCATTACTCCTTGGGCTAATTACGAGAGATTCACTAAATCGTTCATTCATATCAACAACCTTAATCATGGCAATTGTAGCTACCATAGGGCACGTTGCTCGCGATTTCGTGGGAAAATGGTACTTGGTTATCCCTGTTTGCGTTTGTCTCTATTTTCTCAGGAATCGCTATGGCAGAGGCCTTCGTAGGATCCCAGGACCATTTCTACAGTCATTTTCGATGATTCCAAGGGCTTGGCAGGTCTGGCAAGGGAATATCCATCAACGCGACTTAGAATATCACCAAAAATACGGAAAGCTTGTCCGCATTGGCCCAAGACTGTTGTCCCTTTCCGACGTTGATGAAATTAACACAGTGTACGGTATCACGACGAAATTCTACAAGGTCAGTATGCTCAGCGACACACCTGAACATGAGTCACTCACCAAGAATCATAGTCTTCCTTCTACGACCCTTCCACACCATACGACGAAGAGGGGATCGTGCCGGATCCCTTCATTCTAAAAGATAAAATGATGCATTCGCGCATGAAACGCAATGCCGCGAATGCATACTCGCTCAGCTCAGTGTTACAGTTGGAGGCTTACGTTGATGAAGTTGAGGAAAAACTATTCAAGCTCCTCGACCGGGAAGCAGAGAATCCTGAAAACGTTGTTGCATTTGACCACTACTTGCATGCATTTGCAATGGATACTATTTTCATGATTAGCTTCGGCAAAAGCTTGAATATCCTGGAAAATGGAGATGAACATAAAGTTATGGCATGCTTCGACACAATTATGCCATATATGGCTACGGTAATTATGGTCTCTATTCTATTCATTACCTTGAATTTCCTAACTCCGCTTATAGATTGGCCAGATGCCATGGCTGCACAAGTTCCTTGTTGGAAATTCCTTCATGGCCAAGCTTATCTTGGGAGATATGACTTTCGAAACAGGCCTGATGAAGATTGCCTCATCCCAGGTCGAAGGGTTCAAGAAGAACCTAGACCAACGATCTGAAGAAGGACCATGCACATTTACGGAACGCCTATTACTCAATCAGAAATCGAACCCAGACTCCATAACCGAGCGAGAACTGATCACGCATGCGCTTGGAAATATTACCGCTGGTGGGGACACAACGTCAATCACTCTTCGTTCCATTTTCTACTTCTCGCTTCGGAACAAAGAGTCATATCACCGTCTATGTCACGAAGTGCGCAGCAACTGTTCTCTTCCGGTGGCTTATTCATCGGCCCAAAAACTCCCTTACCTGAACGCTGTGATCAAAGAAGCGTTGAGACTCCACCCACCGATGCCAATCATGCTGGGCCGCACCGTGCCCAAGGGTGGTGCTGAGATCTGTGGCCACTATATCAGAGAGGGCACGGAAGTCGGCATACCTTCTTACGTTCTGCACAGAGACCCAGCCATTTTCACTGACCCCGGTGCCTGGAAACCTGAAAGGTGGCTGGAAACAGAGACTGGTAAGGACCGTCTTGCGAGCATGAATCGGGCTTTTTTCGCGTTTGGGGCTGGCCCTCATACGTGTAGCGGTAGACATATCAGCATGATGGAGATTGTCAAGTTGGTCCCCTCGCTGCTCCTCAAATACGACTTCGAGCTAGCTTTCCCTACTCGCCCTTGGACTTTCCGCGTTTCTATGTTAGCGCCGCAGAAAGGGGTTAATGTAACAATCAAGAAGAGAGTTTGAGGTTTGATAGGATCTTTGGAGTATTTTTAGATGCATTGTAACTCTGTTGTCACTAGAGGGGCTGTCCTGACATTTGTCTTAGAACTGATCCAAGGGTCCCGCAACGCACCCAAGTTCAAGGATACCATCAGCAGATAGTTGAGGCTTTGGGTTTAGCTACAACTACTCGTTAAAAGACTTGTCCGTTGGTTCTTTTCTCTTTCAGCTGACATCTCCATTAATATCAAGTTAGGAGTGTTAATATAGATACGCAAGTTTTGACCTTTCAAGATCTTTCAAGTGTAGGGTAGCCGAAAGTCAAGGAGTCAAATTCATTTCGCTTGCGAACTTGATGACATAAGCTGATAGTCGCGGAAGTGTTTCCGAGTCTTTGATCTTGCCGATTTCTTGGAACCTATCGTAACCAATTATAGAGAGCCATATCATCTTGAAGGCTCCACACAACCACAGCCTTCGCCAATCTTCAATATCATAGCGGTCCATGAACCATGGGATGTCTGCTATGTTTACCCCGCACTTTTCAAACTAGCATCCCGGATTGAAAGCATAAGGCAGCAGGCGCAAGGCTATGATTTTCCTGAGAGTGCGTTCGGGTCTCTTTCCACTCCTCTCGCATTATATCATCCAAACCACTTGTTAGCTCATCGGCTTGCCCCTGTATCTTCGGATAATCTTCTACAATAACAAATCATCCTCCAATTTTCCTGATATGGAAGGTTTCGAAAGTATCACACAATTCTCCTACGAAACACCCAACGCGTCTGGTTCTTGCTGGACCTGCTTGTCAGCCCAAATCAGTTGCAGTTTCGAGCTTCCAGGTGCAGTCACTGTTATCGCCGTACGTCCCAATCACTGCTGGAACTGACGAATCAGAGTGTCAACAATGTGTCCTCGCGGGCAGAATCTGTGCAGGATACGCCAGGCGATTACAGTGGCCTAAAATCACTGGAACTACACGTAGGAGGGATGCTGGTAATACTCAAAGGCAACATGATGACAGCAGAAAAGGGAAGGAGCTTGTCCAACAAGCACACCGCGAGCAGTGTTTGTTGTCCCGTCCCATTGAATAATCATATACTTATTATTAGCTTAGCATGGTCTATTCTCTCGTCCTTATCTCCTTATGGCGTCTCTAGCCGCGAAAGTCATCTTTTGCAACATTATGCAAGCGAGTATTCCCAAGTATCTGATTTCACCACGCCAGCTAACGGGTCCAACATAGAGAATATGGCTAGAATCGCTCTCGCTATCGACTATGACGGCAATGTTCACCGTTCGTTCTTACCCATGGCCATGTCCCACAGAGCTCTCTTGAACGCAATCTTTGCTGCTTCGTCGGCACACCTTAGCAGATGGCAAAACAAAGCAGATACTTCTTCGCATCGATACGCAATCAAAGCCCTTGTAGAGCTCGAACAGAGTTTGCGCGATCCCGTCGTAGCCTCCTCCGAAACGACCTTGGCCACGATGCTTTGCCTAATTGGCCTCGAGGTATGTTTCAACTATGTCTGTCTCATTCAGTGTTGCACTAACCAGGGACTCGCCCCAGGTTGGAAACGGATCCACCAAATGGAGACATCATTATCGAGGCCTCGAGGAATGGCTTCGGTGGAAAGGAGACACTGCGAAGCTGGATCCGTTTCTTAAATCATGGATCCTCTTGGCGGCATATCAAGCCGCCATGGTGTTTGGGGAAGAGCCTACCCCGGCCATTCACGGATGGCTCGAAGTGGAAGGCCAACTGGACGTCTCTCAAGAACAAGTTATTGACCCTTTTTTGGGCTACTCGGTGAAACTACCGGGCCTGTTGGTACGTTATTCCTACTTCTCGACTTGCTCCCTTGGCTAATCTGAAGCTGTTCAGCTGCGTGCTGCGTCACTGCATAGAGCTCGGCGCAACTCGTCCATGTCTGAGCACGCAATCTCCCTTTCAGTTTCAAAGCTCCAACAGGAAATCGAGTTATGCAAAATAGACTGCACTAAACCAATTCTGCTGGCCAGCGCCTTCCAACCGGCCAATCTCTCTACAGCTGCAAACACTTCCCTTTGTCAGACCGATCTATGGAAACGAGCGGCAGCGACGGCTGAGATATTCAGACACGCAGCCCACATTTATGTCCATCGAGTGAACGCGAACCAGGGAGAGACGTTACCCGTTGACATCCAATATTCGGTTGATGAGATCTTGAACCTGCTGACCCTTATTCCTGATACTCGAGGTCCCGGGTCTAATCTGGCATGGCCACTCTTTACGGTTGGCCTTGAGCTGAATTCTCCCGAGCTTCGGGGTATGGTGTTGGATTGGTGGCAAATCCTGCATCTGCTTGGCATGGAGTCAACCCGTAAAACGGAGCGTGTATTGGTCGAGACTTGGAGACACCGTGATGAAGCCAAGGAGGGCAGAGGAGTTGCTGCCAATTGGCAAGAAGTCATGCGAGGTCAGGAACAGATGGTTGCCTAGACTCGACGGGATAATATATTGTTGGCCACGAAACGCCATCTTTCAGTATCCTGGTTTTGATTAGCTGTGATTTCGTAATCAAAGGCTGGTCGACATGTACTATATTTCGCTTGAGTATATATCCAGACTTTACAATCTGTCATTGATTTTGAAATCAACAGTAAAGGTAATCAAGCTGAATGATATATGTAATAGGGTCCTAATTCGGGTAGATAGGTCTTACGCGCTATGAACTTGACTCGGAAGTTGTCTTGAAGAGCAGTCTTCTCCAACAAAACCTAGGACATACAACGCGTAATCACTTAGGTAATTCCCAACAGCCACGATGAAAAACCACGAGTCCACACATAGGTCGCAATGTGAGGCTGCTGCATCTTCCGGGATCGGCTCCTGGCTGACTGTTGCTAGCCTTATCTTTCAAGTTAATCTTTCAAAAGCAACCCCGCCCCGGCAATCTGTTAACCGACTTGAGCAATCCCGCAATAATCCGTCTGCCGAATCGCACCCCAGATTCCGAGCGTTCCGCGGATTCCACCTTGAGGCTAGAGCGCTGACAAGGTATACTTACCTACTTTTATTGATTGCTGGAAAGTGCCCCTGCACAATCATGTGTGGCCAATCATCATGAAGCGAAAGATATTGAAGCGAGGGCTCCACAACCTTGTGTAGAGAAAACCTCATATTGCAGATCTAGTCTAGTGAAAGTTAGAGATCTGGGGTAAGTATATACCATGTGGACGATGTTATCGCCGGATTAATTACATCTATAACACCGACTTTGGTCGCCGAGTCAATCTCCCACACTACACCCATCTTCAAATTCAGCAGCGGCCGTCTTCTTATGAGACTCATTTTTTCTCTTGTTAGCAAGCTGCTCAACATCATAAGTTCAACTCTCTAAACAGAACTCGTATTTGGCGTTAGCTAGCAAAACTCACGGGCGATTCAGAATGGCTAAAATGAAGACGGCGGAAAAGTCTGTGGCGGGCGAAACCGTCAATCTGGATCTACAACGTGAGTACCTTTTGGTTCTCGGATGACTGATAAATTATCTCGTTCTATTTGGAACTCATTTTTAACAGAGTATTTGACGCAGCGATCCGGACAGCTAACACAGCGCCGGAATCAATACGCGATGGAGATACAGGGATGGCCTACGTTGACTCGGAAGCAACCCATTTCAAGAAGGAGATGGGTTGGCTTTCAATCGTAGCCGTATCTTTCGACAGTATGGCAACCTGGAATACCTTTCCATCAACGCTGCTAGTATCTTTCGTCTATGGTGGACCTGCTGCTACTGTTTGGGGCATAATCCTCGTTGGGATCATATATATACCTATTGCCTTGACCCTCTGTGAACTGGTATCGGCGTATCCCAGTATTGGTGGGCAGTACCACTGGTCTAGTATCTTGGCACCTCCCAAATATCGACGCGGTATCGTAAGTCACTCGCGTCCGCTACTTTCACCTGCTCATTCGCTAATGAAACCCTCCCCTGATGTAGAGCTATATATGTGGAAGCATCAGCTGGTTTTCATGGATATCTCTCACGGCTGCAGGGGCTGGAGCCCTTGGTAATTTTGCAATTGCCTTGATCTCGTGGAAGAACCCAGAATACGAGGTGAAGAACTGGCACGTCTTTCTATTCTACCAGTGTAGCAACATTCTTAGCTTTGTTGTCAATGTATGGGGAAAGGCTTTTCTAACCAAAATCTACAAAGCAAGTTGTAAGTTCCTCAGTCCAGTTAACGCCAAAGCCACATCATGTTGAAACATTTGTCCAGTTATCTTTAGTATATTCGCCTGTTTCACGATCTTCATTGCAGTGTTAGTAGGGCAAAAAGATAAACAATCAAGCAGCTTTGTCTGGACTACCCTCATCAACAATACCGGATGGCCTGATGGACTTGCATTTCTGATTACGCTCAGTGGGCCAACCGTCATGTACTGCCCCATCGACGGCGTCGTTCATCTTGTGGAAGATACCAAGCGACCTCGAACCGTCATTCCAAAGGCAATTCTAACCAGCTTGGCCATATCTTTCGTCTGTGCAACAGCGTTTGGAGTTGGTACGACTTACTGCATTTCCGACTTTGAAGCTGCACTTACGTCTCGCACTGGGTTCCCAGCTTTTGAGATGTGGAGACAGGCTATGAACTCGGATGCTTGGGCCTTGGCCTTCTTGTCGTTCCTTCTCATCATGGTCCCAGCAAGCACATTGACCACGACTCAGATCGTATCCAGAATGACCTGGAGTTTTGCCAACGACAAGGCTTTGATATTTTCAGATCATCTGAGCAGGGTCACTGCTAAAAACAAAGTCCCCCTCGGAGCTCTATGTTTCAATGCATTCTTGGTTTTCTTAATTGGCTGTCTTTACTTGATTTCTTCAAGTGGTAAGTGGAAGGCTCCTTCATCTATACAGCAGTTACTAATAGGAACGGTAAAAGCATTTATCGCCATTTTAAACATCTCCGTGGTATTCCAGCAGATAACTCTTGCTTTTCCGTCCGCACTACTATTATATCGTCGACGGGATTCTCGCTACTTGCCACCCGACGCCCCATTCAAGATTCCCAATGTTATTGGGTGGGCGTCCAACATTATTTCTGTGGCATATGCCGTTGTGGCTCTCATCGTCTTCCAATTTCCCTGGGCGGCCACAGTAGAGTTTTCTACCACAATGAGTGAGTTTTGATCCAATCACTTCGCGATAGTTCTGGAGAGCATTGAGAATTGACTTTGGCAGATTTTACTTGTTTGGTATTTGGTGCTTTCATCGTGGCAAGCACCGCAACTTGGTTTCTCTTCGCCCGGAAGCGCTACACTCCACCAACAATGGCAGATGACCATGAGCATGATTAAATGGAGACTTTGGTTCTAGAGATGATCAAAGAGTTAAGAACGCTTCCACGGTGTGTGGGTGAGGGCCTAGTTGATAATGGTGAGAAGGCTATCGCGGAAAAGAAGGAAAGAAATGGCAACAATCAGCATATACCTTGAAAAGTTTATGCTTTGAGGCTCTTCTATTGAGTGAGAGAGTGCTTTATTTTGTTCTTCTTACGACTGTAAAAAAACACTAGTGGGCCATCAACATCGCCGAACTTGCTGGTTGTTGAATTCAAGTTTATCTGTGCATTCATGGGTACCGAATTTTACCGTCACATCGTTTGGAACTTTCTCCTCGAGTGAAAGACCAACACCTAAAACCAACACCGCCACGTAGCCAATTACCTACATAAGATACAGTACTTCTCGATACCCCAACAACCATCAAACAACCATAGCCCCATAATCAATTGCTGCAGGTCCATGCAGGCAACACGAAGGCAAAGAAGAAGCAGGCAACTGGCGGCTAGGCGGCCGTCAAGGCTCACTATTAGGAACTTGATCCTCTATCCATAGATCAAAGAATGTATGCCGCCGAGGAATCGTTGGTGCCAAGGAGCGCGCACGCAAAAGTTCGTGTCACTGCGCCACAAGGTTCCATTGCAGATCTGTTGGTCCTCTCAATTGTCAGCAGCGCATGAGGGATATGACTGTAACAATGCAATTCATTTTCCTCTAAGCCTCCTACCTCCCGCCAGTGATTCTCCCTCCCATTGTCCGTTCTCGCGCCCTCCTCCATCGTTCTTATTCAGAACTCACGAGCTGCCCCAGCCGGCCAATTCCATCAGCTGCTCTTCCAAAACACAAATCTCCCATTCGATACAGGCGTCCAGATTCTCCAGCTTTCATCCATCATCATGGCGGCTTACTGGGTGGTCGGTCTCTCACTTGCTGCATCCATCGCCATCATCAGGTGGTGGCTCCTACCCAAGCCCTACCCATATATCCCATACAACAAACAGTCGGCCAGTCGTATCACCGGAGATATTCCTGACTTGGTCCCTGTCATGAAGGAATGCAACCAAGTCTCGCACTCTATGTTCACCATTACCACCCGCAAACTCGGTACTCCAATTGCCCAACTGCTCTTTCCCAATATCCGCAGACCTTTCGTTATCCTCGAAGACCCAAGAGAAATCGAAGACATTCTCCTCCGCCGGGGAAAAGAATTCGACCGAGCGGCTACGCCTTCTGCCATCTTTCAACCCATGTTCCCGCAAGCTACAGTCGCTCAGTTTACCACACCCAAGCTGAAGGCTCAGAAACGTCTCTGGGCTGATGTTACCAGCGCCGAGTTCCTGCACAAGGCCTCGGCGCCAAACATCTACAAGGCTACTATTGAGCTGCTGGAATATTGGCGACTCAAAGCTGCGACTGTTTACAAGGACCAAGCCTTCAATGTTCAAGTTGATTTTCAACGTGCAACTTTGGACGCCATATGGGTAGCTACCATGGGCGAGGAACCTGGATTGATCAGGTATGAAATGAACAACCTGCAATACCAACTCGAGGGCAAGTCACAGGAGGAGTTGGGCAAACTCCCGCTCCCCAAGAGCATGTTTCTGAGAGATGAAGTAAGATATATTGGCGACGCTGTTGAGCGAAACACAAACTCTCCCCTGCCAAAATGGGCAGCCAAGCTGGAAACATTCAGACCGCGGTATCGCCAATTCCGGGCCGTCGTTACAAAGGAACTAACGCAGGCCATGACGAAAGCTATTTATCGCTTTGAGCGGTTGGAGCTTCATGCCCTCGAGGCCGATGAGTCTGACACATGCATGATGGACTTTGTCCTGAGGCGCAAGGTGATTGAGGCTAGGAAAGCACAAAAGCCCATGGCCGATCTGACCAAAGATCAAGAGTTGCTTGATGAGATGTTTGCCATATTGGTTGGCGTAAGTCTTTTGCCGTGAAATTTTGCTCAAGGGTATATATTAACCATCAGATGCATTTTAGGGTCATGACTCAACTGCCAATGTGCTGGCGTGGTTTACGAAATTTATGGAGGCAAATCCTATCGTCCAGAATGAGCTTCGGTTACAACTTAGAACGGCGTTTCCCGGTCCTCAACTTCCTTCGGTACAGGAGATTCTTACTACAAGTATACCGTACTTGGACGGCGTATGTGAGGAGGGTTTCCGCTTGGCTGGAGTAGCTAAGGCAAACTTTCGTCAAGCTACTGTCGATACCCAGATCCTCGGCTATCCTATTCCCAAAGGCACGGAGATCTTCCTCAACTTTCATATGGATACCACACCTGCACCTGTGGATGATTCAAAACGCACAGCTAGCTACAAAACTGCCACTGCCAAGCATGGTGATCTTCTTCAAAGTAGCGCAGGGCGGGATCTGAATCGGTTTGAGCCTCGAAGATGGTTAGCCTTGGATCCGGAAACAGGCAAGGAGACTTTTAATCCCAATGCATTGCCAGCCCTGGCATTTGGTGGTGGCATTCGGGGCTGCTCCGGTACGTAATCTTGCCTACCGGTTATATTCCCCCTTTTCTTCTTGTTTTTTTCTTTTCTTCCCTCGACTATGATTGGCACACCCACTCATGGATTTATTTATATGTGCCGTTGTTCTATTATTAACAATACGATTACCACTTTTTAGGACGCAAGCTTGCCCAGATGGAGTTCCGCCTTATTGTCACGCTGTTGATACTGAGGTTGGAATTTCTCGAATTACCTGAGGAATACAAATCGATGGACGCTATTGAACGGGTGTTCAGGGCTCCCAGTAAGCCTTATGCTAAACTGAAGGTTTTATAGTTTCAAGAGCAGACACGATCTATACTCGTAGTTAGACAGCGTATATTCCCAATTGCAGCCAGGAGGTTCATAACGTCGTCACTTATGCGCCTACTGATTAACCGAGATTGCTGAAACGACCCCATGGTTAACAAAGAAACTTAAATAGCCCAATGGAGCCTCTGTAAGGATGAATCTACCCAGAACCTGCTTGTTAAGCCTTGTTTTCAAGAGGAAAATTCCTTTTAGGACCTTCTTCTAGTAAGTACTTTTATATTATAAACATCTAATATGCCTATCTATTGCGTTAGGGAGCATCTGTGAGATTAGGCAGGTTAGATAAATTAGCTGGTTTTCCTTGTTTAATTTAATTTAATTCTAGTAAAAGCACTTTAATTTAAGTGAAAGAAATCCAGTATGGTATTATCAAGAGAAAGATAAGATGACAAGTCCCATTCTGGTAGCTCGATGTCCGGCATGTCAATCTCTTCTGACACCGTTGGAAGTTGATCATTGTTAATAAGTAAAAGAGTTGAGCCAAAATTCCCCCAGGTGATGTCATTGAGGTTCGACAAGGCTTCCAAGCCGGTGCAAGCCTCATCACCACGAATGTTTAGAGTCTCGGATTGCCTAGACGGCCAATCAATACGGGACGCTTGAGCAGGAGCTGTTGATATAGGTCCTGCCGGTGTAGAGTTCACGAAGAGTCCATTGCTGATTGGTGTTATGGACAAGGATTCTTCCATATTTTCGTTTTCCATCGAGATGCCTCGATCAGTGAGTGTGGGCCCCCTCCTCCCGTTGATCTCTATTCTAGGCGATCCAATCATTGAGCTTGTCCCTGTGGCCCTGGAGTCTTCTTTGGCGATACTTGCCACCTGGTTTCTCAACTCGTTTCGATATTGGTCCATCCACGCGGTTTCGCTCGCTACAGGATGCGTCAAAGATTCCAACATGCCGACTTCGTCTAGTCTTGAAGTGGCATCCATCTCTGTTGACTCTTGAAAGGGTACTAGAGGGGGCTCCTGGATGCCGGGAAACATTGAGAAGAAGGTTGGAACTTTGAAATGCGGCAAATCCGGACTTACTGCCACCTTGTTCCGGGCTCGGCCAAATTTTGAAAGACAGTCAATCTAGTATAGACAATGCTTAGTACAGTTACTAGAGGGTCCGAATCAGATTTTGTACCCATGATTTGGCAGGCTTGTGAAACTTTGTCAAGGCTAGAAGAACAGCCAAAAGTACTTTGAGTTTGTCTTTGTACTCGGTTCTCTCGGTTTGTGTGCGATGATAGTCCAGGCTTTGGATAAAGACAATAGCTGCCTGAAAGCAACAATACCCTAAAAAAGGAGACTATACATCATACGGACGTATTAGTAACGGATTGTACGGCGGATAGATTTCAAATACCAAACAGAAGATTTGATTCGATAGGAGCTGCGTGCAAAGAATTTGAATACTCTCAGCACTGGCCTTGCACGCATTCATACGTCCCCTGAGGAACATTTCCGGTGCTCCATCCCGGCCTGTTGGGTTACGCTGTAGTTGAGACGTGAGCAAGAAATTCCGATTTAGCAAGATGCTACAACAATCGCGTAGAAGAACCATCGAGATACCGACGGCTAATTCTGACCCTTTGACGGTACTTGAACTGGCAGCCGCGAAATCAAGGTGGTACGTCTCGGCAATTCCTATTGAGAACTTTTCCAAATGAAGTCTGAGAGACATGAAGTTGGAATCGCGATGCCATGGAAGTATTGGATCGTTGGAAGTATCTCGACTGCTATATTCCACACATCGAAGCAGAAGTTCTATGGCCTTGTCCAGATCGGCACGCTGGTTGTCCAAGGGGTTGGTGGCATCGAGCTTTGAGAAAACCCTGGTTTGGGCCGAAATCAATGGGACCAGTTGCGGGTGCCCAAAAGCAAACTCGGCTCTGTGCCAACTGAGAAAGTCAGAAGCTGTTTCAAGTACAGCCCGGGAAACTGGAGATAGGTCTGATCGGGATATCAGAGGCACTATACTCTGGCCCGTTCCTAGGTCTTCTCAGCTGGCTGGACAAACGGTCTTAAACTCATTGAACCTACCAATATCACACCACGCCTGAGCCCCATCGCCATGACTCGCCTCGTACCATGCAAGAGCACAAAGACACAGAAGTTGATCGAGATAGCTTATCCTTCTAAGTCCTTTATCAAGGATTTGAAGCCGGCATGCCGAATGAAGCTGTCTTGCCAATCCAAGACGTTTACCATTTGAAGCAATCTGACTAGACGAGTAGGCAAGACTGACGGCACATAAAGCCAAAGTCAGTGCGATTGAGCGGTCTTCAGCCAATAACCACGTCAGTCCATGATCGGGAGGCAGCAATGGTACCTGTTGAAGGTTCGAGACGGTAAAAAACGTTTCCAACAGGTGGATAATAGTGTTGTTAGATATCTCGGTCACCCTATCGAAACGGTTATACCGAGATTCCGTCAGAGCGAAATTGATTCTTACTGATATTCATGCTGCGTGAAATGCTCTTGCAGTCGCCGTCTTATTGCTACAGCTTCCGGAAGAGCCGAACACACGACAGTCGCCGGCGACTGTTCTGAGTTATCTCTCAAAGCGCTGTCATCGATCAATCCAGGCGTACCTTGAGCTTTTGGTGGTGAAGGAGGAATCGCTAGCTGTGAACTACCGTCCCCAATTGATTTCCGCCGAGGACCACGCCTTTGTCGGTTTGTATCGAATATGCAACTGAGCTTGTTCTTGGAGCACAGGTCACAGGGTGCCGTCCCTGAACATCGAACCTATTCATCAACAGGTAAGTACACACTCGCTTGCCCTCAGACTTGATGCAACAGGCGGCTACAACCTTTCTTTGCCGACATGTTTCGCACGCGATCGTGATCTTGCGCCTAAGATAGGCACTCACAGATCTATCGCTAGCCATGGAACCGAAGGGCATGTGCTCAAACATATATTGAGAGGTGCAATTACAGCTACGCAATGTCGGCCAGAGTGATGCAATGGCAAGGTAGATGATTAGGGTTCAGTTCCATCGGACCCCAGGGCGTGCATTATATACTTATCAAGCCCTTCACACTACTACTAGGATGCGGGCAGATCAACTAGGCACACTTCTCCTCTGCTACTAGTCCGATCTAGTTTGTACCGCAGTATTTCGAGTTGATGGTTATGATGAAACGTGCGGGGTAGTTAAGCCGACCCGCTCTATTAACGACGAGGCTGCGTTTGTTGATCATCGTGACACTGGTCGCTCAATAAGTTCAGTAGGTGAATATAACGTGAAGAAGAGTCCAGCATCTTACTTCGAAGTCACTCACGGCCCCAGAGCGGCAAAGAATTATATCCATGCCCCATCTACAAACTTGGACAGTTCTGTTATTGGAGTTATCGCCAGGCATCAACCAAAAGAGGCTATAACTAGGCAGCTCTACTGCCTGTCCGCATCGGGAATAGCCAAATCATCGGATTAATGCCACATTGGCTGCATGCTTCCAAGTGTGCTGTTGATAAACAGGCGTACCAAACACCCACACGACTTTACACGCCAGACGAATTACTAGGGATGGCTACCTGGCCATCTGTCTCCTTCTAGATTAAAAGAGGGGGGTAGTATTGAAGAGAGTAGTTGAATCACTATCTTTATAGAACTTGATCTCTGCACCTACATACCATGGCTTCCCTCTCCAAAAGAAAACCTCCCACTAATAGTAGCACGTGCGCATTTGACGGAATCGTGTGTTCTCCGATGGGCATATTTACATAGTTTAGAGACACATCTAATCTCGCTTAAGCGCGTCCTGAAACTACTATTGTGTTGGGGATAAACGAACAACACCACAGCTGTTAGCGAGTTTGAAATGCAGACTGCTAACCACACCAAAATCTAACAACCTTCCACAACAGCTATGAAAAGGAGGTTTTGAGTTTTGTGTATATTCTCATTTGATCAAATGGATCACGTTTACAGCTGGTCAATTGACCGATCGTAGCCGCCGTGAGGTTGCGAAAGACGCATCTTTCATAAGAAGGGATTTCCAAAAGTGAAAATAAGAAGGGGTAAAAAGCATGTCTTTTTTTTACGAATACGGAAAAATAGCTAATTTATCTAACCTGGCCGAATTGACAAGTGGGCCCCGACTCACTATGACAATTTATTAATGGTGGAAATGTTAATCATTATCCTAAACTCTGCACATCTCCGCTCAACCATACAATCTAGCTCTGCCAGGTCACCCTCTTATCTCTGAACAAAGTAACCATTCCCATTGGCAAAAGGCCTTGGTCCACAATGTTGAGCGCTCCGAACCGCTTCACAATGTCGGGCCCGTGCATCATGAGCACCCACTTCCAGTAGGCACTCATGATGCTCCAGTGCCCGGTAATGCCCCCCCCATACGAGCCCGAATGCCTCAGTAGATCGACCGCCGCTGACAGCGAACTGATGTCCATCCGCACGCTCGTCTCGTTCGGCTGCTTCATGAGCTTACGGAACACATTGTGGAGACGAGTGTCGGCCGAGTGGTGGTCGAACCTGAAGTAGGCCCGGTGGCGGACATACTCGTCAAAGGACATGAACTCCTCCCGGTCACGCGCCTCGGCGGGCGTCCAGTCCGGGTCGTCGAGGGCATACCGCAGCTGCTTGACGGCACCAATGAGAAACCGCTCCTTGGCGCGCTCATAGGCGTTGCGCTCAGCCTCCTCGAAGCTCTCGACGAGCTCGGCGGGGGACGAGATGACGTCCTCGCGGATCTGGAGCAGCGAGATGAAGGGCGACTGGAGGTTGAGCCCGCCGAGCTCCATCGGCCAGTAGAGGTAGCCGTCGGGGACGTCGTCAATGCCGAAGCGTTGGGCGATGGCGCGCTTGAGGTGCTCGGCCACGCTGGCGGAGCGTTCGTGGTCCCCCTCGGCCATGGAGGAGAAGATGAGGCGCTGGATGCGCTCCTGCGTGGACAGGATGCTGTCGACGTGCTCGCGGCCGAAGCAGTTGGCCGCCTTGGCGAAGTTGGTGGTGAAGAAGCGCCCCGCGTACGTGTTCCAGGCCTGCACGAAGTCGAGCACGCTCTTGCGCTTGCCGCTGAGCTGCTTCTGCAGCTCCGCGATGTGCGTGTCAACCATGTCTTGGTCGATCTCGAAGCGCGCCGTCTGCGGCGAGAGGCGCAGGAAGCCCCAGCGGATCTCTCCTATAGGCAGGGCTGGGTCGATGGGCAGTTTGTGCTTGTCGTCCTTGGACACGCGGACGGTGCCCGTCTTGCCGAGGTTGATCTCGGTGCCCGTCACCTCGGCGAACTCTTCCACGGCCTTCCAGGCCTTTGCCGCCATGGCGTGGTCCTGGGACCAGAACCAGAAGTCGTCGTGGATGCGCCACAGGTTGGTCCCGCACGTGAGGCGGTTGATGGCGAAGTCGAGGCAGAAGAGCGTCGTCTCCCCGAAGACATCGCTGAGTGTGTGGGACGCAGGCACTCCTCGGCGACGCTTGCGCGCGGGCGTCGACTCGTCATCCTCGGCGAACCTGAGGGGCGCCTCGAGGAAGTTGCGGAAGAAGTCGAGCCATGCCGGGGATACACCCAAGAACTTGAGGACGACGAGCACTGTCTGGTGCGGCAGCAGCGAGTTCCAGCTCTCAAAGACGGAGTGGAAGGCCGTCAACTCGCTGTACAGTCGCTTGTTGATAGTGATCTCGGTCGCCAGGAGATGTAGGAGTTGCTGCTTGAGAGCCATGGGGCTGAGGCGCTCTCCGTCGTCGACATCGACCGCCTCCTCTACGTATGGCTCCACCTCCTCCTCATCCGAGTAATCAATCAGGTCCTCGTCATGCATCATTAGGCCCCCTGTACTGGGGGCCGACTTCCGAGCTGCTTTGCTGGCGAGCTGCTTGCGTGGCGCCTTTCCGCCGGTCGACTTTCTGGCTGTCTGTTTCGCTCGGACCTTGCGCTTCTGGCCGGCCATCTGAGCGGGGGGGCCAGCCGTCACCTGTTCGTACTCTGCCTCCTCCTCCCCGTCCTCTGTAGTTGTAATCTGCTGCTCGTAGTCCATGAGGTTGACCAAGAAGTAGCGTATGGAGTGCACCTTGTTGCGCACCTCATCCAGGCAGGGCTCATCTTGGATCGGGCCAAGATAGTAGCCGAGCCTCCTCTTGTCCTCCCTGGGGATGGCATCGCGTGCGGACAGCCACGTGCCCTCGACCATGCGGAGCGAATCGAGGGCGCTCTTGAAGAAGACACTCCACTTGATGCCGATGTAGTGGAGGAAGATGGCCTGGAGCAGGTCCTCTTGCATCGTGATGTTGAACACGCCGGTGATCTTCCGGTTCATCTCCACCTGCACGGGGCCATCGGAGCTCCATGTCCACGAGCTCAGGGCACTCAGGCGCATGTTGAGGACGTCGGCTATCTCGCTGAGGATGATGTTGTTGTTCTCAAAGTCCTTGAGCACCTCGCGCTTCTCGTCCGAGAGCAAATCGGAGGCGTAGAGGCTTTGGATGACCCACTTCAGAGAAGTGATGTTGAACTGGCTTGGTGCCGAGAGCTTCATCTCGAAGGACTGGACGGACTCCCGGAGCTGCGCTAGAGCCTTCTGCAGGCCCTTCTTGGACTTGTCACCGTCGTGGAAGACGCGTTTCAGGTACGCCTCCAGGGCGCCCTCATCTACTTCGGCAGGCTCGAACACCATCTCCTCCCACTCCATCCTAGACTCGAGTTTCTTGCCGTTGTCGACAACCTCGTACGCTTCGTCCATTGTGACATCATCACCACCAGCCGACTCCTCCTCCTTCTTCCCACCTGACAGCCACTCCGTGACAAGCTGCCCGTACAGCGAGGCGTACTGGAACTTGAGCGACTGCACGTCCAGGTGGCGGAGGAGGGACTGCTCCCAGGTATCCAGCATGGTGCCGGACACGGAGGGGTCGTACTTGACCTGCTCGAGGAAGCGATCAAGGTTCTGCAGCTCCGTCTCGAGCTGCTTATGCTTGGTCTGGTCCATGACGACCTTGCCAGCCTTGTCGAGCTTGATGGAGAAGCACTCCTTGACGCCATTACAGAGCAGGGAGAGGCGGCGGGCGGGGTCGGTCTCGGCGCGGACGACCTCGAGCAGGGACGCCTTGGCCTCCTCGAAGCTGCTGCGCCTCTTGGAGAGCTCGTCGAGCTTGGTGTCGGTGATGCCCTGAAGGGTCTCGGAGAAGACGCTGCCGGAGGTGGCCATGGTGGATACTGTACTATGGGGTGTTTTCAGTGTCTGTGTATACACGACTGGGGGTGATACGATGAAGGGCTAGGATGGATGATAATAAGATGGATGGATAAGAAGTAGATGGAAGGATGAGAAGTTTGTGTATGGATCATGCGTTGCTTATTCCTTTTATACTCGGGGGTGGTTGAAAAAGTGGGGTCCATCAAGAAGTTGTATAGGTCGGTAGTTGCCTGATACGACGCCACTTCGGCATGGGACATGGTGCGGGGAGGGTTTCTCACCCATCAGACGTCTTGCTGACTGTCCATATATCTATGGTTCTTCAGATTCGAGACCAAGTATCAGGTTGAACGACCGACTTGGTCTACTTGTGATGAGTGGACAGCTACCTAGATCAAGTTGTATCAAGTGCATCAGCCGAGACTAGCAGTGAGATGGTATAGTATTCACACGTATGTTGTCTAGCTGGTCATAAGGTGTACTCTTCCTATGCAACTAACCGGCCGTACCCATCCTCGATTCACATTGATCAATTTACCCCAAGGCTCTTCTCGATCAGGGCCCAGGTATGGGCGGTGAACGTCCCATGCAGCCAAACATCTCCCCGGTGATCCTTGCCAGTCGTAATCAGGTAGTTCCTGTTCGTCCACGCCGGCTTGACAGTAAAAGCGCGATAAAGAGCCGGAGTGCCCGGAGGGTTTCCCCTCTGCGGTCCTGATTCACCTTGCTTCACCACGGCCGGCCCGAACTGCGCGACGGTGAAATGCTTGGCTGCCGCCCAGTTCGTTGTGATATACAGAGTACTGTCAGGCTTCGTGTGCATGGGCGCCGCATTGTCTCCCTTATCCCACTGCACCTTCTTGGTTCGTAGAGCAGCAAGGACCTGCGCCGGGGTTGTCTGCCTCATCAGTTCCTTGCGGATATTCCACGCGATGCTCCCGACGGATGCGTTGGCCTCCTCGGCCGACAGGAGGGTGAAGTTGTTCAACACCATGTTCTCAACGTGAGTGTCATCCGGACTTATTATACTAGGCAGTCTCTTTCGACAGTCAAATGGCAGACACATGGTGAGAGAATTGGGCTTCGACTGCGACCGGGCCAGGTTGCTCAACCAGAGGGCGAGGATGGCGTCGAACTCGCTGATCCATGGCTCCGGACCACTTGCTCCCTGTTGGTCCCTCTTGACTTCATCGAGTGTGTCGGCGCGTAGCTTTTGAACAAACTCTTTGGGGAGGTGTACGACACGCGATTCCATCTTATTCCAGTACATGTCCCAGAGCAGGCTCCGGGCGAATGAAACCATACTCAGGCCAGATAGTCGCGAGTTAGCAATGACGCTTTCCTCTTGCTGCGCGGCGGCTGAGCTGGCAGCTTCGTAGAGAACGTCCCGCCCGACCGATGAGACAGCCGGCACCTTGTCTTCCTGACCAGCGAGGACAAGGGACCAGGCGTTGACCAGAAATCCGACACCGTTGGCGTCCATCAGATTATGCGGCCACGTCAAGGAGACAAGCGTGGCATCAGTGAAGGAAACGATGCGCAGTGACAGCATCGGCTCATCCCGGGCAAGGAGATCCTGCAGCGTTTGTGGCTGGTCCTGTCGAAAGACCAGTGGTGCCAACTCCTCCGACGCCGGATGGAAAGAGGGACGGTTCGTTGGCTTTGGGAACTTGTCTGCCAGGGCATGTTCCCCAAGCTTCATGCTTAACGCCTCATGTGAGAAGGCGACCGCAGGTCTTTCAGTGGTGTAGGGAGTGGGAACATGAATCTGCAGCTTGCGTGAACCGGTGACTCTTCTAAAGCGGCCACCGAGCTTCCTCCAGTCGCCGATGTCGAGTAGACGGTTGAGGGAAGAGTGTAACTTGACGGGGTCGAGGACATCATTGAATTGCCATATAGAGGCCATGATAAGAGGTTCGAATATTTGCGTGTTATCGTGGAAGTTTGTCTCGTACACCTGATCGCTCTCAATGAGAGCCACTGCCCCCTTTCCTCCACTGAATAATGAGCTGATCCACGCCATTTTTGTCGTTTTTGTGTAGTGAGGTTGAAGAAAAAGATGCTCGCAAAACACTGAAGGAGAGGAGGGATGGCGACTCTAATATGCGAATGGAATTGCGCTCCATCTTACTTAGTAGGGCACCAAGGACACCTGGTTATCGAGCGAAGCGTCAGTAAGCACTAGACAAATTGAATCAGCATAATATCACAGAGGTCGGCAGCCAGGTCCTGTTATTAGAGAAATCGTGAGCCAAAGTAAGTATAGTTTCGATAAGCTCGCCTGGAACGTCCGGCGTGTCTGCCATTATTACTTCTTATTCGCATTTTGAACCATCTCAGTGCTCCACAATCTCAGTAGTCTCATCTTCGTCGTCAGCGTTCAGGAATCAGAACCTTGTTGGGTCGAATTTTGCCCCAATTCAACATGAGAAAATTGCCTGTTTGGGTAAGTGGAGGTAAATACATTTCTTATTCTTTTCGCTGCTCAAAAAAAGCCGTGTGCAAAGTACTCAAATGGCATAAATCATACCATCAAATCCGGGCTAATTACTGTGTCGTTCTCCTGGCAGCATGCTGCCACAACTTGAAAATGTGTCAATGAAAATTTTCTGTTTATTTCCTTTCTAGTACATGTGCTCTATTATTCTTGATATTTATTATATCCACGTCTGGACCACAGTAGGGCCGCATTTTTGTCGCTCGCCTGCGCCAGAAATCCCCTCGCAACGTTCCATTATTGGCGTTCTCTCCAACTCGTACTCTTCTACTGTCGATTCTCCCTCAGAACTGTCCCCAGAATCTCCCCCAGAACGCTCGCTGGAATCTCCCGCCAGGATAGCGCATCCGCCCTTTCCATTTTCCTGGTACCTTATCTTGAGAAGACCAGCTTCTTCAATTTTCTTCCCGCTCGCCAGATTCCCTAGGCCCATGCCGCCGGTCGAGGCCGCCACAGCGACATACCGGAGGTCAGTCATGTCGAACTCGGGCATGCCGCTCCACCACGAGGTGCGTATCACTTCTGCGAGGAACAACCCAATCACGACCACATTCAGGACAAATACCGAAATGGCGTACTTGAACTCTCCGATCGCGATAGCGGAAACGCGGATCGTCGTCGGGGTGGTCTGTGAAAAGTTGCCGATCATCACCTGCGCGGCCGCGTAAGCGCCCAGCATGTCATCAGCCATGGCCGTGATCGAATTCCGCACGCCCTCGAGGACGATGTCAGATTCATTGGACTTTTGGGGGCTATTCCCCGCCTCTATGGACGTCTTCAGGTCCGTGATGGAGGCATTGAATGCCGACCCGACCATGGACACGTAGAGGTTCGTTTCGTCGTTGGCAATCAGCTCAAATTGCCGGAGAAGGGTGCCTTTGAGACGGCGGGTGGGATCGATATCACCCACCCCAAGGATATCGGCCGGGCTCACGGTAATGTTGCGGCCCTCGATGTTTACAGTGACGTTGAACCTGGTCGGGTGGAAGTCGACTGAGCATTGCACCTTGTTGAGAAACGCGTAGCTTTCACCCGTGGCGAAGGCCAAATACCTCCTCGGCGGCAGCTCCGGATCCGAGGCGTTCTTGAAATGACCGACGCCAATTGCCACAACACTGGTGCCGTCATGGCCCACGTAGCTGGAGTACTCTTCTGTGTCGTCGGAGTCGGGGAGCATCCCACGGGCGGTATAAACCCATTGCTCTCTCGACTCCTCCAGCCTGAAATCGCTCGTCTCGTTGTAGATGCAGTCCACGTCGGCCCGGTACCCGTCCTCTTGATATGTATACAACCTGACGTGGGGGTTCACTGCAATGTTGTCGTCGACCAAACCAGCGGTCGATCCCATGCCATACGATCGTCCCATGTAGGTGTAACGGGAGTTGTCTAGCTTGCGCTGCTGTCTCGATCCCGGTTCTATCGGCGTGGCCGAGGAGGCGCTGGCGAGTAGACTGCCGAGAAAATCGAGAGCGACCGAGTATGAGAAACGACCGTGTGTGTTCTGTATCATGGGGCCTCCGTTCCCAATCTCGGATGCGTATTCCCTCAGCAGCGACACATCGTCCCAGCTGGGAATAGCAACCTGGCCATTCGTCTCTTTCCAGGTTATTACGGGTGTCAGAGACGCCGCCCAAATGCCTCTAAACGCTTTGGTCGAACCCAAGAAGAATAGAAGGGGAAAGAGAAACTTTGGGGGCAAGTCCCAGTCCATATGGGTGACCATGGCGTCAGACCACATCAGCATGCTGTTAAGGTCCATCTCCCTGCTGGCAAAGCGGCGGCGGATGGCGAAGTTGATGAGCCGGCATAGCACGATGACCTGGGCAGCGGAGAGGAAGTTGGCGATGAGCTGGACGGCGAACTGGACGCTGGGGCGGTTGTTGCTGATGAAGTCGAAGAAGCCGCCCGGGAAGCGGATTGACTGCACGCTCGAGTACAGCAAGAAGAAGCTGACTGGTGTCGTGAAGAGGAGCGTGAGGAAATTGAAGTGGCCAGCCGAAAATAATGAGGCCTGTCCGTTTCGGGCGCCCTTTATGCGAGCCGACTTGGCCATGGCGTTACGTTTTGCTATGTTGCAGTGGGTGGACGTAGGTGAAGGGGATAGGAACTGGGGCCAGAGTCGGCGATGTCCCGATTCTTGTTCCTCCGAGGCCTAGACATGTTGGCGAGATCCTACGCCGCTGCATGACGATAGTTATGCGGTTGGTTGTGTTCAAGAACCAACATGCATATGGAGAGATCAATTCTGGGTGTCGGTGACATCGAGAGTCTGGGCCCAGCTCATTACCATTGGTTGACGCTATTACGTGCTGCAGGTTCAGCGGCAACAGGGGGTCTGATCGCCTGTGATTGGGCTGCGAAGCGCTACAGCCAGCGCCCGGTCCACCCACTACCGGTAAGGCGGTCGTCGTAGGGGATGAGACAAGAATAGATGCGAACCAAGCCCAAGATCAAATGCCAGCAAGAGCAGTTAATTCAACGTAGTAAGAAAAAAAAGAAAGAACTGCCCAAGAAAATGCTGTGCAAGACAGGCAAATTAGCTGACGTGGTGGGTGAGACATGGCTTGTTCAGCTCGTTCAGCTTGTTCAGCTAGAGCGGGGCTGCCTACACGTACATGAAGCCTGGATTCTGCCTCCAACACACGCTCTTCATCCATCCCCCATCACGGCAAGATTGCCGAGCGGTTACTCCTGTTCTGCAACCCGGCAGGCTAGGCTCGCTCGTCCGGGGCCCAAGTCTTCCCGGCATCTTCATCCTCGCCCGTGATCATCACCATGGACTGTTACTGCGCGATATGCGGGGGCCCATCGTTTGAACCCACGTTGGACCCGGTGCCAGACATGGATGTGTTTGGGGAGGCCCGATACTGGGTGGGCCAAATATCTGGCCCAGAAGACCCTGAATTAGGTTGGCTAGCCCGTGTCGTGATTATTTTTGAGAACTTGAGGCAAGTCTCCCAGGGCTAATTCTCTACCGAAAAATGCTCCCACTGACTCTTCTCAAGCCAAATCTCTGGAAGCACTTTCCTATCGCAAGCATCGCAAGTATCGGCCCTACCCCAGTTGCCGGCACTGTCAAATGGACAAGTCAACAGCACCGAAACTGGGGGCATCGGATGGGTCGAGAGTGATGGCTCACCACAGTAAGTTGACCATATTCGACATGAACCAAGTGACGAAACTGATATTCTTGCAGCTATACCTGGACCATAGACTGCAATAGCGATATGTGGCGTGTCCCGTTTCATTTAGAGTGCCTCGAGATCCTGTGTCGATACATGGATATACCAATGTCGCAACTCAACAACGCATCCTTTTTGGAGGTGCTCAAGGCTTTGGAAGAACACACCGAGGGCCCGAGATTTCTCGATATCGACTATGGCGATATCGACACGGCGATGTGCAGTTCATGGACAACAAACAGTGGCGAGTATTTCCTTTCCAATCCTGTGAATGTGGCACGCCTCACGGAATTGTATCGAAATCCTCCTCGCTACGACGACTCGATTACACACGAAAAGAAGATGATCAGGGTGGGAGGCGACCCTTTCAGAAAGTTGTCGCAAGAGATCATTCTTCTCATAATGTCGGAGTTGGACGTACCCACCATCTTTAAGATGCGGCAAACCTCACCGGCTTTTTCAAACGCCGGGCTTGGAGTGAGTTTCTGGAAATCGCACATCGTGTGTGATATGCCTTGGCTGTGGGATTTCCCAGCTTCTACTCTGGTTCAAGTGGAAGGCGTTGATTGGGAGCAACTCTACGGCACCTTGTACCGGGGAAGCAGGTACAAAGCGGCCAACAGCATCCAAATCCATGGGCTGTGCAACAGGAGGAGAATCTGGGAACAAATGTGCCATGTGTTCGCTGTGCCATATTGGAAGATCGAGTCTCGTCGAAGCATTAATGTTCCTGAAACCACCCAAAATCAGGCACATGATGAAGCCTAGGTACCCCAATATTATTAACAGACCTTGATGAGGACTCTACTTTGGTAGGCCGATATGCGAGCTTGCCCTGTGCCAGGTTTTCTCTGATTCAAGTGGTCGGGAAATAGACTGTTGGAATTTGCTGCTTGATCAATAGGAAAATGTATCATTTTACTCACATGTTGGAGCCTCTAAATTTAGGGAAGATAAAAGCTATACACGTTACAGATGATAACTGGCTAAAAGGAATCACAAGCTCCGACCATGTGATAAGTGTTGGTAGCATTATTATTGTCACTTAGGCAGTTGTGGAACATTGGGCACCAAGCTGGCAAGTTGCGAGCATGCGCGTGTTTTCAAAACATGATCTACAATAGCAGCAGATTGGGCTTTGTTTATTTGTTTCCCGTCGCGTCATCATCTGCCCTGATTTCGTGTAATGTCAGATGAAACGAACAAGATTCCAAATCCTGAATGATCATTGGCTCTGCTTTGAAGCAGGAGGCCTTCCATTCTGAACGATATGTCACTTTGTACCACGGCCACGCGCAAGCAACGTTGCCTACCTAACTTTACAAAAGCCTGCACCACCGCGCTGTATCTTTGATTTCTCACCCTGAGCATCTTTTCCTTCTGCGAAAAAAAACCTCACTCAACCTGCCTCACCTTTCGCCCATCTGCCACGGAGCCGCCGCAACCATGGATATCGACGATGGATCTGATATGCCTGAGTTCATCGAAACGCTCCAACGCCAGAAAGAAAACCTCCGCCGAGCCCAAGCTCAAAAAGGCAAAAAGCCAGAGTTCATGATTCCTAGGTTCCTCCTCGTTGCCCAGTTCCGGCACCAGAATATGGCGCAGCAACAAAAGTATTCTAATGGCCAATGCCATTTCAAAACCTCCTTCCTTCCTGCCGCCTACCCGCCCAGCACCGAATCTCTCGACAAGCTCAAGAAAGTGATGATTAAGGATCTATGTCTTGAGCTCCACCATGAGGGTACCTTCTTGGTCGTGAGATCCATTACTCCGCCAAACAGGCTGACAGGCATCTTAACTGCCATCGAAGACGAGAACGATCACGTTGTCACGCTCCAACTGTACAATCAAGAGGAGGAAACAGAGCGTCCGGCAGATGAGCTCATAGGGGAAGGGACGGTCGTGATGCTCAAGAACCCTTATCTCAAGACAACATCGGATGGCAGCTATGGCCTTCGTGTGGACCACCTTTCTGACATTGTCCGCCTAGAAAGACATGACGAGCGTGTCCCGTCAAAATGGAGAATCAACCTCTACGATGACAACAAGAACGCGCTGTTTTGGAAGAACCTGGGAAACGAATTCTTTGGGAACGCCCAATACAGGGCGGCTATCGAGAGGTAGGTGAAAGCTTCCGCGTCGTCACGGCTCACAGCACATATGAGCTTATGTCTTTAGGTATACCGAGGCGCTCAAGTACGGTCCGACCGAGGACGAAGAGCGCATCATCAAGCTCAATCGCTCCATGGCCTTCCTAAAGACTCAGCAATTTGAGGCTGCGCTCTCTGATGTTGAGTCGGCACCCAACGGACCCAACTTGGTTGAGAAAGCTCTTGATCGCAAGGCCCAGGCCCTATATGGTCTCGGAAAGTATCGAGAATGCTCTCTTGTGCTCAAAGAGATGAGCCAAAAATTTGCAGGAAATACCTCTGTCCACCAGCGTCTAGCCCATACCATCGACCGCATCAAAGAGCAAGAGCGCGGCCTGTATGACTTTGCGGGAATGCAGCGCGACGCCTCAGCCAAACGTCCACCGCATCTAGATTTTGCCACCTATGTTGGGCCAGTGGAAGTACGTCCGTCAGGTTCAAAAGGACGCGGCCTCTTCACAACGAAAGCTGTCAAAGCAGGCGAGTTGTTGTTGTGCGAGAAGGCATTTGCTCATGCTTTTGTTGATACGGACAACGAGAAGCAAGATCTCACGGTTCTCATCGATGCTGAGAGAGATTTAATCACGGTCGGAGGCCAGACTGAGCTCATTCGGCTCGTGGCTCAGAAACTATACCATAATCCATCGATGGCTGGCACCATCACTGGGCTACATCACGGCTCGTACCAGGCTGTCAATGTATCTGAAGTGGATGGCATCCCAATCGTCGACACGTAAGTTACTGCTTCTCGGTCTATTATCTTAGCCGCAGTGCCCGTATTCGGCATGCTAACTCATGAATCCTTGACCAGATTTCTCATCTCCCGTATTATTGGACTTAATTGTTTTGGCTGCCCTCTTTCAACTCTTGATTCAATGACAAGAGCAGGGCCAAGTATTGATGAAAAGGTCCATCACTCGTGTGGGCTTTGGCCAATGGCTTCGTACATCAACCACTCCTGCGACCAAAACATCGCTCGAGCCTTCATCGGCGATTTCATGGTCGTTCGCGCAACTCGGGACATTGATAGCGGCAGCGAGCTCAAATGGCGGTACTACCAAACAGGTCAGGACAACAAGAAGCGCGCTGACAAGCACTGGGGGTTTCAGTGTGACTGTGTCATATGCACAGATGATCAAGCCACTTCCTCTAAGATGCTAGCTGAGAGAAGGCGACTTGTGAAGACTTTACTGGCACAGGGCAGCGCAGTACGACCTGGGAAGATTGAATCCATGCTGGCAAAAATGAAGCTCACATACCGCAAGCCAGCCTCGGAGGTGCCGCGGATGAACATATATAACTTCCAGGTTCGTCTAGCCATCAGATATCTTGAGAATAACCAGCCCGACAAAGCGGTTGAGCGGGGTTTGGAAGCTCTTGGCTCTCTGGGTTTTGTCATTGAGGGAGCAGCTATGCCCAAGCCTGGCACTTCGAACGGAACGATCTTGATCAAGCAATGGGGGGTAGATTGTGACATTTTCAAATGCTGGCGGGTGCTCTCAAACGCGTACGGTATGCTCGGAGCCTTTGGCCTTGAGTCCCAAGCAGAGCACTTTGGCAAGATCTCTTACAAAGCTTGTATGGGAGAAGATTCCTCTTTCGACAGTCATAAATGAGAGGATGGGAACTTGTGAGAATACCATGTTTACCTCATAGCGATAGAGGAATGAAATTAGTCTGGGACGATCTTCGTCAACTACATGCCGATGTAGCCATTCCTGAAAAACAATCGTCCTCCATTTCTATATTAAATTAAGTCCGATTTAACCGATTACAATATCAGAAATGGCTTTCGGTGCGATTTTTCTATGGGATAGTGTTTATTTGTTGTATTTAATACAACTGAAATGAGAGTTGTTTTCTCTTAACTGTGAAAAGGCTTTTGATACCAGCCTCTCCACTTTGGGGGCGTGCTCGGAGACGATGCAGATACCCTAGAGCCCACCAACATCCGCCTACCTGACGAAGAGTAAGAATCTCGCGAGAAAGGGACGCTAATTACTAAAATGAAACATTGAAACAAAAAAAAGATTAGATAAAATGCAACCTAATATACGATTATGGGGGCATAATGGGGGTAAAGAACCAATGAATGGGTAAGTGAATCAAACGATAATCAATCCTTTTCAAAGACAATGGTGAGAATTGCGCGGCATAATGTTGAGGTTACAACCTGAGCGTCGAAAAAGCGTTTTGAAAGATCAAAACTGACTAGGCTCGAAAGGGGAGTAATCCCTTTCACTCTAAACAACTGTTACACTTTACACGGTCCGAAGGGCTGATGAGGTCCCTTCTTCACGATAATCCCGGCCTCTAGAAAGGACTCACGCCTGTGTACTCCGCGGGCGATGCGCGGGCCGACCCTTTCTCCCTGATCGCTGGCTGCCTCACAAAATTGTCCCGCGTTTCTCCAGTTTCCGGTTTAGGTTAGTTGATCTGATTCAGCTAATTTTACATCAGCAGCATTCAACACCGCTGCGCCCCCTGAAGGTCATGTCAATTGAAACAATTCGTATTTTTTTGTTTTTGTTTTTTTGAGAAGAGAAAAGAAGACACATATCATCCGTTGCTTCCATCTATCCTACTGCCAAACAAAATCATACGCCCCCGCGTCATTTCGCCGCCGCTCTAACATGACCCTTGAGAGTCCAGAAAGATCAGTTAATCCAATCAGCCCCTGAGTCGGCATGAATGGATCAGCCCACGCGAAGGCAGCAATGCCAAGAGCTGCCGACCAGATCCAAATTAGCCGCCTCAGTTCCTTGGACAGCTTTCTCGCTTGCCTGCAGCGCTCTATTACCGCTCGCATTGACACTGAAGGCTGGCTGCTCTTCGCATTCTGGTCTAGCCGCCTCTCAACCAGCATCTTGGATCACATCGGAAAAGCCGCAGTGGCCATCAAGCCTGCTGTATCATCATCCAAACATGACAGCTCGCACCCCCCTGACCTAGAGGAGCAAGCGCCTAAACGTGTCACCCTACTCAAAGAGCGCTCCAAGGCCTCTACGGGTATGATCTCTGATGCCCGGTGCTTCAACCGACTATGGGGAACATTCGAGATAATCCTATCGCTTAAGAAACTCATTGAAATCGATGAGTCTCTGAATAATGCGGAGGAATCAACTTCTAAAGAAACACACTCTTTTGACCTCTTGGTGGACTTTTGCCAGGCGGTTGCCCTTCTTGTATATCATATTTGCGACCATGCCATCTTTTTCTCCAAACATAAAATTATTAAACTATCCTCAGCCACAACGGCCATTCTTACACGCTGGAGCTTGAGGGCCTTTGCCGTCAATACAATCATGGCAGTGGTGCGTGTGGTCGCGCAGCGTGTGCGGTCACGGGGAGCGGTGGACAAAAGTTGGAAGAAGAGCCTTGTGCGGACCTCGGCCATCCTGATCATCGCTGTAAATAATGCTCTTCCCAAAGGCCCGCTAAACGAGCTGACTCTCTCATTACTTGGCGTCCTTGGCTCTGGTATCGTAGCCCAAGGTATTTGGGAGAAGAGTGCTCTTGCGGTAAAAGCATAAGTAAAACGTTTGTATAATTATTTGCCTTTCTGGTTATTGGCAACATGGCATAGAATAGAATAGAACAAGAGGTTAAAGTCGAACCTACAACTGGTCGTTGGTGACAGTCATCGTCCACAATCAAAGTCCTTCCATCACTGACACAGATGTGGTGAGCTTTGTTACTAATGCCACGTGTTTCATCAATCGAGGCCTCCAGATGTCGAATGTAGGTCAGATTACATCTTTCACCAATGGTACCTCCCTTGTTTAGACTCAAGATAACCTGTGTGATCTCTGTTTGTCCCAAATTCGATCGGTGGGTACCGACCATAACTAGAACGCATTTGGGAGAAGGTGTGATAGATCGCCACCGTAGTATTGACATCCTGAGACCAGGGTACACCTCGACGTTACCCCGCCACCCAATATGCTGCCGCCGAGCGTAACGCACGCGTATACCCGATACGATTCATTGGGCAGTGAAAGTCTCACATTGGGGCCTGTCAGTCTGTACTACGAGTGTTACTTAGATAATAAACGATAACCGTAGATTTCGAAATCTCCCTCATTTTCACTGCACCTAGGAATTTTTAAACCGTGTGCGCTCCTACAGCGACTTCGTCACCAGAATTAGACTCGACCTCGCCTCAGTTCTAGTCCACACCCTCGTAGCCGACGTTGACTGACACGCCCAGTCTACCGCTACTCAACTGCTAAGATTCTCACAAATCCATTTCGGGATCTCGCCTCTTATCTTCTGCGTACACAAGCCTGTGGCCTGATCTACCACTTCGAAATCAATTTTGAACATGCCTCCTGAAACCAGGTCAGCGAAACAACGCCAAAGTCCCGAGGAGACTCCTGATATTGCCCCTCCTCGCACACTTACCTCCGAAGAGGCCGAGAAGGACTACCAGATACAGCTTGCTCTGCTTCGTGAACAGACTCAAGCCTATCATGACGAACAAAGACAGTCGCGGAACTCCACCGCCAAGGAGACTCCCGATAGTATCCCTCCTTACACATTTGCCAGCGAAGAGGCCGAGCAGGACTACCAAATACAGCTTGCTCTGCTTCGCGAACAGACTCAAGCCTATCATGACAAACAAAAACAGTCGCGGAACTCAACCGCCAAGGATAAAACCCGCCCTGCGCCTAGCTGAGTTACTTTTTGGGTAGGGCTTACGTAGAGCTTGGAGGAGACATTATATATATATATTAGTATTGTGTCTGTGCTGAGGTCAGACTGATTGTTGGTGTCACTGAATGGGGAGCGATCCAATGTCAGTTGAGTTTCCTAAATGCGAAAAGTCGCGCGGCGAACCCACGGACTAGTGCTCTGGACCAAATACAATCAAATTGAGCCTTAGAATTGATCTGATAACTTGTTTGTTTGTTTGCAAGCCCGATCTAAGCGCCCTTGGCCTTGGAGGGCTCCCTTCGAGAAACGACCGCTGCATATTGAACTTCCTATAATAGTGCTGTGCCGATCTCAGTCATAATTCTCCACCTTCACTAGTTAGCCGCTCACTTGCTAGAACTATTCCGGGCTCAACGTCACAATCAAGGACTGATACACATAGACATCGCCTAGTTGGACTCCTTCCAGATCAAACCGGAAGGTCTGTAAAGATTTGTCACAGGAAGCACCCGCATGGACAATGCAGGAATTTGCCCGGCTGCTTTTCGCAAGATGGACGTCGCGCATCCTTCACGCTAATGCTAGCTCCGTAGTTACCAGGAGCTGTTTACGCACGGCTTTCTCTCAATCGCCATGACACACCAATGTGCTTACGCCGTGCGTATAAACTCTAATGCAACACGTACGCGCAGCTTATATATTGTCAAGCTTTGGAGCATATATAAAGAGCCTGCCGCCAACTGGGCGCTGGCTCATTCTTAAAGCTATCATTCAAGAAGTCAGAAATCTTCACCTGAACACGAAGCATACTACAACTATCTTTCTTTAAACAGAATTACTATCAACTTTCAAAATGAGGTTGCTGGCTGGAATGACCCTTCTTCCGACTTTGTCTGCTATGGTCGAAGCAGTGCAACCATTGGCTGTGGTCTATCGCGGAAACCAGGCCCCCCGCGAAGCCTCTGACAGTGTCGGCAAGCTTCTTACGGATTCCGAGTACAAATTTAAAGTGACCTACGCTGGACCGACAGAAGAAGTGGATCTCAGTCCGGAACTTCTCTCGCAAGCCTCCATTTACGCTTACCCTGGCGGGCCAGGTTCGTTTTACGAGTTCTGCGTTGAGTCAGCTTGTCGTATGCGTTATTAACATTTATATATAGACGTTGACGACTCTTGGAAAGAACTCAAAGTGCATGGAGACACAATCAGGAACTTTGTGCTCGCTGGTGGCCGATACGTGGGTTTCTGCTTGGGAGCTTACCTTGCCGGGCATTCTTGGCTCAACCTTCTTCCTGAGGGTATTGACGTTGACTCTGAGATCGAGCGAGATAATGCCCAAGTCAAAGGCCCCGAGGACACCACGATTCAAGTGGATTGGACGTTCAATGCTAGCACTGGAAATCCCCACATAGAGCAAGGTCGATGGGCATACTTTCAAGAGGGAGCAGTCGTCCTAGGCTTCAAGGGCGATGATCCGCGTGTTGTTGCCAGATACTCGCAAAATAAGGATGTTGCTGCGTCGGTCACTCCGTACGGTAAAGGATTTGTCGGCCTTGTCGGTCCGCACCCTGAAGCGGATGCAACTTGGTGTAAGTGGCTCACACCGGACACGAACTGGCGTCCTTATGAGATTTGCTAATGGCTGTTGTGACTGAAGACTCGGATGCCGAAATTACGAACCCAGATGGAATTCGAACAGACATCGGATATGATTTTATCAAATCGACCATGCAAGGAATCTCTATACCCAGTAGCAAAATTGGTAATTAGACTTCCTATAGGACCAGTTGAGGACGGCTCTTGAGGTTATAGCCTATAGCTCCAAGGTGAAAGGCCCCAGGAGTCTGTTGACCATCACGGATGGTTATCTCCAACTAGTATCTTGAGTATGTTCAGGCCGAACTATATTAGAATTCTCATCTGGGCTTGGGAGAATTTTACTAAACCCTACACCCTTTTTTCCTGGATTCTGCAAGGGAGTATCTTCATTTCTTGCTGGGTCAATCGGGAAATGGTGGGATTCGTAAGCACTGGTCCTTCCTCATCAATACAAACCCATTATTCCCACAAGCATCTCCTATCATAACTTAAATATGATGGCTCATTTCTCATATTTCTCGGTCATGCAAGTTTAGAGGCTGAGCCGAAAGATGAAAGCGTACGGTAAATGGGCCGATTACGGCACTGGATGCCTCGCGGGATGCCTTCTTTTGCACATTCAGTCGCCAGCAGTCATACATCGGACACAGCCACATTTTCGTTCGCTTTTAAGACCTGTGGCTTTTCTTTTCTGAAGAAAAAAAAAAGATTTATACTATCCATACTGCCGATTCCTCGCATCTCCTGAATATTCTATGCATCCGCGCCCTGCCCATTGTGGTGAGATGTCGGTTGTTTAACTATACACTCGAACTCTTTCCGTCCTCACGCCATGGACCCAATAACCTTTGCAAGAGCATCATTTGACTTGGCCCAATTGGTCAAAAGACTATCCAAAACCTACGATGAATTGGACTCCAGGATCGATCTTATGTATGCTGTGTCAAAGCAGGCCTTGATCATGTGCAGGATTTCAAAGTCTAGAGTGCCGGACGAAATGCAGGACTTATGTGCAATCATTGAAAAGAAGTGCATTACGATCTTGAACGAGCTATGGGAATGGAAAGGCCGCTTCAAAGAGGAGGGAAAGAACAAAAGGCCTTCGAGCTTCAAGGGTTCGTGCGCCAAGGTCAAGGCACAGACTCGGCTTCCGGAGCTGACAGAAGATGTAAATGATATTGCCTTGCATACAAACAAGTAAGGACATTCCGTTCGTGGTTTATTTCTATCTAACATCTTCCAGCTTGCTCCTCGCTGTAAACATCGAAGCTATGGCCTCCCTGGCAGCCTCCAAAGAAGCTGTCAATAAAAAGGTGGACAATATCTTCGCGATTGTTTCTCGCCCACCCATGGATCCTGGTCCTCTACGTGAACCTGGAAAGTATGTCACTATCGATGATGGATTGAACCCAATTTTCGAACTGCCACCTAGTTTGTGTGAAACGCCGCAGGTTGGTGACTCGCTCCAAGATGAACCATCGCTCCTACTGACCGCTAGGTAGCGACTTCAACGCACACTAGCTATCGCATTTGAATCAATGCCCGGTTTAGCGCAGATCAAGCGAGGGCATTTCGTAGCATACCATTGGAATATAAACCGCCTGATTTGCGCCAATGAATGGCCGGTAGTCATCGAAAAAGGATACGGTATCAGAATTGCCTTCGTGATGGGAACTTGGCTTCCTAGCAAGCCGAATAAATGCATTCGGTGTCTCAAGCCCATGGAAATGAGTCCAAGAATCATAAAAGGAGAGCTCATAAGCTGGTATGTTTATTTCTTCGTCTAAATTCGGCGTATTGTCCTTATTAATTTCACATTGCAACAGCAAGTCCTGTGATCTTCAGTTTTCCAAATTCGGTCCCTTGGACTTTGATTACGAACCGCAAGATGTCAGCTTCCATTTCGGAGGTTATCATGATTACAAAAAGAAATCACATCGAAAGTCTTCACCCCCACCGTCTCCTGCATTGGCTACCAGCGATGCCTCCGCAAAACCCCGACCTGTGAATGGTAGCACCACCAGTACTGAGTTAACTCCTATTGATCTTGTCTGTCGACGACTCGCTATCAAATGGGGCATATCTTCAACATAAGTTCTGGGCATCTATTCTGCCTCTATCTTGCGTGGGCGAGCACCCCGTCACACCTGGTGCCTGAAATGACATTGCATCTCGTGGTCTCTCATACGAGACACAATGACGAGGGCATCTCTTTCTTAGACTATAGGAGCCTCAACTACAGCAACGACACCTAATTAGATCAGTTTGGAGCTTACGGTATTTCCCGCCTTCATGTTCCAAAATTAGCTCGTTAGACTGGACTTTTGCCGTTTTCACAATAACGGACAATGAGAAGCTATTTAGACTCCTTAATTTTGATAGGTGGTAGACATATGACGCAAGGGCTACGGAGCAAATTATCATCTTATACAGTAAATCGACCAGTAGCGATAGTACGACAAGTTAAAACTTTCCACGAACCATATTTGAATTTCGGGCTAGTATGTAGCCGTGATGATTACAATAACACCAAGCAACAAGAGTTTAGAAAATACGGAGATAATCATCCCTAATACTTCTATTGTACAAGACGGCCTCTAGCTCACCGAGATGGTGTACTTTGAAGTAGTGAAGACACAGTTAGAACCGACGAAAGGCTCAGTACCTGCCTGAAGACTGGTCACAACCATGTCCGTGCTGACGCCCTGGCTGGAGGTAAGGTAGTCGAAGAACTTCTTCAAGTCGCCACTGAAGTTTCCAATGTTGCTGGGAGCGACGAACGAGTAGACAGTGGTGTCGCCGTTAGGGCCCCTGAACAACTTCCACTTCGTGCCGAGGATGGTGGGAGTAGCAAGTGGTGTGTCGTTGGTCTCGGAGATTGGGCCTGCACCGCCGTATGATCCAACCCAAATCATGATCTCGTACTTGTTGTTTGCGCCGACTGAAGGGGCCAACCACAGATCATACGAGACGTCGGAAACCATGTTGGTTCCCGTGTACCTAGATAATGTCAGCCATGTATGAGCAAAATGGGGGACGGGGATAAAAGGATGCGGCCATACCTCCAGGTCCAGGTAGAAGGGATCGAGTTGATTTGAGACAGCTTCTTGTTGACCTTCTCCAAAGCAACGTTGGAGTACGACTTAACGTGAATGTTGCCGCCCTGCCAAGTCCAGCTTGTTGACCAAGAGAATGACTTGCTCGTGACGGAGTTGAAAGTCGTGCACTGAGATCCAGAGGTAGCCTGTCCAGAGCCCCAGTTGTTGTGGTAGACGGTATAACCTTCTGTTGTCAAAGAACCGAAGGCATCGCACCAGGTGGTTGCTCGCTCTTCGAGAGTCGGAGTAGGCGTGGCCAGCGCAGTGGAGGCCAGGAAGGCCGAAGTGAGGAACGAGGACAGCTTCATGGCGCAGATCTGGAATGAGTACAGTGGTCTTCGTGAAGGGAGAGCGTGTTGATCGAAGTAAAGGAAAAGCATTGGGCCCAAGTAGCCAAATATATATAGGAACCTGCCTCGTGGGCTGCTGTGAAACCGCAGCTCACCCCCATATCGAGCACGGTGGCTCTGAGATTCCGGCAAGCGGTTGCGCGCCAATGGTACGCCAATGGAAACTGACGATCTGCTCCAACAAGGGTGTTTCGGAAGGTCAACATCCATCTAGTTAGCCGTTACAGCTCAGTAGCCCCAAATGGAACCGACAGAGCCGAGTGGCCCACTCAGACTGGTCCCGCCGGTGATCCGTGTGCCGTATTTAATTTAATATCACGAGACATACTTCGGCACTCGGATGGTAGTTTAGAAATGGGCTTGGTTCTAGAACGGCAATAAAGAACCGTTTAGGCCTTAATTTAGCGATGACATACATAAACAGGCTAATCAGCTTCGCTCAAAGAGCGCTGTTTCCCCTGAAACACCCAGCCTTATCCATCTGAGTGACAGCTCCGACCCAGCTGAGAAGGAAGCTTCCAAACTGGCTAAACTTGAGAGATTGTTTGAGGTCTTCGGGAACTGACCACTCAAACCACCCACTTTCTGCTCTTTTGTACAAGCGTTGAAAGAATTGATGAGCTTGTTATGGAACATGGACCAAAAGCTATTCCCCGCGTTAGGACAAGATCTGACGGCTTACCCTACGGTATCTACAGGACAAGACGCATTATTTTCAAAAGTCAAGGAGACTTTCCCATTCTTGTAGTATACTTAAATAGACCTACATCCATCATACCATTTCGGTTGAAAAGCATAAGTTAATATGATAAATAAATGAATACGCTCCAGCATTTGGTGGTTTACAAATCTTGATCAGGTCAATGTCTCTTCCATTTTTGTCGTATTGACCAAATCGTCGGTAGACAGTTTAACCCCAAGTTATGGAAGCTACGGAGAAAAGGACAATCATATTGCTTGCCACAGGAGTTGCTAATTCGATATTCCATTTGATCGCCTTTTCTTTCCTACCCTTAGATTAGATTTGGTGTTGATGTGCGGAAACGCTGCGTAGAGAACCTCGTTGCCCAGAAGCTTACTGACGCAGTGGCATCCATCCTGAACGCTCCATTCGTGGAGAATGTAACGGATAATCGCTTGCTCCCCAAAAGTACCTGCGGCATGGGGTTTGGAGCGGGGGTTGGTCAGAATTCCCGCCGCATCTTCCCGGATCTAGAAATTGATGCGGGATCAGCACAGCTTTTGCTACTTGCGCTGCTACTGATATCGTAGAAGCTGTAGAACATGGTATTATTGCTACCAAATCTTTACCCTACGATCCAATCAGGAGGATGTATATTCCATCGTATACATCCAAAGTGTGTCAATCCTGATTGGTGTTGACGATCGAATTCCTCAATAATCCCCTTATTAGAATCTTCAGAGTTGCCTAAATATCCTCGCTTGCACCTGATAGAAGGTCCAATGCTTATCGAGGCCATTATGTATTGACCATTACAGCTCATGAACCATAAATAATCTGAACTGAATGAAAAAAAGGAGCCAACTTCTGATATCAGAAGCTACGGGCATAGACATAGCTTTGCAAGGGGGAGAGACAAGTCTCAAGAAGGAAGTCCGAGCTGTAAATAGTCGGTCCTATAGCGCCGTCCAAATGCACATAAAAAACAACGTTCCTCTGCTGAAAACATTCGCTCATGCATACAGGTAGCAAGTCACGTCAGTAGTGGATAAATTGCTACCAAAGCCCAATAATTAGCGGCAATGGTAATCAGAGGAAATCAGAGCTCCTGGCACACCCTACGGCAAGCAACCAATGGGCATGGAGAGAGATAATCCCGGGTCCCAATGCAACGCAAAATGGTGGAAATGGAAAGTAGTTTGATGCATGTAAGAATACGCCTGGGCAGTAAGCGTGATTACGAAGTGGAACAGTTCTGCTTAGGCATTTTTTTTAAGAGTGAGCTTCTCACTTTTGCCCTCTTTCCCCTCACCCTCATATTTCTCGTAGGCATCTTAAAAATGTTTACAGTTTCTTCCTCTGGAGTGACAGCAATAGCTTTCGGAATTACCGTCGTAGCTCTCTACGTGGCATACCGAGCTATCCTACCAAAGCCACTCCCCAATATCCCGTACAACCAAGATGCTGCCGGAAAGCTGTTCGGTGACGTCCCCGAGATAATGGGCTATGTCATGCGGACGAAGCGAATATTTGTAAGACAAGTGATCACCCGTTTACTCGTTTACCTCCCCTACCCGGTGTGTACAGCCGACTGATTATGCTCACGAGCGAGTAGTGCTGGCTAACATCACTCACCACCCGCCATCAAAGTCCGATCGTGCAGGCTTTTATTAAGCCAGGAGGGCTTCCGTGGGTAGTGGTGACGGATCCGTTTGAAAGCCAAGACATCTTACTTCGGCGTATCAGGGAGTTTGATCGCAGCGACTTCTTTGGCGAGCTCATCAATGGTATCCTACCGGAGCAGCATATTCAGTTCATCTCAACTGATCCCAGATTTAAGAACAATAGGAACCTAATCAATCACTTAATGGCGCCTACCTTTATCAAGGAGGTGAGCGCGCCTGAAGTATACATGGCGGCCAGCTCTCTAGTAAAGTTATGGAGACTCAAGAGCAGCATAGCTCAAGGTCGCCCTTTCTCTGCCCATCAGGACATCACCTTTGCCTCGCTCGACTCGATTTTTGCTTCGTCTTTTGGTTTGAAAGAGTCTGAAGGCAACACGATCCAGCGCATCAAGGCATTGGAGGGCTGGGAGGCTGATATCCCTTGTAATGTTGATGAAGCAGTCTCATTCCCGGAGGGCCACGTTCCTGAGATATTCTCGGCAGTTCTCACCCTGGCGAACTCAGTCACCGACACCCAACTGTCTCCGGCGCCGGTACTCACTTCATGGGTCATACGAAAATTTCCCTACATGAGGAAAGCAAAAGCCATCAAAGACGAATATATTCGCAACAAGGTTGAGGAGTCGGTTAAGCTGATCAATGAGGGCCAGACCAAGGCCAAAAGCGCACTCCATTCCGTCCTCCTCCGCGAGCGCGATGTCGCGTCTAGGGAAGGGCGGCAACCCGATTATCGCAAACGAGCGATTGCGGATGAGTTCTTCGGATTCATGACGGCTGGCCATGACACCTCGGCTACCACAATAGCCTGGGGTGTCAAACTACTCACTGACAACCAATCGGCCCAAAGTCGCCTTCGGGATGATCTGCGAGCTGCTTTCCCCCAGGCTGTCCGAGAGGGACGTGCTTTGACCTATTCGGAGCTGATGGATGCACACATCCCCTTCCTTGACGCTACAGTGGACGAGATCCTACGGCATGCGAACTCGATTGCCTTTGTTACCAGGCAGGCTCTAAAAGATACCACTGTCCTTGGCCGTCATATCCCCAAGGGTACCAATGTCTTCCTGATGGCCAATGGCCCTGGTTATTTAGAGCCCAATATGAAGCTTAGTGACGAGGTTCGTAGTCCTGGTGCCCGTAAGACGGCCAAGTCGGTGTTAACTGGCACCTGGAGGGATGAAGATATTGCCATGTTCCGCCCGGAGCGCTGGCTGGATACGGATCCGGACACTGGTGCCGAAGTATACAACTCCATGGCGGGTCCATCACTTGCGTTTGGATTGGGACTTCGAGGGTGCTTTGGGAGGAAACTTGAGATGAATGTACTCAAGATTCACTTTGCCCTTATTGTATGGCACTTTGAGCTGCTCCCAACTCCTACTGAATTGGGTGGCTATGAGGCCGTGCAGAAGTTTGCACGGGAGCCAACGCAGTGCTATATCCGCCTCAAAGAGGTCGGAATTTAGATGAGTCTGAGCCTTGATTGAGAGTGTAATATGGGACTAGCTTGTTTGTTTCTTCCGTATTCATGAAAATATCACGTCTTCCCTTAATCTACCAACTGAAATCATAACGAAAGTTAGCTAGGGCAATGCCAATATGGACTCCGGTGAGGCTCTGTCAAACATCACTGGGAACTGCTTTGTATTTTATGAATGAGCTCACAACAAGTACTCACAACAAGTAATCATGTAGCTATTGAAGACCACCCCTTACATGAGAACGTCAAATTCAACCCGGCGCCGTCATCCAAAACAAGGCCTTCAGGGACATTTTAAGTAACCAACTGCCACCAAGAGCTATCTACTTCGTGATCTATATTTCAGCTTTGAGGCCTTTAAACCTCGTCACTCAGCACGAGGTTTCAATAACGAGACTTTTCGTACTTTTCACTGTCCATGCCGGGAGTCAAAACCAATAAAAATTGCCCGATGCACTGATCATCCCCCTCCAGAGTCCAAATCACTCCTGCATAGCTTTATGGGCGTTATCGGCTATGGTATGGTCTGTAGAGTCGTAATTCCGTCGGACATTGCCTATTTTTGCACTTCACTAAGACCTGGTGCATCTCTGGGACCGGACGCTGACGAATAACATGCTCAAACCAGCCATATTCCCGAGACATTCCCTCGGCGTTTCTTGATGCAGTTATGCATGCTTACCCCGCCTTGCCATCCATATATTCACGATCCATTCTCCTGAGACGAGAGATGAATTTCAAAAATCGTCAACCAGAATTTCCAGTCTTCAAGCATATTTATTTGCCATGGCTGAGATAGATGCCATCTTGCAGAAATACACGGACCCCGAGACTGGCAGTATTCATGGCGCCAGTTTCGTCGCTGTCGATGCCAATGGTATAAAATTCCTGAATTGTTTTCTACCAGGTATAGACTGTTCAAGAAAAGTCAAGGCGCTGACTTACATTAGGAAATGACACATATCGCAAATCATTCGGCCATCAAAAGGTTGATGTAAAGAACTCCCCACCACTAACACTGGACACGGTGACATGGATTGCCAGCCAAACAAAGCTCACCACATCTGTTTCAGTGATGCAGATTGTGGAGCGGGGATTGATTGGACTCGATGATGATGTGCGCGAAGTTCTCCCCGAGCTCAAAGAGCTCAAAGTCCTGCTTGGCTTCGAAGACGAAAATGGCGACATCGCGGAGCCTGAGCCCTACAATCAAGATAGTGGAAATGGACCATATATCAACAAATCTCTACCCAAACCCAAGGGGAAGCCAATTTTTGAGGATGTAAAAGGTCCAATTACTTTGCGGTCAGTGTGCTTTGTATTCCTCTTCCGAGACGAGCTTTCGGCAATCGTTCGAATACTAAACTCGTCCATCACAGCCATCTCGTCACACATACTTCTGGACTGTGTTATGACCTAGCAAGCCCACTGTTAATGAAGTACTCTGAGTGGATTGGTCGCAAGGAGAACATGTTCTCTGGCACAATTGAGGGTTTCTTTCATCCACTACTCTTCCAGCCGGGCACGTCCTGGACTTACGGCCCCGGCCTTGATTGGGCAGCCAAAGTGGTTGAGAAATTGACGGGGTTGGAATTCGACGAATACCAACAGAAGAACATTTGGCAGCCCCTTGGAGCTAAGAATACAACCTTCTTCCCAGCGAAACGTGGATTGACCAAAGCAGATATTCATGAACCGGCATCTCGTGCTGAAGGCAAGGGCTCTCAAAATCTCGAACCTGGAACGTCTCCCTGGAAATTTGAGTGTCGCGACGCTTTAGGAAGCGGGGGATTGTTCTCGACCGCTAATGACTATAGCAAGCTTCTTGCGGCGTTGCTCAGTGGGGGAGGGTCACTCCTTAGCAAAGCTTCAGTCGATGAGCTTTTCCGCCCACAGATTGGGCCGGGTGCCGTCAAAGGGCTCCGGCAGTTCATCCTTGGCACTGATCTGGATAGCACTCAAGCTCCAATCTGGACAGGGTCTGCTGATGAATGGCAGGATGTGATGGAGCTGCAACATTCACTTTGCGGAGTTGTGAACGCCGAAGACGTCAAGGCTCGCAGGAAGAAAAACACGGTTCATTGGTCGGGTCTGCCGAATTTGATATGGTACATTGACCGGGAGAGTGGTGTAGCAGCGACATTCTTTACTCAGTTGCTGCCAGTGGGAGATCTGTCAGCACGGCAGATATGGCTAGATCTAGAGGAGGCTTTGTACAAGATTGTCAACAAGAAATAAGCATAAAACTCACTCAATTAAGATTTGAGTCCTAGCTCAATGCCGACATACAGGATCCCGCCTCAAAGCCAAAGATTGGTGTAATGTGGAGGCTAAATCATAAGAAATAAAAAACGATCATACGAAGGTATATTCTTCCTAGTCTCTACGCTCTTATTCGCAACTTTGACGCTACCTCATGGGAGGGTTCTTGAAAGGACAGAAGTGAGTAATAAGTTATCATTATCATCATCATAAGATAGACTATAGTCTCAACGATGAGAGCGAACAGGTTATAGGCTGAGCTCGTATTCACGCGAGCGGGATTATCTAGTATTTCTCTCACAAAAACATATAAAGACCACCAACGAATGCCACAACAACAATGGGGGCCTTCATGGTTTGTCCACCGGAAGTTGGCACAGAGGAAGACACGCCTGTCGATGAGGAACGGGCACTGGCGGTGCTCACTGAACTGGGGGTGGTGTTGGTGCCATTGCTGGGGGCAGTTACCGTGGAATTGGCTCCAAGACCACCAACCTTGTTAGTTGAGTTCCAGAGATTGACAGCAGGAGGGATGAGAGTCAAGATATCTGTGGTGTTGCCGCACTGCTTAGGGCTGGGGGCATCGTAATCAACGGTGAAGAAAGAAACGGCAGACTGGCAGCCGCCGTTCACGACAAGAGTCTCTCCAGGTAGAGAGCAGTCGCCATTGATGCACTGGTTGACGCCGTCGGCAACCAGATCGCCGTAACGGAAAAGGCCAGTGGTGGCATTGTAGACGGCCTTGTCGACGATGGCACCGTTGGTCATGCGGGTAAGGATGTATGGAGGGTTCACGCAAGAGTTATTATTGAAAGACGTGATGTAAGGAATGTTGACATTGACTCCATAGCCCAGTGGTAAGATTCGCTTGCCAGCAGCCTTTATGATGAAAGACTGGGCGAGATTGGCAGCCAAGCGACCCGTGATGGCGGCAGGGTCCTGCAGCCCGGCGGCGGTCGACTTGTTTGTCCACGTGTAGGGTGTTTGAACGGAATAGGTGGCAGAGTATGCAATGGCGGGAATGCCACGCTCGACGGCGGCATACGTTGCACCAATGGTACCAGACTAAAGAAGATTAGCTTTCAGCATGCAAGGTGCCTTGGCTTGAAGAATGCTCACAATAGTATAGAGGAAGGGTCCCAGGTTGAGACCGAAGTTGGGCCCAGAAAGAACAAGATCAACTGTGCTCAGATTGGCATACTTAGGCAAGACATAGTCGAGAGCGAGAAAGACCATAGTAGCTGGAGTGCCATTGTAGTAGAAAATGTTGGGGTCAATGGGGTCCTGGCCAAAAGCTGGAGCACCGGCCTTGATGAAGCCTGACAGTACGATTAATCTTGCCGTCTCCAACAACAAACGGTTGCAATACATACCGAACTCCGAATCAGCAGTGAGATTCTTCTCGGTACTGAAAACAGCACGCCCGCCCTGGCCAGACATATCGGTGGCCGAAGCAACAATCCAGGCATTGTGACCGTAAGCCTTGACAGCCTTGTACAACTCGCGGATGTTGGAGGTGAAGGCACCATCGTCATTCTAGCACCAATATCAGTTCCCCGTCGAGGAAGTCAGTATTGGGGATGTCATTTTCTGTAGCTTACGGTGATGAGGATGTTCAGTGCCTGGGAAGCGGCGGCAAAGCCGACAAGCGAAGTAAAGGAAAATCTCATCTTGGCGATCGCTCCACGTTATAGTTCCAGGTCCGAGAATGATGGAGATAATTAAGAAGTCGGAGATTTGACGGACGCCACCTAAAGAGCTATCCAATGTTTCTCTATGGGCCTGGGAGATACGGCTCTCGAAAATGAGCAACGGGGACCAACAGCTTTTTGTATCTGACATCCAATCGCTGTACCATTGAGTGGACGTAGCTATCCAAGTCTTTGGCGAAAAGAGGCTAGAAAGACCAGGATAGAACCTAAATGGACAGACATCAATACTACTGACACACGTGCTGCACCAGTAAGTCTCAGTATCAATCATGAGCATCATCCTATAGCAGGGAGGCTGGGGGTCTCACCATGCAAAGGATGCGATCAGGCAAGACTGCAGGCGCTAGAAGAAGTCCATTGCCAAACTAGGCTTCTGATTCCGATTTACCCGCTTAAGAATTGCTTCTATTGCGCGAGGCTACGGACCAGTTGGTGACAGTCCCGCACGCAGACCTTGTTGCATTTCTTGGATCCTCTTGCCGAGACTCCGAGTAGGAGAATTCGTTCTAGGGTCCCCATTAGGTAGCAAACCACGTGAAAGTAGGCGCGTTGTGGTTGGTGCAAGACGATATGGTTTTGCGATGGGCTCCGAGTAGTTCGATCAGTCCACGGGCCATGGGTCGGATCTGGCGGCAAGATAGCCCACGTCATCGTCGGCATAAGAAGAAAGAGGGGCAATTCAGAATTGATCGATCAGCGTCAGCAGCTCAGACGTTAATTACTTAGTGGTGAACAACTTTCATGTCAAATTGAAGGTCTTGAAGCTCTAACACCGGCCTCATCATTTTCCTTCAGGAGCCTCATAACTACGAATTGCATAATAAAACAAGCCCGCACTTGGACACTCTTACACCGTTCGTTTACGATGTGATCAACAAGTATGACAACCCATCTCAAGTGAGGGAAGAAGAACACTACTAAGGATCCTTACAATGCTAGCTCGTTCGTGACCATGATGAGATTCAAAAGCATACAAGAAGTAATCTTGCTACGTTCATTGCAACGTGAGCGCAAATCGTTTAATTCGGGGCTATCAAAATGCAGCACGCTAAGAATCCAGTTGCTTCCCCTTTGCGTGCGGGCAACGGATACGGTTTGTAGCCTTGTACATGCTCTGGCTTTTCATTTGGGACCACAACGTCGAGGAAATTGGCCACCAAGGTGATAAGGCTGAGCTGGATTCCTTCTGTTCTCTATCAGTTGACTATGCGCGCTGGGCGTTCAACCCAGCTTAAACTGAGAGCAGACACCCCACGACGCCAAGCCAATTCCCACCCAATAACTACTGTGCGAATTGAATACCTTCCAAAGCAAGCACTTTGATCAAGGTGGGTAGCAGAGCATTCATTCCAATATCGACAATGGTACTTGTGAAATAACCTGGAGGCTGTAGACCTAAGCGGCGAACTCTTTCTGGCCGTGCAGTCCTTCATACCATGCAACTATCTTCAACAGCGTGAAGCAAAAGGTTCACTGGTCCCAACGGTAGTGGAACAAAACTTCGCGCTCGGGGACATTCGGTTTCGGCTTCCACTTTGCTTGGTTTGAGTTTGTTCACTAAGCTTCCATGTGTTTGTTTCATGAATGAACTAATTCAGCCTACCTCCGATAGGCATGTTTCCGGCAAAACCATCCGCGGAGAAAAAGCCTTGTTCTAAGCAGCCACACCAAGTAACTAATGATGTGTATCAGAGCTTGGGATACTTCGTCACGGCAGAAGCATCTCAGCCAGCCGTATACAGACTTCTTCCACGCCTTGCCTTCCATTACGCGGTAAGACTGAGCTCGATTTGATATACTTCTCCCCTTGTGCCTGTCAAGGGGATCTTCCACCGTGTTGTTTCTTAAGTAAAGGATGTCGGAGTACCAGTTTTCTTGGGCAAAACGAGCCAAGGGGTCGTAAGAAGGTGTAGGATGACTCAGAGATATAGAAGAGGTGAGAACTTGAATTGTCTCTGACACTCGGTCAGGCTGGGGCAACCAAGAGTCATCCCAGCGCCAAGCAAGTCTCAACAAGTGAACGTCAGCTGGTTCCCGCCAGGAGGGTTCAACAGAAGAGGCTTCATCCATCTTCTTCAGCATCTCTGCGTAGCCGCTTTTTCCGTCCTTCCACACCCAGTTACCTAAGGGGTCAACAGTGCCCATTGACGTAGCAGCAATCAAATTTCCTTCCACGACTGAAAACCCATAGAGTCTCTCCCAAGTCTTGTCATGGATCTTACGAGCGCCAGTATCCTCCCATTGGGTGCGTCTATGAGGTCCCCTATGAATTTGTATAAATCCATTGCATATATCCAGATTAGGTACTCTTTATTCGACTCGGTGCTTCCAGTACCACCTTACCTGATAGTCCATTTGTTCTCACAATTCTCCATATCCTTGATAAGGGTAAGGCTCTTTTTCTTCAATTGTCCATACCAAAAGCTCTTACCAATGTACTACCCAGCATGAATGACTATTTCTCTTTCAAGGACGAAATGGTAAGTGTTCAAATCTTACTTGGATCAATCTAGCAGCGGTACCAATAGGTCAGCAAGTGTGTGAAATAAAACATGGCCCATCGAGATAGTTGAGCCTTGAAATTCAATATAATATCATAATAAATAACTCAGTACTGAATACAACATCAAGCTAAATATTATAAGAATAATTTATTATTCTTCTTTATTCTCTCATTATTATGTTCAGTTAAGAAAAAAGGTCTCCTCCTTGCGCAGAAAGAGCTTTGGTATGCCACGTTTAATTCCACCCACTTGAATGGATCCATGGATATTGTATTCTAGGCAGCATGCTACTCTATAAAGAGGATGAAAACCGGCAAGCTCTCTACACACCGGTGGAAGTTACAGATTCGCAGGGTAGTTCAGGCTAATGTGTCACTTAATTAAGATCGAGGACAAAACCGAAACCGACGATGCCTGCTCATAGTGACATGCATATTGCTTCTAATTGGGTACCCACGTGATAATTGATCGTTATCTGCAATGGAGTTATAGATTTATCTCCGGAGCTCTTTAAGACGAGTCGGCACCAGCGCCCAGGGTTGTTCTCAGTCTTGTCAACCCGCCTCACCTTTGGAAGACAAAATTTACAACAAATCCTGTATGACCATGTCTTGCCCTGAGTGCTTCACTGGGGCTATCCACCAGGGTAAACTCCTCGGATCAGAGGAAAGCATTGCAGGGATCAAGACGTACGTCGCAAGACCGTCCTCCAATTCAGCGTCAAGATCGACAATAATCTTCATCACCGATGCCTTCGGTTTCAATCTGATTAATAGCAAACTGCTCGCTGACCAGTATGCTACCAAGATTGGTTGCACGGTCCTGGTCCCTGATATTATACCGGGTGGCGGGGTGCCCGTGGACACTCTGACTCTGATGGAGTCGGTTGGGAAGCCGGTGGGCTGGTTCGATATTCGAGGTCAAATCCAACGCATTGTTTCGTTCGTACGGATGCTTTCCATCGTCATTCCCTTCGCTATTCGCACTCGCAACGCCTTCCCAGGGGTTCTTGCATATGCCCGAGCTGTGAGGGCAAGCTTATCTCCCGGTGGGCGGCTAGGAGCGGCTGGATTTTGTTGGGGAGGCATGCAGACAGTCAAGCTCAGCCAGGAACCTTCCATTGAAGGTGGAGACTCGCGCCTTCTTGACGCTCACTTTACTGCTCATCCGTCGGGTTTGAAAGTCCCAGACGACTACCTGAAGGCTGCCAAGGCATTCCATGTCCCGATCAGTATCGCTGTTGGAGACGAGGACCGATTCCTGTCAAAGAGTGACGTCGAGACCATTGAGGCTGGATTGCGGCAGGAGTTTGGTCCGTCAGAGAATGACTTCGAGGCTATTGTCTATACCAGCTGTGGACATGGATTTGCCGTTCGTGCAGAGCCAAGCAAGGTTGTCGAAAATGATGCTGCCAATAAGGCCGCGCTGCAAGCTATTCAGTGGTTCAAGCGACATTTGGGTTGAACCAAGTACAACGTTTATCTACCCAACTCTGGCTGAGCAATCGGGAATGTGCCGAGAAATGGGTAGACATGCAAGGAAGTAGACCGCCTTCCGGTCGCCGGCTTATATCCTGGGTCAAGCCGTTCAACGATTTATTGATGTTCATGGTCATCGAAGTTCAGCTAGTATACATTGACTTCCCTATGCCTAGCTTTATCCTTGCCCGCCCCTTCTACTATACTAGTAATCGCTCACCAAACCCAGTAATTTGTTCGATTCCAGCAAACGCGAGATCTATGTACAACTACCATGAGACACAAGAATATCATTCATATTTACGGTGGACAGTGGCTGCCTAAATCTCGTTACTCAAAAGCCTTCATGCATGATTACTCGCACTCATTTTTAATTTGGTAAGTCAGTGCCCAAGGAAAGAAGTGACACCAAGTCACATCCCAAATTCAGCTTCAGCGCACATTTTACTCTGATTCAGTGACAAATACCCATGTTAAGCAGCTCCAGTATATGTGTTAATATTAAGTGAATGGGAGACTCTTGCTTTCCCATAAAGATACAGGTATCTCTCTGCAGAACATATAAAGGCCCGAGCTCACCAGAGATATATTTGAACTGTAGACTTTTCGAGTAATTCGACCGACTACCCAAAATCAAACGCAAGACTTCCAACACCACAAAAACAGGTCGACCAACCCCAAGCAACATACATGATACCCTTGAGAAAATATGGCTAACATTACGAAAGCATAGCCAAGATGGAGAACCAGAAAAACATCGACCATTGTTCATGGCAAATCGCGGCGGCGAAGGGACGCATCGGCGGTACCAAGGAGGAAATTAAGAAGGAAGCAAGTCCCGAGCAGAAACAGAAGCTTGAAAGTGAACTAGCCGGCTACGAAAATGACTTGAAGCACAATGAAGAGAAGCGAAAGAAGTTGGAGAAGAAGTCGACATAGGTAGAGAAGCACCGAGACACCTAAGATCGCTACGAAATACAGTTTCGTTCTGGTTTCAATGAATCGACCTCTTTTTCGTTTAGATAAGATCAGATTTCAGAATCAAACATTCAAACCGCTTGACTAAAGAAAGTGAAATGTGAGTCTCCGCGACAATATGAGTGCCTAGAAGAATTCCATTAGCACACAGCCAAACAAGATATCGCAAGCCGTGGGCTGAATGAACTGTCACGCAAGCTCGAGAGAAACAAGTCGCAAATATATCAGTACAAGGTGCCGAGTGTCCTGGTAGCGACCTCTTTTCCAACTATGAATTATCCAGACAGTCATATGCTCCGATACATTTACGCACACTACTTTAAACCGATCAGACAAGTAAATCTTGTCGATCAATCTTCCAGGCCGGGAGTGGTCTAGAACCGCCATGCTTTTTCTTTCAAGGCCTCCCTCCCAAGGTATGCCGGGCGCTCATGCCAGAAGAAGTTGTCCACCTCCAGGGAAAAGACCTGGTGGATGAGATAGATGGAGCCGACGGCCGTCCAGGCGATGAACACACTCCCAAGAGCGTCGCCATTTGAGGTATCAATGTCAATAAAGCCCACGAGCGACCGCTTAAAATAAACCCCGCAGAGAACAAGGTCAAAGAGGTGCCGGACAAACGTGAGTGCATATACGTGGGCAAGGGAGCGAGGGGCCTAAATGCGGCATTGAATCAGTAACGCGGCGACGAATGATGCAGTACGACGAGCTACTCACATCTCGCAGAGTCTTGTCCTTGGCCGTCAGATAATTCACATACGACAGAGCAGCGAGGAGGAACAGCAGACCGGCCGTGCCAAACTCGATGAGGCAGCTCACCGAGTACGCCGACCCATTGTGCATGCTGTAGAACCACGCGACCAGACGGACGAGCTCCAGCAGAGGGACGCACTTGAAGGCGAGAAGACTGGCCCGGTGGACGGCGTTCCTGTTGGCGCCCTTCTTCTCGTCGCCCTTGATATAGTCGGACGGGTAGCGCAGAGCGGTGGTAAGCTCGATCTGGGCCAGCAGGATGACGGGGAGGACGAACCTCGAGACCAGCGACATCAGGTGCTGGGTGTATATCCGCAGCGCCCACGAGTAAATGTACACCCATTCGGAGCTCACGCGCAGGACCAGCGTGCAGCTGGCCTCGAGCACCCAGAGGGCCAGCAGCCTGCCGCGGGGAACGGTTAGAGACGATCACACAGTCGGAGGGGCTGGTACGTACACTGTGACTCCCACAATCGACTGCTTCATACGCGGGATGCACGGGGAATCGGCCTGTCCGCGGTCGCGCAGCTTGAAGTACGAGGGCAGCACATGGCGCAGGTGGTAGCTGGACGCCGAGGCGACGGCGGCCAGCTCAAACAGGGCGCTGAGCAACTCTTGGATCCTCATCGTGCCCGCGGAATGGAATCAGCCCCCCCAGGAACTACCACTAACGCTGTGCTTCGAGCGGAAAGGTGAGTGTAGGACGCTCCCAGCCACTTTTCGTTGTGGCCAGATCACTTCCGGTCCAGTCCATAAGCAGAGGAGCAGGGGGGAGCTTCTTGGCAGTGGTGCTATTAATAGACATGTCTCATTCTCCTCACAGTTGTGTCTTGGGTATCATCCAGCATACTGTGAAATACGACCTGAATATTCTTTGTAGCATTGGGTGTGCTGGAAGGGAGCAGAGCCCAATGTGTAGTGTCCAAGTTTTGGGCAGCAGTCCAAGTGCATAGCTACGTACATAATCAAGTTGCACAAAGCTGTGTTCATAATATGTACACAGCCGAATCGGTATTGTCTCATTTATGCGCTGGATGTAAGTGAGCAGCCACTGACGTACAATACGACAAGTAGCAAGTAACAGAGGGGAGAGAAGAGGGGGAGAGAACACAGAGCTGAAAGGAGTCTGGGAGATTCCCGCCCAACCAACCTCCCTCCTTCATCTCACTCCTGGCACACGGCAACGCTCATCATGGCAGAGGTCATCATGGCAGATGTCACCATGGCAGAATCTCTTGACCAAGAGTCGCAGCGAGTGGTGCATAAGGCATTCCCAGGCGAGATTCACAACCACATCGCTGGTCTGCTCGGCCCCGTCGACCTGATCTCCCTCAGCCAGGCCAATCGATACTTCCGGCAGCTCATCAACCCCGGACAGAAGGAGTTTGCAGAGCGCCTCTTCGTCATAGAATGCGATGAGAAGCACGGAGGTGGCACGTCCTTGTACCAGAAAACCCCCTTTATTCAGATACATCGCCACGAAACGCTCGAACCGTTCGAGGCCAACCGTTGGGCCTGCCCGGGCTGTCTCCAGCTGCTCCCTCACTACCGCTTCGACAACCGGTCCATATACTGGCTGGCAACCCGAAAGCCAATGCCCGGAACGCCCGCCGCTGATGTCGCCAGCTCCTGGGTCCCGACCCAGCACAGGGAAGACTCGGCAGAGGAGGACAAGCGCATCAGGAAAGAAATATGGACGTACTACACGAAGAGTCAACCGATCGCAGACAGTGAAGACGACCGCTTCCGCGCAGACGAACGCTGCGGATACGCCCGCCATAAACGCCGATGCATCGAATGCCAATACCAGCTCGGGATTATTGGAGGCTCAGCTCGCGGTCAGCTTTCCACCATTCCGCGATCACTTGAAGAGGGTGCTGCGGGTAAAATAAAGGTAACCTGTACCCTCACAAGCCGCGGGGTCATGCTGCCCTCGGGCTTCGTTCGATTCTGGCCCAAGCTCGACGAGATGATCCAAAACAAGGCTCCGACCATCACGCCCCTCGGACCGAGAAGCATCCCCTGGCGCAGGGAGGGCAAGCTCTGGGACATGTACATGATCCGCTGCACCGGCTGCGAAGAATGGAAGGAGCTGCGAGCATTCCGTATCGAAGGCTCGCGTCTGGGCTGGACCCCCCCATGCGTCACCATGGGAATCCCGCAGTGGCTCCCACGCGGCGTGGCCACCGACGACGTGCCCAAGCTGGAGAACCGCTCGCTGGAAGAGCTTCGGTGCAACCACTGCTTTGCCCGGGAGCACGGCGCCATGAAACTGGGCGAGATTCTCGCCATCCGGTTCGATATGAACATCAAGCCGCACCTGTCCGAGCTCGAGTACCGGCTGCACTCCCACTACAAGGCGGTCAAGTACCTCGCTGCCGAGGGCGCCGCGGCAGAGAGGCACCGTCCGAAGAAGGAAGATCCCTCGGGGGACTTTGACGAACTGGTGCGGTTGGTGCGGCAGGCAGAGGAGAACAACAAGGAGCTGAGCAACCGCCTATGGAAGCTCAACCAAGCTGACGTTGACAGACTACGAACTGAAGCTAAAGAGTTCAAGGACATTTGGCTCAGAATGCGGGCATCTCAGCCGCGCCTCGCATCGAAGCTTGGTAGAGACAGAGCCTTTGTCTCATGGGTCAACGACTTTGACAATTCAGAGATCGAATGGAAGTGGCTCAAGGAGTGTCAGGTCAAGATCATGGAGAACCCAGATTTGCTGCTGCAGTATGCGCTGAACGTTGATGCCCCGGGTTGTTGCTATCCGTCTGCTGGGTAGTGTCTTTGCTCGCAAGATGAATGGCCTAGATTTGTGACAATGAGGGGGTATCTGGACCTCCAAGGCTGCTTTCTTCATGAAGTGTTCCTAGTATATGCATGAGTTTGTGTGAAGGAATGCTGGTTGAGTTACTTGCTGGTACAGATTGATCAGGAGGAGAATGAACTAAGCCCTAGTCTCCAGGTATGATGATTAATGAATGAATTCTCTTTCCTTCTCAATGGAACACGTTTGAAAATAGCTCCTCTTGCCACTGAACTATGGAACTGCTCCGCGAGACTTGATCGTGCAGAGGGTAGCTTTGCTCTGACGTTGAATGCTGAGGGTGCAGTGGAGAGTGAGCGTGATGAGAGTTCAAGCTAACATCGATCCTTACTCTATTTTGACGTCCGGGAAATTGAAAGGGCAAGTTAGGCAATGAACACAATGGAAACGATACAAAGGGCCTTGGTGAACCATTTGGATCTACACCAAGCTGCCACCACATGATCTTCGTTGGCCGCTGCTGGCCATTGTTCACTGTAGTCTGTCTGATACCAGTCTTTGATTTCTTGGCACTTCACAAACAACTAGTCTGGCACGACTCTGGCAATGTATGCCACCTACTCTACTATAAAGGGCTGTGAGGGAACTCGGTAGATGTTAGATTTCTTCCCCAGAGACTGAAGTATCTCAAGCGAACGGAATATCAGACAATTTCGTCAAGTCTCTTAAATTCGTACCTATATTGCAGTGCCAGTGTTATCGTTATACACTACATCATCTTTCCTCACAATGGACTCTACGCGGCGAAATAGCATGCCCTCGACGGGACCGTGGATGACTTCAGCCATCCCTGGCAATCACATGGACGTGGCGGAAGCCAGAAGCTCGATTGGTGGCAGCAGCCGGAGCAGTGGCTCCGGTGAAGTGATCAATCACTTCCCCCTAGGCTACGACTTCACAAGGGCGTTCATGTCGCCTGTATATCCCTACCTTCGAGATGCCCAGATAGTATATGAACAGCTATACCATTTCTATCACGATCAAAGTCCGTCAAACGACGAGGTCCGGCACTGGTTAGGAGATATTAACGATATCAGGCGCCGAGACATTTTCATCAATTGCTTCATTCGCCATCTGTGGCAGCAGCTTGGCGTATGGAATGACAATTGGAGCATCCCGGGCCTTTCTGGATACCAAGATAACATTGGTAACTGGATATGGAGGTGGAGGGAGGGCGAGGACCAGCTCGACCTCCTTGCGGCAGACCGGGACCAGACACATCGCGCCCGTGTACGCAAGGCCACCAGAATGGTGTTCACCAAGAGCGCAGCTTGCAAGCAGACCTGCATAAGCAAGAACGCCACCGTGGCTGAGGCTGAGGAGTTCCTCAGCTCCCGGCCGTGGTTCATGCATGGTGTGCAGGTCGCTGGAAAAGGCGACACCCCTAGAGCGAGCCAGCGCGTAAAAACCACATGGAGGATACAACGTAGATGGATGCCTGAGTGGGATTATTACAATCCCGGCTGGAGATGGGATGGCGACGAGACATCGATCGCCAACCCCAAGTTCTTGCTAAACCTGCTAACCGACAATGAAAAGAGAGCCTTGGGGCTGCAGGAAAATCTCACCCGTCCTCTCAGGCACTGGGGCCGCTACTCCCTGCCAGCTGCCCAGTCCTCAAGGACCTCCGATATTCGCTACGTTGAGACGCCCAGAGGTCGCAGAACAAGCCATACGAGCAGTCAAAGGTCGCCGAAGATCGGACACAATCAGGAGGACAGAGAAGTGAGTGAGGGCTGGCCCGGGCAGCGGCCGACAGACGACAGGTGCCAGGCATCCGCCGTTTGTCAGCGCTTCAGCGAGGCGTATTTTGCCCGCAGCTATTCGCAGCTGGCTTTCTCTAGTGCTGCAGATCTGGCGCAGACCCTTGTGGACGAGGACAAGGAGGAGGAGATACGGGAGGCCATCTCTCCTGTGCCACCGCGGATACGAATGTCCATTGAAAATTTCAAGCTGGGCCTATGCCCTGATCAATTCATTCTATAGATACCTAGGTAGCAGACCATAGCAAAAGATGGAATGAAAAAACTACCTGCCTGGGGAAATGCTAATGTGAATAAAAATGACAGGTCGGTTTCCCTTCACGCCAGCTTTTCTGTAATTTCCCCTCTCCAGCTCGTCACATTCATTGAAGGTATTCCAGTGTAAAATGCAATGTACCCAAGAACCCAAAGCAGTAAAGTCGTATAAACACAAGCAAGAATCAATCTGTTTAATCTCCTGTCCCTGTGGAGGGACCTATTTTAGGTGAACGTATGTCTTAAAATCCGAAGAAGCAACACCAAAAACGCCATATCCTTCTAACAGTTTGGGGTAGTGAGATGGGCATGTCATAGTCGAGAAAATTCTGCACCGTAGTCGATATAATCATCATCATCGTCATCGTCATCGTCAGATAGGTCAGTATTAGCAGGTTGAATCGTGTTCCCGGGTGGACCTTGGGGAGCCGGAGGAGGAGGAGGATCGAGGTAGGATAAATTAGGGTCGATCGGGATTTCGACCTGGTCCAGCGGGGGTACTGTGGAAGAAGGAGCCGGGCGATAGGAGCGCTGACGAGGGTGAGGTGGAGGACGAGGGTCTTGATAGTACATGTTCATGTCCATGCCCATATTGCCCATGAGGAGAGATGGAGATATTGTGTTGGCAACGCCAGAGGGAGAAGCAGCAGATGAAGCAGCCCGAACAGCAGCAGCAGGTGATAACTGAACACGATGGGGCAGTGAATGGGGCACCTGTAGCGGGCGAGCTACAGTGGGAAACAGGCCAGCAACAGCGGGAGCATGTGCTGGAGCCACGGGCTGGGGCTGAGGAGGAGGATGAGGCTGGGGCTGGGGAGTCTGCTGAGGCTGCTGCAAGGCAACCGCTAGACGGTTCGCATGGAGTTGGGCATGGAGATGGTTCGCAAGGGGAGGAGGAGCATGAGTGTGGGCGTGGGCATCGCTAGGAGGGAACCTAAGCCTCCGAGGATGTTCTGCCTGGCTCGCAAGCTCAAGCATCCGGGGGCCAAGGTAGTCGCTCAAGCGTCGAGCCCAGGCAGTCCTGTCTTCGCCCTCTCCGCGCTCGATGTTGATGGCCGGAGGTGGGGAGAGAAGGGCCGTCTGGAGTGCAGCCTGGAAGTCTGGGGAGTGAATCGAACGGGTTTCCGTCAGGTAATCGGGAACGTAGGGTGATGCCGGAGGGGGGTGCCTGAAAAAGAATTCTTGCCAGACCCAATAGTACTTTCGCTCGTCGGTGGCACCTCGCGGCGCATTCGCCAGGTGCTCGATCTCGTCCACGGTGAAGTTCTCCGGTTTAAGGGCGACATTGGGCTCGTGGCAGCTCTGCGTGTGTAGCTCCCACGCGGCACGGTCCTCAAACTCGACGAGACAGCATCTGTTACAATAGTACTCCTTCACCTTGTGGCAGCGGATCAGGTGCTGCTTCACATCGGCGAAGCGCTTGAGCTCATACTTTGCCCAGCAGCGAGAGTAGCGGTGCGGATCCATTTTGTAGTATGGGCAGGCCAGATAGCGACCGTCCCACTCGCCCTCGTCATCGTGACGGTGGGAGGGCACTCGCTTCTTCTCGTCTCTACCGTCATCGTGGTCACGCTTGCGCTTGCCTGTGCCCTTTTTATTGCTACCGCTACCTCGACTACTTCTCCCCTTGCCTCCCCCATTCGGAGACGGCGCCCAGCCGCCTGCAGATTGCGAGCCCTGGGCCACACCACCAAAGCTGACAGTCCCTACCGACAAGACAACACAGGCCAAGACCCAGCGAACAACACCTTGCGACTGGTCCTCTATTTGCCACTTGTCTTGGTCATGTTCTGTGGTCGAGAGAGAGGTGGTAGTGATGTTCGATTCTTGGTCGGTGGGCTCGTCGCGTTGGGGCGGAGGGTCGACTACGGCTGGCTTGTGGGCACCATCGTGGAGAGCGTCATGGGCAGTGTCGCAGGGAGCAGCAGGTTTAGAAGGCTTCGGTCCAGGTCCTATTGGTTGTTAGCTGTCATGCGAACCGGGAAGCAAGGGCGTGGAGTGAAGTAATTACCAAAGAGGATGTTATTATCAGCGTGGGAAACGTAATTGACGAAGTAGCAGGTGGTTACCTGCGCTCCTGCCGCCGCTGCCTTAGGGCTGCTGTTGGCCTTGGAGCACGCCTTGGAAACAGCCTGAGAGCCCTCGTCATCGTGATTGCAGGCGACTCGCGCGTGTGGCTGCGCGCCAACGGCAGCTGTCGACTTGGCGCTCGCACGGGTGGCATTAACCTTCACACTGTTGGAACGTTTGAGGGCTTTGGCGGCTCGTTTTTCGCGCTCTCTTTCGTGTCGCCGCCTGACGGTGCGCGGGAGGGAGCGAGGAGAGCTGAAGGCTGCCGCCACCACTGCGACGGCGCTGTTGGCCATCTCCACAGCGGCCTCCAGGACGGGCCGGAGCGCTGGAGGAGGCCAGCTAAAGGATGACTCATCACACTGGACGTACTGAATGCCCTGTGCGATCAACGTGATTGACAGCAGAAAACCCATCCAGTCCCACAATGACGAGGAGCCGACAACCAGGTTATCCGTCTGCATTGCGTTGGCTGTTTCAACTGGGACCAATCTCATGGACGGAGTTAAACTTTGTTTTCTCTTTCTTCTTCTTTCGTCTTTCGGTTTCAAGAAGACACGGAGTGAGGGTGAGCGGAGAGGACAAGCCGACTGGCACCTGCAGGGTAGGTAAATGAGTACCCTACGTGGCTTGCCTCTGCTGTGCTCTTCGAGTGAGGCGGGTGTGATATTATGCAGATTACTACTAGTTAGTCGGTCGTGGATATTGAAGTCACTGTTGGTCCGGGAAGGTTGCCTGAGATATAACGTCGAGGGAAGTATATAGAGGTACCATTCGCTCTTATGGGCAGCCACTACTAGCAGAGCCGCGTTTATGATCACAACACTAATTCCAGCACAATTGTGTGCTCTAATGGGATGATGGATGTCGCGAGGCAGCACCTCGCTCTCTCCACCAGAGAAGAGGCAGACGCTAGGTGCGTAGCATCTACATTAGCTGCTGGTGGTGGATCGTCGGCAACAGGGGCTATGCCGGAGTACACTTTACTGGCTGAGCCACTCTCGCTCCCAACGCGCCTTGATACAGACGGTCCAACTGGAGACCCGACACGGCTGAACGTTAGCTTTACGACGGAAGGCACTAGAAGTCGAGTGAACCTGATAGCTAGAGTGAGAAGCCCAAACGAAACTGAAGGATCTGGGAGAGGCATCCAAGGGGCCCCTAGCTGACTCGCACTCAAGGGCTACCATGTACTCGACCTAGGCCTGTTTGTAATACGGACCTCCGTTGCTGTTTGCCCGGCCTTTGTTTGCTTGCATTGTTGGCAACCGAAGCCAACGACGGCCATCCAACCACATCCGTTCGGGGCACAACATCATGATCCATCCAGATCCCAACCAGCACCCTGCCAGCCCCAGCACCCTGATTTGGCTGGGCTGCTCACCACTCGGGCGCTGCTCGGCTGGCCGTTTTTTCCACATACAAGCCGCTAGGCGAGATCCCCGCCTCACCTTAAGCATCGGATTGGTTACAGGGGCTTCGGGGTCGGGTTTTACGGTTTCACCTCCAGCACGATGGCCCGGGTTGGCCCTTGGTCTCGTAGCACCAGAGACGATACCTAACGGCCAGCCCATCTGTGCGTACATTTGTACACTACGACTTCGTACAGGGTGCCGAGTGGTACATAGGGAAATATCCGCTGATACCCTTGTGCCGAGCCCATCCAGACGGACCACGTCAGTCCCCCAAGAGAGCCCGGTTCACTAGCACGCAGTCCGCAATGGTTCGCAACTCCAGCGGGCACGAACCGGATAAAATCAAAGCTGAAGTCATATGATCCTCTCCCAATGCTCAACAATCAGGCCGTAGCGTAGGGCCACTAGCTGGCCAGCGAAAGCCGTTGGAGGCGTTTCGCCACGATGCAAGCAAGCCATCACCGGCCACCACTAAATCGATGCCAGCAGAGCAGCCAACAGGGCCCCGGAGTCGATCGAGAGTCATGACTAGCCTGTAAGATGCCCGGGATGTGGGGGAAGCACGATGGTTGGATGGCAATTCCCCCCAATTCCCATCCCAGTGGCCAGTGCGCGATCTCGTCAATAATTTAATCTACGGCCATCTCCGTGGATTGGGAATCCATCTGTCGCTAGATATTGAGATAGTGACATGCCAAAGCCTTTCTTTGTGCCCAACAGAAAGACCGGTCGTGCTGTGCCGCCTCAACATGACGCGGCATAATAGATTGGTGGCACTCCGTCTCCGGAAGGAATTCCTCCATTCCAGACTAGACGAGGTCTGGATTCGCCTTTTCCGAGCCCTTACTTGCGTGTATGGGTGTTGTCACATCGCACCACGGCTAGTAAGTAAGTTGGGCCAACGCAACGGCGGAAGATGCCACTGGGGCCACGATGAGGAGGCCTACGTGCCATTCGATGGACACGATCCCTTCTTGGCGCCCAGGTATTGAGTGGCACAAGGCAGCTGGGTGGATCGAACACTCCTCAGACCAGCCCCGAGGATCAGCTCGTAGCCCCGGACGGAGAAGCGTCAGTCGGCCGAAAGCCAAGACTGATGATATTGATATTGGACAAGTAGCACCAAGTATCATTGGCCTTGATGATGCTTCGTTTGTGCCCTCACCTGACTGATGTTTTGGACCTCGATAGTATGGCATCATGCGCGCTTTCTCGGTTATTTTCGCTCTCGAGGCTGTCGTGCCAATCATATGGCCCATCGAGCCCTCCCTGAATCCCTGCCAGCAGTAAAGGATCGCACACATTTGTGAGAATCGAGTCTGACATCGAACATTAGGCACAGCCCCATCCTTAATCTGGTCGCCCAGCGTCCGCCTCATCATTCCGCTGGTAAAGTAGGCTGCCACTTCGCACATTTGCTAGGCGTGTACATGCATCACACGCTCTTTTTCAAGCGATTTTGTGTGCGGACCATAGGGACTTTGTTTACACATTGCCGCCTACCAGAGAGAATAGAATAAAACAAAAAGTATCCATCCAGCATTTGTGATTCCCATCCTTTGGTGCGCGCAGAACCCCTCACCATCGCTGCCCAACATCTGTCCAAAACCCCCAATCCCTGGGCCCGTGATACTTGACCTTAGTCAGTGCCACAGGTTCACGAGTCACTGGACTCATCTAGCCTAGAATGAATCCTCCTTCGCATAACATGGGCTTCTGCAAGGGGGGAGGGTACGAGAGGCTATGGGAGGACGGGCAGAATCCACGATCGCAGCCCGAGCATGACCAAAACCTCATGCCTGATGAAAACTTTGGCCTGACGTACGAATACTATAGCGCATCGCTCTCTTCGGGCAGCGGCCTGGAAACGGCGGCACCCTCGCCAGGAACTGATTTCTCCCCGGACCTGCGAGCCATGCCGCCAATGAGCGATCTTGCGCTCGACAGTATGTATCCTAGTTTCTTCCCATATTTTAAGGGCACTATCTAACATTGATGACTAGACCTAGGTGATCTCTACATACGGAGTCTTAGTGATCCTGCCATCCACCCTCTCCCCAAGTTTGAGAGCACGGTTATGAACCCTCAGTATCCGCCCTACATCGAGGATTGTTCGCTCCATCCGGCTCACCAGCCTGCCGTGATGTGCAACGGAACGTACCATCCTCGAACTCAGTCTTTAGATAGTTGTCTGTCAGCGTCAATGATGCATACTGGCTCTGGCGGCGAGGACTATCTAAATGAGATGATAGTTCCGGCGCCATCCATGGAAAGAAATGGACACTTTGAACGCGCAAATGATTTGGAAAGCAACAAGGCGCAGAATATTAAAATGCCCCAAAGCACAAAGACTGAAGAATCAACACCTACCTCGGGGGCAACCTCAAAAACACCAGAGGAAGAAGCAGCCCCCGTCAAGGCAGAAGTCAAGGAAGAAATCGTCCTGCAAACCAAGGATAAGTCCGACGTTGCGCAGAAAAAACGCAAACGCAGCCAAAAGGACAGCATAAGCGAGGAATCCACCGAAGAGCTGCTCTTCGCGTGCCCTCTCTATAGGAAATACCCGCTTCAGAATATGGACTGCGTGAACCGCAAGCTCACGCGGATCCGAGACGTGAAGCAGCATTTGCTCCGACGGCATCTTGCGTATCGCTGTCCCATCTGTAATATACCGCTCCCCTCCGCCGCGCGCAAGGAGGAGCACATCCTCGAGCAGAACTGTACCCCGTCTCAGTCTGCAGAGAGATTTGGCCCTGATGGCATCACTCAGGAAGTGCATGACATATTGAAGAAGAGGAGCCATAGAGGGAAAGCCCCGACCACCAAGTGGTATGAGGTGTGGGAGATCATCTTTGGTGACACAAATCGGGAAGAGAGACCATTCCTCGGTCCCATGATGGAAGAAACGGCTAAGCTGATGCGGGACGTCTGGGACAAAGAGAGCAGGTCCATTGTCCAAGACGTAGTATCGGATGCTAACGACAATCAAAATCAAAATGACCAACAAATTGAGGCCATGATGGCCATGTTCGAAAAGGTCCAGGACCGGTTCGAAACACGCATCCACGAGCTGACAAGTCGTGAATCCCCATCTGAGAAGAGCAGCCCCATCATGGCTGCTAGCCAGACGCTGGCGAAGGCAAAGAACGCCAGCAACAAACCAAACACAGAGAACACCGGTAAAGTCTCGCCCCAGCCGGACGGCGGCGACGATACCCCCAAGACAGAAGAATCCGGTACACCATCACTACCCTCCGGCTCGGGGGATATAATGAGTCATTATACGTTGTCTTCACCAAATGATGCCAAGCATGATCGTGCTCAGTCTGGGCTCAAAGGCCACACCAGCCGACCTACAACATCGCATGCCTCGCTTGAGAAGAACGGATCTCCGCGGAGCGTGTACTCGATGGGGTCACTTACGCGGTCCCTGACCTAAAACTAACGAACGGTATCTTAGATTGAATTTCGATTGTGTCTTTTTCATGGCTTTTGATGCTGGGCTGGGTAGGAGCAACTACGGGAGTATAGGTAAGTCACACGTGGGATTTTTGAGGTACAGGCGGCCCTGAGCTCAAACGGGTTCTACTCGTGGTAAGCATCAAACATTTCAAGAACAGAACCGGACTTACAGGTATAGTGCATCAACCCAAGTACTCCCAGCATCCTCGTTTCCAGTTCCGTATCTCCTTAAACGACAGGACGTTTAAATCTCTCGAGTCAACACAGACAAGAAAAAAGTAACAAAAAATTAGAAAAAAGCATTATATGAAAAAAAAAGGATTGCTTGGAAGGTTACGCAAATTTCGCTATTCCCTTTTTATATATTATTAAGTGTTAGGCAATCCAACCGAATTCATGTAGTTCACTCGAGCTAATAGACCTTCAGACCTTTGCTGAGAGTCCTCGTGCCGCCAAGTTATCTTTTTCTTCGACATTTATCATTTCAATTTATTTTTCCTCATGTAAGTTGGCAGGAACCTCTGATGATCTAGTTGTAAAAGCTTAATTCGATCAACAGCGCATAGTTGTCATTGTTCTCTTAACTCTCAGATACGCCCTCGTGAAGCACTGGATTTGAACATTCAACTACCTGTCACTATTTGCGCAACGCTCTTGACATCGTTGCGTTATTATGTTTATCACCAGGGCTATCTTTTGAAACGTATCCCAGAGCTAGGCAGTATTCCCGAGGCTCCTGCTTCTCTAGTCCGAAGGGACCTAGGGGTAATTTGGGCTGCTACATGCCGTCTATCTTATCTAGTAAATCATATTACATTCCCCTCGCATACCATCCCACCTGTCACAATCGGACTAGCTAAACAGTAGCAGTACTTCCATCGCCTGAGATCATGATGCCTCTGTTTTCCGTCTCGAGCCCCAAAGATGACACGACCATCTCCCATAAGCGATTCTATGATCGTCAACCAGTCCGTCCACTTAAGTTCGTACAAATAGCGTATAAATGGTATCAGACTTGCATCAGCGTGCTTCTGAATGTCACTCCGATGTTCCTGGGCACCCAGAGTTTCGGCCCAATCAGAACCAAACTACCGGTAGAGTTCTAATTTAGTTAACATCTTATACAAGAATCTTCCTCAAAGGAACTAGAGGTCGGCCCTGTAAGCCCATAGGCTGAAACTGCGATAATATCATTTAGAATATATTCTTTAGGGTAAACTAGATCATCGTAATTGAGTAGGACCAATTAGAAAGGCTGAAGGCGCGATAAGTGTTTTTCAAGCTCGTTGCAAGACTCAACACACTAACACAGAACATCTATTTTTCCGCGACATGGAGTACGCACGGATTGCCAAGTTGGAAGACTGAACGTGCTAGAGGATGTGATTTGGTTATCTAGGGTTTGCAACCTCGACGCTTTTCCTCTTCCTCTTGAAACATGGAGGGACCACATCACCGGGGCCGGGATACCAACAGATGATAGGTTGTTAGAATGGCCTGTAGTCTGAGAAGAGGAAGACGGATATTATTGGCCAGGTTGTCGTTGTTAAAATCGATGATAAGCCCCGTATCACCTTCCTGCTACTTACTAGATCACATAATCGTGTTTCAGATAGTGTTCGCTCAGGAAGGTTTCTACAAAGTGAAGTTGCCGAGCACCAGCAGATCCTTGTGTGGCTGTTTCTCCCGGCACCCTCTTCTCCAGCACTTTCAGTGAAAAAGACAAGCTAAGCAGTAAAGATAACATTCTTGTATGGCTTGTATTGGTGCTCATTCGAGATACCGAGAAATGGATAACACGCACACAATCGAGAAGCGCAATTCGTAGTTGCAAGACCTCAACCAGAAACTCAATCCTCCATACTTGTGTGATCCCCTTTGAGCGCTCATGACGTAAAACGACTTCTCTACAACTATATCTTTGGTGTGGCAAGAATGTGAGAATTTTAGTGAAACCTTCTTTTGATTGGGCATTTTAATGTTCAAAGTTCTCGTATCTTGGGTGGACTGGTGACGATATTCGACTAGCCCGGCTGGTGAACAAAGGGCCACCTCCTGTAGTTAGTGTATGTTGATAGTTTGGAAATTGCTTTTTCATAAAGATTGTGTCTGAACTTGAGAGGACACCCTGACTTTAACATACAGTCCCCAAGAATCACTCCGGAAGTCTACATTACACTGCCCACTCGTACGGCGCCTTGGCCTTCTTTAGTCACCCTTGGATCTTTGTCCTAGAAAAGCCCTAAGCCTAGTAGTTTTAAATCTAATCGTCCGTAGCAAGGTGATCACAAGTCACTCTACCCCCATCGCCCGTATACTCGCAGCAAATTAAAGATGACCAGTTGCCGTGATGAAAGACTACTTAACAATGCCTTCGCGTGAAAGCTAAGTTTAAGTCCGGCGCAACTATGGTGAGTCCATCTTTCACACCATCGGGGAATTGATTTGGATCAAAGTCGTTTGGCAGGTTGACATTGAAATGTTTGAGGATTTGGCTTGTTACGAACCTCAACTCCATTAAACCGAGTTGTTTACCCACACACGAATACGAGCCTACTCGAATAATTAAAAAACTAGAATTTTTAGAGCCAATCAGAGGGAAATAAATCCTACCGATTGAAAAAGGTGCATAAATCGATGAATCTCGCGTCAGTTCAGGTCTTGTTGTCCAACGCTCGGGAATAAAATCGTTGGGCAGTGTGAAATTCTTTGCATCTATGAACGGAAATTAGACGTGATACGAGCTGATGAGATTGAGCCGCTTCAAATTACCTCGATACATTGCATATGAGGGAATTTGTACAATAGTGTTACCAGGGATGTAAAGATCACCAACATGGCAACCTTGTGGCGAACTGATACGCTGGAGGCCTGATGGTACTGGTGGGTATAGACGAAGTGATTCATCGATACAGGCATTGAGATACTCGAGTTTCGAAAGACCTTGATGACTTGGGTGTTCGTACTTGGTGTAGAATTGATCAATTTCAGTTACCAATTTTGCCATGATGCGTGGATGAAGGGCAAGCTGATAAAATAGACATGTAATTGACGCTGCCGTGAGGTCACTATCAAGTCATCAGCGCTGCGCCTCCATTGACAGATTCAATAGCTAAAACTTACCTCCCAGCGACGACGACCAAGTGTGCGTCCCCAACAAGATTGACCTCGTCTTGGGGGGTTGGACAATCAAGATTCTCAAAACCGTTTAGAAGCCAGGAGAAAATATCCGGCGTTGTCGGGGGGCTTTGCCGTCTTTGCTCCACCTGTTCGGTAAGCCACTTCTGCAGCCGGACATGTTCATAATTCAGGCCGGGGATTTTCTTTACAATGGGAAAGATCCAAACTAAGTGACTGAAGGCGGTCGCGGTTAACATATTGTCATGGGAAGACTTCATGTATTTGTGAGCGGCACCATCTCTGAGCATGTTGAAGCTCCGGCCAAAGGCTAGATCGCCCATGACATCGAAGCTGTAGTAGTTGAATAGAGCGGTGACATTGACAGTCTGGTTTCCACTGCATACAATGCGCTTGAGCAATTGTTCAGTATACAAAGCTACTCGCGGTTCGTACTCTCGAAGTGCTGCATATAATCAGTCGCCATTCTAGTGGTCGGGATATGGCGACGCTACTTTACCTTTCGAACTGAAGCCTTTGTCCCAGATCTTGCGCCGCCGACTATGCTCCTCGTGGTCGCGAATCATATGGAGAGAAACAACTGGATGCATGAGATTATACCAGGGACCTTTGGTGAAGGTTGACGATTTCGAATGAATCGAGTGGAATAGCGCAGGATCATTTATAGAAAGTTCTGATGGACCTGGCACAATCCACAATCAGTAGTGAACAAATGAAAGCGAGGTGTTAGAAGCACGTACCGACTCGGACGATGTCACCGTATCTCTTGTGAAGACGCATGATCTCTCTGTGACGTTGAAATCTTTTGACAGACAGTATTGTAATGTAGAGATTTGACAGCCTCGCTGCTAGTGGCCCAGGGAATCGGTTGAGGCGGTGGAAAGCAGCGCGATACGTCAAAAGACTTATATAAACGCCAGAAAGAAAGAAAATCGAAACTTTGATGCTGAAACTCCAAGCTTGAGCGTATGCAATACCCTCACATGCCACAAAATACGCTGCAAGTAGAATCTGCGCCGAGCAAAAAGAAATGAGGAGATGGAAAGCGTAGAGGTCCCATTCACCATGACGAAAATACAGCAAGTGCGTGAGAATACCCAAGAGGAAAAAGAGCTGTGTTGTGGACATCGTGCCCAGTAGAGGAGCGAGGTGCACGAACCCCATGTTGAGTAACAGATATCTTCGGAAGGGCTATCAAACTATATTCGAGCAGTTGATAAAACCCAAGGGGCGCTATATGCGGGCGTTACATATAGCCAGCAAATTTATACAAGCCAACGCTCGGATCTTCCGTGACGTTACGTCCTCTTTGCAGTTGAGACACTAGGCACTAATAATGCGTTGTCATCTTACACTACTGACGCAATCGCGGTGATGCCGAAATCTTTACTAGTAGAAACATGTTCTGTCATTGGACGTCGTCTCAAAGAGTAGGAGATCTAATCATCATATATCGTGTAGATACTAGCAATAGTAAAAGTGTCGTCATAATATTTGGTCTGCTACTCTTTCTATCCGACGTATCGAACCAAGAATGGCAATGCATATATGATCAACATCCACCAAGCCCAAACCAACCAGGTCGCCCGATCATGCTTTGCACCTCGCTTTGAAACCTGTCTGAACGCGACAACACATGCTAGGGAGCACGGAATCAACCACATACGAGGCCACAATTGCCAATAACAAGAGATGACAAGCGACCAGAAAGGAACGCTTAGTGCAATGGACCACCTTGCGCGCTCCTCGCCAATCAACAAAGGGACTGTCATCCTCTGAATCATCTTATCTCCCTCCATGTCGTGGAAGTCTGAAACATGCATGGTAGTCCCCACCACAGCGGCAATAATGGCAATCCAACGACTAGCGCCAGAACTGAGTTGATAATCAGGTCCGGCAGCGATGTTGAGTGCTCCTAGCTGTACAGCAGCAAAAAGAGCTGCAACAAGTAAGTTGCGAAGGATGGGTGATTTGTCGCCACCGCTCCGGTCATTATAGATCCAAGTCAGGAAACAGCATAGCCCTGTTTCCCATTGCACACCCAGTATCCACGAAAAAATCAGCATGAGAGGAGCAAACGTCCACAATGCATTCCTCCCAGAGGCCGCAGTAACGAGTCCCGATGGCACTGGTCGCCAAGGTTTATTGATCTGATCCTCGACAACTGACTTTGGAGAGCACTGATTAGAGATGGTGAAAATAAGAACGTTTCCCCAGATGAAAAACGTAACCGGAACCGTTCGCATGAAAATGAGAAGTGCCGCCGGTTCTTCATTTGTCGTCAGAAGCCGCCCAGATAGCGCGCCCAGTATACCAAAGCTAACGTTTGGTACAATTGTGGGTGCTATATCAGAGGCGGTGAACAAATAAAGCGCTCGCAACATTACAGCTAACTGGCCAGAACGAGTGTTTTTTAGAGAGCTCATGCTGCGGAAAAGAATATATCCAGATAGGCGTAGTACTATTGCAAGAGATTCGACCATCGACTGGGGCTATTTAGTTTGTGCATGTGGCAGCCGAAGAGAGGTTCTATATACTCGATACCGAAGCCCAATACAAACTGGATTCTATGGAGGTAAATCTATGATCTCACTTGTTTTATCGTCTCCTAATCTCACCTTATGTCGCCGACTGGCTTTCCCGCGATGACATTCAACTCATGAGACATGCTCTCTGGGAGGTAGGATGCACCAAGAACCATCTTTCCTTTTCCAGCTTATGTCAACGTTACGGTGGAGACCATTTACAAGCTCCCGTTACGCTGGAGGTCTTCACCGCCGAAGTATTGAACGCCGAACGGTGCATAATGTGATGTCAAGGTATAGACTTAACTGGGACATGTGGATACAAACTACGCTGGATCACTAACATCTATTAGCGAACATGCCGGGTTAAGAACTGTTTATATAGCATTGTAACACAAAAATACTTACCTTCGAAGTTTAGTCTTGGTATTACCGTAAGGGGCGATGTTAAGATGCTCACGTTGATGATGGTGATGGGAGCGGGCAGACTGTGTACGAAGCGATCTCTGTGTGCATGGGCTCAGGATATCTCTGCGTATTACGCTTTACGCTAGCTAGCAATATGTTTAGGTAACAATGGAAATACTAGCTAAACTGTACATGAGGCCTCCGGCCCTCATACTTCATGATATCCTACCGCTGATCCGTGCCGGCCATACACCTTCTTGCCCGGCGAGGCTTAGTGCCTTGCTTCATCAGTCACCTCATGATCGTCTTCGTCATCCTCGAGGGCAGCAACATCATCAATTTCATCTTCATCGGTCTCAGAGGTTTCATCAGATGCCTCGGTGATCATAACCGCGATCATGACCTCCGATTTCGATCACACTGGCCAGGGCCGGAGATCGTAGCGGTCTTCCGTGACGGCTACCGCGGCAAGTCCTGATGCTCATCTTACCAGCTTGAGCGGCATAACACACATGACGAACGTGGATTGAACGCTATGTGGACATTCCAAGAGGTAGCACATGGGCGCCGTATACCCACGCCACGGTGTCTCGAACCGTGGTGGGGGGAACTCCCGGCCGGCATGGGGCCAAGTGGGGTTGGACGCACCGGTATGCCCGTTCGATCAACACCAGACCCTCAAGAGGTTGGTCGAGTCTCTGGCAAACAGGCAAAGTGATGCAAGATTTTCAGACCACTAAGCCAAATCTGCTTCACTCTATATCGTATATCGTATTGAGGGCTACTGATGCATCCCCCAACACAATATCTCCGACAAATGATGTCAAACAGAACTGCCAAACGAGGCAAGCACTCGGTTTCTTTCGGGCTTTTTGACTAATTGGTTTCTCGACGGGATGTCCCGTAGGAGACAGTAAAGCGCGGTGAGGTAGACTGCAAGATGTGTTTTCCCGATGAAAATTGTTGACGTAAATGGCACGCAATAGCTTTGCCGGCATCAAAAGGCGCAGACATCCAGTTACAAAGAAAGAATTCTTTATTCGTTTCACAAACTTTCCAACCGTTTGCCCTTACTGGACGTACCAACAAGGTCATGCAATTCATAATTCCGTACGACGGAGCCTTATGGCCTCTGTTGATGGCTCTCTTGTCCATTTGGTTGATGTCTACTGTTGTACTTTTCGTGTATCGAATTACGTTTCATCCACTTGCACGATTCCCAGGACCAAAGCTTCCTGCGATGTCCTACGCGAATGAATTTTGGTTTGATGTGGTTCGCGGAGGACGATATACTCACGAGATTCTGCGTATGCACGAGAAATATGGTATGCGCATGTGACAAATTCTTATTAGAACTTATATCTAATACCTATTTAACAAGGCCCTATCGTTCGAATCAACCCCAATGAGCTGCATTGCAACGACCCTACATTTGTGGATGTCGTTTATGCGTCTGGCAATCAGAGACGGAACAAATCACCACAGTACATATATGGATACCCAGCCTCGTAAGCACAACTTTCTATCGATGACATCAAGATGGCTGACCACAGCTGAGATAGGCTTCAAATGGTTAGTGTGACTCTCTATCGGCGGAGAATATCAAGATTTGGAGCAATACTGACAACATTCGAAGTCAACAGAGGGAAGCCTCGATCACGATCATCATCGGAGGCGCAACGCTGCGATGAGCAAATGCTTCTCACGATCCCGCATCCGTCAAATTGAGCACTTAATTCATGTAAACGCGCAAAAGCTGTGCGATAAGGTTCTGGCTCGTCAAAACTCCGCCCCATTTGCCATCGTGCAAGCGTACAGTTGTTTTACAGCTGACATCATATCGCACTATTGCTTTGGTGACAGTGATTGCTACCTTGACCAAGACGACTGGGAGCCGAATTTTAGAACGCTGGTTGATAACTTTGAACGCAACCTTCATATCTTCCGGCACATCCCTGGGCTTGCAACTTTAGTCGAAAGGATTCCCTTGTATGACCAATTTATCCCCCAAGTACAATAGACACTTACGTCATCTAGAATCTTGACCAATTTATTTTCGACAGAAATGAAAACCATTGCTATCAATTTCAAGGTAGGAGATCCATGATATTGGAGGAATAGTAGGTTAAGCATTGTAATGGCTAATTATTATAGGTGTCTATTCCCCGAAGAGTTAGAAGAGCGATGGATCTATCATTTGTGTCTGTCGGCGAAGTTCCCACTATATTGTCCGCTCTGCTGAGCTCAAATCTTCCGCCATCTGAAAAAACTCTCAGACGTCTCACAGGAGAAGCAGTATCCTTGATGGGAGGTGGTACCGAATCGACTTCGGCAACCCTAGTACTGCTTACGTTTCATTTACTATCAAACCCCAATCATCACAAGCGGCTTTACGACGAAATATCAGCCATTACAACAAATCCATTACAACTCCCCGACTGGAAGGCCCTGGAGAAACTAAACTTCTTCAGTGCAGTCATACTAGAGTGTCTGCGCCTTCTTCCAGGTGTCTCAGGGCGCTCTCCCCGGATTGCAACGCACGAGGATCTGATTTACGAGGGAAAGTTGTTCTCGGGTGCAGATTCTTTAGCTCCCAGTTTCAGTTACACCGTTCCTCGAGGGTTCCCTATCAGTATGTCGACATACATCTTGCATACGAACGAGACGATTTTTCCGAATGCCAAAGATTTTGTTCCAGACCGGTGGCTGGATGAAAATGGGAATGTCAATAGAGAGTTGGAGCGATACCTTCTTAGTTTCTCAAAGGGCAGCCGACAATGTATCGGCAGGCAGTAAGTTACCCGAGCGGTGTATGTGCAGACATGTTGCGATTGCAAAATGTGACTAATATTCGAGGATCAAGTTTGGCATTGTGCGAGCTCTACGTTTGTGCCGCCGCAATGATTCTTCGCGTGTTTCCGTTCTTGAAATTGTATCAAACGAGCCGTGTTGATGTCGATTACGATCATGACGAACTGATCGGTAAGCCATCGCCACAAAGCAATGGTGTGAGAGTACAGGTCCTTGACAAATTTCGAGAGCCCGATGTGAAATCGTAATTGGACGATTTTAAAAGGTTTGGATCATCAACAATAAGGGTACACATATCTAAATATCAAGGAAAGTTGGAATAAAAGCCACTCTCAGCCTACCCTGTAGCCTATAAGTATAAATGTATCGTTCGTCACAGATAGTAGCTCAATGAGATGATTATCATTAAGGTGTATCTAATTTTCATGATAAGTAGCTATTATAAGAGTATAAAGATGACAGGCTAGTCTATATAACAGATTCAGATACAAATTGTTTAGCTACTTGCCACCTTGCTATTACGACGCTTAGTCCCTTCAGCCAGGCACCCGCCCTCAGACGGGTCCATGATGGAGAACACTGGGTGACCGGTGATTCCTGAATCCAGAACCGTGGTGAATCCCCGAGCCCCGCCACCACCACAAGCCAATCAGAGTTGCACAACAAATCACTCGGACTTCTGCATCCTACCGAGACGTGCCACTGCCGAGGGGGTTGAGGTTTTGATTCTGCTTGGTTCATCATTGATTCGATGAACAGTAACAGTAAGGACGCATCCGTCGGAAAGCAACAGAGGCATTTCAAGTCCTAATTCAGCACACACTCCATTACCCTCCCACAATGGCTGCTGTCAATACCGAGGTGCTTGCGCAACTTGCTGCCACTCCGCTCAAGGAAGCGATCCCTGCCGAGGCACTCCAAGATGCCCTCTCGCGACCGCCTTTTGTCGCCTTGCCCGGATCATTCAATGTTCGTGATGTAGGGGCCTATTCGGCCGGGTATGTCAAGCCCCGAGTTATCTTCCGGTCAGGCATGCTGGATAATATCCCCGAAGCGAGTTGGCCCATCTTGAGGAGCGAACTTGGCCTCTCCAAGATCTACGACTTCCGTCGGGCAGATGAGGTTAAAGTCCCTCTCTGTAACACGGACGGCATCGAGGTTATTTCCTGCCCCTATAACGATGGCTCAAAGGACGCTCCAGAATTCTTATCCGCCGTCTTTGCCATCTCGGATAGCGCCACAGTTGACAAGGCGTACGCCGACTTGTACGATGTTATCCTCAGAGGCCATGTGTCGGGTTACAAGCAAGTCTTTGAGAAGCTCAAGACCGCGAAGGAAGATGACGCTGTTCTCTTCCATTGCACCGGTATTATTCTAATCCTTCTATCGTAACGTCAATTGCTAACTCTCCTGGTGCAGCTGGAAAAGATCGCACCGGCATTATGGCGGCCCTGATCTTTGATCTGGTTGGAGCTCCCAAGGAGGTCATCGTAAATGAATACGCGCTGACAAGAATCGGCCTGGAGCCGCACCGAGAGAAGTTCCTCCCGCATATCATCAAGAGCTACGGCAAGGACAAGTCAGCGGCAAACCCGGATGGCACCCCGAGTGAGGAGGTCATAGCTAAGCTTACCCACCTGCTTGGTTCTTACAAAGAGACCATGGCCGCCTTCCTTGAGCGCCTCAAGGAGGAATATGGGGGTGCAGAGGGCTACGTGAAGAACCATCTTGGGCTATCAGATGATGATATCAATCAAATCCGAGCTAACTTGAAACCAAGCGCATAAAGTAGTGGATGAAGAAGGGTTTGAGACTCGGTTGAGCATGGGCTAAGGGCATAATGCCATGATTAGATTGCGAGGTTTGCGGGAGATGTGCCACTATCTTCTAGATATTAAGCTTAACTTACTTCATTTATCAAACAAAATTGTCACAATTGTTTTGATTGATAGAACGATATCAAAAGGGATTAATGAACAGCCGCCCCGGATCGACGGTAATCATCTGCGATATTTCATGTCTCGGTGATTAATTCATTTAACGGACTGTCAACGTCTCCAGGAGGTAAATTTCAGCAAGTGAGCTCCAGTAGTGACGCCAATGACGGTGCTATAAATTACGAAACTGCGACCCCAAAAGTGATATGCACTTTCTGATTGCTTAATACTTGGTGGCAAATATGTTTCAATGCAGCTATTTAATTGTTTATCCCCCATGAAGGCACTTATGTTACGATTGTAGTAGGTTTGGCCCCTTTAGCACATCATCTCACTTGTAACATGGAAGCATTTTACAAATTACCCTCGAAAGATCCTGCAAGGGAAAGTTGAGATGAGGTTTCACCAATAGATCCAGTAGTTCGCGAAAATGGTCAACAATAAGAAACACCAATAACTTGTAGCACATAAAGTGACCAGCTTCCTTCCTTTTTTATTCTTTAATTTGAAGCATAGACTATATTAAAGAGTGTGAATTAACCTCTCAATGTATGTGTTCGACATACGGTCCTATTTGAAGGTTTGCTAGGTCCTATGGTCAGGCTCGGGTTATGGCACAAGTTTGAGCATGCCAGGTAATATTCCTCTTGTCAATGACTCCATCTTTAATTATACTATAGCAGAATCATCATACCTTTTTACTATAGTAGATTCATCATCAAAATAGCTCTTGCTACTTCCTATTATATAAAATTATTATCTATCTACTCTATCGATGCTCTTCTGTCCCCGATTCTGTGATGCGTATAGTCCTGGCTACCCTTATGCAGACAAAAGCAAATGCAGAGAGAAAAGAAAGTGTCAAATAATAACAGACAAAAGAAATCCTCCGGTGTATAGGTGCCCTGAATTGTTTCTAATGAGTGGTGTGTATAACCAGAGAACATCGAGAAAGCCCAGAAAGGTGCAGTAGATGGTGCCCCTGAAGCTAATTAAGTCTCACTGCTGGCCGGTCGATCTCGCAAGACTCGGCCAAGTATATCTTGCAAGACAAGCTTAGAGAGAGCGGCAATCTCTTCCGGCTCATGCTGATCCGGAATCCCTTGCTTTCCCATATACTCTGAAACTAGATCCAGTCCATTTGCGTCCCAGAAATCTCGAATAATGGAGATTTCCCGTTCAGGACCTGAGCTCATGTAGGGTTGTGGGACATCGTCAGCGCCAGGAAAGACAGTATTCCAGATGCGAGCCCATCTTCTCGTCTCCCCGAGCTGAATCCGATCCTTCTTCTCAAGTCTCCGTTTCTGGCGCTCGTTGACCCCGTCGACCTCGCCTTGGCTCACCTGACATACCCGAGCGCGAACATGATTATCCCGAACCAAAGCTCTCTCAAAGGGCTGACGGCAAATAGGACAGTATGGAGGCTCGGTGTGGTGTTCTTGTAGATGGTGAATGACGTCTTCAATGGATTGAAGATCGTGCCCAAGCAGGCAAGCCTGATATTTCTCCGGCTTGCGGAGATAATATGGGCATGAAAAGTGAAAGTAGCCGCGCTGGCGCGGTATGATTACCATATTAGGGTCTTCGAGCGCTTCTGGCGAACCTTTTTCTTCATGCAACGAACTCCAGTTCGTTGTCCGAGCGCGCTTAAGAGGGGGGAGCCTATCATCTGGTGGCGCCTTGTATTCAGCTGTTGAAATACAAATCTGTACACTGTCAAATACAGAGTTAAGAATATCTGGGCGCAAGCTATGTAATTTGTTGCTCTCCTCGAGGATATATTCTTCCTCTGGTTCATAGTCTGATGACGCCCTGCGTCGATCACTTGCAGAGCTGTAATCCGAATCACTATCAGATTCGCTGCTTGAGTCGTCAGACTCTGACTCGGAAGAGTCTGAACTGTAGTAGCCCTGGTAGACCCTTGGGAGACTCCTACGGCTCGCGTAGGGTGACAGAGGTCTTCCAGATCTACTTCTTTTATACCCAGTGGGCTCCTAGAACACGTAAGGAAATGCCCAACGGGGAAATTTCATATTAGAACTTACCTTTGGCCGAAGTGTCATGCTTGGCTCTTCCTCTTGTTGTTGGTGATCAGAAAGCCTCCCTTTGGACCCCCTTGTACTCAGTAATTGGTCAGCTTTCTCGATATGCCTTCTCAGATTCACTGCAGTGATAGGATCGACGTCTCGTATGATATCCATTGTCTGTCTTTGAGGAGAGGATGGAATACGACTGTGAGCCGAGGTAAGCCCAACCCGTACGTATACTCCATCACACTCGCGGAGCTGAATAGCGACTCGGGGCTCGGAGCCGGCGTCTGTTGGAGTCGGCTTTCTGATATCAAGAAAAGTGAACAATCCTTGCTTGATGACCGGGCCTCGGATTTCGGCTCCGTTGTTGGTAAAGCGAACTTTGCTATCAAACCTCCATGGCGCCAGGTTCATGTTTTGGTATGCTAAGAGATGGGCAAATTCCGCTGGCGAATGGGCGAATATGCCTCTGATCTCTGGGCCATTACTGCCAGCCCTCCAAGCAAATATTGAGCCATCTCGAGAGTCGTGCAGTACCTGCTCCTGCAAGCGACAAAATGCTTTTGTTCTCCCCTCGCCATAAATGATCTGCATCTCCACGCCGAGAATGGGCGCCAGAGAGTAAATCAAGTCCTCAGGCTGAGTAGAAGATTTAGTCGCATACCAGGCGATTCGAATCCCAACGGCGACATTGGCCAAGGCCGCTGGCTCCCGGAGAACACTGATTGGGATGCCTGTAATATTCGAAGCCAACGGGATGAACTCTGCACAGGTTTTAGAGCACCGGTGATTCCATTGACTATCATAAATCTCCACTGGCTTCGAGAGGATGAAATCAGTGGTTGTTGCGGCTTGCTTCCAGTAACCGCAGCGCTGCCAGTCGTCTTCATTATAGCCCAAGCTTTGCGCAGAAAGGTCATCCAGATATACGATAGTTACCTGAGCGTTCTCGAGCCGTTGGCGCGACTCGTTGATTGAGAGAGCGACCTCGGCGGAAGATGACCTATCAACACATAAGTCACGGTCCCAGAGGTGATTGATGCCCAATCCAGCTGTAATTCGGCAAGCGGCAATGACGACATCTGGGATGAGAGAGGAGTCCCAATGATCTCGATTGAGTGTAGAAGGAGATTTGTTAGGCACGGGCCGTTCCTGGCGCGAGAGGATAGCGTAGGAGGCAATTGAAGGGTCGGGGATGTCGTCAAGATTGTATGTTGTGGTGCAGATTGCCTTCATTGTGAGGTTATTGAATGAAGGAGAGGTGGAATGAATGTTCTCGGGAGGCAAATTGATTAGGTCTAATGATTTATTCCTCAGTCATTGATACATGAAGCTCGATTTATATAGTTCAAGAATGAATCCTTGTGCACAGGCACGGGTGTGCTTTTCAAGCTGGAAGACGAACATACGTTAGTTAGGTCGCATGGCATGCTGACATGTATGTTCTGAGCTCACAATTGTGATGGTTTGGTAGTACTGGTTTTAACCCACACCCCCTCCACTCCTTTATCCTGCTCACGCGCGTTTCTCCAATTCTACCACCTTGTCAAATGTGCAATATACTGCATGGCGTCTGTATGGCTGTAGCACGACGGTAATCTCCTGAAACGCATCACAGACCAGAGCAATCAATCCTGTGTTCTTGTAATACTTCATTAATGTAATCCATTGCTAGTCGGTGAACTCCCCCGTTGCTCGGAGGACCCCGGTTTGGTATGGACCAGCTAGCAAGGACCAAGAGCCAAGGACCAAGGAGCCAGGGAGTCGGGGAGCTTCCCCCGTGCCGCTAAAGCCATTAAATTCATAAGGCGTATTAAGCAGTTTGTCTGCTGCATTTTCTGCTAGCTGGACTTGCATTTTGGGCTGATATCAAGCCCTATTATGCTCTGACCGACTTTCTGTATGTTGGGCAGAACGAATTTGTTCCCAAAGTCAAGATCACAATCTCGCCATTGTTTGTCTAGAGAAGGCTTCTCATTGGTTCCCTTCTCAATTAGACAGCTAGCTTGCTCTGTTGTGCATAATTCTCTAACACGGGTGGACGCCCAATCCTGCCCAACTCCATCTACAAGCGTCACCACACATGCAAAGAGAGGTCCTACAAGTCCTATCTCAAACATGAAATGGCATCAGTCCTTGGGGTGTGGAAAGGGTAAACTACTTGGTCTTGCTATAGTTACGGTCAGGCGCGAATTCTAGAAGGCCCAACAAGAAGATGAGCCTCGTTCGGGCGGCTGAAAGTGCGTCATGGGACTAAAAGCTCACATATACGCATACTGTAACAGAGTATTGCTATTTATTTTTTCCGTATATCCGGGGAATATCTATCCCGATGCCTCGTCACTGGCAGACGTTTCATGATACGCTAAGCCACAGTCTACGCAAACATTGCGTTAATAGGGGGCTTTGGTAGCATAACATGTCACTCGATGATTCTATTGTTAGACTAGATATTTCAACAACTTCAATCTTTTGCTTTCATTCACTGCAGAGATGTCAAAAAAATCGGATTGCGTATTCGTGGACAAAGACATAGCTCGCCCGATTAAAGGACGCTGGGTCATTCGGGTGAGAGCATAGCCACAATCCACACCCAGGGAGGGGTCCAAACTTGGTACGTTTCAACTTGGATTGGAAAGGCAAACAAGACCATTTGGCTCTCATAAGGCGCTATATGGCTGTGATGGATAAAAAAGTTGAGATTTTGCACTACAGATATCTTCATAAAGAGGTTGGAAAAGGATGCAGTCGTCAAGTCGGTCTACACATCCATCTTTGGTCAGCTTAGTCGACCCTAGCTCGCAACACGCACAGTATTTCTGTCTCCCGGCACTGATATGGATGGTAAGTATGAGATAAGTTCCATCCACGCTGCCAGAAATTGCTACCGGGAAATGGACTTTGACAGCAAGATTCCGGCGATTCCGGCCAAGACGGGGGCAGATGTCATAGTCCCAGTACTTCGGGCGGTGGCTTTGCTTACAAACCCATGTCAACAGACATTGCCACATGAAGGGAAAAATCGTAATCGTTTTCTTACCTTCGAGGAAGGGTTACTCTTAAGGCAACTGGTCATATGCCCCCCGCGGATACTGGGGTAACGAGATACGGCACGCCACTCATCATGGGAGCTTACAGTAAGGCCCGACTGCGGTAATAGAAACCGAGAAAAAAAGTCTCCGGTGATCATATAATGATGACTTTCTTAACATGATAGATTCTGCGAAATATTTCATCTTACTCTCCCTCCCGGCGGCCGCCAGTGATGAAGTAGAGTGAGTAGTCTGGTCGCCTTGTTTTCGCTTCAACAGTCTTGTAGCTTACGAGAGTTTGCCTCACCCGCTCCAATTGAGGGGTGGGACTAATCGAGGAAAGGCTAGAGTTTATATGTAAGTTTTGAACTTTATTTTATGCCTGGCGCGTGAAAGGGACTCGTCGGCTTCACTGCCTGGAGTCTTTACACTGACGAGTAACTAGCAGGCAGCCGCGTCTGCCTGGGAACGGAGCCGTGAATCTGTACTCGAGAGGTCTAATTGAGAGCTACTTATATCCTTGTTCCAGTTGCATTTAAGGCGTCGGTTACTAATCCCGAGAGGCTGCATGATAAAAGCACCACTACACATTTGAGCTACGCGGCTCAATGGCATCTCACCACCCCTTCTCAAGCGTCCAAGTACCAAGTTGCACATGCGTGCGACCAAGGAATCCTGTTTGGGTGAACAAAACCACAGCTGTTCAACCCAAATACTTGAGAGGTTGGTCAAATGATTGAAGATGTCGAGTCATGGCATGTGAAGTCTCGTGTTAAAAAATCATTCGATAAAGCTGCCGCTTTCGGAGTGCCTCGGCCAGGCACGTGCCCGGCTGGATGAAGGGATAACGACCGACATCATGATAGTATTGATCCCACAATGCTTTTTTCAACGACTTCTGATGCCATCTATCGGTGTTCTTGCATCGTATTCATTGTGCTGAGATATCGGGTCTGGCGTCCTCCATTGCTGACTTTGTACTCGGAGTCTCATCCGTACCAGTGTTCTTGTTAAGCCGGCTTTCCCAAGTAGCCTTGAATAACTTTCCACGGCCGATGCTGAAAGCCCATTATGTGGAATGTCCAGCAACAGAGTTTACCTGATCGTTTATTCCTAAGACGAGACCACATTGAATTCTTTTAGGGTGCAGAGGTAAGATATCACCAGCCCTATTACTGTATAGTACGGGTGAGAGAGTTTGGGTGGCTTGATTCACACACAAAAACCGAAACCGACAATACAAAATGCCAGACAGGACATCTCAACGCAATAACTATTTCTATTTAGTACATGGCTGAACAAGCTCATTCACACCAAGGCCGGACCTTAGAGTAACGTCGGTCTCAAAACTATACCATCTATCAACGTAATCATAGGATCATGCTACAAATAACGAGCCTGCGGCTTATATCATGGTTCCAATTCGATGCCAACCTGAAATCTCCCCATCTCATGAAGGCACACCTCTACCAAACATGAAGGGAGCACCAAGCATGCCGGAAAGACTGAAGAGACCCGGCAGTAGTGAGTCATAACTACGGTGTCATTGAATAGGTCACCCTTGCCAAGAAAGAAGGGGGGCACTGACATGGCATACTGTTGTTGGTCGGGGCGCATCGCATAAATAGGACCCAGACACCCAGATGTGGCACTTCCACCAAATATATCTAGAATATTCTCCAACGAGACGTGTGTGTTATAGCGCCAATCGGCTAAGCTGGCCCTGGTCCGATGACGGCTATGGGTGGGTGCACATGAGCTTTGTATCTCCGTGACGCCAGCAGTCGTGGCAATGGGTCGAGAGCTAATGTAGCAGATGGGAACACAAATAAAGAAACACAGATGCAGCACACTCTCTCTGACCGCTTCTTTGATCAGTCTAACGTTGAAATATCGCTCACACTCGCACTGGCCTAACGTAGCATAAAGGTGGCATTGATTCGCCAGGAGCAAGCCACGTGCCCATTTTTCCCTTCATCTCCTGCAGGTCTGATTGGCAAACAAGCATCTGTGTCTCGATTTAGCAGAACAGCTATCAGCTGTGGATGCCATCAGAAAGCCGAGATGTTGCTGTCAATGTCTCTGCTTTGTGCTCGGTTTCTGCGTCGTGTGTTATCTCACTTTAATTATTTGTGTCATTTTGTTTTTGTATAAGCGCATAATAATGCAATTTGGAGCGTGGTATCACGAGCATAAATCCCAGTCTTTGGTGTCTGGTGCATGAACTCCTACTTATCCTTCTGGATCCACCACGACGTAGTGGTGGTCAGGCACGAAATTCAAGCCCTTTCCACCCAATTGCAGGGAGCCTTGTTTCCTGGGGTAACTGGCATTTACATCGGGAAATTAGATTGCAGCCCTAGCTCGAGATCGGAGAGCGGTGTCTTCGACTGAGATTGTTTTATGATGGCCGCCGTGGTGTGAGATCGAACCCCCGGCTATTCAAAACGCACAAGAGGTGGAGATTATGAGAATCAGCCACTGGGAGGGAGGGGAATAGCCGCTAGGACGAAAGGGATGAGCTAAGCGTACGCACAAAAAATTATATAGACTTGTGAAAGGTCTCGTTTATGAAAATGGGATTCTTCAGTAACCACCGCCAGGAAAGGGACTTGTTGCTGTGACTTTGGGAAGTAAAAGGGAAATCTTTGGATAGCAACCATATCAAGAAGGACGAGCCAGTCAGATCTCTTGTCATGTATCCTCACTACCCCTTCCCCGCATCTTCAAGCCCTTTGTTGGTCCTGGTCTCACTCTACACGCCGGGACGCATCATCAACCAGCAGCAGCAGCACCAGAAGAAGAAGAGCTACCAGCAGCATGTCCGAGGCCAGCATAGCCAAGATGGCGTCCTTCCACGCCGCCCTCCGCTCCAGCCGCCGAGTCCTGTCGCTATGCGGAGCCGGCCTATCCGCGTCATCAGGCCTACCGACCTTCCGCGGGGCGGGAGGGCTCTGGCGGAACTACGACGCAACGACGCTCGCGACGCCCGAAGCGTTCCAAAGCGACCCGGGCCTCGTCTGGTTGTTCTATGCCTACAGGAGACATATGGCGTTGAGGGCGGAGCCGAATAAGGCTCACCGCTATCTCGCTGCGCTGTCTCGGGAGAGGCCCGAGTTTCTGTGCCTCACACAGAACGTCGACAGTAAGTGCATCAAAAAGCCCCTAAAAATCATAGCAGTCTGTCTGACAATGTATCTTCCATCTAGATCTATCCCAGAGGGCAAATCACAACCTGGACACGCTGCTCCCGCTCCACGGGTCTCTCTTTGACATCAAGTGCACCAACTGTGACTGGATCCAGAAGGGCAACTATGATGACCCATTCTGCTCGGCCCTCAGCGCCGCGTCGGTGGATGTGCCGCCGGGCGAGACGCTTCCCCTCCTTGATCCGAACCACCAACTGAACCCCATCTCCAGGGATGAGCTTCCCAAGTGCCCTGCCTGCAAAGTTGGTCTTCAGCGGCCTGGTGTCGTCTGGTTCGGAGAGAAGTTGGATGACGCGGTGCTCGAACGTGCAGATGATTTCGTGAACAAAGAGCCGGTGGTAAGTACTCCCCTCCCAGTCGGCCGCCGGGGACGCAGAACAACGACACTAACCGGCGCTCTTTTAGGACATGATGCTGGTAATTGGGACTTCAGCCCAGGTCTGGCCTGCTGCAGGTTACATTGAGATGGCGCGGGCGCGAGGCGCCCGAGTGGTGGTTGTGGATCCGAGTGCTCAAGACGAGGCTGAATCGTCTGGGGGTGAGCCGAGGGACTTCGCCTTTGCGGGCGATGCCGCTGAGCTCCTCCCAGACATGCTTCAGCCGGTTGTAGGCAGACTGCAGGATGATGGGACGTTCAGGAAAGACTAGGGCTTGGCTCTTTGCGCAAGTAGCAAGAGTGATGCCCTGTCTTGGTGGTTAACGATCATGTGTTATGAAAATGAGATATGGGCAATGCTGAATGAACGTGATTATTAGGATTCTTAGTCGTCCCCAACTTTTTGCCGTACTTCCAGGTAACTCGACTGTGCAATATTGGGACGAATGTCCTTCCCAAAAAGGATCCCACTTCCTTTTCTTGACATCGCAGCTATTTCATTCCCTTAAACAACGTCCCAGTTAGGTAAGACTTCAATTCGAAGTTCCCCATGATAGGCCAATGGATGCTGCAGTGAGATCCCAGCAAGACCACATGAGTGTTGGCCAGATCATTTATCAACTTCGTCGAGTCAGGTGCAGAATCTCGGTAAGACCCAGCAGCAGTAGTAGCCTATAAGAGGGGGTAGAATTGTATGAAAAAGAGTAAGCTTATGCAGCCCAGTCATTCCATATGTACGGGGACGAGCACACTGCTCTCTGATAATTGGTGCAGTACAGCTGACAGCTGAAAGCACGAGGGTTACGCCTTCATCCTTCCCGTCAGCGCCCGGACAGCAAGACATATAACCCCACCTCTTGGCTTTCACAATGCTTCCCCTTTTGTGTAGATTCTAGTTGCCTTGCATGAAAATAATATCTAAATGCTGTCTTCCAAAAGGGCACGAGAAATCAACGTGTTCCTTCAGCAGTTGAAGATATGCAAAGCACGTTTAGAACCACCCCATCTCCGACGTCGCTCGTCGGTGATTATTTACTCAGGGAGCAGAGTGTGCCTTGGCTCAACGCACTCCAGCCAATGAATGAATGCCACTTATCTTGTGGAATGAAACATTGATCATGACGTGTCTGAGCATGACGTGCTACGGCGAGCTAAGTGTCTGAAGCGGAATGCCTAATTGTCCATTTGGGGCTTACTCTTTCCCGACACGGTGTTCTATCTCTGGTAAACCGTGGATAACATGACTTACCTTCAACATGCAAGTACTTGGTTCCAAATGAGAATCAAATAACGAAGCTTGATGAATTGGGACATCATTTATCGCTTCTATCGTTGCACGATGCTATGTCGGAGCATGTAGGTAAAAGGTGGCAGGGTCCGCCGCCATATCGCCTATACAAGCCTAGAATATCATTTCGGCAAATCTTTTGTAACATTCAAAGAATATTGAAGCACTGTGGGTTGCAGCTCGTTTTCTTTAGCAGAGTAACTGCATCTAGGTGCCACCTATGGCATCGGCGGCAACCACCTGACTTACGGAATTAATCCTTCACGCAAAAGCTTCTCTGGGTCTTTTTGACGGAACTTGAGCTGCTCGGAGAAGTAATTTATGATGCAGAGCCAACTAAGTTGCTTTCAGTCCTTGCTAGTATATTTCCATAGAACGTTTCTCTATCTATCAAAACGAAGCTCAAGTATGTCTTTAGGTAATTCTCTGTATATCAGTGTAATGAATCCTTCTAAGAATCTTCATCATTATCTTGATGGCTTTATATCGTGTTTGTCTCATCTCCGCTCTTGTGTCCCTCCCAGGTTTCTTTGACCACTCGCCAATAACGATTCGGGTCAGATCGTGCATGTGCCACATGCTTGCTGTTGCCGAAATCCTCTTGGTACAAAACATGAAAGCCTTTTACAAGAGCATCCTTCGCATTAGCCTGTACGGCATCCTTTCTAACCAATGGATCCGCGGCGCTGAATAGGTAAGACCGGCACGTTTCAACAGATCTTGTCGTGTTATTCGATGCCTGGCCCCAAACTCGCGGCCAGTCAGCGCCACCGAAGACACGCACCCAAATCCAAAGACACATGCTGAGGAAATGGGCAAGCGGTGTGGCCATGATCCGTGCAAGCCAGTTGCCACGGGGTACTCCAAACATGACTGCAGACGCTACCGACATGTACTCGTACGTTCCCGGGGATGAGTCGAAAATTGTCGCATGGAGAGGGAGGCGGTCTCTGGGGTTGGTCTTTTCTATTTCCGTAGTACCCGAATATGCGTCGCAGAGGTTGTAGATTGTGCTGAGGCCGCTATTCGAAAATAGGTGAACCAGCATGGGTGGCCTAGTAGTAGATGTCCCGGTTGGGTCGTCTGCACTCAAGAGGCTACGGATTGCAACTGCCGCTGGTTCGAGCTCTTTCCGGGCCCCTGGGAGCCAGAAAAAGTGCCTCAGGAACGATTTAACGACGAGAATGGAAACCTTAGGAAACAGCGCTCGGTATTTGTCAATGTATTTGACGATGTGCTTGTCTTGGGCGAATGCCCATGTGGCAAGAATCACAAGACGTGGCCCATTTTCGTCTTTTTGATTTGCTTCTTTCGGTCTCGGATCTTCTTGGTATTGGTAGAGAGAGACTGAGGGAGACAGTTGGATAGGAGCCGGGTAGGAAGCCATTTGCGGATTTCAAAGGAGGGGTTTTACTTGTGTTGTCTTCCTCTGACATGAAAGCGATCCCGCAGCTGGTTATATAGAAAGGGATTCTCGAGTCCCCAACAAAATGGAAAGTTATATAATGGTCTTTACCACTAGTACCAGGTTTCCATCATTTCACTCAGACAGCCCATTTCTATCTGAATTACTCCCCCCAGTCAGAAAGAACATAAGTAGTTAGTGGGAATCCTTTGGCCCACAGCTAAACAAGCGAATGCGATGTGCGAGTGCGAGGCCTTCTCAAATAATAAAAAGAAGGTTGTTTCTCTAACCAGCTAAACCCGCATATGACATAAAGAGTCCGCTTCTCACCCATTGCGAGAACGCCAACCGCTCTGCCTCCATGAAGGAGATAAAATTCATATGGTTTCTAATGTTCAATCCACCACACTACCAAAACAAAGCGATATTCACATGCACCGAGAGTGTTCATCTGTCGTCAAAATAGCCATGGAAGAAATCAATTCCCAAAGTATCTATCGCCGCCGCAGGGACGGTGGAAAGAGTCTAGGCTCACCGGGAGTAAATGCCACTAATGAAACTCACCTTACAAGTACCATAGATCTTTTTCTTTTTTAATCCTCCTGTTTCTTGTCTTTTTCCTCTCTCCTCTAAACACTATGTTCCATCATCTCCGAGGCAACGAGGAGAACCTTTGAGCGCTAGACAGCCAGCTTTCGTCCCTTCCAAGTCGCCCCCCACATCACGGAATCCACGGAGTCCACGGAGTGCGAGTGCGTGATCATTATAACATGAAAAAGTGCTCACGTAGGAGGGCGTAGCTCTAACGTAATCGGAGTTTCTCTATATTCGTTCATTTTTTTTTTTTTTCGATGCCGAAATGTTCAAGTAGGCCGGGGATTTTACTTACTTGATCTGATCGGGGCTTTCCAGCGACACAATAAAGGCAGAGCTGTCTTTCGAGTCAGGCAAGGTAATTTCATAGGAAGAGCTTTCCAGTCGGTCTTATCAGTCTTCCTAGAGCTATAACCTGAAGTAAGTAAGACGCTGAATGCGTGGCGTCCTTTTCCATAAACTATCTCACCTCCTCTTAACAGAAGGGGCTTAGGTGCTTCTTATACATCCGATCTCAGCAAGCAATCACTTTCCCTTTGCAGAACGAACCTCTGGAGGGCTCTCACTTAACCACAAACTTAGATTGAATCAAAGGCGATATTAATCCAGTAAAAAGTCCATCATCGTACTGTCCAATTTCTCACGTGATAATCTATCGCTATTCGTAAGCCTAGTCGTCGACAATGCTGCTTGGTAGCCAGTTGAACCCCTTTTGGACACATATTCACCATGGTTTCCCTTAACTGGAGTGCCGCCAAAAGATGGATAAACAAATCAAGGACTAAAGGTATTGGATTTTGGCTCCTTTGATAGAGTAATGTGCTAAATAATATCCGATGCTTCGCGTGGCAAATGCAGTATATCCGGCTCCTATTGGCAATTAAGTTTATCTCAGCCATTCTATCGAGTCCTCGTCGTTAAACAGTCAATATAAACACTAGTAGTGATGATGCCAAGGAATCCGTGGCGATGAGAACTCAGACTCACTTTCGCATACAACCAAGACCGCTCTAGAACCGAAAGTCAATACCGCTAGGCTGTCTGTTTTCGGGGAGCACGAAGATATATGTTAATTCTTATGGTTGTATGAGCTCAAGATTCTATACTTGTTTGTTGTTCGGTTACCCCATGAAAACTTAACTTTAGCTTCGCACGAGAGGAGAGACTTGATGGATTGATGAACCGAGCTCAGTGGACCTCATCAACGTGGATGTTGGTTAATTTGGGTAATTCCCACTATGGGAAGTAGGACACGTGAACTCGCTCGCAAGAATATGTAAATGATCACTCAGGTTCCGATTGTGTTGACCATCGAAAAAGAAACACAAAAAGATATCTGAAGGCTTTATATATGGGAGTTTGGAGACGACGGTTGGGAAAACACGTCAGCTTGTAGGATGGGGGAGTTTGCTAAACGATATTGATGCTTTGGGCTTTTGCATATGCACCCAAAAGAGGCTGTGCCCTCGTCCCCGTTCATCCTTCACTTGATTACAGCAACTACTTACGTGTTCACTTATCGTTAGAGATCATGGAACCCTTTAGCCCCGTCTCATGAAAGTATTACTGGCTTATAGAACCCGGACATCCGGAATTCATGCCAGCCGAGTCGATATGGATGTCTCCAAATATATTTACACTTCCCGGCGACGGGATCTAAAAACTCCCGACACGAGGTGATTGGATGCTTCTAGCCAGGGGAACAAAAACACCCCTTGCAGGAAATACGAAGCTTAGCGTACATCAGATGATATGGGCGTTTATTAAGCGGGAAAGGGAGCCAAGGCCGAGTTGACCCCTGCTGCTACCCCCGTAAACGCCCATTTACTATTGGCTGGCTCGTCTATGAAGCCCACTCGGAGCTTGCCTTCTCCATGGTCTGCTTGTTTATTTTCCAAAGTATTTCAAACTAACTGATCAAGGGCTCAATAGCTGGACAACTCGTATGCTGCCCCTCCATTCTAAGACATCATGTAGAGATTCTGCTTGTTTAGGGGCATTAGACAATAAGCGTGAGATCTGACGTACGTATTGGTGGTTGAGTGGAGATGGCGTAACAACAAAGTACATCCGGATGATACGCAATACGAGCTGGCACAGACCGGTCACTGAGCTGGAATCATGGCCGACAACGAGCCAAGTTGTAGTTCACTCCGGTCTAGGTCAAATAGCACAGAATATCATAGGATCGTGCTTCCAAATAAGTCTAGCGTCTATATCAATAGATTCTCAATACGAGCAGGCCAGCTCAATGCATAAGATCTACACCAAGGTCCTTCCCTGGCTTCTGACTTTGCCGAAGCGGACTAAATCGTGCGACCGGTACGCTATGTATTTAGAATCCTTAGTCCCTGATCTTTTGCTTCCCTTTGTTCACTTTTTGTCTGCATTTCTCTCTTGCGTATTAGCTTTGCCTTCTGTCGGTTTCGAGTTGCAACGCCCTCTCTGATCATATTATCGCTTGTTCTTTGAAGACTAAAGGCAAAAAAAGCGGCCTGTATGATGGCCCCCCAGGGCAATTCGAGCGGCCGTTCTTCGAATGCCTTACTCTCGAATGTCGCCTTATTGAACGCCGTTCATAATGCATACCTTCACGCCGAGCCGTACCCACTAGATGCAAAAACGAGCATCGTCGTCAATACATGGCACGAATCAAATCGAAAGGCCCTAACTATTGATTCTTCATTAGCTGCGCGAGCATGGGAACATGCCAGACGCCGAGTCGAAGATAACTGCGTCCTTTTGCCGTGAGCACTTCCTGAAGACATGCATTCCAGTTTCTAATAGCGATAGGTCCCTCCACCCATCAGCCCCGACTGTATTCATACCGTTTCTCCAGACGCTTCCCTTCGCCATCCCTTCTTCAATATGCACATCTCTTCAAGCACTGCAGCCGTTTCTTTGCTGCATGACACCTCTTAATCCTTCGACCCCTCGGTACGCTGCCCTGTCACTGAGGTTAAATGTCGACCTTCAGGGACAGGTTCAAGGTGCCAAGCTAACTCTCTCAACCGACGGAATCGATATTGTGAAAGGACTACTAGACATTCCTAGGGAAAGTGGTTATCGAGCCTTCGATGTCTTCTATTACCTCCTGGCATCTTCTTCAACACCGACCGAGCGAGAGTTCCTGCACCTAAAACATGCCTCTGATTACTTGTTGTTATCACGATCGAAAACCTATCGTACGCCGTCGGCCCTACCTACAATCAATGATGATGCATCAGCCGACGACTTTCGCCAACTTCTTCAACGCATGGGCATCAAGGGATCTGTCCGCCGAAACCTTCTTTCGACGTTAGCAGGCATACTTACTCTTGGCAACACGTTGGAATACACCGGACCTTCAGAGGAGTTGTCCGATGTCTATGGGGAAGCAGGCGAGCTTCTGGACATTAATCCCGACGTACTCATCACGCAATCCAATGCTCAGCGACGGGTATTCATCAGCCAACTATACCAATCGATTGTGCAGTGGATGGTCTCCAAGGCCAACGAACTTATAAGACTTGAGCTACGCTCAGGAAACGGCAAATTGGGTTCGGAGTATGGGCAGACTATTAGTATTGGGGATGAAGGTACAGACAGTGCCGTATCCATGACTATCATAGACATGCCAGATCCATCGTTTGGAAGAGCGGTCGGCATGCAGTCTATTTTTGACCAATCTTTTGGCATCAATAGCGAGATTTCAGACGACGGCATTGACATCGAGCCTATCGAGACAAATGTGGCCAAAGATATGCGCAAGGCGATGGCCCAGAGCACATTCTATCAAAGCATCATGTCAAGCAGACAAGACGAGGTAATGGATCAGGACGATGAAGACACTTTTGAGCGCATCGCCCTCTCGGCCGATGACGACAGCTTCATAAAGGACATACTCACCTATAGAGACATCCAAGCGGCGGGGGAAGAGGGAGCCGAGCCTGATGAGTTCCTCTCTCATTTTACCTCGAGTAGGCTATGGTATATGCTTTCTTTGTACCCGGGATCTGAGGGCGGGATTTCTGATCAAGGGGGTGAACTGCCCTCTTCAGCATCTCATTGGTCTGCCAGCCAGGTCACCACACAACTCTTAGAATGGAGACTTCGTGACTGGGCTAATCAACGGTTCCGGCACCTCGGCTTTACCGCCGACTTCGACCTCGACGAATTCCTGGACCGGTACTCCATTATTGGATGTCAGGGACCTGAGAATCAGATACGTGAATGGTCAGCTGGGATGGGATGGGGGAGCAGAGAAATCCTTTTCGGACACAGTCGTCTTTGGCTGAGCGAAGAGACTTGGTGGCATTTGGAGACATTGCGTGACAATACTATCGCAGCAATGAGAACCAGGACCTTCAGTTCAATCCACTCGCAGTCTGACATGGCTTATGCCCAGA